TTTTTTTTTTTATTTTTCTTGTCCCCCCCGCCCCCCCCCCTTGCCTATCACAAAAAACCCCCTCCACAAAAAAAACCAACCCAAAAAAAAAAAAAAAAAAAAAAAAAAAAAAAAAAAAAAAAAGAGTAAAAGAAAAAAGTAAGAGAAAAAAAACTGTGTTTAGACTGAGCATCGTCCTTCGGCGTTCCGGTAATATGAACCATGCAACTAGAACATCGAGTTTGCATCCCGAATCGGCCTAGATACCACGGCACAAGTCAACAGTAGACAGCATGAGTTCTCAGCAAGACTCGATGCGGGCCCGACTGGAATGGAGTGCATGATATGAGGGGAGATCTGATGATACCCCAGACCACACACACAGAAACTGTGGTGGTGGCCGAAGCCGAGGATTTCCGGCATATGCGATGATATTGTTGTTGTTTATCTCCTGTACTATTTCTTCGCGCAGATTTCTTTCTTCCGCCGAGAACTATCTTACTTTTCTGATAGCTAGTAGGCAAATAAATAAACCAAGATGTCATGCCGCAAGGCAACTAACTACAAATCCCCGCCTTACCTAGGTATGTAGGTACCTCATGAGTACCTGATCTGGCTACTGGCCTGTAATGTGCTGTGCTTCTTATGAAATGGACCGACCACCTAGGACCTAGGGACCCAAGATGGTGGTGGTATTTACCTATGATAACAGCCTGAGACTACCTAGATCTAAGGTACCCCAGGTACTTACCTATGCTAACATGAATTCTGGAACGGTTTTGGGAGTACAACGGAGTGGCGGAGGTGGGGGTGTTATTGCAATAGGAAATAAATCAAGAAAACTCAACCGGGGGAGGCCGTGCCGAATAGACCCACTCCGCCTCCGATGCGGGAGCAAGCTTGGAGGCGGATGCGACCTGAGTATGTTGTGCTAAAGGTCGGGAGGCAGTTACGCACCTAATCTAATTTACCTAGGTAGGTACGAGAGAATAGGGATTCATAGGGAAGTTACGAGATACTGTCACGGATGCTTCTTTTTTCATATAGCAGCACATCGTCCTAGGGGGGCTGCTGGGGTATGAACTTCCTAACCCCTACGTATATTTTCCCAACATGGCGCAATCTTGAAGCGCTTACCACGCCGGGAACTTGATAATATTTGCCCTCAGCATCAAACGTCACCGTTAAGATGGACCACGGAGCCCTAGTGATATAAGTATCATGTAGGTCCCTATCGTTGAGCTCAGCATCGTCAATTCGTGTGGTTTCTCTTTGTTAATGGATGTGCAAGCTTTCTTTTTTTGCTACCTATATACAAGGGGTATCATTTCTATGTCTATATGTTCTACACAATGGAGTAGAGATTACTAGTCCTTAGCAGCCTGACGAATCGAGACAACATTTCTCAACGTTCCAAAGCTGAGGACGTCACCTATCCTCGGGGCACCGGAAAGCAGCATGACTAGCCTATCTACGCCGCAGCCCCAACCCCCTGTAGGTGGCAGCCCGTGTTGCAAGGCCTGGACATAGCTCTTGTCTACTTCGCCGTGATCCTCGCTTTCCGGCGACATGGCCTTTTGCGTCTCGAGTTGTAGCTCGAATTTACGCTGCTGCTCGAATGGATCGTTTTCCTCCTCGTACATATTAGCCATCTCGCGGTCTTTTATGAACAGTTCGGCGCGAGCGGATACGAGCTGGCCCGTCTTGGGACAGACGAAGGATTTTGAGAGGGGTGCCATGCAGGCAGGATGATATGTGATGAAAACAGGCTCGTCGCGAGAAAGCGGCTCCAGATATTTGCCTGCAAGCTCGTCTAGAAGCTCAACCAGCGTTAAGGATGAGCCTTGGGCGAAATCTATTCGGTCTCCCAGGATTTCTATGAGCTTGGGGAGTGCATCAGCTTCCGAGAGATTTGGGATTTTGATTCTGAGAATATCTTCTAGCGTTGGGATGAACTCAATCTGCTTCCACTTTTTCTCGGGCAGTTGAATCTTGGAGTTTTCAAGGAATTTGAGCTGATTTTGTGCTAGGTGTTCGACATGGTTGACAAGACGAGTGATAAGATCCTCAGTCATGGAAATCAAATCGTCCAAGTTGGAGTAAGCAGAATAGAACTCGCACATGGTGAATTCTGGGTTATGGGTAGTATCGATGCCCTCATTGCGGAAGCATTGGCCAATCTCAAAGACCTTGTCATTTCCGCCAACGATCAGGCGCTTGAGCCATAACTCAGGGGCAATCCGCATTGCCAGCTCTTTTTGAGCGAACTCCGTCGCGAATGTCAGAAATGGGCGGGCAGCAGCGCCACCAGCGTAGTCTGCCAAGACAGGGGTTTGGACTTCTAAAAAGTCTTTCTCATGGAAGAAATCCCGCATGGACTTAATGATGCTGGAGCGAAGGCGGAAGATATCCGATGTTCGTCGATTAGCAAGTAGATCCAGATGTTTGTTCAAGACCATAGTCTCCTGATTGATCAATTTGTGAGGGAGTGGTGCCAGACCAGGACTAAGCAGTGTGGGAAGCTCATGCGCCTTTAATGTTAGTTCACCGGCGTGCGTTCGCGTTGCCGTACCTTTGACGGAGATGATGTCACCACGGAGGAGTGGGCGTACGGCATCCTTGAACTGCTCGGGTTCAGGCTTCGGATCTGAAAAGTGACTCAAACAAATCATGACTTGGACTTGCTGATATCCACCCATGAGGTTGAGGAAGACGAGCTTCGACCCAGCCCTCCTTACTGACATGACCCGGCCTTCCAGCACAACTTCCTCAGAGGCATTGGTTACATCCTGGTACCTTTCCCGAAAGCTCGGGACACTCATTCGGTTAGGTCGGGGGCCAAGCCTTGGATAACGAAGTGCATTGTATTCCTTTAACTTCTGCACTCGGGAGTTAACAGTAAGCCGGCGGGGAGTTGGGGATACCGCATCAGGAGCAGGACTGTCCGAGTTGGCCGTTGCTGTTGCGGGTCTCTCGGGTGCTGAGCTATGTACGCATCTGCTCCGGGAAGCGCTGTGTACCTGTCCTGGGCCGTGCGAACCCTTGCACCTTACGGGATCACGATAACTAACAGAGAAGAACCGCGCATAGACAGATGCCCGAGGTGATGGCATTTGGTATAGATATGGGCGCAGGAACCTTAAGTAGTGCCCATTGTCCATCGCGAGACTGGAAGCTGTTAGCTACGTTCATGATGCCATATATAGATAGGTACATAAGATAAATCTATAAAGAAGACGACGAGTCAAATTCAGATAGGGTGAAAGTGAGATCAAGCACCATAGAAATGGTGTCAGTCGCAACGGTTCTTAAAGCAATATCATCATAATGAGGTAGAATAGGTAATTTTAATGAATAGGAGAGATAGGTATTCATAGTATATACTCACAGTTAAAAAAAAAAGATAAATAAAAATAAAATAAAAATAAGAAATAGCTTGCGCTGCAAGCTTCCTCCAAGAACCCCGACAACCGACACCTCCTTGCTTTTTTTTATATTTTTTTTTTATCGAATTCTTAAAAATGCGTGTGTTGCAATGGGATGTGATACATAACCTTTTTTTTTTCTAATAATTTTCTTTTTAACTTTTAACTCGTACCCAACTTTTTTTTCTGCCGGAGTTGTTCCGAATATCGCTGTTAATCCGAAGAGATGATTGGTTTACCTTAGGTAAGCTTGATTGATATTCCTATCTCTTATCGAGAACTCTTTAAGCTTCTGAAGTCGTTTTATTCAAGTTCTGCATCAACGCAGATAAAAATCCGGCAAATTAATAAGAAGCTGTCTACCTCTAACCTAACTTAAACCAGCCCCTACGTCAGCCGCCCAAGATGTCTTTCCTCGGCTTCGGTAGACCCCAACCCACTTCGGAGGAGAAGATCGCAGCTGTCCAAGCTGAGATGAAACTCCTGACCCAGATGCACGACCGGTAAGGTTATAGACCTGAGTCTCTCTTATAAAGGGACTAGCCAAGATATAACTAACACTATTTTCTAGTCTCACAAAGGCGTGTGCGAAGAAGTGTGTTCCCAACGACTACCGAGAATCCGAACTCAACAAGGGCGAAAGCGTCTGCCTCGACCGATGTGCTGCCAAGTTCTTCGACGTACATCTGAAAGTATCGGAATTGTTGCAGCAGGAGATGCAAAACAAAGGAGCTGGCGGAGGCGGGTTCGGCTTTGGTGGTTAATGCGAAGGAACAGTTTTCTGCGATATTCGACGAAACTATAGCGGGCTATTGTAACGATTGTACGACATAGAGACTAGGAGGTTAGGATGAACCTGATGATATAACATTAGGTACCTATCCAGGGGCTCTCATTACAGATTCGAGGGCATATTTGGCTGATCTATCGAACGCGCCAGAGCTATACTACAAATAGATTGGCTACATCGAGTTGGTCCTAAAAATGAAGATTCTCCTCATCCATTTCTAATCGCAAGTACATTGTTAAAAGGATCGAGAGTTTCTTAGATGGGCCCCCTAAGACTTGGCGGAACGGCGCTCTAGGAGATAGCTATGAGCTTGCTCTACATACTAAAGCGCATGCCTCTTTAGTGAACTGGGACTGCTAAGGATGACGTGATTGTGCAATGCTACCAACGCACGTATGGCGATGCTTTCTTGAAAACGAAATACCTAATATACCTTAGGTTAGGTTAGGTAGGTATTTTACTATGTATGTTGGGTATGGTTAATGTGAATCGGCACGGTTGCAAGGATGTCTTGTTGACATATTTTACAACAGGAAAGTGTCGCTATACCTAGGCGTAATGCAATGCTCAGATGGTATGTTCCACGGTATTGGATCGATCCTACGCGATCGACGTTGTAGTCTGAAGCTATGATCGGTAACCGACGTTGGTATGTACAGAAGACCGAGGACGAACGGGTTCACATGCTACCGGGATATACCGGGATAAACCGGGAGTATGGAATAAGGATGCTTAGGTAGTCCTAACTTAACGCAAGGGTTTCTCGAACTTTGAACTTTGGGATGACGACGTTAGAATCTGGGGTATGCGGGGTAAAGAGTTGTAAAACAAAGACTACTTGCATTAGGTACCTGATCGTGGAACTGCAAGATGCACTTGGACTTATTCTTAAAAGAGACGCTGTATAAAATTGCACGGCCTGAAAGTATGCTACGGATTTATTAAATATATGACATGATTGTGTAACCTTAACTACCTGTAGGCTGTAAAGAACATTAAATAAGCGTAAGGTACGTACCTTCGGAGTTTTCTTATCTGATCTCAGCAACTTTACATAGTAGGTAACTTTTAAGGCAGCCATCCTGCCAACCCTGCTGGTTAACTCCGATTAAACTTGGTCCGAGCTTCCCGTGGGTCTTCCCAAAGTCTGCAGCCGTGGGGGCTTTGGGGAAAGTCCGGTCTTCGGGTATCGAATGATCTCAACAATTGGTGGGAACTCTGTGTGACAAGGTTTTTAATGAGTTTCTAAGCAAATCTCGTTGGTCGATCCTTCTCTTTTACATTTCCATAGTACGGAATCCGTTCCCTCGCTGCAACGCGCAGTCGCATCTGCCCATCTTATACTCTACCTAGGTACCTGTATACCTATATATACTATACACCTGTACCTACCTACCTAAGGTGACTATATCCTTTATCACTTTGATCTTTTTCATCTTCGCCCAATCACCTAATAATCATAACCGTTATAATTTTTTATGCTCTTTTAACATGATGGACTACTCTTAATCTGCGTCGTCTCTCTCTCTCCTCTTACCTAGATTCTTCCGCGGTCGCTGAGTGTCGCTTAAGGCCGTCGTAGTCTCGAAGCCCGATCTTAGATCTTCTGCGTTACACTACGTCGTTTCGCGACGCCCGAATCTCCCCGCAACAACATACTTCGGCCGATATCCTCGCCCGATCGCATCCGAGAAAAAAAAAAACCCCTCTCCCACATATTCCCTTCGTACTATGCGCCTCCGCCGGGCTGCCCGCGTTATCCTCATAGGAGCACCTGGAGTAGGGAAAGGCACACAGTCCAAGCGACTTCTCACACGCTTTCCCCAGCTATCAGCCATCTCCTCTGGAGATCTCCTTCGCCACAATGTTAAAACCCGGACTCCTCTCGGTATTAAGGTCGAGAATACGATGAAGACCGGTGGCTTGGTTTCCGACGACTTGATATTACGCTTAATCACAAACGAGCTGGGCCGTCGTGGTTGGCTCTATGGCGGACGACCGAATTTTATGACCCTTTCGTCGTCGTCCGAGGCGGATACTTTCGGGTCCGCGCTCGAGGCCGATCCTCTTGCGGGGGCAAGCTTATCTCCGCAAGCATCCGAAGACCCCGCTGCTTCGTTTCTACTAGACGGCTTTCCTCGTACCGCCGCGCAAGCCCAGCGATTAGATGATATCGTACCCGTTAACTGGGTCGTCTCCTTACAGACCCCCTTCGATGTTATAATGGAGCGAATATCATCTCGCTGGGTTCATGAGCCGTCTGGCCGTGTCTATAATACCGCATTCAATGCGCCAAAGGTACCGGGCTTTGACGACGTGACGGGGGAACCGTTAGTACAACGAGCCGACGATACCGAGGAAGTGTACAGGGCGCGGTTCCAGAAGTTCCAGGAGACGAGCCAACCATTACTCGAACACTACGCCAAGAAGGGCGTTCTATGGGAGGTTCACGGTATGAGCAGCGATGAGATTAGCCCTAAACTCTATCAAGAGTTTGAAAATCGCTTTTTATGAACGTGTCGGAACACTTTCTGACCAGGGATGGGACGTGTAGGACTGGGGAAACGAATCAAGGTTGTGTATGATGGGATTTTTACATGGGCAACGAATTAAGCTCAGCTGGAGTTCAGGCGGGGGGTGGACAACGTGAGCGGATGGGTGACCAACGCGCTCTACCTTTGCGTACGCACTACGGTGGAATCTAGGGCTATGGGGATGACTTGAATACTATTATAGGAAAGCGCTCTGGAATAAATTTACGGCTCACAAGTCGATTCGCAGATGATATTGTCTAGATGTTGATGCGATCTACCAACTGACAAAGAATCAACGCCGGAGTACTCCGGCGTGGATGTGATTTATGTTCATAAAGTCGCGTGCTTTGCTTTGCTACCTAGGTACTTGATATCTAAGTCTTAAAATTTGCAGCCATATAAGTAAGATCAAGACATTAAAAGAGAGCGATTCCAATCGTCCTATTATATCCTTGTTACATTAATTATTTTTACAACTTGAAGCCAGCAATGCTTCGGTCCAGGTTAATACAAGGTAGATAGGTAGCTCCAATATGACACATCCTAGCCTGTCAAGTTCGATCTGACATCGTGGCACTTATAAGGGCCCACGCCGGTAACCTCCTGAATGATCGCGACCATGGGGCTCCTGCAGCAATGGGTCTTGAAGTCGGCAATCAGGCCCTTGTCGTTGAACGTGACGACGACGGCCTCCCAGAACGGGTCGACGGTCCTGTCGAGGCAGTCGTAGCGGTTGCTCATCTCGACGGAGATCTTGTAGTGCCCGCTGTCGAACCGGCCGACGACGCGGCGCTCCTCGATGCGCATGTTCCTCACGAGGTCCTTGACCCCCTGGATCACGCCCTTCCGCCCCAGGCTCGGCTCCCCCAGCTCCCGCATGCTGATCAGCCACGCGCGGCAGTCCTCGTCGAAGAAGTCGGCGAACTCCTCGAAGTCGGCGTCCGGCGAGGAGAGCGTTAGACCCGACCACACGTCGTAGAGGGCGTCGAGCTTGGCGTGTAGGGAGGCGGCTGTAGACATGCTGGGAATAGGGGTAGGTTAGGTACCTAAGGTAGTAGGGAAATTAGGCTTGATATATATTCTGTCTTGTAGAACGCGAATCTACCTGTATTGTATTATATAGGTACTTAGGTACTTTTCGTCTCCGTAAATGATTTGGACGTAGGTCGTCGCTAGGTGGAAAGGGGGTATCTGTTATTTATCGTATGCCGTTGTAATTAGTCGGTTTATACTAGACCTAAGGTGACCAGAATTCTTCACCTACATCAGGTACATAAATATATGTCATTTTGATTGTTTATATAAGTATTTGGTATATATTCTAATATTTATGTTGACTGACTGTTTTTTGTCTCGCCTATTCGTATTCATCGGCATTTCCGGGGATTGGATCTTTTCTTTTGCCCCTCCCTGCCTCCCTCTTCATCCTCCTTCAAACGCTCTCTCTCTCTTCTCACGCGCGCGCAACAACAAAAGCAAAGCCGCTTACCAATTCCTCACTCAGCGATGATCTTCGGCCGAACAGCTTGTTTCCTAATTGCGGCTGCTGCTGCTTCTTCGTCCGTGCTTGCGGACTGTGGCGTCGTCATTTCAAAGCGTCTTGGTAAGCCGGCGAATCCCGTCATTATCGACACGGACCTCTTCTCCGACGTCGATGACGCGGGCGCCTTGGCTGTCGCCAACGTCCTGCATAACTACGGGCTCGCGGACCTGCGTGGAGTCGCCGTGAACACGTGCTCGAGGTACGGCGCCCTAGCCGCCAGCGCGATCAACACGTATTTTGGCAACGGCGATATCCCCGTCGCGGCTCTCCGCCCGCTGACGAACGACACGTTTTTCGATAGTCGGGATTTCGTGTGAGTCCGACATGATAAATCAGACTGGTAAAGAAAAGAAAAGAAAATGTAAAATTACAGTAAAAATAAAAAAAACATGCGCGGCTGATGGCTTTATGATATGTTTATAGTCTGGGCGAATATACTAGCAAGGTGGCTCGCAACTGGCCTCGTTCGCTGAACGACTCCTCCGCCACGCCGACACCGGTCGAGCTGTACCGTAGAACCTTGTCCGCAGCGGAAGACCACAGCATAACCCTAATTTCCATCGGCTTCCTAACTAACATTGCCGAACTAATGAGCAGTCCTCCCGACACCATCGCATCTTCCACAGGCGCGTCTCTCGTATCGACGAAAGTCAAGGAGCTGGTGGTCATGGGCGGTCGGTACCCTTCCGGTAAGGAATTCAACTTCGCCGGCGACGATCCCTCGGCGACGTATAGTGTTGTGAATACCTGGCCGCGCGACGTCCCCGTTACGTACTCCGGCTTCGAGCTCGGCGCCGACATATTCTCCGGCGAGAAGCTCGCGGACTACGCGCCGCCGGGCTCGCCCGTGCTCGCGGCGTACCAGTGGTACGTGGGGCGATGCCGCACGGCTCGCGAGTCGTGGGACCCCGTCACCACGCTCTACGGGATATTAGGGCTCGACGGGTCCCCCGAGCTAGGGATCGAGCCGCTGTTCGAGTATGCGAACGAGCTCGGGTATAACGAAGTATCGGCAGACGGCTCGAACAGCTGGGTTGACGATGCCGGCGTTTCGAACCAGCACTGGTTGAAGCTTGCGAACGGTGTATCGAATGAGACTGTTGCGGGGCTCTTGACTCGGTTTTTGGCCCATGACCCTTCGGATAGGAGATGTTCTACGTACGGCCGCGAAGCCTTTAAGACCTGATTTACCGTATGGTCACGACCTACCTAGGATTTAAAGACAACGATGATGCGTTTTTCATGAGTCTTACGCAGGAGGCCGTTAGATTTTACTTGGCCAAGTATCAGCGCCAGGCTATCGTACCCTTTTGTCATCCAGAGAATACTCAGAGGACATGAGGATAGAATAAAGCCAACTGTATTTTTCTCCCTTCGTAAAGTCCTTATCAATTCGTTGCCTAATTGGATTTGCCCATCTCTCAAGACAACTCGGTTTCGTATAATGAACACCTAGGTAGTTAGGCAATTCAGCCAACCGGACTGAAAGAAACCTGATACCCGTAGGAACCATATTTTAAGAAACAAACCTCTTCCATTTCGGCATAACCCCCATGGATTCCACTACTTTGCTAGCAACTTCGAGGGCCGACTCCTCTCTAACCCTAACCAGATCCGAATCCGACTCGTCCCTCGGCGATATGATGCAGCATGGCTCCCCGGGCGTGTAAAGACAGTACACGAGTAGATCCAGTATCCAGCCATTCACCCCCGCCTTGAACATCTCTTGTGAGAGCCTGAAGCGCCCTTTTGAGGTGTTATACCGGACGTCCCATGGCCCACCGGTGACCATCTGGAAGGCGTCTAGTAATAGGTTTTGGCTCGTCTGGATCGAGCGCACCTTGAGAAAAAGGTTTGCCGTCTTGACTGGATTTTTCAAAGTCCCCGCGATAGCCTGTCCGATGCCTTCTAGCGTGGTCCCTGTAAATTCCTCGGTGCCCTTGTCGTAGATAATCGCACGGCGATTTCGAACGTCAAATCCCATCAAAATAAATTGTTTTAGTGCCTGGTGATTTCCAATCAGTACCTATCTCACGGTTCAACGACACATAAACCGTGTCCTGGGCGTCCTTACCCAGTCGATTGGAACGCTAGTCGCTATCCTGGTGAAGGTGAATTTTGGATTAATCCGGGCTACGCTCTCCAGGTGCTCAAGAATGGGCTCTCTACCAGTGCCGAGGAACCCGAATGCATGCATACGAAAGTTTTCAGGAGTGAGATTTACACTAGCCGTGCCGAAGGGCGTGAATTCATGCAGACTATTGGAATTAGGTCCCTAACTAAAATCGCCCAGGATGAAGCGTTTCGCACCCGCGACTACGGCGGCGTCGATTATCATGTTGTGCGTCGAAACGTCGACCAGACCAAGGATCGTGACTACCGCGTCCGCACCTCGTAGCAGCGGCATCAGTCTATCAAACGTGTACTGCGTCCTGATATGTGGGATGCCCGACGGGAATGTCGTCGTAGAATCGAGCCGGGCATGGATGAGCACGTGGAAGCCAGCTTGTACGAGCGCGGTTGCGATGGAAGTGGAGAAGCTGCCTATCGCCTAGTAGTCGTTAACAAGTTGGAGTCTCTTGCATTGGCGATATCTGAAGCAAAGGGACTCTAGCTGCCAACTGCATGTTGCTAGGTAGTACTTACACCAAATACGACAACATTTCGGATATTTGACATCATGTAGGCTTGTGAGGAAATTCTTAACTAAAGCTTTTTTTTATTCTATTAGGTACAATAGTGTATTTTTAAACTGCCTTTAAGCTGAAGCGGCGAATATTGATTACTGACGAAGATTGAAGAACTACAAAGCTAATGAGTATACCAGGTACTACTAAAGGTATAGGAAGATCTTGAGACGTGAGTTACCTAAGGCGAGACCAAAGGGAAAGAAAGCGTAATATTCAGGTGATATACTCTTTCCGGACATTAAGGCTCGGAATTACCTATAGGAACGTATCAACCTTCACGCATAAGAAAGCGGGATGCGGCTTAGGGGAGAGGCGATATCTTAGACCTCGAGAAGAGCTTTCCTTACTTGGAAACACGACTAAGAGGAGGAAGTTCAAAGCACAATTTCGTACCTTGAAAGTCTTAACTTATGTATCGACCTAGGTAGGTACTTAAAAAGCGACAAGATAGCTGGAAAAGGAACATATTGTTGTTGTTGTAATGCACCTTAAACTCGCATTTCTCACTGAAGAAGTAGTCACTAAAGAAGCTACTAAGACAGCGTAGGACTGAGGACTGAGACTATTAAGTTTAACTGAGCACTTCGTGCCCTGTTACTTGAATAGAAATAGCCAAAGCTAACTAAAATAATTGATGCAAATACTTTAGAACGAAGTATTCTCGGGGCTGTTTGGAACTGAAGATGGGGTTAATTTGATGTTGTATTAGGGAAACGTTTTCTAGTAGTGGGCCTAGCCCTGCAAAACTCAGTACATGCCTGTATTGTACCTAGAAATACCCCTACAGAACCTTAGTCAATCCGTACCTGACTAAGAGATGAATAAAATTCAATCTAGTACTGATCGAGTTAGGTCAATGTACCCCGGACAATGTGCCCGGACTCAGCTGACATTTTAGCAGCAAATAATTTCCACTACCCAGAAATTGAATCCACTGAATCCCCAATCTTCAATCTCCATCTCATTCAGCTCTTTTTACAGCCTCGATCTTGATTTTTCTTTTTTTTTGAAGGGCAAATGCGACGGCGGCTTTAACGCTCACCTCGTTTCATCGAAGCGTAGCATTGCTTTAGTCGAGTTGCATAGATTTGAAAGATATATCTCTTATTTCGATCTCGGTTCCGCGGCGCCATTTGCAATTAATTCTTGCGCGCATCGTTCCACGTTTTTGTATCCATATTGATGTCTGAATAACTCCGGACTTTCACTAAATAGTCGATAACACCAATGGCCATGGTTTGAATTTCGCTTACCATCCTTAACAGTTCCCTATTCTTATTTTCCCATTGCTCCTTCAGTTGGGCACCTGTAGTCAAGATGACTCTATCGTTCATTACCGTCAAATTACTTTTCGCTGTCCTATTCGTCGGTGATGCCACCTACGGTTTATCCAGCCCTAGCGCGCGGGAGTCGTCATCGATAGAGGAATGTCCGGTCTTCTTTGATACAGATAAGCGATGCGATCCTATCGCGTCTATAAGCTTCTTCCCGCCTCTATTGGCGCGGTTTGACAAGGAGAAGTCACCTCATTCCCCAGATTTAAACGTCCTGGCCGATCTTCTCGATGCGATGCACGTTATGCAGACGGAATATTTCGCGCCGTGGCTCGGCACCTGGCCCGATTCCATCGACTGGACCGCCGCCGTTATGGGTACACACATCTCGGGGGCCGTGCGTAGTCTTTCCGAAGCCTTAGTGCACATCAACTCGGACAAGGAAAACGCCATAGACGTGAAGTTGGAGTTAAATCTGGTTGACAGATACTTCACTCAACTTACGGCATATTACTTCGGCCAAGACGCTTTTGCGATTCGAAATGAGGCATACGACGATATCCTCTGGGTGGTTCTCGGCTGGCTCGAGACCATTCAGCTGGTAAACATGCATAGCGATCTTCATTTTAAGTCAAACGAAGAAGACGGAGGTGCCGCGCCCGAAATGAAGAACATTCGAGGGATTAATGACTACTTTGCAAATCAGCCTTATCATGGAAACATTTGGGTTCCTGCCTTTGCTCATCGTGCGCGCATCTTCTGGGATCTAGCATTAAACGGGTGGGACACAAAGCTGTGTGGTGGCGGCATGGTCTGGAACCCTCGTCTTTTGCCATACAAAAATGCTATTACCAATGAGCTATTTATCGCGGCTTCGATATCCATGTATCTATACTTCCCCGGAGACGATAACACGTCGCCATTCTCTAACGCTGGGACTCCTCAGGGGCCACCTCATACGCGTAACGGGCCGAGAGATGCGAAATACCTGAAAGCTGCCGTAGAGGGCTATAAATGGCTTGTCAATTCTAACATGACTGACCGCCGAGGCCTTTACACAGACGGTTTTCACATCAAGGGATATACCGACGTGGGGAATAACAACACGAAGTGCGATGAACGGAATGATATGGTTCTCTCATATAATCAAGGTGTCTTACTCACTGGTCTGCGCGGACTCTGGGAAGCCACCGGCGCCCCATCATTCCTCTCGGATGGGCACAAGCTGATCCAGAATGTGATCAAGGCAACTGGTTATAGCCTTGCATGGGACGCGCCTCTCCAAACCCTCATGAGGCTGTATCCCGGGGAGCTTCCAAAATGGTATGGCTTGGGCCGGCTGGGCGTTATGGAAGATCCGTGCGATGCGAGCGGGACTTGCAGCCAGGATGGCCAGACATTCAAAGGTATTTTCTTCCACCATCTGACGGCCTTCTGTGCGCCTCTGACCGCGCCCGATACCAACGTCGACAAGCGCGCCTTCGACATGGTGAAAGAAGCCCACAGCAGAGCCTGTTCGTTCTACGGAGGCTGGCTGAAGCACAACGCGCAGGCGGCTTTGCTAACCCGTGACGAGCACGGCAAGTTTGGGCAATGGTGGACCGCCGGGCTGCTCCTGCGTCACTGGGCTGGCCCGTGGCCTACTATGGCGAACGATGGGGTGCCTCATAAGAGGGGCGTCGACTATCGTAACTACGGCGTGCCCAATGACACCACCTGGAGAGCTCCACCTCCTAGTAAAGACAAGCCCGGCGTCCACCTGCCGGTTGAGAGGCCCTTCGTAAATCTAGACCAAGCGCAGAAACCATTGCGCGGCTCTAGGGAGGAGAAACGCCAGACGCAAGACGCTAGCTCGAAGGACCCGAACACGCGCGGCCGCGGGAGAACCGTCGAGACCCAAGGTGGTGGACTAGCACTTCTTCGAGCGTATTGGAATATCGCGCATACACCTTAGCGAGGCGAGAAAGTCAGCGTAGTAGTAGCAGTAGTAGTCAGCGCAGCATCTCTTTTTTTTTTTTTCATTAGTTGGATTAGTCAGATAGATAGATAGAAGGGGGTGGTGGGATCGTCAGCTTATTATTGGCATTTAGTAGGATATATAGTATAGTCGGAACTATGTATGGGCAAACTACAAACGAGTCAGCAAGCTGGATAAAGTCTCCATGTATTGAACTACATTACAGGTATACGCGAATATAGGTGCCGTTGAGGGTGGATGATGGATAGAGTTAAGACGCCGTGTTAGGAGGTAAGTAAGTGCCTAGAGGTAGGTAGGGTTAAGCGTAAGTTATATACATGCGTTGGTCTTTCGCTATTGGTGGATGATATACGTTGGACTAGATGGGATACCTACCTAGGTATATATAGTGGCATCTATACACTGTTTCCTCGAATATACATATACATCTACAGGCTCATTGACTCTAGGTAGGTAGTATTCGAACTAGTGGTTGGATACTATTATAGACAGCGACGGCGTATCTACGTCTATAGTGCAAGGTACGCTTTTGTCTAATGGAATAGCTTCTTCTATATTACTATAGGTATACCTTAGGTACCTGGTAACCTAACATTAGCTCTGTACTATGGTGATTTTCTTAACTCACAATCTCACAAAATAACGTCCCTTTGCAACAGGGACAAGCCCTTTTACTTCAGGTACCTTAGCTAGGTAACCTGCTCCCCGTATACTAGTGATTTTATGTAGTATACCTGTTAAGCCATTAGAAACAAATCCTGTACGTGAACAAAAACGCACCGCACAATCATTGAATTTAGGTACTCTTCTCCTCAAACCAGTCCCACCGAAGTGGTTGGTCGATATCTCTTTACTTCCGCTCGCCTGTTGCTATACAATGGTTCTTTACATACATGTTATACCTCAGTTATACTGTTATCTAATTGACCTAGCCTAGCCTAGCCCTAGTAGTTTTGGTTGGCTTACCCTGCCTGCGCCTGGCCTGGCCTGGTCTGATTCCATCTCACACAACATCTCGTCTCTTCGTCCCTTGCCCAATGCAAGATGGGAAGGGAAATGTGACAAACAGGGCTATGAGAACCAAAAGGGCGAGCCTGCTAGCAGTATCTTTAAACAACGACGGCAATAACAACAACAATGACGAATATCCTTCCCAACAACAATCCCGTGACATGAACAAAACCATGACTCCAGATTTGCGCGTACGCCTCCGTCCGTGATTCCCGTTATGTAAAACAGTACAATTAGGTAGTTGACACATTTCTCTCTCCATTTAATCCTCCTCCTCCTCCTCTTCCTCCTCGTGGCCATTCGAATGTCAGGTAGGTACAGGTAAAGTTAGGCCCTTAAGAAGCCCCCTTCCCGCATTCAGCCTATAGCTCACGTCTCCCGCCATTCGCTTCCGTTCGTAACTCCATTCGCACTCTTACTCGGCTCCGAGTGCGACGGCGCAGCAGCCGGCTCCGGTAGCCCCTCATCATCGTCGTCATCTTCTTCAAGGACCCGAGCAAGCTCGTCGGGATCCCTCATCCTGGCATCCGGGTCCACAGCCGCGTCGCTGAAGTCGTCGTTGCTGCTGCTACTGCCGCGATTCCGCTGCTGCTCGTGCTCGTGAACACCCTCGTCGGCACTAATCGAGATACCCCTGGAACCCCACCTCGACCTACGCTGCTGCTGCTGCTGACCATTGCCGCCGCCGCCGCCGAGAGCCGGGGCGCTCTCCTCGTCGTCCGTCTCGGCGGCCTGGAAGCGCTTGTTCCCGAAGATGCGAGCGAGCAGCCAACCGCGGCGGATGTCGTCCGAGTCGACGATGCCGCCGGCGCGGAGCTTGACGCGCTGGCGGGTATAGTAGACCCAGAAGAAGTCGACGTACAAGGCGGTCTGGATGACGCCGAAGATGACGGACACGGCGTTGGGCTTGCGGTCGTTGACGTCGAGCTCCCGCCAGATCCAGTTGAGGATGTACAGGGCCCGGTACGAACCCAGCGTCAGCAGGTAGAAGGAGTCGATGACGGTCGGCACGTTGGTCTGTCGGAGGAGGAGGAGCTGCGGGAGCACGCATACGGACTCGAGGATTAGGGAGAAGTCGTACATCCACTGCGTATATTGCGCGCGCGCGCGTGCGTTAGCTTTTAACTCCAGCGCTGGGTGAAGGGAATAGGTATAGGGGGGAAAGGTGGAAAACAGGAGGACTAACCGTGAAGAAACCCCAGCGCCTCTCGAAGATCAGCATGACGAAGGGGGATATGAACAGGGAGCCCATGAGGACGACGGCGCCGAGCTTCCAGGAGATCTCGCGCTCCCTGGTGCGCGGGAACAACCAGCGCATGATGGCGATGATGTAGAAGGAGGAGAGGATGTAGAAGAGCTTGAAGAAGTAGTTCCAGGTGGACGTCTCGCTGAAGAAGTCCGTGTACCTCGTGCAGAAGACGACGGCGTAGAAGGCTTGGGTGATCATGGAGACGCCTGGTCCGGTAGGGGATTGTATTAGCTGACTGTCATTAAAGCTCCGGGATAGAGAGTGGGGGGGACTTTGCTTGGAGGGGAGGGAGGAGGGGGGAAGGGGGGAAGGGGGGAAGGGGGGTTATACTATACCTTCAGCGCTCCTGTTTCGATGGATGGAGAATATGAGGATACATTTGGAGAGGAGATGGGAGCAGTCTCCCAGTATTCGGAAGATCTAAGAGATTAGTTGATCGTTGTTAGTATAATTCTTAAGAGTATATATATAGGGGAAGTAAATATAGAGACTAACATTCCAAGCAGCCATTTTGACTAGTGGCTCCTCCTGGAGCTATAGCCAGCTCTCTTGGTGATAGGTGGGTGGGTGGATAGTTGGATGGTTGAAGGTGAACCTATTCTCTGGCGGCTCTGATTTTGCAAGTCAGAGCCGCAGAAGCAGGTTGTATGTACAAGGAGTTGAGATGATAAAATCCGTGGGAAATTCTCACAGAGACTTCCGACGAATTTACCTCACGAGGGAGAGATAAAAAAAAAGAAAAGAAAAAAAAGAGAAAGAAAGGTGGTCTTATTATGTTAGGTACCTGTTTTAATAAACTGTAAGCTGATTACAGATTACAGGAGAGGTTGTCGCGAAAAAGGTGTGATGCAAGTTGCACGGCGATGACGGCCATTTGCCATTACGTGTATCCTAGAAGTGGATCCCAACTTGTTACACCGATGCCACCATAATAAGGTTAGCACCATTTACCTTAGGTACGGACCAGGGGCACTGGTATACCTATGATGTACATAGTACATACATGTACGGTTTATGATGGATCAATATCTATGTGGTTGTGGCTGGTGTTTTCAAGTTAGTACATGTAGCCACGATCTATGTGCTTTTATTCTTATCCCTAAACGCCACACAACACCAAAACCAACTACATCTCATCACCGTCGAAGTTGAGGCACCTTATGTATTATTATTATTATCATCATCATTGGCACTCAATAAAAGTTTGCGATCAGAATTCATCGTATGGAATTTCATAACTAACCCTACGAACGGGTACCTTGATAATAAGAAAGAAAAAAACGACACGAGGTCCATTTGACTAAATATATAGCATATGGATTCATTAAGTGCCCAGTAGAAACGGACTATTAGAGAAATGAACGAACGTTGCAACAATCTTTTTACTCCTTCTCATCCTTCTCGTCCTCCTCGTAAAACACGAATCGTAAAATCATAGCGGCGAAATCATAGCCTTGTAGGCTTGCGAATCGACCGTGGTCGTAATGCAAATGCAAAGCAAGAAAGCTGCAAATGTTGGGTATATCCCCTTCCTTGCCCTAAGTGGCAACGAATCCTCGGTATGTCCGAGGACTCTTCTCCATCTCTCCCTCTCTCCCTCTCTCCTTCTCCTCGTCCCTATCACCCTCGAGACCCTATCGTCTCCTATCTCCTTCTCTTCCTTTACCCTATAGGCCTAGGGCCGGATGGTCGACCTTGATGACGCCAAAGAGGTTGCGGTCGTAGTAGACCTCGAGCTTGCCTGTGGCCGCGTTGAAGCGGACCTCGGTGCGGCCGTCGTCCTTGAACAACATGGCGAATCGCTCCGCCTTCCGCACGTGCCTTCGCTTTAGGCTCGCTGACATCTCCTCAGACGCCGTGATCTCACCGACGGTCTTCTCATCGTAGGTGATAAGACCGAACATGATTTTACGAACGGGTCTGTAGGATATGATCTTTGTACGGCCATCTTGCTGGAAGAGATGGCCCGGGAGAGCGGTCATGGACGCGTTGGCGCCAGGTGCATTGGCAGCCGGTGCGTTTGCAACCGGCGCGTTGCCAAGAGGCACGTCGGCAGGAGCCACAGGAGCCACAGGAGCCACAGGAGCCACAGGAGCCACAGAAGCCACAGGAGCCATGGGAGCCATAGGAGCCACAGGAGCCGCAGGAGCGTCGGCGGCGGCGTTTCCGGCGGCAGCATTGGCGGGAGGTGCGACCACAAGCGCCGCAACGCTGTTGTTGATACCCGGTGCGTTGGCCCCAGCCCTAACCGGGGGGGCATCCGGGATATCCACGGGAGGGTCTCGCGAGCTTCGCAGCGGGTCGTGGACCTGGAAGATCCGCGAAGGCGGACTCTCGTAATTGTCGTAGGCAGGGAGAGGGTTCGGCAGGTGGTCGATCTCGATATCGCCGACGTAGACGCTGTCGAAGCGGACGCGAATTCGTCGGAACCAGAAGTAAGGCACCAGCGAGGTGCGATCGTGGATGCCGCTCATGATGTAGTGGATGATCATGTCCACGTTGAAGCCGCGGATCTGCGGCAATTCTTCCTGGAAGAAGTTGGCTACGCCGACATGTTGTCCATCGAAATGGACAACCCGAGAGTATCTGTTCGGGCCATTTTGCAGTAGCTTGGTTCGGCCGTCGCAAAACAGATGCGGGTACAATTGCTGCATTTCATTCGCCATTTCTATTTCGGCCATGGTGTGAATCTGAGGATTTTTGAGGGTATCATAAACTCTTTGAAATGTTGTACCAAGACCAGGCGGATGCGAAACAGAGAAATTAGGTTGCTCTTGAAGTTGTAGTTGCAGTGTAAGGTGAAATTTTTCTGCGCTGGTAGATTGAACTGAACTTTGGCTGCCTGTAGGGTCCGCATTAATTCCGGATGCACTGTTTGACTCAGTCCTGGAACCTCCCAAAAAGCTCTGCCTAGTAACCAGTCGTCGCCTAGTTCGCACCCGTCGGCCAGGTTGGCCACTCCCTGACGCATGGGACCCAACCTGCGTACCATTGCTGCTGCTGCTAGCAGGACCTGCACTAGTAATGGGTTGTTGGTTGGCATTAGAACCCTCAGCATTAAAGCCTTCCGAGGCCTCTGGACGTTCACGACCATCATCATCCCCCTCTTCATAAATAGCACTCAGGCACAACTTGAGCTTGAAATCAAGCCCTTTATCGCGTAGAACCCACAACCCTGGTTCGCGGAGTTCGAAAACTCCATATCGCGTCTGAAGACGATTATTACTCTGAGCCTGATTTTGACCTGACCCTTCTGCGGAAGATTCCATCGGGAGTTCGCGATCTTCAAATAAGTCATCCAAGTTTGTTCTCTGTCTCTTGGAGGCGCGGGGGTCGCTTATCGATGGAGCCAAATGGACAGGCCGGCCAGACTGCTCAAGCTGACGAGACGAAGTTGCCAAGGCCAAGGGCTGGTTGTTTCGTCCACTCGCCCCCTTATATATTTCTAGCCAGGCCCCTAATGACACATCAAATGGCGTTGTAGTTCCGAGAAGACTAGTCCATTTCGACCAATCTATTAGAGGGGTTTGGTGAAGAGTAAACGGCAGTAAACAGCTCACTGGTGGCTCGAAATCAGTATATGAACACCAGTCCACCTTAGCTCTCGCTTTCCAGCCCTCTTCCATATACTTTCGGAACACAGGCCAGCGAGGAGGCTGCGCGTTCGGGAAACCCCTGTTGGGCGCTTCATGTTCCCAGAAGCTAGTTTTACCATCCCATCGTAGTTTGAGCCAATCCAAGACCGCCTAAGCCTCGACTGGTCTACAGTTTCTGATGAACGTGTGCACCTTTTCACGTAGTAATGTTTCGCGATGATGACAAGTGCTGCATGGCTTGGTAATGAACCCCGTAGCAAGGCGCAGTGAAATAGCCTCTCTTCCTTGGCCCAACCAGGTCCACTTCCACAGAGTTGAATTGAACTCCATCTCCACGTCTTTGATGCCGAACTTAGGTCTCTCCAAGGAAAGCCCAGTGATCTCTTCGGAAATGAACGAGGGTGTTCCGCACAGATAGCAGTAAGGAATCCGGAGAGTCAGGACTCGTTGAGACTCTTCGCTTAGCCGAGCTGACCAACTGTTGTCTATTACCATCTCCTTCGAAACTGTTGTTGAGGTACCGTTTCTGTCGACCTTTTCTTTGTTCATCTTTGGGCCCTCGACTCTCGTCGGGGCATCTTGCAGATGCCTGGAGGCGCAATGATCACAGAATTGCGAAATCATACGAGACGATTCGGCCGGCGGCCAAAAAAGGGTTGGGCAATGAATACGGACGGAGGGCTCGGCTAGAGATTGTCGAGAGTGCTCATGGTTCATCTTACTCTGGACTATATCGTTGCAAGGTAGAAAACCATGTTGGGCGACCTCTGAACACTCAGGGCAACGGAATGCTGTGATCTTACACATCGTGCCTGAACACAGCACGTAAAGCTAGCTGTGCTATCAAAGAGTATACTATTGATGATGTAATAGTCAGTATCTTTACAATATTGATAACACATGAGCTTTTATCAAGCCTTACCTAGTGGGACTCGATGATAGACCTATAGGATGAGTAGGTAGTAATGATACAAGTACCTATGTATCAGAAGCTTCTTGAGATGACTGTTATCAAAAGCCTTGATTACCGAAGAGGCCGAATAAGACTATCTAGTATTAGAGAGAGGTCAGTTGAACATATCACATATCACATATCACATAACATAACCCAATAGGTAGTAAAAGCAACGGTCACTCAAGTTGGGAATAGGGTTTGCCCTGCGAAAGGAATTTGGAAATCATCATACCTAGGTAAGATAGTGAATGAGAGAGTGATGGATGACTGGCAAAGGCCTGTCTAGGGAAAGATCAACGATATGAAGGCTTGATAGAGACCGAGAGTGTAATATCAGGTAGCGTAAGGGTCACTTTCGCGATAGAAGACTCGTCGGAACACCAGAGATATTGAAGATGTAAGGTAAACAGTGCAGTAAGTGCATTCAGGGATGTAAGAAATGAAGTGGGATGGGTAGAGGAAATTTTTAAAAAGTTACCTTTTGTGCGATGGCAGATTTAAATACACAACGCTTGGGAAGTGTGGGCTAAGTTGCTCCTGTCAGTTGCTCCGTAATGTTTTCCGGCAGGGCACAGCAATGGCAAGGGGGACGTACCTAACTCCTAGTCGGCGGCGAGTACGCTGCGACCGATGATGATAGGTCTCCGATGCAAGTGGGAGATCGCTAGGAGGTCCAGGGCACTCTTCACGTACCTAGAGACCTGATGGGAGGAGGTAAACACTTACGTCTGAGAACTGGCAGATCAGTAGAGATGCGCGTATGTTTTGAGGCTGCTTGAGATGGTAGTTGTATCAGGAACTTTTCCCAATTTCAAGAAACTATCTGAGTGGGAACAAGATGGTGGGGGAGGTGGTAGCATGGGTGGTTTCTGTTTGGTTTATGTTTTAGAAGTGGCAGCTGGACCTGCTTGTACATGGAGGGCAATGTCCTAGTATGGTACTCCTTCCTGCTGTTTTGGGGATGGTATGGATAAAAAGAATGTTCCGGAATGAGTTAGTTTGAGATAACATCGTCTGGTTGGTTTCGTATAGTCGTTATGTTGTTGTATAGGCGTCCTATGGGCGTTCTATAGGCTGAATGCTGTGGCTTTTTATAGAGTTGCCGAGGCGTCTTATAGTTGTTCCATAGGCATTCTACAGAGGCTCTTAATAGTGTCGCCGGTAAAATCTTTATAGTCTAGTAAGAGACTGAGCCTGGTGAATATAGAGTTGCGGTGGCGCCGTATAGGCTAAGTATAAAAACTCTTATAATGCCGTCGTCAGAAAGTCTTATAGTGTTACCAACAGAAGCCCCTATAGTTGCACTGACGGAAGCCCTTATAGTTGAATAAGGCTACATGATATCTTGAGTTATGTATCTACTTGACTTATTTCTGGCATAAAAGGTTTTCATGAAGCATTTATGCGCGTAGGAAAATTATCTATGTGATTACAAGTTGTTTTGTTAAAAGGGGGTACTGGAGTGATCAAAAGCGGACAGTCAAGCTAGAAATAACCTCCATAATTACACGCGGAAAGATAGTCAGGAAGTAGGACAGCCAGTGTCACAAAGGTAGACGAGGAAATCACGTAAAAGGGAAAAAGACCAACAAAGAAATTCACTCTGCAATTGCCCTAGGTACCTTATATCCCTACAACACATGTGATTTCATGACAGTTTCGCAATTTTATTGCATCTTTTACACAGTTGTCTCCCTAATAGAGCCGTTTCATATGGTACCTGTCTACCTTTACATATAACCTCGAATTGCACGCCAGAAATTAATAGAACAGGAATTTCCTGTGATATCAAATACATGCATTGTATCTAGGCATTATTTGCCGTTGTTACATTTGAAGATGGTTTCTTCAATTTCGTCAAATACAAGCTTAGCACTAACATGGACACCCAATGCACAAGCTATATCCAAATCAACCACATTTGTCAAACAGTCTCTCATATGTTTCTGTTCTATTGCATTAAATTCAAAATACGTCCGCATTTCTCCAGCTATTGTAGGATTCCCCAGTACAACTATCGGCAATGTCTTTGGAGCTAATACTGAATATAATATTGCCATATCTGGAGGCGTTATACTCGCCAGTGGTAACATAGCCCAAGCATGAACAAGCACATAATCAATACTTCTTTTACAATACCACTGGAACGCCCAAGACATTTAGGCTTGCCACTACTTTCGAGCTGTCATGATGTGGGGTGCAATAGCATGGAAACAACTTCGATGCTCTGCAAGTATTTAATTCTAAGTTAGCTATGGGAGACTGTAGCCATACCCTTGGGACATACTACACCTGTCCTTTGTTCTAGATGTCTTATATAGATTCACGACACATGCTACACTGATCAGAGGTTCAGAATTTTGTCAAAATAACGTACTACTCTTTTAACCAAGTACCTAAGGTATGTATTATGTCAGTGTACCCCATAACCAAGTTAATGCCGTCCTTTTTTCCAAACAAGTGATGTGATCGTCGGAAGGATGGCAGAAAAGCATAGGAGACTGGCTCAAACCCTTCTGTTTTAAAAGAGGACGAAAGACAGTAGCGATGCGTGCCGTTATTCTAGTATCTGCAAGGTATGATCACTGAGCTAGGGATATGTATTTGTAAAGTTGTATGTCGGGCAAGTTGATTATCATATCATGCATGTTAGACTTCATGTCAGCTTTTCGAAGGTATGAGTGAGTCTCGTGTTCTATGAGACTGCCTTGGAATCTATGCCTAAAGGTATACTGTCGCATTTACGTCGTGCTTAAACCTAAGGGGAATATAAAAGGAGCTATACCGGATAAGAAGAAAAGGTCATTTGTATAGAGGTTCGGCCATTTAGTCACTATAGAGCTTTTTAGGAGCTCCCGACGTCGGAACATATAGTATATCAAAGAATCTCAATTACTTGAGGAGACTTGTGGAGATACTTAGTAGTTCGAACCTGTATAGGTACGAGTGAGATGTTCGGCATTTCTTACATCTTACATGTGTTTAGAAATTAGGTATCAGGTAATTACTATAACAGGCACATATGTTTATAGATATTACGAGAAGAAAAGACAAGGAAGGAGGGAAGAACACACACGTGCCGTAGCTACCTAAGCTAGTGAGACCCGCGGGGGCTAGTGCTCAACACAGGAGTGGTCCGCCGCATCCTCGGCCACTCCGGAACAACTTCCGGCTAGCGTTTTTCCGGCCCCACAAGTGCCGGCACGGATCCGCCCGGCCTCAACCCCGGTCCCGTTCTTTGTGGAAGGTAATAATGCCAGGGTAGATAAATCTAAACTAAATGATGCTATCTCCACCTACATAAACCACGTATTTTAGTCTTCGCTTTGGTGTTGGATTCCTCCCTATTATAAAAATAATTAGCCAAAAATAATTAAAAGTGAGGCTATTTACACTTACTATATTCAAGATCGTAATCAACATACGGCGTGCTACTGAAAATAGCCTCTCGCACTAGTAATCACTAAAATCGTGGCTAAGCACGGCTTTACCTTGACCTACTACCGCACACTTAGTCCACCCACCACACCAACATCCATATTTTCGAGCCTCATGGTGGGTTTGGTGGGTTTACTATGTACGTGCACGGACGCGGTGGATTATGGTGTGGTGGCGTACTATTTTGCTATGGATAGAAGCATACTAGTAGGTATCTTCACCGTCCTCATCGCTATCCGAACCACCGTCATACTTGATTTGAGATGAAAACCGGCGGACATCGCGGGAATGGGCAATTTCCACCACCTTAGCTGGAGCGGATGTTAGGGCGTACGTGTTGACTATGATCTTGAACGGACCTTCCTTGGCGTCATTAAAAAGCTGGAAAACACCGCCACGAAAGATAGACCAAGCGAAACGGGCAAACAAAGCCTCTCTACTAACACCTCGTAGCCGCTGGGTTTGACGGTTATGGAATACGTGTTGTATCTCATAGTGATTTAAGGGGGACTGCTTAAATGCAAGAGTGGCCAAGCTATATGCGCCTGTCTCATGTCTCTTAGGGAAGAGGATAATCTCGTGTCTCTACTTCCACAACGCGTATACGTCCCTACGGAGGGTTATCGTATTTGACAAACTGTCGATATCCGAAATATCAGGCTGTATAGCCATGCAGTTGGCATTGAACCAAAGCTGTTCTTCAGCAGGAATTATATGGGCGCATTTCAAGGCGGAATGGGATCCCGTTACTCGACAGGTTCTATCACGATATAGAGCCGCATCGCTATCAATGCCCTCTAGCACATAGCCATCGGAGACGGAAGTATCTATGTCTAAGTGCTGCCACGGAGGAAGGATATCGTTACTGGGAAATATCCAATGATCGAAGCTAGCGGTGATAGGATAGTACACTGCATAATAACAGGTAATTAGCCTATGATAAGAAAGGAAACTGGTTACCTTAAGGCTTACAATCGCCATCAAGCTTATAGAGGAAGTATTTCTCTCCTTTTAGGACACCATCTTCAGGAGAAAGAACGGCATGTCGTACATCAGGCTTTTGTGCAAGTGACAAATAGGCGTAGCTTGGTTGGAGCCCATCTTTTCTCTGGCTGTTTCCCTCCCTGATATGCCCTAACGTCTCAAGAGGCCATGCGTTCCCAGCTACCACGCAGCAGGCATACATGGCCAAGTCGTAATCAACGCCTTCACCATAATGGTTGAAAGACAGCAGCGGACCGCATGTCACATAATGAGGATGGTAGATCTGAACAGCACTCTCCCTTGGGGTATAACCAGGAGGTACAGGCGCAGAAGACTGCAATCTGGGACGTATGAGCATGGTAGAGATACTACCGTTGGGACGTGAAGACATGGTAAATATATTACCGTATCTATCGCAAAGTAGTGAAAAAGAGAAGAAGAGATGGAGAACGGGGGGGAAAGATGCATAAAGTTGAAGGTTTCTGTTGTATGCCTGATGTATACCTCTATAATGCCATGCATATACGTTGTTTACTATCATACCTACCTCTGGTATGCTTGTATTAGGAGTCCTGCTGCCTAGTTCTGAGCCCAGCCGTAGCACAAGCTTTGCGAATTGAGGTAAAAGCATTTGAACAAAGGCTAAGCAAAAGCTTAAGTCTGAAAAATTTACGAAGTTTGGCTGGCATCATCTTTGAAGCTGAATTAAAGTTATAACTTTATTGAATTGTAGATTTATTATTATTATTTTTTTTTTTTTTATCTTTTACGAAAAGATGAAATGTCCTGGATGAATGATGAATGGAACTATTCAACTGTAAGACGTACCTAAATAGCAAGATACATCCGTAAAGTGGAGCAGCCAGTTGGTTTTCACCTGGCAAATAAAACCACGGCCAATAAATCAATTTAGATGCGGGGACATTTAAAAGTGCCAAGGTACTTAGGTACTTTAAGCAAACCGACGTCGACTCACGCGGCGCGCATCACGACGCGTCTCGCAACACGCTTTCACCTTACCAAGTATTTGTATAACTTACCTAAACCCCCTACATCGTATGCACTGTAGTATGAAACTGAATTCTATGTAAAAACGATAGTATACAAGGTTCTTTACGTCTGGAAGCAAAATGGCCACCAGTGAGCAAAACCTACAATCTTCACGAAATAGACACTAATACAGGGGTACATCTAGGCCGTGAAGAGCGTATGCAACAGCGCATGCGTGGAGCTGGGTATGTCTCTCTATCTCTCTTTTCTTACTTTGGACTTCGTAATTTTCTCTAATTTCCTAGCACGCATTTAGACGCCACGAAGTTGCCGATGACTCTTTTGGTTTTGTCCTCCCAGGCGTCGAAGCCTCTCCAGCTCCCTCGCCGGCTCCCTCATCTATCCCCCCACCATCGTCTATAGCACGATCAGAGCCTAATACCTCTGCGAAGCGACGTCGACTAAGCCCCAAAACCGACTTACAAAGTTTCCAACCTCCCTCTAGTGCGCTTAGAGCTTCTAGAAGAACATCAGCGCGGCTTAGTGGGGGGTCTGATCCTTATGCCGCTATCGAACAAGAGAGTCCCGAGGGTGCATCAGAACCCTCCGTAGCGCCGAGTCCACCGCTTCAGGAACCTCAGAACGATGCCACCCTGGAATCCATACCCGCTGTTATAGAGCGCCCCGAATCACGCGGATCTGTGGCCTCTCCACCATCCACGGGGCACATAGCAGAAGAAGTTACGGAAAGTCCTGCTGAAGCTCCGGGAAGCGGACACAGACGCTCGGTTAGGGTTCTTCCCGAGAGTGTCACGCGAAGTGCGAAATTGCTAAAAGCCGTGGCGGACGAAGAAGCCGGAGCTACGGTCGAGCTCACTTATTCCTCACCTTTGGCACGGAAGAGCAGGATCAGCGCTGCTACTTTACCCGCTTCTTCAGCCCGATCCACTCGAACAGTAACGAGAGCATTCGGGGGTCTCGCACTCGGTGGTATCGAGGAGCAGTCGCCGGCAGCCCGACCGGCGCGAAGAAGCGATGCTACGGCAAGTACTGGGTCTGCGCGATCCACGCGAAGTCAAACTAGACTGGCCACGCCTAGTATAGTAGACGCATTGTCTTCGTCTCCCCAGGCTGCGGGCACTGCTAGTCCCAAGAAGCCCCAGCCGAGGGTGAGGCCCAAGCCCATAGTTGAGGAGCCCCCTGAAATTCAAGTCCAACCAGCCGAAGAAGAACCTCAAGAGGAAGCTCCGGAGAAAGCAGCTGCTCCGAACGAGGAGGCCGAAGCAATTGACGTTCAAACGGCCGCACGGAAGATTGGCCGAAAACGCCCGCGGGCGAGTCCGCCTCGGGAAGCGTCACCAGAACTACATTCCAGAGTCGAAGATGAACATGAGCGACCAGCGAAGAAAATCAGAAAGAAAAAAGCGCGAGGCAGCCCGGCTGTGCAATCCCACCCTAAGCCTCCGAAGGAGAAGAAGAAGAAAAAAGATAAGCAACCACCAAAGAGACGCAGCGATGGCGGAGCGATTCCCATCATTGTCCAGAGATACACGAAGCGGATGCATCTGAACGAAGATGACACTAATGGTGACATACTCAACGCCGAAATCCCGTTTTCCAACCGCGGCGGCGTCAACGTGATTGATGTGCTGTCGCAAGTATGCGACGAAGTCGTCGAGTCCAGCCTGGAGACGCTCCACGAGGCGGCTGTAAAGGCGAAGGATTCGGCTACGAAAAAGGAGTTCAGGACGAAACTCCGAGCTCTGGAGGCGTTCAAGGAGGAGCTTCGAACACGTCTCTTGGAACACGTGAGTTGCTATATACATCTATCTATCTTTGGGTTTTTTTTTTAAAAAAAAACGCGTGTTCTAGCTAACAGGGTTCTAGACTATTGCCCTCGATACCATGCATGCGCTTAAGAAGCGTGTGCGATCGGTGCAGAAGGACAAGCTTACGCTTCGAACGGAAATAATGCGCATCCGCGCCGAGAGAGAGGAAGTCGCTCTGAAGATGGATGCGGTGAGGATGCGGCATGAGGCAGCAAACAAAGAAACACTGGTACGTCTACGATAGTCGCTTTAACAGAATTGCCAAGATCTACTAACCGTATACCCAGCATCAATTGGAACTCTCCTCCGCGATGGACGACATTGAACTAGCCATCGAGAACGGGAAATCAGCTCCAAGTCTCAACTCGAAGGAAAAGAAAGCAGCCGAGCTTTCGAACCTAGAGCTGTTGATTTCTAGGGTGGCCAGCCAGGTCAGTGGTGGTAGTGACGGCGGTGGAAGTCTCAAACAAATCAAGGACTTCAACGCTTTTCTCGAGCGCACCGCCGCCGCTCTCGAGAGAAGATGATGATCAACATGTATGACTTAACCTGACTGAGCCGACTTCTCTTTATGATTATTTTTTTTACACCTAACCTAGTGTTTGATGACCGTACCAGCCGCACCGACTATCCGTGTTTTTAAGAGATAATTCATACATACTCGAAATACTCAAAGCGGCTTTAAAATAAGAGACCAGTAATGACCTCATGTACGTATATTATACGAGAAAGCTTCCATAGGAGGAAATGCTCGCTGGATGGCGTCAAATAGATACCTCATACATAACACAATTGCACAGCCCTTAGCAGTAACATTGTATCAAGTCATTCTTTTGACAGTATCTCGCGATACCTGGGGATGTCTGAGGCGAGAATTGCACACCGCTAAGGCTACGATGTTTCGACGTCGAGATCTGCACACATATACAGATGATCGACATGACTAATAAATCCTCCCACGTTACTTTCTCGTCTTACTGTCATCGTGGCAGAGTGGATACGCATATATCCATTACCCAACAACTCAAGAACAGGATGATCTTTTTAGGTACAGTAGGAGGTACCTAACTCTTGCGAATAAACAACTGGGTTATTACTTACTTACTAACAAACTCCATGGACTTCGCTCAGCGAAAAGAGAAATATTAAGCCAAGACGGGCGGTTCGCGGGGGAGATAGAGTTATCTCCAATGCCATTCTTCAGCAATTCAGCCTTTAGTCTTGGCATAGCTAATAACAAGCCTGAAGAGCCCCTTGGGATCAAATTTAGAACAGTCTAGATACCAACTGGAAATTGGGTCTTCTTTATTAGCAATACGCCAAGGATCGAAAGCTGCTGACTTTACACTAAGGAAAAGACCCTTGCAGCCCTACTCTTTAAAGCAGGGGGAGGAGAGAAGAACACAAAAAAAAATATTGCGACGCCAAGTCTCGGCAGAAATATTATAGCATGCCCTGATGCGGAGATATTTTTCATATGTCGTGTTTCTGTATCACTTCGATATGAATCAAGCCACAAAGTTTCAGATACGCCTCTTACAATAATCTCAAAATCCTATATGATCAGGTTCCAAAATATGTCAGGATCGTAGCTCACGACCTAGAAGTGCCTAATGTAACGGCACCCGCTCGCGCGGTGAGCGCTGCCTTAAAAAAAGCCCACCAGCCAGCTTGGCAATGGCTTAGCCAGCATATGCCCGTCATGCTTAAACCCAACACCCAAGATTTATTTTATGACATGCGGTGGAGGCGTTGACATGAGGATTGTAAATTAGATAACTATCGTCGTCCTGCTGCTGCTCCGTCAGCTTTCGTCTTTCGTCTTTTATGTTTTGTCCTTCGTTCCATTTTCATCTTACTACACAGTATTCACTTACTAGTCCCATCTTTAACTTACCGCTCCGCGATACTCCACGATAGACGAGGTTGTCCTTAACCATAGACGCCATGGCAAAGCACGATTATCCGTACAAGAAGAGCATTAACTTGACCGCCTGGATCCTGCAATTCTTGGTGTGCTTCGTACTTTTAGGGGCGTCGGCATGGTTATTATGGCTCGCAGACCAGCATGATTATGACGATGTCCTTGGAGAATATCACGGGCTTTTCACGTATGCGATTCCACGATCCTCATCTGGATGGGAGGATAGATGAAATGAGCTGACACTGGATGAACCACTAGTGCCGGCGCTGGCCTCCAAATAGCCATCGCGGGCTCGAATATCGTCATGAATATAATCGAGATCGTCCTGATCGCCAAGAAGCAAATGCCGCCGGCGTTGTTCCTTACGAGCGCTTGCACTAAGACCGCGGTCTGGGGTGTCATCTTCATACTGAACTTGATTTCGGTCTCAATCCTCGCCGTCATCTTAGCCATAATCTTGCTGTACGTACCTACCTATACAAAGCTTACCTCCCAACACACACACACACACACACACACACACACACACACACACGAATTAGCGAAAATCTTCAACAAAAAGGCGGCAAGCGTCGTCACCTAATATAGCCTAAGGCGGATGGATGCCTTCAGAATGCGAAGCTAACGATGAGCGGCGATAGTGCGACATCCCTCCTACAGCTTATCCACGCCGCCATCATCGTCCACCGTAAGCGACGAGGCACCCTAAGAGGCGGTAACTACACCCCCGCCCTCAATCCGTCAGGTCTCGAGGAAGGGATTCACTACCCGCCGGCCGGCAGCACCGAATACAAGTCTCCCGCTGCGTCGTCGCAGCCGCTTCAATACGGATACCCGATGGAGAGCGGATACGCGCCGCAGCAGCAGCCCGTGGGTTCATACGAGCTGGGCAACCGAACCCAACATGTCTAGAAGGGTCGATTGACCATACCGAATTGTATTTATCTGATAGATCGTATATTAAGGATGTATTGTTGTCTATTTCGCAGTATGCTTAGTTGGAAGAGACCGGCTAGGCTCGGCTAGGCTCGGCTTCGGTTGACTGTTTTATGATACCTATGCTGCATATTAATGAAGGCCCGTGTTGGATAGGCTGTACATGGTAGCGTTTATGATTATGGATAGAAGTAAAAGTGCATTAAAATGAGAGTCTCGTATAAATAAGTCCTTATACACCAAGATCTTCAAGGCACAATGATCGCCGTGAATGTAAACATTACCTCTCAAGGTCCACACACGTGGGAACTGTACCACTTATACCCAATTTACATGTCTGTACCTGTAGGTATTGAAGTGTTTTATTTCGAATGTGCATTGTGTGACGTCCTATCACGAATAGTAACGCCGTGAGCTTAATTGATATGTATTAGAAGTTAGAATTGGAGAATAGGAGGTGTTGCCCACCTGAGACGTCCATCTTTTTAAAACTAGAATGAGAAATGGCAATTGATAGCAATTGGGGACTTGAGCTTATCTCTTATTTAAAAACGCTACCTCAATGCTGATTTTATACGGTTTATATCATGAGCAAGATACATGGTACACGCGTACAACAGACCCGTACCTGAGGTATGTAAGTGGTTTTTAGGCCAATTAGAATCTTCTCTAGTACGAAACTAACGTTTAACCCAAGCAACGTACGATAATTTCCGGGTTTGCTTGTGTCACCATTGGTGAATACGTGGGGAACATGTCATAGCCACGATCACGATTTCCGGATGGTAAAACATTTCAATTGACTGAAGTGTGTTGTTACAAGTTACCTACCTAGGTACCTACACCTATTAGCCTACCTCTAAGTATTGTACCTATATCTATTTTATAGGCTATTTTGTTTTATTAGGTAATTTTATGCGACATTAGGTACCTACCGTCTAGACCCTGAAATATGATATATTATATATGAACGTGTACCTATCATACATACCTACCTAGGTAGTAATCCATGTAGTGTACCTATCTTACAGTATCTATCAGATGACGGCGCCTGACCTTAGATAGGTACGAATGCAACCGAACAAGTTAAATATAAACACCGCCTGCATGACTAGTCGTTTTTCTCAGCTGAATAGGGATCAGGGTCGTCAACATATCACGTACCGGAAACAAACCCAAGCTCCTAAGTACCTAAGTTACCCGTTTCGGATGGTTTTTAGTTAGGCATCGTGGGTGGATTGATTGGCTTAGTATGAGCTGCGACCCCGTCCGATTGTGGCTTCATGCAGGTTGGTCGGCTTAGACGGTGCCTTTCTCAACGAGACGCCCGCGCCTACCTAGGTATTACATATGTAGATTAGACCATGTACAATATAATACATACGATATGCGGGTGATTACGACGGGACCCTAACCACCATTACCGCGAGAGTGAATGAGCATGTATCTCTTTCCTATTGATGTGCAAGAGGTCCGGCATCCTTACCGGAACATTCTATGGAGGATCGCCCCAACTGGACTAACTGGACCCAGAATAGGTAACACCATCAAGCTTTTACGGCATACAGGTTTAGGACTAGGCGTCGCGCGCCTTCCATCCAAAGCCAAGTTTCATATGTGCCGTATGCACAAATTCAATAAAATTCAAGGTAAGTTACAGGTTAGATAGTTGCAGTCTGGGGTTCTAGTTTAGGTACCTAGCCCCTCCTTCTCTCTATTGCTCCTTCCCCCTTGTTTGCGACGTGTGAATGTGTATCTTGTACATCCACGTTGCGATTGCCCGGCCGTAGGATTATTGGGCTGGGCTGCCTCCCCCCCATTGCCGTTATATCCGTCTGCTACCTACCTCTACCTAGAAAAAGGACACCAATTCCCTCTCTTACTCTCTCCCACATACACATCCGAAATAACTTCTTCACCGCTCTGAAAAGGTCTTCTCTCTTTCTTACTTCCCACCATCGTAGTCGCCCATTCGCAATCCATCATCTTACCTAGTCACTCTCTAAACCAAATCGATTCTCTTCGAAAAGACTCATCAAGATGCCTTCCCCTCAAGAACCCCAGCAGCAAGCTCCCATGGAGATGACTCCCGTCGACGGCGTCGTTACGCAACAGCCCGTAAGTTTCCCTTTCCCGCTTACCTCTTCGTATTGCTTCCCGATTGTTTGGGGTTAAATGAGAGAGTCGTATTAACACTAGAACAGACCGCTGAGCCCCAACCCGAATTCGGCAACATGCGTGGTGGTGAAGAGGTAGGGTTATCTTCTTTCCGAATACTCCCTCGAAGGATCTTAAACATTAACCCACTACCTATAGGCCGGCTGCGAAATCTGCTGCGGTCTTTGCGCCTGTGACGAGGCCTGCTGCTAGACAGCATAGCCACTCGATTGCCGATATGCTCGCTACAGCACTCGCTTAAGCAAGTCGCATTGGAAGTCCCCGCCCGCGATGCAGTGGAACGAGTACCACAACGGATTGCCATGTTTCACGAAAAATCGTACTTGTACCCCGCCTACAATAATGCTCATGCACGGATGAGCCAGCTCAAGTATCTAGACTTCTAGCGATATCGCGGCATTTGGGATCGAGAGAACAAATCGGTATTTCCTAGTAATGATGGTAGCAGGCGGGCAAACTCTAGGTTTTGGTATTGCGGAGTTTTATGATCAATAGAATTATTCCATCCAACTCGATTCTTCTTCAATTTCCGTGCCACGTTTAATCCCTGAGGAATTAATTCTACCTCACCTACATTTTTCTATGCCTATAAAATTCAGCGTGCTGATGCTGACATCAACGTTGGTGATGATCTTTGGTAACTATCGGTAGACTTTACATCGACGGAAGATGAGTAGCGTCGAGAACAACAAATGTCCCATATTTTTAATTCCAAAGATAGAAGACAAGAATTAAGGGCGTCGATTAGGTTGGAAGTCGAACAGGACATGATGTGGGGTTTCAGCTAGTCGACATAAGCACTTGCGGCATATCTTCATCTTTCATGATAGCGCAGGCGTCCGCGATGACGCTGAATACCCCATTGTCACCGTATTCCCATGTTGAACATATGTTAGATTGTTTGTTAGTCAGAAAGGATGTTAGGGATGGGAAAACGACGGTTGAAGTAAGCTAACAGGATTGATCTACACGGTTCAGGGCGTCTGTCAGTCGAATTAAGCATTTGCCTCGTGCCTTGGCGATCTCTTGGCTCTTGGCGGCGGCGCGTGTTGACAACTTGGCATCAAATGGGACCTTGATTTCGCCATCCTTCCGTCATGCATGCCTAGACCCCTAATCCGGGTTACAAAATATTATTAATAAGTAGGTACCTACCTGTGCATACCTAACCTTACCTAGATACCTACCTACATATTAATAGCCATATAAAACAAACATGGTAGAGATATGAGGGATCACGAACCAGGCTTTTCGACACGCATTATCGTAGCATAGAGAAAAGCTAGGTAAAGTAATGCTACAATTATTATTACACCAACTACGCAGGCACTAGCATCTATACTCTACAAGAACCGCAGCATATTGTGGTAAAAGATGTAAAGAATGTATTTTGTCGGTGCTAAGGGGTATAAGACGTGAGATGACGGGAGGCATGCCTTGCATACCTATATGTATGTAGACCCGATACCAGGCTATGTATTGTACCAATTCCCATGTTCCCCCTCTCAACCTTGCAGGCCCGACCTATTTCCCCCTAAAAAGATCGAGTATCGTACCTCCCCCCTCTTCCAGTTAGACGGCGCATACTATACAAGCATAAAAAGAGCGACCAAACTATCGCGCGTCGTGCGTCCAAGCCTCCGCGCGCCCCAAGACATAGAGGTGCCGTACCATCTGCCTCTGTAACAGACAAGAAACCAGCGAAAAGAGAAAAGCAACCCGAGGCATGTATTCAACTTAACCGCCGTTGCCGCAGTCAGGATCCTTATGGGGATCGCAATCGTCGTCGGAGCGACGACCGAAGCCTCCGGACACGTGGCTCGGCTCGGCCGGGGGAGGGATGGCTTGCCCGACAGCCAGGCCGGGAGGGCCCTGGTGCAGGAAGAATTGGCCGGCGGCGTGCGCGCCGTCGCTGTCACACTCGACTTTCGCGACGACCTTGTTCGCTTCGTCGACGCAGTACGTCTTGGCTTCGGCGACGCCGACGACGCCGGCTGCGAAAAAAGCCGCTGCGGCGACTTGTAGGGTGGGCAGGGCGAGGTTCTTTCGCTTCATTTTGATGGTGGTGGTTTAGGTACCTAGGTCTAGCCTCTGGGTGGGTAGGTAGGTAGGTAGGCACCGGATTGAAGGTTTTGATTTATGGCTGTTTTGGAATGGAGATGGATCGGTTGGTTGGTTGGTTTGTATATGATAGATAGAGAGATGGGTAGCAGATGTCTGTCCTCTCAAAGCTTAAGATCGAGGGGGCAGGACTGGTTTATGTATTGTTTCGGAGCGGTATGGTAGCAGGTAATCCCGTAGGAAAACTCCATGACTGTACAGCCGTAGTAGGGCCTTGCGTACTAAAGTAAGCTTTCCTCGTATTGTAGTTGCTTCAAAATCTACTGTTTGCGTGCGTCACAGGAGTTGTGTAGGTTTGTCACCTACCTGGTTCGATCTACAGGACTCAATGACGGGTGAAGGATGAAGATTCCAGCTAATATTTTTACGTTATGAACACGGTTAGATGTGAGATCGTACCCTGTGATATCCTCGTCACTCTATATGATCAACGGGGTTATATACACAGTTTGGTCATCATGCTGACGGTATACGATGACCTGAGCCTCGACCGCTCCTCATTTGGCGTTAGTCTATTCCGTGAATCCTTTGCTCTAGTGATATGACGTTAAATGTCAGAGGCCAAGAGCGGCCAAGAGCAGCCAAGCCACGAAAGTCGGAGACTTATATCAGAAACTCTCCTTAGGAACGGATGAACTATAGTTTGCTTCGGTCAAAGCGTGTTTCCCATCCAGCTGTATGGATAGGCATAGCTACGGACGTATCCCAATGACAAATAACTAGGTACCTACATAAACCCCATCATCTCCAGGAGATCGGCAATATAAATTTCTTAGCATACTAGGTAATAAAGGCACCGGTATTCGGGAACAAACAAAAAACAAAAACATGCGACGCATACAAGTGGAAAAGCGACCCAACGCAAACCGGCTCGTCCAGAGCCAAGGCCTCGTCTACTCCAAGACGCCCGCACCCGGAGACACCTCGGACCCGTACTGGCCCGACGACAGGTACTACTCCTTCAGCAGCAAGGAGATCGAGCTGCTGGAGAAAGCCGGGCAGGACGTCTTCGACATGTGCTGCGAGGCGGCCGACTTCCTCGTCGAAAACCCGGACGTGGTGACGGGCAAGATGGCGATCCCCGCGTTCGCGCTGCGGCAGATCAAGGAGTCGTGGAACCGGGACCCGGCGTGGGGCAGCGTGTACGGGCGCTTCGACGTGTGCTTCGGCGGGCTCGAGCACGGGGACGCGCGGCTGCGGGTGCCCAAATTCTACGAGTTCAACGCGGACACGCCGACGTCGCTGGTGGAGGCCGCGTCGATCCAGTGGTCCTGGCTCGAGCAGACGGGCCACGGGAACGACCAGCTCAACTCCCTCGTCGAGAAGCTCGTCGCCGCGTGGGCGCGGAACCTGGCCCTGGTCGAGAAGGAGCTGGGCCGCCGCCCGGCTGCGGTCCACTTCGCCATCGGGTACGGCGAGCGCACGGGCGAGGACGCGATGAACGCCGCGCTGCTGATGGACACCTGCCGGCAGGCCGGGTGGGCCACCAAGTCGCTGTACGTGGAGCAGATCGCGAAGTCGCCGGAGGGGCGGTTCTTCGACCAGGACGGGCAGCACATCGACGTGGTCTTCAAGCTGTACCCGTGGGAGTACATGGTGGAGCAGGAGTTCGGCGAGGCGTGCTTCGAGGACATGGGACGGGCCGACAGAGACAAGGCAACGATCTGGATCGAGCCGCCGTACAAGATGCTCTGGAGCAACAAGGCGCTCTTCGCCGTCCTCTGGGACCTGTTCCGGGACGACCCCCGGTCCAAGTGGCTGCTGCCGACGTACTTCGAAGACGAAGCGCCGGCCTCGCTGACGCGGTTCGCGCGGAAGCCGATTTTCGCGCGCGAGGGCGCGGATGTCCTGCTGCAGGCGGACGGGCGGGTGATCCAGGACGCGGCGACGGGGCACTACGGCAAGGAAGGGTACGTGATGCAGGAACTAGCGTTGCTGCCGGAGTTCAAGGACGACGAGGACAAGACATTCTACCCGGTGCTAGGGCTGTGGCTCGTCGACGGCGAGGTGGCGGGGGTGGGGATCCGCGAGGACAAGACGCCCATCACGACGAACGGGTCGTGGTTCATCCCGCACTCGATCTCGGACGGGCCGGTGTGCTACGACCGGACGCCGATACCAGATGCGGACGAGATCGAGGCGGTGTTGACGCTGGAGAGCTATGAGGGTCTGAAGCAGGGGAATGGGGTTATGGAGTATATCGAGAGCGTGGTGGGTTAAGCTGGGGCTTTGTGAAAGCTTAATAACAAGGAGAGTGTAGATTATTTACCTACCTGTTATGTACCTCCGCTTGGTTATATACCTACCTAAGTTTATTTAGGTGAGTTTTTTGACTAGTTTCTTATACGTGAGGTCAGACTAACCAACCTAGCATAGCGAACTTATTATAGAAAAATACATACGATGAGACCAATACCTACTATCTACCTAGATACCTACTATCTACCTAGATACCTACTATCTACCTAGATACCTACTATCTACCTAGATACCTACTATCTACCTAGATACCTACTATAATTAAAGGACATATTTACGTACGCAGTATTCCTGCTGTGGTTGATGTAATATGAAGTCTGCTACTCCGAAGTTCGTAGACGTACCTAGATTGACCCATCGGATGAACTACCGAGCGACGAGTTCGCGCCAAGACGTTACCGTCGCGAGCCAGACTGGCGGCAAACCCCGGACTAGTAAATATAACGCAAACTAAGAGGCCAGAATTTCATCAATTGGGAATCACCCAATCACGAACCATCATCACATGGTTTCAATAGCATGGTTTCCTGGTGTAATGGCTAGCACTGCGGATTCTGATTCCGCCAATCTGGGTTCGATTCCCAGGGAGACCTTTCATTTTGCACTTTTTCACATTTCATCATTGTGTTAAATCGCTATTATTTATTGGAATTACAATTTTTTTTTTCTCCCTAGTTAGATCTATTTCGCGGGGTAATAATATCCTTAATAGCTTTGTATAGTAAAATTAACTGTGTTATCTCGAAGACGATTGGGTAAACTGTTTATAAATCAGTTTCGAATATTTAATTTTATTTGGAATTGCTGTATCTCCAATTGAGTCTATATAAATATGAGTGGTCATTACAACAGGTATGGTAGATACAATCACATCTCCCTAAACTGTAGACTGTAGGTGAGAGAGACCTGCGTGATATATACATTCAACACCCCCAGCGCATCCACCATCGTAAAGGTTCATATCGTCCGCATGCGTAAGGTTAGGTTAGGTTAGATAGGTATAGGTATATAGATATAGATATAATTTTCATTTCCCGTTATCTGTACGGAAAGCTCCGGTAACCTTATCCCACAACGTCTCCTCGCCCCTTGCCTTTCGCGCCAACCTATCTTGCTCCTGCTTCTTCCATAACTCCTGCACCTGCGATGCGACTTGTGCCTTTGCGCGGAACTCCGCCCGGACGGCCTCTTCTTCCGCGGGCCGATCCTCCTCGGGCACTTTCTTTAACCGCGCCTTGAGAATCTCCTGCTGCTCCGGCGTTAATAACTCTTCCTCCGCCGGCTGCTGCGCTTGTTTCTGCTGGTCTAGTCTCGGTATTAACGGCGGGAATTTGGGGATTGGACGACCCTCTTCCCTCGCCGCCGTGATCTCGGCTTCTTGCGACAGCATCCGATGGTATAGCGTGTCAGCGTGCATTTGGATCTCTTCTTCGGCTTCGGCGGAGCGGTCGTGAGTGGATAGATAGCCCAGAGCCTTTAGCAGTCTCTATTTAAATAGTCGCAGTCAGCAAAATGGTATGATGGAAGACAGCGCAAGGGTTCACCCACGGTCTGCGTCATATAGCACTTCTCGAACTTCTTGATCTGGTCGCGACACAAAGTCATGCGCTCCGTCACCGTCGGATTCGACATGCACTGCCTCCAGTCGACCTGTTCCAATGCGCAATTCTCCAGCGCCGCTTTACCGATCTGGTTCTTGCGCTCCTTATACGCTTCCAACACATCCATGAGCTTCTCATGCTCGCTCTTAGTCTCGGCCTCGATCTCCGCTAACGGCCTATACGTCTTCCACAAATGCGCATACCGGCCATCTTGGAATTGGCTCTCCTTCGGAACAACCGGTGCACCCTTCTGCTGTTCTTCCGCCTCGCTTATCGTCGGGGCTGCTGCTGCTGCTGCTGTTATTTGCTCCCCCTTCGCGCGGGGTTGCTGCTGTTGCTGCGCTGTGCTGTATTTCACGGGGGATTCTCGCTCGAGGAATTCGCGGAGCTTCGGGTCGAGATTTCGCAGCGGGTCGTCGCTCGAGTTCGACGCCCATAGACTATCCCACCAGCCCATGGCAGATCTCACGAGAGTCTAGACGGAAAAAAGAACAAATTGTCGGCTATTAACTCCATAAAGGCATCCCCCCCTTCCTGCGCGGAAAAAGAAAAGCTTGGAGAAACTGGAATTGGAAAAGGTGCGTTAGGTAACTAATGCCCGTAACTAATGCAACAAATGCAACTAGGTAATGCAACTAATCCATTAGGTATCTCATTATCGCAGGTACCTAATCTAATCGTTATCTTTATCGCTGCGTTGATATGCATCTAAGCTAAATTTCTTAGATATCGAAGTACGAAGGTCTTAAGCCCGACTCGAGAACCATTTTCCCCTATTCCCCCTATTCCCCCTTATTTTGATTATATGCTATGTACATACCTTCCAATAATTTAGTGTATGTCAATATCCAAGGCAATACGATATGCGATGCAATGCGACCGTATAAAATACAGTATATTTCATCGTATGTGATCGAGAACAAGCAACAATTAAATCTCTAAACAGGGTTACGAATGTTTCATAGCTAAGGTATTTCAGTTCTCCATGCATGTGTCCTTAGGCCTCATTCCCGTCATCCCCATTAGCTGGGGTAGGCTCCCCTACCGGCTCGAATGATCCATCGTTCGCCCCTGACCTTTTCGCCTGGGCACGTTTCCATGAGGAAAAAGTGTTCAAGTTATCAATACGCCCACGATTGTTGTTCCTCGAAGTCCTCGAAGTCTTAAAGACGGGCACGATGGCCGGTATTGACGCAGAAAGAAGCACGAAGTTGGCTTCGAGACTATATGTAGGTAACTTAAATATCAGCACTCAAAGAAACCTTCGGTTGGAGGTACTACGCGTATAAGTAGGACGGGGTTCCGTACATAACGCAGATTATAAGCTTCGCCAGAGACTCTAAGGCAGCTTAGTTTATTAGCTCTGGAAAAATCTATCAATATACCGTTTCTCCGCGTACAATTCATATCATGGACCCCAAGGCTTTTGATTTCTATCGTCTTAATCAAGGAGGCAATCATGGCGCTGGTTAATCATAGTTTCCAATGGTTAGTTGATCTCCTCAGAATCATCCACGGGCAAACCAAAGACCAACTCACAAGATTCCAAGTCCCATTATCGAGCTTAGGGAGACTTTCTGCTTCCAGTGCATATTGAGATTCCAGAACAGGCTGCACGGGAATATAGCCTGGAGAAAGTCAACTGCCGTGCTTACAGCTTTTGTTTCCTTTAGCATTTTCTGTATTGAGGCCTTCCTTGGACTGCTCACTTACAGCCCTGAATATAGCCTTCATATGTTTGTGTATTTGAGGACCAGCAATTGGCTATAATGGCTTCATCCCAGTACCCCCGAAACGGCCTACACAGGGTGAAGGTGACAGACAGCACCGCAACATCGGTCACTAAATGGATTCCGACCGGCGCCCACAGGAACATTCTCCACGGCTTGGACGGTGGGGGAATGCTCGACAGTAGGAAAGCATACGAAATGCGACCGAATGCCGCTGCCATAACAGCAAAGAGCTCGCTCAGGTATATCCATTTCATGGAGTGCATGGTAGCTACGGGATCGGATGCAAGGGCCTCGGCGTGCTTCCCAAAGCCCCAAGACACTGCCAATGTGAGAAATATCGCCAGGCATATCACGCATAGCTAATATCCGATTGCGTGTAAGCTACCTTAGGTACCTTAGGTACATATGGATTCTGTTACGGGGTTTATTTTTACATAGCAAAATTAGGATATCAACTTACCAAAGTAATAGCGATCATACAATCGTCGATATTGAACTTCCGTAGCATCTCTATGCGTACGTAGAACCGCAAGGCAACAACTAGCGATGATACAGTGCCAAGTACCCATGCAAGGGCGAGGATGAGAGGCCCTAGATTATTCATGGCGTATATTTCGACTTAGAGGTTTCGAAGTGTAGAATCAAGTGCAAATGTAAGTATGAATGGTCGAAGCGGGAAAAAAAATACAATTCACCAGAAAGGGACCAAGGAGTAGATATTACCTAGTTCTCAGGCAGGTACTTGTAGGAAATGCATTTCCTGCTGTTATATGACCACTACAATAGAGTGAGAACACCTTAGATATCTGGATATGACTCAAGTCTATTTTAGGTTAGGTAGGTATCCTATTAGATAGGTAGGTAGGTATCCATCCCGCTTGTATACCTAGGATATCTCAAATCTCACAGGTAGCCCGCTCCAATATGTGTTGTGGGGGCGTACACGGAGGCTTAGAGCTGACAGATTAAAAAACGCTGATATTCATTCATAACATAACATCCCATTGCCCAAGATATAGGGGCCGTAATTGATCGTATACGAAGACCGGACAACCAGTGAAAGGTATGGCCCCCACCCCTTGAGCACGTGTCCATCCGATGCGGGCTACCTAGAATACGCGGATAGGTACGAGGTCGTACTTTTATCGTCAAATACTACATGACTGGCCGGACGACAAATGCCTGTAAATCTTGGAACGGGTCAAGATGGCCATGAAGCCCAGCTATTCCAAGCTCCCTCTGCATGAGATGATCATGCCTAGCCAACGGGCGTCTACTTTCCATAGCATGCTCGATATGGTTGATGGTCATGGAGACTAGGAAATAAACTACTACTGTGCAGGCACGTAACGAGATTCGCGATGCCGGATTATAGGCTGAATTCTGAATCAAAGACATTGCGGGTTCGGTATAGTTGGTAGCTCGACAAATAAGTAATCAAGGATCCCTAATAAGGATCTCTGGTTAAGCAAGCGGCTCGTATATCGGAAGTAAGCTGTAGTAAACCATATTCACGCCCCGTTGGAATACAAAACGATGTGTCTGGTATATCCTTTTTATTTCTCAGAACTGCCAATGTTGCATCTCTGTGCACTAGCAGAAAGCCTATGAATCACCCGTTCCGTATCTGAGATCGTGAAGAACCATGAAGTAACAACGCCATCGATGCCCAGGAAAGATCCCCAACCTAGAACTTGCTGAACTTCTTCACCGCCTTGCCGGTTCGGGGAAGCACACGGAGAACGTTGAAACGGATCTATACGTCAAATTCTGATCAGCAATTTATTCCAACCGAAAACTATACCACTCGCACTCGCAAAGCAACAAGGACGAACGTACAGTCTTGCTAAGAGGTCGGCATTGGCCGACTGTGACCTGGTCACCCTCCTCAACACGGAAAGCGGGAGAAACGTGCGCGGCAAGGTTCTTGTGTCGCTTCTCGTATCGGGCGTACTTGGGAATGAACTTGAGGTACTCGCGTCGGATGATGACGGTTCGGTGCATCTTGGTGGAGACAACGGTGCCGGTCAGGATACGGCCACGGATGGAGACGAGACCAGTGAAGGGGCACTTCTTGTCTATGGTGATAGCAAAATTAGTTTCCCATCTCTAATATCGATTTTCTTGATTTTTTATTTATTTTCGGCGTATCTAGTCGCGCGAACTCCGTATAGTTCAAAGTAATTCTCGAGGCGATTCGTATGGTTCAACCGGCGTGACATGATAGCCTCCTAATCCTCCTTCTAAAGAAATAAAAAAAAATCTTTATGTTCATTCATTCTCACGTACCAATGTAGCTGCCCTCAATGGCGGTCTTAGGGGTTCGGAAGCCTAGACCGACATCCTTGTACCATCTTCGGCCACCCTGGAGAGAGAAGATTCATTAGCATGTCGTCGACCTTTTGTTAGTAGAACAAATCGTTATAACGGCGTCGCCTCACCTTGCCGGGTCTCGAGGACTTGGCCTTGACCTTGGAGTTCTGGAAGATATGGGGCTGCTTCTGGAAAGCACGCTCCGACTGAACAGTCAATTCCGTGGCCATTTTTGCGATATGTTGTCGAGGTCGCAAAGGTGGTTGGGATCGGGAATCGTGGGTGGTTGTTGTGGTGGTGGTTGCGATAATGCGGAAACTTACCAAAGATTGAAAATGGGAAAAATCTCAAAAAGTTATTGTGTGGGCTCGCTTGTTTGTGGGATGTGTGTGGGGATCCACTTTGCGGTAAGAACGTTCAGCCCCGTTGTGGCTGTACCCTGTACCACTTAGACACTTAGACATGTACCTGGATCTACGAAGTAATTAGAAGTACTTAAGTACCTCACTAGACTGTGGAACCTTGATTAAGAGTCAACATCTGGAGATTGCGAGAGAGACGCTTGGACCACCTTGCAATGCATAACATCTAGAGGCTAGGGGCAGTACTCCAAAGGCAAGGGTGGATCGCGAAACCCCACCAACGTAACTTTTGTAATGTTCAATGTTTACAAAACAACCCTGGTCTTCTCAATTGACGCGAGCCTATGGAGAGATCAATTTATTAGTTCGACGTTATATGCAACCATCCCAACGCGCCTACATTTCACCTGTTCATAGAGTTCCTAGATGTGGAAATATTGTAATTCTTTTATTTACCTTAGGTACCTAAGGTAACTAACTACCGGCTACAACGTCCACGATAGCTCTGGTAACGCGCAAACACCATAATCCCCTTAACTCGGTAGTATAAAAAACCCCAGACTATGGGATATTCTTTTCGATAAAATTCAATAAAAACCCATATCTGTCTTTATCGCCAACATGTCTAGTCGCAACGACGCAACTATCCCGTCTACGCGACGGACGCGAAAGTCGACCGGATTATCTCCCGGGAGGAAGAAGGCGGAGAAAGAAAATATCACTGTGGATGTGGCTAGCACTTTAGCTGGTAATGGAGGTCGAAAGAAGTCACGAAGCAAGAGTATAGGTCCTGGTGGATTAGATGCTCTCAAGCCAGGGTCGGGTAATAGACGAGTGGTATGCGACTTGACCCCTAATAATCTTAGATCATATGGCCAACTAATACCCCCAAAACAGTCTTTAGCAGCTCCCGCCAGACCACCACCAAGGTCAATTCTCAAGCCCACAATGCCGTTGCTACCGGAGATTCCTTCGTACAAATCGAAGAAGCCTGCTAGAAACTCGCCTGCCGCATCTACCGTACAAGGAGTAGCTGACAAGTTACCGAGCCCCTTTCACATTGACGATGCTGGGTCATCGGGAACTAAGATTGCTGTGCGCACCGAAGAAGAACAGCAGGCCGCTGCGCGCGAAAGAGAAGAACGAGAAAGAGCTGAGATGGAGAAAGAGATCAATGACCGCCGAGAAGCTCGAAGGAAATCTCTTGCGAACCGAAGAGTATCCTTTGCAGCTGAAGCCACCCTTCACACATTTCACGAGGTCGAGTATATGCAGGACTCCACAACCTCGACTGACTCTACACGAAGAGCATCTTCGCTCGCTGCTTCCAAAGACCAAACATCTGGCCTTGCCGGCCAAGCTGATGACTTGGTTCCTAGTTCTCCAGAGCAAGATTCGCATGATCAAAGAAGACGTAGAAGTTCAGGCGTTAGCAACCTAAGTTTCAATCAGAATGATGACACGATGGCCTCAAGCATCTATAGTTCAGACTCCGAGGGAGCGGACGTTATAGAAACTCACGAAGAGATAGGTTCGGATTCCGGCAGCGACTCCGATGCCGATGGTGTATCAATGGATTTGGACGTCGATGAAGTGACCGGTACCTCCGTCGCATCTGCTATGTCTGCTCGATCGGCTGTTACCAATGGCTCAGATGACACATTGAATACGGCTCTTCGACTCGCCTCTCGTCGCGCTGAAACTCTGAACATCGACGAAGAGGAAGAGATCATCCCATCGTTTGGATGGGCTAAAAAGCCTGCTCCGAAACAAGCGGGCCCCCAGGAAAACCAGGAGAGCCTTGGACAGGAAGATACTGGTGGTATGGACATGGACATGGACATGGATATGGATATGACAAAGGCTGTGGGTGGTATCATTAGAGCAAACAACGATCCTTTGGAGGATGCGCAAGAAGAAGAGATGTCAATGGACGTCACTCGAGCGCTCGGTGGTATTCTTCCTTCGCGCAACACGGCGCAAAATATTCAACCAGCTAGTCCAGAAAAAGTCGGAGAGGAATCGTTGATCGATGATGCCCCTATGGATCTTACTGTTGCAGTTGGTGGTATTCGAAAAGACCCACCACGTAATACTAACCTCTTCGGCGCTGATGACGACGATAACGATGAAGACGAGGATATGTCAATGGAGTTCACTGCCGCTGTAGGCGGTGTCCTTTCTGGGAGAGGGCCTGATGCCTCCTCAAAGAAAGCACAGGGCCGGCGTCGTACTCTTGCAGTCAACGACGACGACGATGATGACGAAGCCGCAATGGATATGACGGCAATGGACATGACAGTTGGAATGGGCCGTATTCTGTCTTCCAACGAAGAAGAAGAGAATATCGAAGATGATACAATGGGCATGGATATGACTATGGCGATGGGCGGAATCATTAAGGGACCGCCTTCAGCCAAGGATCGGACCGAAGCGAGACTCCAAATGGAACGGGAAGTTGATGAAAATGACAATGTACCAGCATTGAACTCATCTGCAAAGCAGCGCCTGTCCGCAGCTATTTCTGGTATAAACACGTCAGAGTCAGGAAGCCCCGGATTATCTGCGTTTAGGGGCCAAGGAATACGTCGCACTGGTGAATGGCGACGGTCTGTCACACCGGGCAGTTCTCCCGTTCGAGAAATAACAACTCCTAAATCTGCCAAGCCAACCAACGCAAGTACTCCTAATAGCCAGAAACCTAGAACCCCTTTAAGAACTTCGCCCCGGAGGAAGTCAAAATCACCTGCTCCAAACAGTCAAAATGGTCCAGATGTATCTTCTACGCCCAAATCTGCGACCAAGAAGAACCTGCTGTCTGTATTCCAACAAGATCCTGCTACGGGACTGTCGACACCACGGATTATCTTAACTCCTCAGAAGAGGCGATTATCAGGTGTAGGCGCTGATAGGCCTGGTCTCGGATCCCCCAAGGTTGCCGCTATCCTTGATCGGCGTGAGTCCATTGGGGATGCAGCAGACAGCTTCGTGCCCAAAGAGCCCTCACGGTCTGTTGCATTCGCAGACCCTCGTGTTATGGAGTATGAAGTAGATCGTGATCGCCACCTAGAAGCGGACAAGGAAAACGGCCGTAAGGTACTGGAGAGAGGAGTTGACGGAGACGAGGAGAATACGGCAAGTCTAAAAGATATGATTTCCAGTATGACTCCTAAGAAAAACCCGTTGAAGGGACGGAAGAGTTTGCATGTAGGCAGTGCTAAAGGGCTTCTCGGCAAACGTCCTTCTGAGCTTGACGATGAAGAGGATGCTGAGGAAAGAGATGGGGTCAAGCGACTCAAGAACCATCAGAGCAGTCCTGTCAAGAACATCCACCTACATGCGCCCCCCTCAAAAGCAGAAACGACAGGGCGGGTAACTCGCTCTTCTAGTAGAGGTCTGGAAGACGCCAGTGACATCAAGACCGCCTCAACCCCGGCGCTTTCGCCTAAGAAAACACCTACGGCCGTGTCATCCCCTCATGGCAAAGGACGCTTCAAGGAAGTCGACCCTAGCTACCCCATTACTACTCTCAATTTTGACGAGTCTCACGTCATGACAGATGCCGAAGCTCAAGCGGATGACAATGGAGAGCAAATCCACCTGCAAGACTTTTTAAATATGACGAATATTCGCTTTATGGAGTTGACAACAACAAAACGACGGCACACACAAGCTCCTACTAGTGTAACAGATAACTCTATGTCTGGGGAGGAGGATATGTCCCTAGAGCGATGCGTTGTAGCAGGTGCTTGCACAGTTCCTATGCTGGAACTGTATCAACATGTAAGAACGCTTTCAACTTTAAGAGCCGTAACATGCTAATTTTGAATAGTCCTGTCGAGAACTAAAGAAATACATTTCAGAAGGTAGGAGAATAGTCCGTGAGATCGAAACGGAAACTCTGGAAGAGAACCCGCCACTTTTCAAGGAATACATGACTGCAACACCCGAGTACAAGCTTTTCTTGGACAACCAGTTCAAAAACGTCAAGTCGCATGCACGGCTGCTAAGCAAAGCTATGTGGTATGAATGGCGCATGAAGCTTCAAGATGGACTCAAGGAAGGCCTACTCAAAATAGAGGAAGGCATGGCAGCCGATGAGCGGCTATTACACCAGGAGCAGGAATTGCTCGATTCGATTCTGCCCAAGCTGGTGGACCGATTTGCATCCTTAGAGTTAGAACATGATAACCTGCAATCTGCTGCACAAGAGTTAGCAGAATGCGACCCCGAAGATTTACAAGCTGCTCGGTCTGAGCTGACAGACCTCGACTCGGATATCGAAGCGAAAACGAAGAAAATCGAGCAGTTACGGCAGCAACTAAGCGAGACTGAAGCTGGGATCGATGAGCTATCACAAAAGAAGAAAGAATGCGTTGCTGAAATAGAAGAGGCAGAGAAAATTCGGGAGCAATGCAGGGGTTGGACCTCTAATGAAGTCAGCGCCCTCAAAGGTCAGTAGTACTCTTATTATCTGATATTTACTATAACGAAGAGCTGACATAAAATAGCCCGTGTCGAAGCAATTGAGAAGCAGCATGGCTGGGCCATTACAGGAGTTGTCGGAAGCTCACTGTCGATGACATACCGAAGAGAGATTGAACTCGTCTTTGACGTTGGCGCTTTCAAGGGGTTGAAACCTGATAATTCCACAATAGATCTGAGGTATATCGCGGCCAATCGGGAGCAGAACCCACAGCCGTGCACGCCGGAAAAGGAATTCTTTATCCAGTGCATACGGGACCACGCCCGAGGGTTGGTCCAATCGCAGACCAAGATCAAGAATCTCTTGGATATGGTTAGTACGGCCTGGCAGAAGGCCAATCACGTTGCGAGAAACGTACACCTCTTGAACACCACATACCGAACCAAAGTCACCAAAAATTCAGACTCGTCTATCTCAATTCGTTCGTGCGTGCTGCTCGTCCCGTTACAAACTAAGGTAGAGGTCGTACTCGACTTACACGGCAAGAGCACTCCGGATGGAGTAGAGGTTACCATGGCGCCTCAGGCGCGAGTAGTTTATGGAGAGCAATTTAAGGAAGATAAGATCGTCGAGTTCCTCACGACAAAGATGGGCACGCGCATCGTCGCCAAGGAGGAGAGCGGGACGTTCGAGTCTTGGGTCGAGGTGCTCGTCGAACTCCAGGAAAGACTACTTGCGAGGGGACGAAAGTGAAGGTACCTAAGCCTAGATGGGGTAACCGTGTGTGCTGTTTTATCCTGTATTCCTAGCTTCTGCCTTACCTTGCGATAACGACTTATGACCACAAACAATTGGGCTGCGTATTTGGAGTGAGGCATGGTTGGGTAGTCTTGACGAGGACATTACGAATAAGGGGGGCGGGGGCAGGAGGGCGTTTTTGGTGGTGTATTGTTAAATTAGGTTATATACCACTTTCTACCTGTTTTATTCATTTCTTGTTCTACTTTGAGTTTTATTATTATTTTTCTCATTCCTGAAATGCCAATCCAAAGGTTGAGTTGAGTTCGACTTATCTATCGGCTTACCTTTCATCAGGGGCGTTGATACGGTGGGTCATTTATTATGTAATCCTTGCTCGAATCACGTGATCATAGCAACCTCATATTTACGAACAGGGGGGGTGGAGGTTAGCCCCTTAAAAGAGCCACTTGGTAATAAATGCATATAAGGAGAGGATTCCTCCTCTATTAATATTGATGATGGCGGTTAGTAAATTTCATTTCGCCGTTAGACCTGTTGGTAGATGCCTATCTCCCATTCTAAGCAACATAACTCGCATCAATTATTACGGCCCGCCTACTAGATACAGAATCAAAGGACGGCTGGTCTGTTGAAGACATTTAAGCTGTACGTAAACAACCTGTTACTGTTTGCATCTAACCTAGTAATTCGAGCGTTATATGTTACCTCGTAACATTTTTGTTTACACGTCAACTAGGTAGGTAGTTTTATTTTGTTAAAGCTGTTTTGCAGCCCGGACCTCCATAGTTACCCCTCTGGGTAGAAACAAAAATGTGATAAATTTTTGTTTGGTGTATGTATGTGATGTGGATGGTCGGCAGTTGGTGATTCACTTACTTACTGGCAGCAAGTCCGCATATTGAGCGATGTCAGCTCGAATCAGGCATTTTATTTACCTAGGCAGAGTAGATTGTAATCGGAGGTAGTTTTTCGATTAAGAGGTCGTTTTACAGCTGGTAGAAGTTACTGGTGGGTGTTTACCTTGATATATATCTTAGATTTCTAGTATAGATAATTGGCTTGATGGCGGATAATGATATCTCCCAAGACAGTTGGATAATCTAAGCTATGTAATAATTTGAAACATTTATCCCATTCCTACTTGAAAAAATATTATCTAAGCGAGAAAATATTTGTTACTAAAACATTTAGATAGTTTGATGCCATACATATTTTTTCCTCTGCCGTTAACAGCCAGACGAGGCTCCAACAAATGCGATTCCGCGCCAACAGGAGCAACATGGCAAAATATTAAAATACCGCCTCTGTATTCAACTGGGATAGATGTATCAACTCCTGCTGCCATTTATTTTGTTTTTTGTACTCTAAAATAATTATCTTCCAACCTTCGGGCACCAGGCTAATGGCAGAGACCAATGTTGACAGAAGAAATAGACCCTTCCCATCATATCTACCCCTTTTAAGTAGAATCGTGATGATCATGATGATCATGATTACCAAGAAATATTATTCTTCCAACTTATTCTCGAGTGACTAGCTACCTGCAATTTACGTGTACGTACGACTGAGCAAGCAAGATCTGGAGTTACCACGTATTGTGTCTGCTTGTTCTCAAAGCACCTAAGTGTGCTAGCAAACTACGGAAGTGACTGGTCCCTGACGAGGATAGCTACCTAACCTAATGTGAGAGAGGAACTATATAAAAAGGATGGTACCATAGCATCTAGCTACAATGATTAAATTGTTATTGTTATCGATTCCATATGCGCATCTAATCTTTGTATGCGTGCACACCTGCCAGGCGCACCTAGGTAGACTCGGAAAACTCGAATTAATACTACATAGGTACAACGTATTAGTGTATCACTGACTTAGGTTCGTAGCAACTGGTAATAGATAACGGCAGGTGCAGGTACGGACTCCCATAGATACCGAAATTTTGCGTACCTTCCACATCTCGAGGGCGTTGCTAAGTAAAAAAGATAAGAGCAGCTGGTTGTGCAGCTGGTTGCGCAGGCAGTTGCATAGACAACAGTGCGGTTGCTACCCCTCCATAGTTGGCAGTTGCGTAGGAAAAAAAAAAAAAAGTTTGCTAGCCCTTATCTCTGGTTGCTAGGCATCTCAAAGCTCGTTGTCGCGTCCTAGGCAACAAAACCCCCCCCCCCAAAAAACTATAAGAGTCTGGCTCCCCCCGGCCTCTTAGAAATCTTTCCCCTTCTCTTCTTCCTTTCTTCCACAAACACTTGTTTACGCTACGCATTCCGCATACTGCTCTCTGCTCACGCATACTGCATTACGCACACTACGCACAACGTTAACAACTGTTTTACCTGCTTACTGATCTTCGTGATCTTTTATCCCCTGCTTGCATTTACTGCATTTTCTTCTATCCGCCCACCCCATATTTCTTCTTCCCGCTGTATCACGATGCCGTCCTTCGAGACCGCGTCCGCTTCCGCTTCCGCTTCCCCTTTCCTCTCCTCTTCTTCCGCCTTCATCGTCATCCCTCTTCTCGCCGCCCTCATCCTCTTCCCCCTCGGCCGCCTTCTAGGGTGGTCTTCCCTTACCGACTTCGTTCCGCTGGTGATGTCAATTGTATTGTACCTTTTCAAGGTATCCCCCGTCCTAGCGTTCGTCGTCATCTCTTCCCTCTCTCTCTTCGCCTTCGTCGCCCAGGCTCTGGCCAGTGATGCGGATGTTCCCGTCCTCGTGGTGGCCCCGTGGCTCGTCGCGCAGGTCTACCTGTGGAAGAATACTTCCTACGGTTGGTCTGCGCTCTGGGTCGCCATAGCCGCCGTCATTGTCAAGAACTACGGACTTCCGCCTCCCGCCTGGTGTATCCCGCAGCTTCTCTTCTGTGTGTGTCTCAAGGGGTAAGTAATTCTTTTTCTTTTGTTATCGTCTTTACTTACCTATGTACCTACCTATTCCTATTCCTACTCCTATTCCTAATCCTATTCCCTATTGCTGTGGTTCTCTATCACTATCACCTTGATGTTGTTATCTTGTTATACTATTCATCCTTCATCATACTCGTCTATCATATTCTGTCTTGTATCCTCGCTGCCCCTATACTCTCATGTCACCTATGTTCTCATGTTGCTCCTCTATCCTTATTACCTCCATACTGTTTCTATCTCCATACTCTCTTACCTTGCTACTGTCATACCCTACTACCCCTATACCTTATCACCCTTATACCTTATCACACTCATACCTTATCACTCTTACTACCCCTATACCCTCTTATCCCTACCCTCTTGTTACCTCCATACTGTTTCTATCTCTATACTTTCTCATATTGCTACCGTGACATGTCTTATCGAGACAACATATACTAACTATTTACGAGACTGTTCTCACACGAAAACGACTATCGCATTCGTCGATTTGGGGATGCCCATTTCCCGGATTGCGTGAAGTACGTTAAGAGTGAGCTTCAGAAACTTGACTGGGGCTTCGACACGCGCGAACTCATGGTTCTCTGCCTCCGTTGGGGAGACCGCTCTGTGGCTCTGTTCTGTCGAGTCGCAGAGAAGTTCACCAATTCGCCGGCTTCACCTGAACTTGTTCCTCTCCCTCCCACTCCCGCCCAGGCCCAGCCGACCCCTCAGGAGCCCGAGGAGGAGGCTGCCAAGTCCCAAGCCAAGGCCGAGGCGCGGAGACCGACACCTAGCGCTTCTTTCAGGAGTGCCCGAGGGGGGTCTGAGAGGAACAGCGGTCGTGCTCCTGCACTTTCTGCAGCCGACCGTCGTATCTCTCAAATTCGGGCTGCCCAGGCAAAACGCTATCAGCCGCCTACCTTCTACTACACCTTGCCGGTGAAAGAGAAGAGGCGTCCCTGGGTGCCTATGAAGCCAGCGGATTTCGGGCTGCCTCAACATCCCAAGCCTCTCCCTAGTGTGGCTGACCTATGGCAGTCTGTTGGTGAACCTCAGGTCGAGCCAACTCACTTTATCAACGGTGCCCCCTTTATCGGTGCTATCCCGCCTCCTCCCATGCCGATTGCTGGGCCTCAGATTCCCCCCGTCCAACCTTATCAGCCGGTTTTCTACCTGCCCGAAGGGGAGTCTCAGGCTCAGCCTGGCCAAGTTCAATCGGTGGTTGTGTATCCAACTCAATTCGAAGCAGCTCCTGCTATTGACCAGCCAATCATGATGCACAACCTGGACGGTACACCCGCGATCATCGAAGTGCCCGAGGACGAGGAGATGGTACCGGCACCTAGTCCCATGGTGGTGGATGAAGAGGACATCCCCGAGCACACCCCCATGGAAGAGGACGAGGTAGATCCGGTAATGACTGAGGAAGAGATGGAGGCTTATCTCACCGAGCTCGTCTTAGAATCCCAGCCTTCCCAGTCAGAGGTCCATGTCAATGACCAGCCGGTTGACAACTCGGGGTACGAGAGTCTTGACGATGTCATGGGTGGCTCGCCATACAACAACTGCAAGATTAGGCTCTCATCTCAAGCACCAGCCAAGTCTCAGTTCCAGCCCATGACCCAGCCTGCCGCCACCCAGCCCAGCAGCAGCAGCAGGCGTATCGCCAAGCCTCGTGCCTTGAGGTCCTTGAGCAATGCTTCAAGCTCCTCGGACCTTTCAAGCCTTTCGGACGTCGAGCAGAGGTTGGGCCTAACCGAAGCCTCTTCGTCCACGTCGCAGAGCCAAAGCCAAGGTACTCCCTTCAAGGGTTTGCATTCAAGCATGTACAACAACCAGGGCTTACAGTCCAGCATGCACAATGTCCTAAGTCCCGTTCCCGAAGACGTGGACATGTCGGAAACTTTCGTCCCGCAGATGCCATCGTCCCAGGCTCTGCCTCCGGCAATGCAACCCAAGACAACACCTTCCGAGTCCCCTCTGGCTAAGGCTTTGTCCCAAGTGCCTCTCCCGCAAGTTCCATTCCAGGGTCAGCTCCCCATGCCGACAGCTACTCCGTCGCCCTCGGTCCCGTCTATCTCTCAGCTATCTGTTCCTCAGCAGCAGCTGCCCCAGGGTCCGTTCAACGTTCCGGTCGTGCCGATGTCAGCTCTCTCGCCTCTCCCGCCGACCCCTGAGTCCCAGCCAACTCCCGCTCCGCTGCCCTGGTTTGGTTTCATGCCCGCGACTCCCCCGACACCTACTCCACAGCCGAAACAACAACAGGTCTTGCCACCCCTGAAGCCTCAGTCAACATCTCAGCAGAAGCCTTCCACCAAGGCTGCTCCCACTGCTCCCAAGGCTCAGGCGACCGTTCATAAACTGACCTGGCCTAGTGACGTGCCACAGACACAAAAGGCTCCCGAGAAGACTCAGCCGACAACTTCGCAGAAGCCAGCTCCCAAGGCCCTGCCCCAGTCTCCCAAGCCTCCCAAGGTCAGCGCCCAGCTGACTTTGCCCCGGAGTCTTCCGGCTCCCGTGACCGCTCCCGTGGCCCGCGAGGTTTGTCAATTTGGCCAACCTATTCTTATAGTCATCCCGGACCCGGAGCCTGAACCTGCAGTGCAGGCTTCGAAGTCACAAATGGCCGGCCGGCGTGTCATTGCTCCAAAGTCGCGGAGGGCACAGACGTCTATCAACCCGTACCAGGGAACAGGTGTTGCTACTTCCCCCACATCTGGCAATGCTGCTCCAGCTCCCGCTCCCGCGCCTGCTTCTAACCCGGGCCCTTCAACACAGACGAATGCTCGTCCCCAGCCTCTTCGTCTGCCGGGTAAGTCCAAGCCTGCTAACCCCTCGTCGACGATCACACAAGCCGGTCCCTCCAGCTACAAGGGCAAGGGCCGCGCGACCGATTCAGCAGATCAAGACGACTTGGCATATGAAGCAAAGGTCCTGGAGTACATGGAGATGGGCCATACTGACGAGGAAGCCCGAACGAGGGCAGACCGGTTCTTCTACGACAGCGACAATCGCCAGACGTAATCTGCTCCTCGCCTCCGTCATGAAAGTTTTCCCCCAACTGGCCCGTCCTGTTGCTCCTTGGCTTTCCCGCAGCTCTAAAAAGCCCCCTGGTACAGAAAGGCTCGATCCTCGGCAGAAGATCCATGATTCTCCCCTCTCCCTCTCCCTTTTCCCCGAACTAACTAGCAGTTTCTTAGCTCTGAGCCGGGCCGATGCTATATATATAGAAAGCTTGGAACCTCTCCCAGGAACCCAGTGGGCGACGGAGAGGGTCGGTTCCCGGCTGCCATGCGTGATGATCTGGACCCATTGATACCTGCGCAAGCGGGAGATTGGTATAAAATGCACGAACTGGCCGCCTCCACCCATGTCAGGAAGTACGTCTCTTCTTGCGGCTATGTTTGAACTCGAAGCAGAAGTGTGAGGGACATGAAGCTTGATGAACCTGAGGAACCTCGGAGAAGGGTGAGAGCTTTTGGTGTCGGGCCCGCGATCCCATGGTAGTTGGTGAAGGTGCCGCCGGGTTCGTGGGCCTGTTCGGCGAATAGCTGGTTCTGAGTTGTCCAAGTGATCTTTAGATCAGGAGGATGCGAGGACTATGGCTACAGATGCTTTGAGCTGTTGGTTTTGTTCTATTATTAGTACCTATTTTATCTGGCTCATTGTCTCTCTCTCCGGGTTCTCTCTTGGTTCACTGTATCCACCCGACAACGTCTCGTACGGCCTTGATTTAAACCGCCGCCGTCCAGCGAGCATTTTCGACTACATCTCGTCCGCGGATCTCTTTCTCGCTGCGCCTTCGAGTAGACTTCAACAACAGTGGAGGTCAACAGACCTCAAGAGCATTGGAAAAAATGCTGTCAGTAGAGCAAAAAGGTACAGTTCTCCCTCAGATGATTTTCAGCTAACTACAGAGATGTTAACTGTAGACTTTAGTCCCCGAGCTCTCTTTAGACTGGCTGACACCTGCCTTGAGCAGCCCAACTCAAGAATTTTCGGCACAACACGAGGTACCCAGCACCGAGGAAGCTGGAAGAATCACCAAATATCAAACAGCAACACGAGGAATTATCAGCACCGAGGAAATAGCTGAAAGAAAAAAAAATCGAGATCAACACGAAACCCCAGTACCGACACTGGGAAGAAATTAAGACCTAAGACGAAAAAAAGGGGTCACCAAGAATAACACGAGATCCCCAGCACCGAGAAAAGCCGGAAGAACAACCACCACCACCAAAGGGATACTAACCACCAGCAGGAAAAATTAACCAACAACAACCAGGACCGTACGGCCAAGATGTTTTTCGCATAGCTCGAAGTGGCAGGGAGGCGGATATCCGTTTCTCCCATACCACGAGAGTAAGAAGCAGACTTTCGGCCCAGAACAATGCTGCCGAGCAGCGAGCCCGACGCCTTAACTGTCGCGAGACCGGATCAGGGGTGGGAGCCCCCTACAATTCCGCGGCTCGCACAGGTGGCTGGCTACATTTCAACACAGGGCTCATAAGTCTTGTCTTTTTTTTTTTCTTTTTTTTTTCTATTTTTCTTGGTGGAGTTTTGTTGTTTGTCTGGAAGACATTTTGTTTTGAAACTGGAACTGGAACCGTAAACTGGAATTGAGATTGGGGTTGGTGGCAACTATTTTGTTTGTTTGTTTGGCGTTTACATGATTCTCTCTCGGGGATGGTGGAGGGGTAGAGAGATTTAGAGCACACATCACACGCACACACACACGCACACAACACATCTCTCATCGCGAAGAGCGGCAGCACTCACCCAGATTGAAATACGATGACGATGATGAGCTCACCCTGCGCAGTATCCCTCTTCCTTCGTGCTTTGATTGTGATATTCCTTGACTAACAGTGCTTCGCCTATCTAGGATCGGAATGACGGTTCTTACGGCTAGCTTGTTTCACACGCGATTCGGATGCGATATGGGAGGTAAGTTTATCCTTGTGTTAGGAGGCAGATTAGGTAGTTGTAGGAGGTGACATGTAAGTGATTTTCTACGACGCCTTATTACTCCCAGTTTAGAGCGTTACTGCTAATGACTATGGCCTTATTGGTGTGGAAAGGGGGACGGTAGAGAGGATGGTTTGGCTTCAGACTGAATACATACATACCTTAGGTACCTGTGTAACTAGCTAGATTGCAAATACAGAACCAACATTGAAGCCTGATAGCCACGGGCTCAATAAAAATTTACAAAGGGCAGACGTCCCGTTACGACTTATAATTATCTACTCTCCACGTAAGGTCAAGCTAAGAATAGGCATATGAATTCAAGAACGAACCGTGTACCACTTGTAATGTACACGGGGTGTATATTCTATTCAACACACCTACCCTCTCTATCTAGCGTCTATTCTAGAGAAAGGTAACCGAGGCTCAGAGGTCTATCTATCGAGGCTTTATCTTCGTCCAGCCACTGGTGCCCTTCTCCCTCTCGCGCTCTCTACCCGCGACAGCTCCATCAGGTATCCTAGTAGTATTATTATGATCGCCACTGCTACCGCTCCTAACGGTGTTGACGCTCATATAACTCTCGATGCCGAAGCGGTGGCCCGGAACACCCAGCTGGCCTGTATGCGATGCTCCGCCGACTAGAACGCCATCATCAAGCGCGTCGTCTGGTGTCCATGCGTCATCTTCTAGTAGCTCCCACTCTGGAACTGGGTTCTCACGCACTAGCTTAGCCTTCAGCCTGTCGACCATCTTGATCACGGTAGGCATCTTGAAGCTCCGGGCGAGCTCTGTACCTGCCGCGCTGCCGAGATAGGTGTGAGCTGTGCCGTGCGAGTACAGCCCCATGCGGGGAGCTGTTCTGCCGAGCTCGGCCGGGTTGTTACCGGTGGTGTGGGAAGCGGCCTCTGCGATATGTTGGGGGTTACGCTGCAGGGAGGAGTTGATGAGGAGGTTATATAAATTCCGTCCCACGCAGGAGAATTCCTCGAGGCTGTTGCTGTTATCGCCCATAGGTACGCCTTGCGTCCGGCAAAGCCAGACGATGTCGTACGCTAGCAGACAGACTGCCTCGAGGAAGGCATTGTATGCCAATGGGTCCTCTTTGCTAAGGAGTGACAGGGGCTTCTCGAGAAAAAGAGGTCGAGGATGTGGGACATGGGTGAACTGGCGATCACGTGGATCAGGGGGTATGAGGGATGTACCAGGAAATGGGACGTCGCCATGATGGTATGAAGATGTCAAGGAAAAGATAGTTGGCTTGGGATAGTCGTTGTGTGGTAGTGTAAATTCGGCGGGAAGACGAATAGATAAGTAGTGAGAGGTAAGCCATAATAGGTGGGCGATGTGCGCGAGAGAAGCTGAGATAAGCTCAGGTTGCGCGCCTATGCGAATATTAGATGCGGTTCAGCGACTACGAAATACCTATAGGTAGAAGTACCTATCGGTGAAAATACTTACTGTTCAGATTGTGTAAATCGACGATGTCGATGCCGCCGATCTTGTACTCGAACCGGACGGGATTCCCGCGACGTACGCGCTGCAGTCTATATAACTTGGCCACCTCCATACACAACGCAGTACGGTATTGAGTCATAGCATCGTACTCTCGATCCCACATATATTTGGACATCTTCGCGACCTTCTTAGTCTCCTCAAGCTCTCGGTTTCGCCGCGCGGAGATACCCTGAGCCGCGGTGGCAAGATCCGCCTTCTTACGGGCGATACTGGCTTTGCGCTCCTGTATCTCTTTCTTTGCAGCTTCAACCTCTTTACGGAGCTTATCTGCCATCGCTATGATCTGCTCGGTCCTCTCCTTAGCCTTACGTTCCTCGGATATACAGTTCTCTACGTAGGCTCGAGTAGACCGATCGTTTACGGGGTTTCTGGCACTCGCGTCGCTGTCTAACAGTAGCTTGGTGACTCGAGACTCGAGTTCTTCGGCCTCCATGAGGATCCGAGCGTTAGCTATTCGTCTCTCGTATAATTCATTTCTCGCATCGACCGCGCAGAAGAAGGGTAGCCTCGATGGGTGGTGCAACCGATGGCAGATATCGCAATTCATGGTGGGCGGGACTTTGTCGGGTTGGAATTAACGAAAAGAGACGCGCTTCTACGAATAGCAAGCGGCCGATTGAGGTAGTCCTATTACATTTGCGAGGTGAGAAACCTGCATATCGACTTGCCACAAAAAGGCTATATAATTACGGACAAGAAAGAGGCGATACGAAAAAGCATTAATCGAGAAAAGATATAAGAATGGCAAGATTAGAGAAGATGAGGGACGGAATGGCTGAAATGTTTCAATGTTCCTGTGACGTTGAGAGGTGCAGGGGTATGAGTCTTAGCGTGTACTACCTACATAGTACGTACAGTGTACACTAGGTAGCTACCTAAGGTACCTACTAACCTTACTTTAAAGTTTATCAGGCCTTATCAGTAACCTATCAGCCTATCAGTTTTCATCATAGTACATAGTAGGTATATATGCCAAGTCTTCCGAGTCTCGTTCAAATCAACTTGACTCTTGGGCAGCCACGCGTTTCCCTCTCATCGTCTTTCAGGTACATAATATGTAACAAAAAAAAAGGAAAAGAAAAAGAGTTCTCTTTACCTTGATATATCCTCGTATAAATCTAAAAAAAAGTGGGAGTTTAGAATTATCAGGTGATCAGTTTCTTTCACCTCAGCTGCCCTCTTCCATCCGCTTCTTAGTCGTGTCACGCGTCGTCTGTTCTCTACAGTAACAGATAGCTATAGCGAAAGCTAGCATCATGTCTACCACACCTAGATCATCATCACCGGTAAAGCAATCCCTTTCTCAGGATGAAGTAGCCGGTGATCAATCCATGATGGTAGAGCTACCAACTCATCTGGGTGACCAAACCGAACTTGTTGAGCCAGAGGAGGATGTCACAGTAAAACTGCATTCACAATCGCAGCCACAATCACCTCCACGGAAGGTTGACCAGGTTCAAGACATGTCTGCTCTGGCTAGAAATATAGACCGTCAGCGTCAAACACGGACACCCGACGCGCAAAAGCGACGGAGCAATAGGTCGGAAATGCAGAGTCCCGGCCATATCGTTGCATTTGACTGGGAAGACTTCGAGGATCGCTACGAGAAAGCCCTACAAGAGGCTGATGAGCAAGAGAAGCAGCTCTTGGAAGAGTTTGAAACTCTTGTCAAGGTAAGCCAAGTTACCTATGTTATGTTATAGTCATGGACGAATGAAGGACTCTTGCAGCATGTAAGGAACGTACTGGATTATCGCTAACTTTATACAAGTACTTCAACGTCTGGGCCTCGGCTTCGTCCGCCCACGATAATGAGAGAGCGGTGAAGAGGTCTGCCATCCTTTCTTTCATCACCTCCGCACGGGAATAGTATTAAACAATTAAAACAGGTTACAAACTCGCGAAAGACACGTTCGACTATCCGAGCAGGCACTCTTACAAAAGAAGCAGCATTGTAGGTATTGTCGCTCCCGATTCTTAGATGTCCGAGACTGACTATAAAGTAGTATCCGAAGTCGTGAAAGCTTTCCAGAGCGCTCTAGCACTTCTGAGATCAACTTGAGCCAATATATTGCATTTGATGATGTCCTAGGCTATGTCGGCGTTTGCATTCGATGTAGGTGAGGGTTACGACATGACGACTTTTACGACGCTTATGAATTAGTTATGATATCGCTTTGCTTTGTACTTGATTGTGTACATACAATTGCTTACTTTATAACATATGTAACTACCTACCTAGATATATATAGGTAGCTTTATGATTTAGGTATTTTATGATGTTTTCTCAACACTCCGTATGGTTAGGTACCTAGGTACATACGTGCCCAGGTGCAATGTGCATTGGCAGAGGTACCTAACCGTTTACACAGTGCTCAACCGACCAAACGCGACGCGGTTCATAGGTACCTGGCAAAGCGCGGTTATCGATAACGGACAATTTACTACCATGTAGCTACCTCCTACCTCCTACTCAACCCTTCCAACTTCTTTTTACTTCTCTTTCTCCGGCACCAAGCATTCGGCCACGACCAGCGATTTAGTTATTCTACTGCCATGTCTGCTACTCTCCAAGGCTCAGGCCACTTTCAAGTGCCAGAAGTTTCACAGGTATGCTTGACTTATTTGCTTCTTCATCGGTCCTTTTCTTCAATTGGCTAATGCTGACTTCCTAGGCAGGAGGATATAAGCTCATTTCACGACGCGCATTTCTCCTTTGCAGCTGTCGAGCTCTTCGATACCCAGTTTTTGCAACCAGAAAACACGCAAGATGATAATCAATACTACGAGGAATATGAAGAATACTACGAAGAAGAGGATGACGGCTTAGGCTATTATCCAGATGGCGTCAAGCGCACGCTCACTGATGAGCAAATCGCTATATTTCGGCATTCCGAAATTGAAGCCCTACGCCGCGCTAAGAGGAGAGCCGCTAAGCTCGGAGAAACTTCGATCGCGCCGTTGCAAGTTCACGAAGATGACTCTATATCTACTGGTGGCCCTAATCCCGACTCGATAGCGATAATATTGCCTACGATACCGGATGAGGGCCAAGAAGAACACAAGGGGAAAAGGGGCGATTTGCAAGATGGCAGCGAGGACGGAGAAATCGAAGAAGAAAAGCCTGCGCCTACAGAAGCTGAGATCAAGCGTCAGAAAAAACAACGGGCGAGAAAAAGGAAGCAGGAGCAACGCAAGTTCCAACCCGAGAAGAAGCCCGATCTACGAAAGAGGACGTGGGACGTAGTCGAGGCTGGTATGGACAGCTTGTACTACGACGACGAAACCGCTCAGGACACTACTGCCGCTCCTGCGGCGCAGAGACGAAGGATATCGTACGACGATTAAAGACTGCGGAAAGGAGAAGAGAAAAAGGAAAAGAGAAATGGATTATCCGTATAGCTCTACGGCACCTTATTCACGAGGCATCTACCTGATTCGTGGTGGATAAGTGGATAAGTGGTTGTTGGTACGTGGTTAGATGATGATAATGACTGGCTACCTAGGTTAGTGTTTTTTCATTCCCAAATTCCCTTTGTCTATTTCGTTTCCGTGATGAGAACCTTTGTATCGTCATCCTTAGTCTGAAAGTCCCGAGAGCTGCCTGAAGTTGGCTTCTGGCTGGCGGATGGTTGGCTTACCTAGACGGATGCATGTCGAATAAATAATCTTCTCTCTGAAAGCGTCGTTCATAAACGCTCTTTGCATATCCTCTATTTTTTTTCTTCTAGTATGTCTAACGTTCGCGCGCTAACCATCTATTTGGGTCTACAAGTTTTAGGTGGCATATCTAGTTTGAAGGGTCTGCAATCGCGAACAATGGAAGAAGGCATTGTTTGGGACATTGTCTACTACTATCTACCTGATAGGGGGGGTAGCTAGCCGAAGGGATACCTATCGGTACCTACTGACGACTTGTGCAAGATGGAGAAAAGCTGCTCATGTTAGGTTAGGTATAGGTTGATAAGGAGGTACATAAGTACATAATATTTACATCAGGTAGGTACCTCCTAAGGAGGACCTTAGGTAGAGTTTGCGGGAACACACAAAGAGTTTCTATGTTCTATTGGCACGAACTGGTTTAGGTGCTGTAATGCAGAAGAGATTAGGTACCTAGGTACTATGTAGGTAAGCAGCTTTCTCTAGGTCGTATATACCTAAGGTACCTTAGGTAGGTTAGGTAGGAGGTACATAGAATACCGCCTAGGTCCAGTACTACCTGTTATACGGTATAAAGTTTATTCTAGGTAGTAACTTACATACTGTATTAATCCAATCGGCTAACCCATTCGGCCAGGGTACTTTAGGTAGAGACTCCACAACTCCACCCTCCAGCTTTTCCAAAACGGTAGAACCTGGTTTATCACCATCCCACTTTCAAATCTCCCATCCCACCACCTACGTACCAAGACAAATTCGGGAACATTCATACTCTACAACCGCGCCATCGCGTGCCACGCTCCCGCTCCGGCCGCCATTTCGAGAGGGTCAAGGCGACGACGTCCAAATCCCGATACCGATATTTTTTTTTACCCGCCGCCATTCGTCTGTCCGTTTACCTCTTACGTTGTCCGTATCCGTAGCTATCTATACCTAGGTATCCGTATCCCGAAAAGGATACCTTACTTTGCCCATCATGGCGCGGGTTTACGCCGATGTAAACCAGAATATGCCTAGAAGCTATTGGGATTATGATAGTGTTAATATCAGTGAGTTCATTTTTTCGATATGGGAGGAATCCTTGTTATCTCCGTCCCAAATCAATATTTCATCACAACATCCCGTTATCCCGTTAGCAAACAGCGAAAGACTAACAACTTGGTTACTACTAGGCTGGGGAATCCTGGAAAATTACGAAGTCGTCCGTAAAATTGGTACGTAGTCATAGTCGTAGTACCACATCCCGTACCCTTCCAATATCGATATATACACATAGCCGAACAACCTCTAACCTTCTCACCGCGATCAGGCAGAGGAAAATACTCAGAGGTCTTCGAAGGCATCAACGTGATTAACTATCAGAAATGCGTCATCAAGGTCCTCAAGCCAGTTAAGAAGAAGAAGATTAAGAGGGAAATAAAAATTCTTCAGAACCTCTCGGGCGGTCCCAATATTGTCGCCCTCCTCGACGTTGTTAGAGACAGCCAAGTAAGCAGCCACCTTTTTTTTTTCTTTTTTCTCTCTTCTTCCCTTCTCAATCATGCCGAGCCGCGTTTTGACCGCTAACTCTCTTTCTCTCTTTCTCCCCTTATAGAGCAAGACGCCCTCTCTCATCTTTGAATACGTCAATAACACAGACTTCCGGAGCCTATACCCCAAGTTCAACGACATCGATGTCCGTTACTACATCTATGAATTGCTGAAGGCTCTCGACTACTGCCACAGCAAGGGTATTATGCACCGAGACGTGAAGCCTCATAACGTTATGATCGATCATGAGAACAGAAAGGTACTTTTATCATTATCTACCTCCCCTACTATAATTATTATTTTTTGCTCACGCGTTTTCTAGCTACGTCTTATCGATTGGGGTCTAGCTGAGTTCTATCATCCCGGAACCGAGTATAACGTGCGCGTAAGTTTTATCATGTAGTTCCCATACCCCCTTACCCATCGCTCCATGAGTGTTTTTTTCATATCAGTACATCTACATACAGTTATACTGTTGGTGTTTCAGCCAGTGGCATGATGCTCAAAGATGCTCAAAGATGCTCAAAATCAAGTCAATGCTAACGTTGCTCCTAGGTTGCATCCCGTTACTTCAAAGGGCCCGAACTTTTAGTTGATTTCCAGGAGTACGACTACAGTTTAGACATGTGGAGTCTAGGTGCTATGTTTGCCTCTATGATCTTTAGGAAGGAGCCCTTTTTCCACGGTAACAGCAACTCGGACCAGCTAGTCAAGATCGCGAAAGTCCTTGGTACTGATGATCTGTTTGACTATCTGGACAAGTACGAAATAGAGCTTGACCCTCAGTACGATGACATCTTGGGTCATTTCACCAAGAAGCCTTGGCATAGCTTTGTCAACACCGAAAATCAACGATTCGTGAGCAACGAGGCCATTGACTTCCTCGACAAACTTTTGCGATACGATCATCAGGTATGCATTGCTACTCGATTCTTGTTTGATAAGTTTTATGATTTTACCTATGTGCTAACGGATAAAAAGGAACGTCTTACTGCAAAAGAAGCTATGGCCCACCCCTATTTCGCCCCGATCCGGGACGAAGCTACTCTTAAAGAGTATCTTGGTGGTGCGACTGTTAGCTCAGAGTCTTAGGGCATACTGGCCTAGCCAACGTATTGCATGCCTAGTTCCAGCTCTTCTACGAATTCTTTAGATACCCGCGCCTATCCCCGCTCATCGTTCGATTGGTCTCGAGCTCCCCAACCATGACGAGTACGCACCTTCGCGTCTCGCGCAAATAGCATAGCCTTTCCTCCCGTATGCTAAGCTGCACGCCGCCGAAATTAGGTAGAAGTTTTTAGTTAGGGGTAAAATTCCACGGAAAGGCCTAACACGATACGTTAAACCGCCTTGTCAAACCCATCTTCGAGGCGGCAACATTTTCACATGGCATACCGATAAGAAAAGCAATGAATTAATACGAGGTTTTTTTATTTCTTATCTTTCTTTTTTTACCACTTTACCACGACTGCGTAAATCCGTTTTTTTTCCCTTTCCGCTCATTATTTATTCCGTGAGATTGCTCCCAATGCCCCGTGGTCCGATGTTGGAAGCGTGATGGATCGGAACATGGATTAGATGAACCTGTCTTAGCTGGACCTTTTTGGCGTCCTTGGGATTTTCTGGCTCGGTAAAGGGGGAGGGTTGAGATGGGCAGCGTTTGTTTTTTTGTTGGTTTTAGGAGGTGACTTAGGAGGAGGCATCAGTATAAGAGATGTTTTGTTTTAACCCCTTCCCCCCTTTTCTTTTTCTTACTGTTTTCCATTCCTCGTGGCGATCAGGTGTGGGGTATTCGGCAAGATTGCTATCACTAGGTACTACTACGACTACTACTATGGCTTACGAGGTGCTAGGTATAAGACAAGGCTACCGAGGTTAGTATGGCAGGCAAGCATGGGAAGGGAAATATTAGCAGAGTAACTGTAGTAGCGTACGCGAATAGACGGATAAGACGAGTTTGATTGATAAATGTTGTCGCTACTTATAAGTGGTTTTTTTTCTTCTTTTCGTATGGATGTGAGAATGGTTGCTTTTTCTCTGTAAAGATTCATTTATGTCTTAAGATTGTATGCTTTATTGACCATGTTCGTACTTGGTTTTGGGAGGGAGTTTTTGAGAAAAGGAAATCCTATTGTTTTTTTTGTTTTTGTTTTTTCTGATTTTGATATATTCGGTATATTAACAGGTAGCTCGGTTGGTTTACCGTTTGCCAGTGTTGAGGTTTTTAGTTGTGAGCCGTACTACTTCGTAGGTTAGGTACCTCCTTTTATATCGTATATGATCATGACTACAATGTACTAACTACCTCATATCACAGCGAAGATGAAGTCTAGTAGGTACCAGGTATATGTTATACCTGTAGTCTTGTTATTACTGGCTTACCTAGGTTGGGTAGCTATGCCCATACTCTAATTCTAGGCGAAGCCACCAGCTCCCTTCAGCTAACTAGCTAGCTAGCTATGTAGGTTTCCTAGCTATATATATATATAAGGTATATAGCACCTAATATACTTCTGTTCCATCTCTTATCATTATCACCACCGACCCATCTCAAAAGCCAGGTTTATCTACCTCACATACCTAACCTAGGTACCTATATCCGACCCCATCGTTCCAATCACCCTCCCGTAGTCTATGTGCCTTATTTGCAGCACGTAAAGCAGAAATCGCGATCACACACGAACCCGTCCTCGCCACACCTCCGCGTCTCGCCGCCACCACCGGACGTACCGCGCACAGGACTACTACCACTACTCCTCATCACGACGCTCGGGCTCATGGCTCTACTCCCCCCTCCACCTCCTATCTTCTTCGCTCTCCTAGACGGCGAAGAAGCGAGGAAACCGACGCTATCTACGTTTACCACTGTGCGCGCGAGAGGCGAGCTCTGCGCCACGGGGCTGCTGGCCACTGCGAATGTGCGCTTCGTGCCGCGGAACGCGCGGGAGTCGGTGGCGGGGGGTAAGGTTGGGTGTTTGCTCGTGCGGTGGTGAGGGGTAGTAGTAATAGTAGTCGTATTGTTGGAGCCGATGAGGAAGCCGTGGCGACGGTCGGGTTTACGCGGCGATGAGGAGTTTGAATGTTTATGGTGACGGTGATGGTGACGAGAAGTCATGGTACGGTCATGTTCAGGGATGAAAAATGGGCTTGTAGGGACGCTCGATGAGAGAATGCTTAACTCGTCGTCGTCCTGGGTTGGGTCGTTAGGAATAAGGGATGTTAGGGCGAATCTTTTCCTAGAGGAAGGTGTACGATGGGTGCTGTTTGGGCTTTGGACGGTTGCTGACATTCTGCTACGTTTCTTTGGCGTACTGGGAGCTAATGTTTTGGATGTGGCTTTCTTAGCTGGAGAAGGACGTTTCTTCGGCGGGTTTGGAAGATCTATTGGTTCGACTTCGTTGCCTTGTTCACTTTGGATAGCTACGGGTCGCAAGACTAACTGAGACGTCTCAGCGGAAGGACTTAATTGTGGTAGAGGCGGTATCTCTGGTTCTTGTGCAACTGGAGGTTCAACTTCTCCCTCTTTAAGAGAGTCCGGTAGGTCTGGACCTTGTTCCACGATATCTGGTTGGGCCGTAGCATGCTCAAGAAGGGGTTCCAATTCCATAGTAGGTGAGGCGGAGGGTGGCATAGCTCCTAGTTCTTGGACAGGATCGGGTAACTGGTTAATGGTCTCCTCAGGCTTAATTGTTGCAGGGGGAATCGGGGTTAGTTCATGAGAATTACCCCGCGCGGGATTAATTTCCAGGACTTCTTGGGAGGCGTCCTGAATCTCACTGTGCATGAGATCATATAATGCAGGATCTACACACTTTGCATCTTTCAAGCCACCATCCTCTAAGTTGATTCCTCGATCGGTCTGGTCCAAATCCGGTAGGCTATCGAGTAGTTTCGGCTCATTCAAAAGGCTACTAGGCGATGCAGGCTCGCTATCCGGCGGTGTTTTGCTAACTGTTGGTATTCCCGTCGCTAACGTGCTGGCCTCATGGTTTGAAAACAGGAAATCTGTCTCTCCAGAATTATCAATGCTAGAATGGAGATTGCCTATCTCAGCCTCGTATATCATATTCCCGGTTATCATAATCTCCTGATCATTTATATCTTCGTGATCCACCGGTAGCTCGTCACCATGGCTTTCTTCATTCGGGGTAGGAATACCAGCCTGATTGACAGGCTCTTTGTCGTTTAATTCTTTGAGCTCTTCGCCTACTATAGGCTGGGTGACCTCTACATGCTGAGTAGCCTCAGACTCTGCATGATCTATATATTCATCTACTTTTGGAGCTGACGAATCAGAAGTTTCTAAGACCACATCTTCGGGGGGATTTGATGGATTGACTGTCGTTGGGCTTTGATGACTTTTGGGCTCACGACTTCGGGTTGACTTCTCAAAAACATCGGCAGGTCCCCTCGCCCGAATTAAAATCTCGATTCGGCTTAGCCTTTCAGCTGCCTGCCCAATTATAGCGAAGTCTTCCTCTAGCAAAGGTGGTGGCGATATTATCTCTTTCGGAGAATATGACTGCTCTGCGGACACGGCTGCCTTTCTCGGTCGTCGACGATGTGGCTTCTGATGGATGTGTGAACCCTTTTCAGTTGCATTCACGGAGTGTACCTCCGTTTCCTTCTGGTCCGTTCGCTTTAGCTTCTTAATTACTGATGTCAATGGGGAGGATTTGCTCCTTTCGATAGTCGTAATCTCAGTGGTATCCTGTGTAGTGTTTCCTGACAAGATATCGTCCTCTTCGGAATCATTAGTAGCCGGCGTCGGACGAGGCAAGACTTTCTGTTTCGTTGTCTTTGCATGAGGAAAATTCTTCGGTACTTGTTGCTGAAAGGGAGGACCGAGGAAAGCATTATGATAGCTCCCTGGGCCCCCTGAGCCCCCTGGCACCATCGACGGTCCATATCCAAGTGGATGGTGATATCCCATAGGTTGGCCCATGAACCCAAATCTATCCTGATAGAAGGTAGGTAATGGGAGCTCTGGGGTTTGCCAAAGCGGGTCGACAGAACTGCTACCGATCATGGGGGGGCCGAACATAAACGGATCAGAGAGGCCGAATGAATGCAATTGCATGCCAGGATATGGCAGTGGATAATTGAATCCACCAGGCATAGGAGGTTGACTGAGTCCTGCGTATGGATCTGGAGAAGGACTGTGTATTGGACCATGTATTGGACCATGTAGTGGTGGCATAGTTGGTGGTATAGTTGTTGACAAAGATTGATGTCCAAAGCCTTCTACCAGCTGGTCTTCTTTTCCTTTGGCAACTTCGGCAACTTTGGCAGCTCCTTCTTCGTCGCTTAACACGGAACCTTCCCGATTACGATCCTTCTCATCTTCCAGGGATAAGAGGTGTCCATTATCGACGATCACCTCCCCAGTCTCAAGGTCAATCTCATCACCGATGCCAGTGAAATCCCTCTCATATTTTTCAAAGATACGCTCAAAGGCCGACTTTAGTCTCGTTGCCGCTTTGGCCCTTTTCTTATCCAATTGGTAAAGAGGGTCTTGCCTGGCATTAAACTGGGTAGGGCTCATAGAAAGCTCATCTATGTTCCCATCATCGTCATCATCGTCATCATTATCATAAGGGGCTTGCCCAAGCTTCGATCTCTTCGAAGGAGGTTCCATGATTTCCCGTTATGTTGCCATGGTTTCAATGGCTTTTTGTAAGTATCGAAATAAATTCCGACGGCCGAGATTTAATTACTTAGAATTTATGCGAGGTGGAATAAGAAGATGAAAAAGTATCATGAAAAAAAGGGTGTATAATTCGAGATTCGTAAATTGTAACTGCTTTGATTGAACGCGTCTATGAATGTGGATAAGCGCGTCCGTATCTTATCAGACAATCCGACAATGCAATGAGTTTCCCTACGCGCCTAAATGACTTAGGTACTCCACAAGTACCAAATACCGAAGAGTTTCTCAGCTACAAGCCTAAAATCACCCCTAAAAACAGCAGTAACAGCCTGATTAGGTACCTACATTACTTAGCGCTGCAGGTACCTGTGTGATCAGCTGATGACGTATGTACCAAGCATACCTGGCACCTAGCTATCAAATGCACGGCCGCTATCAAAACTTACTTCTTCTTCTTCTTGCACATACCACAAAGTTAACCGGACCAGCATGGAATTGAGGAAGGGCATCCTAAACTCGCCATGTATTGCCAAAAGTGTCGCACCCCGCTCAAGCTAGACGGGTCGTTAGCAGACCTAAACCCAGCTGCATTTGATCTACTCATCGGTCTGGTATTCCGCCCTAAAGCGGCTGTCGCATAGCAACTAACCATCATTTCGCAGCTACATCCTCTCAGCAGAATCCGAAGCGATCGCCTTCTTCGCGATTAACCTACCCGAACGACGCCGAACGGAGAGCCCTATATGATAAAGTATCCAGAGATGCTGGCCCGGCAACGTTCAAAAGAAATAGCAGCGGCTTGCGTAGCGATGGCCACCCTCGCGATAGCTCCGCCATGTCCTTCGTCCTCCTCACAGAATCACAAGTCGCACCACCAAGGCTTACGCCTCCCGTAGAGTCACAGAGTCCGAGACAGCAACGTCGAGCGTCAACGTCCAGCGGCCAACAACGTAATGACGGAAAGCGACCAGCGCAACCCCACGAAGCCGAGCGGGTCAATAAGCTTTTTGAAATACTATCCGCGCGCTCGGATGTAGACCATCCCGTCTGCGTCGAATGTACGGAGATGTTGGTAGACGGGCTCCAGAAGAAACTAGAATCCACGGCGCGGGAACGCGATGCTTACGCGGCCTTCCTCAAGCAAGTCCAAGCCGACGTGCCCAGCGAAGAGGACATTGCGGAATCGGAAAAGGCGGTAGAAAAAGCCCGGAAGGAGGAGGAGGAATCGATGAAGCAGCTGTTGGCGCTGGAGAAGGAAAAGGCGGCTCTCGACCTCGAAATAGCAGCCCTCGAGGACGAGTCGCAAGCACTGGATGCCGAAGAGGAGCAGTTCTGGCGGGAGCGCAACGCCTTTGCGGTGAAGCTCGCCGAGTTCCAGAACGAGCGAGACAGCATCAACTCCAAATTCGACCACGACTCTCAACTTCTTACGAAGCTCCAGCGAGCAAACGTCTACAACGACACATTCTCGATACACCACGACGGTCACTTCGCAACGATCAACGGGTTACGGCTCGGCAGGCTATCGTCCAAGCCCGTCGACTGGCCAGAGATCAACGCTGCTTGGGGCCAAGCACTGCTATTAGTCGTCACCGTTGCCGAGAAGCTGGGCTATAAATTCGACGGGTACGAACCCTTACCGATGGGTTCGACATCCAAGATCATCCGCTACGAGTACCCGTCCCCCTCCGCCAGTCGCCTCGGCGGACATCGCAGCGGACCCCCTCCGGCCCCCAAGAAAACCGTGCTGGACCTATTTTCCTCGGGCGATCTGCCCCTGCAAATGCTATGGAACCGGAAGTTCGACCAGGGGATGGTAGCCTTCCTGGAGCTCGTGCGACAGCTCGGGGCGTTCGTCCACCAGCAGACGAAGGAGAGCAGCGGCGGCGGCGGAAGTGGCGGCAGTGGTGGCGGCAGGGGCGAGTACGCGGCTAATCCGCTCGCGCTCCCGTACAAGATCGAGGGAGACAAGATCGGGGACGATCGGATAGGCCACTTTAGCATTAAGTTGGGCATGAACAACGACGAGAGCTGGACGAAGGCGTGCAAGTTCGCGCTGACGTGTTGCAAATTTCTGATCGCGCACGCGAGCAACGTGAGTCATGTAGCGAACGGACGTTGAGTTATTACCTAGTGGGTGCCTTGTTTGTTTTTGTAACGAGTTAGAAAGGGCGGTGTCCGGCGTTGATACCTAGGACGGATTTATACCGCTATCATGGCTAGGGTAAGATTAACATTAGGTTATTAGAGAGTATGTTATATTAGTTCCTAGATATCCGATGTACACCTTTTTTGAGGGCGCCATCCTTGTGTAGATCTATATTAGGTTAGGAGGTAGTTATTATTATTATACCTACTCCAGCGGTTAAACTAACATGAATGATACTATTTGCCAGATGTGCTCGTTGATGGATGTCATATACAGAGCGAATGTCAGGGCCTATTAAAACTAGGTAAACTGTATCTACTGGTTGTACGTGACACAAGCGCGGCATACTGCTATATTATTCATGCTTTGGACATTTCTGGTCTTGATGTGATTGATCTTGTAGTTGTCTTGATAAAGGTCTTGGTTCAAAGGACCGTTACTAGTACTAATTCTCCCTCCCTTTCGTTGGGGACCTAAATAAGTACCTACCTATCATATTAAGCTTTGCTTATGCTATCAAGCATCAGGCTTGATCTCATCTCCTTATCTCCTTAGCTCACTCCTCACAGGTAGCCGACGGCGTAGATGGCGTAGATGGCGTAGATGGCGTAGATGGCGTAGATGGCGGATTGTGAGGATAGGATGCAGCAGGTACGAAGGATCTTCGGATCTATCAGATCTTTTTATACTCTCGATTAGAGTTTACTAGTATACATCCCATCCTTTGTACTGCATCCTATCCTGACACGGGTAGCCTGTAGTTGACGAAGTGAGCACCGGGAGTGGTTGTCCACCACTATCCATTTTCTCCTTAACTTCGTCGTACCCAGGAATGAGACCAATCCATCCAGCTTGAGGGGGAATAGCTTCGGCCCAGGCCATGGCTGAATTTGTGGTATCGATGGCGGCCAAGTAGCATACGTTGTAATAGACGTTAAGTTAGGTAACGTCATGAGTAATATAAATGTAAGGTGCGCACGCAAAGCACGACGTGCACCGAGGTCTTATAAAAGAGGATTTATTGTCCAGTCAAGGTCGTTGCGAAACCAGGGCGGTAACGCAGTCGCCAGATCCAGAGCCCGTCTTTAACAAGCATGTATATGGCTGTTTTCAATCGGACCATTTATATCGGAAGGACGTAGCCTAAAGGTTGTCTCGCGCGATGTCATATCTGGGTTCGTAATACAGAAACACATCACAGAATTAATCAGACAGTGATCCCCGTGATGATGTTTACAATATAACGTTTGGCTCATATGGTTGTGCTGGTTGTCCGTCAAAGGCTAGACCGTAGACACGGTTCGCATAGCTCTGGTATGCACCTCGATGTCTGTTAATCTAGTCAGTTTTCATATATTCATGTCTCATCCTTTCCCTCGTAACCGTTCAACGTCAAGAATAATATCAAAGGGGGTGGTTGTGTTGAGATAGGTATAGGATATATTCGTACTTACCTTATTCGATCGTTGTGCGTATTTCCTAATAGGTAATATTCTGATATGATTCTTTATGATGTTAGGTAGATATACTCTTGATGGTTGGGGGGTGGTTATGTTGAACTAGGTATGGGTTCGAAAGATAGCGAAGTTAGTCCAACAGTGCCCTCGTTCCCCCGTTGTGGCGTGTTGACAGATGTATAGACTTTGGGATACGCTTGGGTATAGTCAATAGAGCGAATAATTTATAGTGGTTAATACTGATAATAATCGTCAATTAAAGTAGAGTAAACAGAGTGGAATAGAGTAGAGTATTGAAAGTGTTAATTATGGAGTGTTGAATTCGAACTTGTCATGGTTGAAAGGTCAGGAGGTACTTAATGACACCTATGTACCTAAGGCAGGTACGACTGCCGTAGTTTACTTTTCAAGGAAATTAAGTCGGTGCCAATTCTGCCTTAGGTAGATCGTTGCTGCCTCATATCGTCATTATTGGGGGTAAGTACCTTAGCAGTGGGTTGTATGAAGAAGTTACTCCTTGCTCATCTCTTGCTAAGGCTGCTGCATCCCATCTTCATTTCATCTTCTCTTCCTTTTCTCCCATAAACCCATCCCTTACGCTTCTCCTTATTCGCCAACTCCCGATTCAACCTCTACAAGCATACCTACCTACCCTCCCACAAATTCACAGCAATCCTTCCTTAAACTCAGGACATACGACAATACATTAAATACGCCTCGACTTTTCAAAGCTTTTTTTTTGGCATTATTTATTACATATCTTACGGTCCTTGGTGTTTTCCATGCTTATACTAGGAACAACTTTACAAGACAACACGTTGAACAATTCTTTACGTGGCAAATATGCCACACTTTTCACTCCTCAATCAGCAAACCAACCAACCCAACATGTCGAAAGACTTCTTCTATTATTACAAAAGTTCTCTTGCCCTACAACGCGAACTTGGGATATTTCTTCAAGCACAAACTTATGGGGTACGGATCTGACAGATCTTCTCTTTCACCCGTCCCCTTTCAAGGCCATCTCTCGTCTCACGTCTACCCTCGCCATGGATCAGAGTTCGGAGAGCCCCATCGCCATATATGAGCGCTGTGGAAAGCTGTTTGTGTTTTGTTCCGCACCCAACTGTTTTTAGCTAATCTATCCGACCTCGACGTCCCTCACCGCCCACCTTAGACTTTATTATCCAAAGTTTTCGTAGGCATCTATTAACAATATAATTACAAAAGCCTCACAGCTAGGAGTGTTATTGGATCCCGCTTCATCTCTCCATTTTATGACGTGGCTGATTAACTTGGTGACATTTGACTCCCCCATTGAACCATTCTCACACCTGCCCAATTCAACTTCATTCTACTCGAAATAATGGTCTACCATTTGGTAGCTTCACTCCATTGGGAGTCTTATTTCAATCCCTACCCGCCTAGACTTCTCAATGACTACCCACCACACACCTCATCTCACAACCATAACGACACTCCATCGTCCGGGTGGAGCCCTCGGCGGCCCTTGGAATGACAGTATCTACCGACTATTGACAAAGTACGTTTTTTTTTCTATTGTTAATCTGCCACGTGCATGTTTAAGGAACAGCTGACTGACTTGGCCTAGTTTCTCTCATTGGACGACTTTATTGCAGTGGCGTAGACTCAGAAACGTCCCTCGCAATGTTGTCTTACAGCCAAGGTTTACGTGAACAAAACAAAAATACGTTTATCAACTTCGGTTTTCATGCTTTATCCCTATGGGTTATTGTCTTGTTCTGTCACCACTTGTCGTGGTGTCGTCTATCAAAGTTGTGATAGGAAGTATTCCAATACGCAGCCCTTACAACTATTCTAAGCTCGCTATAGACGTCTACGACTGTTTACCTGCTATCTGGTTGTGGTTAGCTATTCTCAACTCTTCCATAACTTGCTATGTGTTAAGGAGAATAGACCTTACTGAAATAGAGGTGGACATACACTGACACTATAAACCCTGATGGGTTGCGAGGGACTAGTTCAATATTAGATGCAACAGGATATGGGGAGCCTCGGCGATATTTATGGATAGTTGAATACAAGTGCTCGCGATAATATCTTGCTCGCTATATGGCCTGGGTGGACTAAGAAAAAAGGGGGGAGGATGTAAATGCGCTAGCTGACTAACCCAGGTTATACCTAGGTACTTAGGTACCTAAGTACCCTAGCAAATCTCACAGGTAATGACTCTCATAGCTCAGCCCATCTGGTAGCTCAGCCCAAAAAGGCTTGTTATTATTGAGTCTACAGGTCAACCCAATGTCATCCCTGCCCATCAGCCCAACATTTAAGGCGGGCGGCGGGTTATATAAAAGAGGCAACTTAACTTAAAACCTAAGTTAAGGTTCATGCTACCCGAGGGGTAACCTGTTTGCCTGTCCAGTTCAGTTGTCCAGTTATTGTTTTGCGCCCGAATTTCCGAGGATTTTTTTTTTTTTTTTATGTATCAAAAAATGAAAAATTACTAGAACTAGAAGTTCGTCTGCGCGTAACGCCACTGCATTTTTATTGGGTGCATCCTCCAAAACGGTGGTTGTACAGAAAGTCTCCACTTTCGTTCTTTTTCTCGAAATACGTATCTTTTTTAAGTAATAGGTACAATTTCTCAAAGGCCACAGTTCGAATCCCACACATCCTTTTTTTAAGGTATAACTTATGATTCCGCCGGCACCGGTGTCGCGTGCGCATGGCCGCTGGCGTCGGCGTCATGTGACTGGGGTAAAGCGCTTGTTCGTCCGGCTGTACTGTCAAGTTCGATCCGTCGCTACGTTTGGATGAGCTGTGGTGGTTGGCGGCCGCGCCATCCCCATCCCGGTTTCGTGCCATGGGCCTGGCCGTGGTGGCTATGAACGTGTTTGTTCCTATTTGCGCCCATTGATACTCCCGCTGGGAATCACTCCTTGCGGCGTTTTGTGTCTTCTCTACTTCTGCTAGCCGCAACGCCAGGTTGTACACGGGGAGCAGCCTTAGCCGCAGGAACCATCTTATCACAATCCCCGCTTCGTCACCATCTCCTAAGGCTCTCATAGTCACACCTTGACGGGAAGGTCTTGGGAGCCAGCGCTTGCCGCAATGTTTCCCTTTGTCTCGCGTACCTGGGGCACTCCATTATCACATGATACGCTGTTTCATGGAGGCCACAGCGGCACAGCAGTGTGGTCACGTCAGGGACCGACCTCTCAAAGAAGAAGGCTTTCAGGCCTATCTCCTCCGTGTATATATATATTGGCTTCCGAATCTTCCATGCCTCGGCTGTGGGCTGGGTTAGCCACAGGGAGTCCCCGGGGTCCACCCTGTCCTCTGCGTGTTGGGTCCCTGCCTCGGTCTCTCAATGCTTGCATCCACTGCGTGGTGCGCTTCCTTATTCTTTCCATCAGGCTCTGTGCGCCACCACAGCGGCTCTCGAATTCTGCGAGCCTCCTGTCCAGGTAGAGGTTTAGAAGGGGGCAACCCGTTTCACTCTCCAAGTAGGGGTCGCCTTGTATGCCCCCGTGACTTCCGGAGGCACGCTAACTTTATCTTCTCCATCTCCTTGGCTATTCCGGTTGCTTTCCCTCCTTACTCGGAGAATGGCAGGCTGCTGCGCCGTACGCCATCGCGCTGCGGATGACCTTTGTGTATATCCCCCTCACCTTTGGTGCGTTGCATCCCCACGTGGAGGCAGCTAATCTGGAAAGGGCGTACCGTTGCCGCTCCATCTCAGGTGCCTTCTCCATCGGAGCTTCCTGTCGAGCCACACTCCCAGGAACCGTGCACTTTCCGTCGGCTTGACGTGCATGTCCCCCAGCTTTGCCTCCGTGAGGTCGGGTGCGTGTGCTCTTGTGAAGTGCATCAGTTCGCTCTTGTGCGGCGCAAAAGTCATACCGTGTCTGGTGGCCCATGCTTCGCATTTAGCGTAGGCTCGCTCCAGTCTAGCGCAGTTCTCCGCCGTGTCCATACCCGCCGTCATTAGGTCAGTGTCATCAGCGAAGCCGACCACGAAGATGCCCTCCTCTTCCAGTTCCTCGTATAGCGTCGGGATGTAGAGGATAAACAGTATTGGCGATAGTGGTGACCCTTGCGGGACTCCCGTGTACAGGTCCATCTCCTGGCTGGTCTCGTTGTTAAAGATCATTCTCACTTTCCTGTACTTCATATAGCTTCGGACTCACTTGATGATCCAGGCCGGGAACCCCTTCTATCCGAGGATGTGGAGTAACCGCTCCGGTACCACATGGTCAAAAGCGCCTGTTATGTTAAGTTGGAGAAGGGGTGCTTTGGCTCTGTTCCTCCAGGCCGCGTAGACTACTTCCGTTACCATTCTGATCACTACCTCGGTTAACCTATGTTTGCAGTTGCTTATTTGGCCTTCGGGGAGGAGGTTCTGCGCCTCCGCTGCGTTGGTGACCCGCTCCGCAACTATTCTCTCCACCACCTTGCCTATCGTACTAAGTAACGCTATCGGCCTATAAGCGTTGGAAAGTGCTTTCTCCTCTACCGACTTCCCGGGCTTTGGGTGGACGCTGATTATCGCCCGACGGAGCCTGATCGGGTAGTAACCATATCGGAAACTGTTCTGCGCTATCACAACTATGGCTCAGAACAGGGGCTTCCCGCATTTATACAAGTACCCTGCCGGAAATCCATCCTCACCGGGTGCTTTCCACTTCTTCATCGCCTTAAAGGTATCTTCCACCGTCTGCCAGCTCACATGATCATCGATCTGGAACTTCTCCGTGGGGACCGTGTTTAGGTCAATATCAGAGTGGTGTCTGGCTCCGCGTTGAGAAAGAACCTGTTCCGGAAGACTTCCGCCTTCTGTCCGTGGGTCTCTGTCCTGGGTTGCTCGGCATTATTATTTCTCAGCGTTGGCAAGCTGTGATCCTCTACACCTGTCTGCCAGCTCCTGAGCCTGGCCCATCCCTTCAGTTTCCACAATAACTTGCTGTCCGTGGAGGCTCGAAGTTCTCTACCCTCTCGTTGATTAGCACGACTCTTGCGCTTAGCGGCAGGTTTTGATACGCGACCTAACATCCTGATAATTAGGATTCTAGCTATTAAAGGAAGAGAGGAGAAAGCTTACCGATAGAAGATGTTTGGGACAAAGAACCATGGAGAAGGGGAATAATGTTACGAACCAACAGCCGAGGAGATCACGTTCAAACCTGGGAGCGGGGTCTCAATATCCCTCTGGGCGGATAAACCTCGGAATGACCTGATGGAGGGCAGTGATCTTGGTGATCTTGTGTGATCAACCAGATCCACGAGATCACACCAGATCACATAGAAATGCTATGAACGGTAGCAACAAGAAGTAGGAGAAGCATTTCATATAACTATCGGACGTTTCTCATGTATCTAGTCATTCATTTTCAAGCTCTCTAGCTATCAATCTAAGTCTTATATCTAACCCATATAAGGGGAAGGACTCCAAGCCTTCCTGACGAACACTTCAACATTTATTCCTGACACTTGACTCGTATCGTTACTGTTTACCTGAAAATCAAGACCCATCGGCACTACACTCTAACGTACCTGAGTATAGGTTCGTTACATTTTTTTCTTTTTTTCTTTTTGTAATTAAGCCACTGTTGACCATATCGCCACAGTTTTCAAAAGTGGCTTAAAACGAAGTATGTACGTATTTTCGAAAAACTCTCGAAGTGGAGACAATTCTAACGCTAGAAGATGCATCTAATGAAACATTTCTTCCCCTACGATGCACTTAATAAAAATGCTTAGAACGTTGCGCACGGCCGAGTTGCTTGATCCGGACGAGCTGGGTCAATACAATATCCCGACCAAGTTCGGGCGGGCAAAGCAAAAATGTAATAAGCACTACCTACTTACATAAAGCGCGTAACCCACACAGCACTAAGCAAAATAATAAAAAAAATAAACGCCTCAGGCGGGGGTCGAACCCGCAACCTTGGGATTTCAAGAAATCCTTCGAAATCAAGGAGATTAGTAAAAGTCCCACGCTCTAGCCAATTGAGCTACCAAGGCTGAAAATTGGTTTTGTGTATTGGGGTCTTATAGAAAATTTCATTTCGGAGATCGGGTAACTAGCTGACCAGGTGGGGATTTCATCACTGCGAAATGGCTGGCTGGCATCATTTAGAGTGGTGAAAAGGTTTGCGAAAAGAATAAATTATTGCGGGTTAGCTACCTAATTCCTAGACATTAATCTTTTCATAAGCCTCAAATTACCTATTCACTCCCCGATACCTAATACCAACCCGACCCGACCCAACCCAGCCCAGCCTACCTAATGTAACCGGTCCAATAACATATAACATTAGGTACCCAAAACACTCCTTACACCAATTGACCTTGACCAGTAAGTAGGTTACCTATACCTTAACCTATCATAACAATCATATCAGCTCCAATACATCCTACGTAGCGTCGTAGTTACCTAAGGTAGGTGCGCGCGAGTCAAAGCCTCTTCGCGCCTCTCCTCGCCATCATATCGTAGCGATCCGGGAACAATATCCCATTCGCGAGCCGCAACAGCTCCGCCTCGGCCTTATCCGCGTATCCGCTCTTCTCGTCCCAGGGCAGCAGGCCCATGGATCTGAGGCCTTCCTCGCCGCCCGCGTCGTTCACGTCCTGAACCCCGGGCCGGCCCAGGTACTCGCGCTCGCCGCGGCGCCCGCCGCTCTCGAAGTCGGGCGCGGGGTCGCCGAGGAGGAACGCCTTGCGCTGCCGCGCGAGGTACAGCGCGTTGGTCTGCGTCAGCGGACACGCGGGGATGTATAGCACGCTCGAGTCTGATGCTCCGGCGTGGATGGCGTCGGCTGCGTGGACCGCATCCGGGTGCCAGAGCACGTAATCACCGGGTTCGACGCGCGGGATTGGGACCATTGTCTTGTTCAGTCTTAGATGCGGATGGAGAGCATCGCTTAGTTCCTGGATACCGCTCCCTGGTACGGCACCCTGGATGATGCTATTCTGCGCCACGTGCAGGTTCCAGTTGTCCTCGTGCAGGAAGTTGGGGCCTGACTTGAAGCGTGGGCAGAAGAAAGGTCGGAGAAGGAGGTAGGCGGTTGTGAGCTGTAGCATGGGGCAAGCGAGTAGAGAGCCGCTACCAGGTGGGATCGAGGATAGAGAAAGCCAGCCTTGGAACATTCGAAACATACTGCAGGAACCAGCGCCGTTGTAAAGGTCTGGGGTTACGCGTAGACGAGTGTCACTATCCCAGGGGTCATACTCCTCCCATCGTCCTTGGAAAATCTTGGCGTAGGCACCTGCTCGTCCGTACCCATCCGACTCCCATCTTTCCACGCTCCCGTTGTCTATATGTGGACCGGATGCGAGGGAAGTATCACCGGGTTTCCGCATTCTAATGCGATCTGCGTAGGCTACAGCATGATTACTACTCACAAGAGCATCTTCGTTATTTGAATGCCACACTCTCATGATAAATCTCTGGACCTCAAGCAGCCGTGAGTCGGCCCGTGCTCGTACTTGTCCTGGACTCCAAAATAACTCGTAAAGCTGCGGATCGTGTTGCGGGATGCCTTTGATGGGCGGGTTATGCCGAAGGTATTCCTGTGTTTCTTCCTTCCACGCTACAGCAACATTAGACGGAACGACTCTTCGTATGATAGCAACGCCTCTCTCCTTTAGCGCGTCCCGAAAAATGGCTACCTTAGATGGATCGTGTATATCTAAGTAGTCGATCGACGGTATTATATCGGACCTGGCGGTTTCGATGCGCTCTGCCTCCTTTCTCAACCGGCTGAGAAGACGGTAGAACGAATCTGCAACAGCCTTCTCATTACCAGCAATCAGTTTCCGCTTTATCTTAGCGAATCGTTCGGGAAGCGGAATAGGGCCGAAATCTGGTTGAGATAAATCGACTGCCATCACTCCCTCCCTGCTTCCTTCATGTAAAGATGAGTTTGAGTTTGAATATGTAATAAGTAATGTATATATAAATAAACGCTTCTCCCTATAGATCAACGTAGAACTCCTTGCTACCTAGTGAAAGTAAAGAGAAAGTAAAGAGAAAGTAAAGTGTAAGTAAAGTGTAAGTAGATAGGGATTATTATAGAAGGGCCATCTAATTAGTACGTATAAGAAGGGCAGCGACGATACACCCGTGGGGGTGCATCAGCTCCCGTTGGGGGACGCGATTACTAGCCATCTGCAAGTCGGACGGCGGAGTCAAAGAGAGGATTTGTTTGGGCTATCTGGATATTGAGCGGCTATTAGGTCTTGAGAGGCGAAGACCCACGAAGATGGTCTAGAAGGGATCAAGGCAATGCAATCAGACGTTGTCACGTTGTCTAACGTTAAACTGCATCTGATATCCTGGATGCGTTAATCTTCGGCAACGGACTCCGAAATAGAGATCTCTTGGCTTGGTACCCAGGCCCTGGCACCAATTTACTAGAGCCGATACGGGTCTAGGGCGGCTTGGCTATTGGCCAGCCTAATGCGGCTCCTGAACGACGCTCCCACGGGCCGTTGGACCGATCATACGCTGAGTAGGCTCGCTTGTGAACAAGACAGAAAAGCCTCAACACATCCCGGATATGTTAGATAGCCTGCCGAGCTCACCGACGTTGTATCCCAAATATCGCCGAAGATTACACGGAAGCTTATGCAATCGTGTAAATTAAGATGCATTTCCCGGCGTCCCAGATTGCGTTGGTGTGGCGGTTTGGGAATGGCTGAGGATTTTTAGCGGTCAAATCGAGTACATTAAGGGCCCAACCTAGCTTTTAGAAGTTTTATTTCGCTTTGATCGGCGAACCTGCGTTTGTTGATCCGTGGCGTCGTTGGAGATATTACTCTTCCTCTTCACCGGTTTCCTCGACGGATCTACCCGCGCAGGCTTGACGTCGGACGGGGAAGCAGCCTCTGCATCCCCGGACGTCGCATCTGATGCTCCCTCATTTATCAATACGTAAGCTACCTTTTCAACGTCAACTGCATCGACTCCCAACCTCTTGGTTAGTTCCTGACTTGCAGTACTTAGCTCCTGATACTCTTTGATGTTGTATTTGATGGGAAACTTCTGGCCGTTACAACATAGCCAATAGAATGCTTCGTCCGAGAAGAAGATGACGCCGTGGGGGTCATGCACAGAGAGCAAAAGGGACGCTGTGGCGGGACCAATTCCTTTCAACTTGGTGATAGTGCTTAACGCTTTAGATGCGTCTGAATTATTACGATATTCGTCTATCGCTTCTCGAATAGTACTCTCGGCAAACGCGTCGTCATTCGACGATACGAGTTTCATGAGAGTAGGACGGGATTTTCCATGGCGCCTGGACGGAGTTAGAGCCGGGACGGTCCGAGAATGAGATATGCCGGAAGACGACACACATTCCTTCTTGCAAACCAGATCAGACTTGGACTTACAGCTTCCAATCAACTAGAGTTTTAACGTCGTTCAGCGTCATTGACTGTTTCGACTCTTCGAGGCGGTACGTATTGACGGCATCATGGTATCGGAACCTATCCAACTCCAACAGAGTTTTCTCGTTAGGCTTGGCTGCTTTCTGCAATCAGCCCCATGTGGATTATGTATGTGACTATTCCGGACACCTACCTATATTGGTGGATGAAATTGACTCAATCAAAGACTCATATCGGCCTAATAGTTTTCTGAATTGCCCGAGCGAGATGTGCTTTGGGAGTAGATTCTGATTCAGCATCGTGATTGTCGTGCTGGATGGTTTCACCAAAAAGCAAGCAAGCGAAATTGATGACTGGTAACACAACTGTGCCCGAGGACCTGAGTCATATAGGTATACCTAAACTAGGTACCTAGGTAATCAATATTGGCCTGAGTTATGTGTAGCCATTTACTTCACTCAAGGTGGATGATATATGTAAATTGATGAAGTAGTGTAAATTCACTTAGGATGACTAGAAGTAAATGTATGTACCTATCTACCTAGGTAGTTAATAATCATAGATGAATAAGAGATACCTAACTAGTGGTTTCAGAACTGCTCTGTATTGTACTAAAACCCCCTTAATTGGGCACTCAAGGGCGTATGTTAGGTAAGACCTGTAAAAGAGAAAGTGCAAAAGTGGCCCGTGTTGTTTTGTCGAAAACGTTCCAGAAGCCATTGAGGGCCCCACTGCACCAAAATAGATTTAGGCCTTGCCTTAGCGCTAGACCTAGCTAAGACCCCTGCGCCTCGCTGCATCAGTCGCTTCAAAAAGCAAAATCTATTTCCTTCCAAACCCATTCTGACCCCCAATTTTTTTCTTCCCATTTCCGCATCACCTAACCGCCATCCCGAGCAGTATACTACAGTCACCAGTCGAAGAGGGCCTCTTGCATTATCTCAACTCGCTACCTTCCTTTTTTTCTTTTCTTTTCCTTTCCTATTAGCACAATGGGTAACGTAAGTGATATCCCCGTTTTAATGCCCTTGTCCAGTGAGAGGAGAGGGAACCAACCTGAAAGCCGACTCCGGAAAAAAAAAAAAAAAAAAAAAAAAAAAAAGACAACGAAATACTAATTCTCGCAAACTAGGGGGCCAAGGCTGCGCAGAAGCGCGAGCGCAATGCGAAGGACACCAAGGTTGCCAAGTCGCAACTCAAGTCGGTAAGTTCTAATCTGATAATGACAATCCTATTTCCTCCCCAAGATCATCTCCACTGACTTACATGGGATCATCTAGAATATTAAGGCTATGGATATCCAGTGCCAGATCTGCAAGTCGACCTTCCTGAAGACCACCCGCGCACCTCAGTATGTATCCTTTGTTTGCGGAATCAGACCTCCCAGTGTCCAAAAGAAAAGAAAAGAAGAAAAAAAAAGTATTCTCTGGCTAACCATCCCTCTCTGTCATAGGCTCACCGAGCACGCCGTTAACAAGCACAACAAGTCTATGGCCGACTGCTTCCCCGGCCACGATGCTCCTCCTGCCAAATAAACAAAACGACGAATTCGTATCCGTACGGGACGATCGAATAGATGAAGAATGGACATAGCGATTGGCGCACTTGGTGTTTAGCAGAGGTCTTATTTGGGTGGGTTGCAATGAGGTCACGGAGCAACATTGATTAATGAGATTGCACTGAGTTAACTGAGATTTTCTCGCATCTTAATTTTTTGCGTTTTTATTTTTTTCTAATATGGAGATGCACCACCTTATCAGTGTGCTTCCACTGCTTGCGCTTTGGTGTTGATATCCACAGCGCGCCCATTCTCAGGAGCGTCGGTCTTTGTCGACGCTCCTTGTGCCTCTTGCTTCTGGGCTGCCTCTGGGGCCTGTTGCTCTCGTATGCCTTTCAGGATATCTGGGTACCATCTCTCTCCCACGTCCGGGTGACTCTTGACCCTGTTTCTTAGTGTCGCCTCGCCCAGCGTCGTCGCTACCCCGCCTTTCCTAAAGGTAAACTCGACATCGTCAAATCTACCACCGTTCGCCTCTAAGACCTTCCGCCGCTGCTCCTTGGCCGCCTCTGGAACTTGCCCGACACCGATCGACTCTAATTCCTCGAACGTTGTAGAGGCCCGGACCCCCTGGAAGAATGGAATGGAGAACCTCGCACCCTTGCCCGCCTCTGGTGAAAGAACCCTGTGGGTTGTTGACGCGCAGACTCCTTGTGTTAAAGCCTCTAAGCCCTGCCCGATGGCAATTACCAAGGTGCCGTCAATTGATGGGCAGTCAATCCATTGGCCTTGCATATTCTGAACCTGGAGTCCTTTATGGTTGCTTGCCTGAAGTAGGTAACTTGTCAACATGCTGTCCTTATGAGGCCCAACTCCTTGGCCTTGGACATTGTCAGCTAATCCTAGCTCTGATATGTCGGGGTACTTGACAATCTTCAGTTTGTGCTGCTGATCAGAGTCGAAATACCGGTTGAAGGCGTCGGAGGGTAACTCGATCGCCTCCGCGATTAGGGATGTGAACTCTATCGATATCCGCCCCATGCGTGTCATGTAGTCGGTGTAAACCGCACGAAAATTGGGCATTACCTCGGGCGAGGGCCACTGATTAGGCGCGAGTAGATTCTCGTATAGCGGGGCATCTGGTTTCGGAAGAGGATGCTCTGTAGACAGATCGATCTGCTCCCTATGGTCTATCTTGCCAGCTGTGATCTCGGCGGACAGCTGCGAGTAACCTAGGAACGATGGCGCGTTCTTCATCTCGATCTTGAGCCTTTAGTCCAAGGTTTTTTGTATGAGCTTTGTGGAACGACTAATAGCTGATGCCTTTTTTTTTTCTTGTACATGCTTCCTCCTCTTCGGTATTGATTAATATAATATGATTATCATCTAACTTACTTTTCCTCCTTTGGTATGTCAAAGAATGCTTTCCCTTCCGATATGACCTGCTGCCAGAGATGGTCCGGGATGCCGACGTTTTTGATATATAAGAAGCCGACCTCCATCAGGGCGTGTCGTAGCTCGGCTAAGAACTTCGGCTTCGTCTGGGGATCCCTGGAGAGGGCCAGGTCCAGGATAGGGATTGAAGTGAAGGACATGGTGAGTTATTTCCGGTAGTATTGGTATGGAAAGAAAGAAGAAAGAAAAGATTAGGTTAGGTACATATGTTGATGTTGTTGTTGTGCATTCGTATAGTACCATTTGTATACCTAGTACCGAGTTACCAGGAATCTAATGATATAACCCCCACCTGTTCTGATGGCGTCATTCCGTTCTTCGGCGATTGGCCGTTTGAATACCTATACTTGTTAGGTATACCCAATGTTAGGTAAGAGGTAGGGAGATAGAGTTTACCTAATGTTACCTTAGGTAAGTAGGACAGAGTTTAAACAAAAACACATTTACTCGACCTCCTACGTCTCCCTAAGTTAGCTCCTTTTCCAAGAACGAACAGCATCATCTTGGGGAATAGTCAACGATGGTGATATGAACAGCCTTGGCCTAGGATACCCAATAACTCGCCTTCTTTGATTGGTATCGAGTTATGTATAAATAAGGTAGGTATCATATGGCAATACTTTACTATATAATTACCCCCCTCGTTTCCGTTTACCTCCTTTCTTGGTCCATACTACACTTCACTTTACCGTTCATGTTAAGGTCCGTTCACTTGGCTAATAATGATTTTAGCTTTCGACCAACAACTCAAGCCATGTGAATTGTTATAAGTCAAAGTAGTAGAGACGGTATTGCCAGACGACCAATGGCCGTGCTGGTACGGCCTAGCGAATTATTCATAACTCTCCAGCGCACCTAAGAAAGCTCTCTACTACATCCTTAAACAATATCCTTATGAAGTATTGCTAGGCCCTGGGGTGCGATTCCCTAGATGGCCACATCAACACATCTTTTTTTTTCTTATTACGACAGTTGAACGTCTGTAGCGATCGGAGGTTTACGGTGCTAATGAATCATTTGGTAAAATACTTTATTATAAAACTGACTGGAAATTTCTGTATTATTTATGCTAATCTCATAATGTCTAATGATCCCTTAAAAAAGGGCAGATTTTGTTGTATGGCAATAGCGGCGGCTCCGCCTTATCAAGCAAGTGAGAGAGTTATTACCTATCGCCAAAATGACCAGCCCCGCCCTTGAGCTCAGAAAGCAGATTACTGCCTTACATGCAGAAATATATCTCTATAACTTCGTTTGAATAATACCCCCTTATTAAGGACCAACGGGAGGCTCCTAGCCTTTTTTCCAATAAGAACCGTCAAAAAAAAAAAAAAAATCAATAGTCGGACTGCCGCCCCACGGATTCAACCCCCTGGGCAAATGCGTATATCGATGTTTGCGAATCGTACCATATGGGCTGATGTGCACGAATCCGGCTAACATAGAAAAAAAAAAAGAAAAAAAAAAGTACCCGAAACTAGCTAAGACACGCACAGTATAATTAGGAGTTAGCTAGCCAAAGGTCAGCCTGGCGTCGCCTTTAATGAGACGAACTTAACGTATAAGTCGATATTTAATAGCTCCCCCTATCCCGCAAGTGCCGTCTCGGAGGCCTAGAGAACCTTACCCGTTCCCTAACCTACCTAGGTAACTAATACAGCTCGCTTTTTCCCGCTTTCCCTCACGATGTCCGAGGTCTTCGACGTAGTTATCGCCGGCGGGGGGACGGCCGGTCTCGCGCTCGCCGCTAGGCTCTCCGAGGACCCAGGCTTGCAAGTATTAGTCCTCGAAGCCGGCGAGGACTTAACCGAGGATCCCAGAGTGAATACCCCCTTTCTGGCGAGCTCGCTCGTCCACAGCTCCGCCGACTGGCAGTTCAGAACCGTTCCGCAGGTGCGTTCTTTTACAAACGTGCACACCCATTGAGAGAATATACCTAGGCTCATTTAGTTCGCTGTATTTATGGTAATGTAGGCAGGACTAGGAAACAGGGAAATATGTGTTCCTCTGGGTCGATTGCTGGGGGGCTCCAGCGCGCTTGATTACTTCCTATTCTCGGCCCCTTCCAAGCGCAACGTCGAGGCTTGGTCCGCTCTGGGCAATTACGGCTGGGACTGGCCGTCCTTCTCCGATTCTCTGCGGAGAACGTACACCTTGACGAAGACCTCCGGGGAAGTAGTGGGAGATGGACCGCTCGAACTCAGCTTCCCCGAGGATACCGAGTGGCTGAGGGTGTGGAAAGAAACGCTCGCGAATCTCGGATATCCCACGTCTCTGGACTCGCTTTCCGGGGAATTCTACGGCGCTTATTTATCCGCGATCAGTGTTGACGCTGCTACCAAGCATAGAAGCTATTCAGCCAATGCGTATCTTCTGCGGGCGCGGTCCCGACAGAATTTAGTCGTATATACGGAAACATTAGTCGAAAAAGTAATTTTCGGCGGGTCGGAACCTCTTAGAGCGACTGGTGTCCAGTATAACCAAGGGGGGCTTACCAAGATAGCGACGGCGCGAAAAGAAGTCGTACTCAGCGCGGGCGCGATCAATTCGCCGAAGATCCTCGAATTATCTGGCGTCGGGGACTCGGAGCTCCTGAAATCGCTCGGGATCGACGTGGTAATCGACAACAAACACGTAGGTGAGAACCTTCAAAGCCATCCCTCGGTCAGCATGTGCTTCGAGGTTGTGGACCAGGAGGGCTTCGAGACCCTGGACGGCATCCTCCGGGGCGAAGCACCTGCTTTCGCCGCCGCCCAGGCAGACTACGATAAGCAGATCGGGTTCGGAACGAGGGGTAACCTCGAAGTCGCCGCGCAGCTGCCCGTACCTGGTATCGAAACCCCTGAAGTGAAACAGGAGATCGAAAAGTTGTTAGATGACAAGCGGGTTGGTGGTGATAATGGTAACGGTGGTAATGCCTCAGGGAAAACTACCGAAGCCTTCGCGAGCGCGCACGAAAAGTTCGTCCGCTCCGTACTCACCTCGCCCACCGAGCCCTCAGCGACGTACTACACGATCCCGGGCTTCGCGCCATCCGCCGCGGACGGGGCGATCGTCGGTCCGCCCCCGGGCCACGAGAAGTACTATTCCGCAACGATAACCCTGAGCTACCCTCTATCCCGGGGCTCCGTGCACATAGCATCGTCATCCCCCCCATCGTCATCACCACCACCAACCCCTTCTCCTTCCGCTTTCTCCCACGCCATCGACCCCGCCTACCTCTCGCACCCCCTAGACCTCGAGATCCTCGCGCGCCACCTGTCCTTCCTGCAGCACGCCATCATCTCCACTACCCCCTTTTCCAAGCAAGTCGTGCCGGGCGGGAAACGGTTCCCCGACGACACAACCCAAGCCCCTACCCCGACCCCGTCGCCGTTGCTGCTCGACGCCGCGCGCCGGTACGTGCGCGACTGGGCGACGGGCTCGCACGCCTTCGCCGGGTCGTGCGCCATGCTGCCGCGGGACGCGGGCGGCGTCGTCGACGACCGGCTCAGGGTCTACGGATGCGCCAACCTGCGCGTCGTCGATGCGAGCGTTTTCCCCGTCGTCGTCGGCGCCGGCCCTGTCGCCTGCGTGTACGCGCTTGCGGAGCACGCGGCGAAGATTATGAAGCATGATTTGGGGTCGGCGTCGGCGTCGAGGTCGGCGTGAGTGCGGAGATGGCTGTTTGAAAAACTATCCTATAGAGAGAAAGAAGGAGGGAGAAGGGGAGAGAAGGGGAGGGGAGAGAGGATATAAGAAAAAGATGCTGCTGGCTTCTAGTTGCAAAGGTTATGATTTGGGGGGCCTTACTAGGTACCTAGGTACTTACTACTTACCACCCTAAGTTATTTTAATCTACTGTGAATAGTTCCAAATATTACCCATGTTTTTTTTTTTTTTCTTTTTTTTTTTTGACCCTGTCACTCGGATATTTAGTCTGCTTTCGCGTCTCCAAACTAAACGGAACAGTTATGATTTTGCGGAATATATCGATCCTTCCAGCCAATTGAGCTAGCTAATAGATTTCTACCTAGGGGAGGCATGGTGGGGAAAGGACTGAGCTATATATCCCTCAATCTTCCAGAATCTCAGTCAGGGACGAATACGCCAATGGGTACTTATTAAATATCACGATTCAAAGTGTGGTGTAGGACACGCTGGTATTTACTAGATTTTAACTATCTCCTCCTATGACCTGCCATATACACACACACACTGCGCATGATAGAGCGAAAATAAGTTTCACTGCTAGAAACATTAGATGCACTCACTGTAGCGTATCAGGCTAGTCTAGCTTCATTAAAACCCAAGTTTAAAACGCCTTGATAGGTAGCCCGGACTCGTCGATACGAGACGTTTGAAGCTATCTTGATATGAACCTTGAAAACTGTACAGTATTCAAGTACAAGTACCTCATAGGTCCTTAGGGTTAGGCTTTAAGCTTAACTTCTAAACCTCTTGTTCCGTTGATGGAAATGGTACCAAAGAAGCCACTCTAATAATGGTATCTGCAGCTCCTCTCCCTGAGTCCCACGAATAGGTTCTGGTGCAAGAATGGATGGCCTAGACGTAACGAGTCGCGTCCATTTGAATTCGTATCCTTGTTTTCAACAGACAGTCCTCACGACGCCGGAACAGCTGAGTTTGACGAGAAAAGCTTTGTGACCTGGTAAAACATATCCTCGATCGGTGGCATTGCAAACGCCGGGGCGGTATCGAACAGTTCTGAAAGTTTTTGTGGCGCGATAACAGCCGGATAGGCCTCATCCCCATCGGCCGTGGCATCTGGCATGTCGACATCCATCTCGTCCCCACTTGCTGCTTCATCATCTTGTTCAGAAAGTAGCGCCAAAGAAGGTCTTTCTTCATGAAGCTCTTCAGCGTTCACTTGGTCGAGGTTAAGATCAACTAGGGGTTGGGCAAAGGCAAGGGATTTGGTATCCATGTCTTCGCTGATTGACCATAGCTGGGCGGCGGAATCTAGGACAAGATACCCACTGGACCCGGCCGACGCGACGACTGACGTTATAGGATATGGGAACCTGTGGATTATCTCTGGATCGCTTCGGTCCGGAGAGAACACCGCCAGCTCGGAAGTGAGGAAGGGCGATCCCGGCTTGCCTCGTGAAACAGCCACTGCAAATGTTGAAGTCTTATGGTCGACTGCCATATGCGTCAAGATGGCTATGCTTTTACCGAAGGAATCCTCGTTTGTTCTCAGTTGAACGCCGTAAAGTAACTCGTCGGACACTAAATCATACACTATAAGACGATCTGAAAGCACTATCAATGATGAAGATAGGACACTGATATCACGGATTTCCCCAGTTATTAACCCGTCAATCGAATTTCGAATCTTGCCAGTTTCCGTATCAATGACGTGGATCGCCGATCCATAAACGGTCCCGATGGCACAGACGATAGTAGAACCATCTTCGGAGAAAGAAATTGCACCTGAGCCCCGAGTCGAGCTCCTAACGGCTACTGCGCCTGAATCAATCGGCTCTTCATTTTCTTGAAGATATATAGTTCGGGAGCATGCCCAGCTGTGTAGCTGACGTCCTAGTTTTCCTTTGACTAGTACTCCGTCTCGCTGCCTGATTGTTGGCTCCCACAGTCTGACAATACCGTCTTCGCCAATAGTAGCGAAACGATGCGCATGCGGGTCCGCAGCTAAACCATAAACAGGTTCGCTCCGACCTGTGTAATGAGGTGCATTGATACGAGATACAAGCTCAAGACTCTGGTCTTCCGACGAAACGGCCCAGAGCTTGAGATACACCTCCCGCCTTTCAGCGGGGGAACCTTCGAGGGAGTTGACATCTCGTGTAGGTGGTTGCCACTCGTCGGTGGTAGCAAGCCACTTACCATCTGCCGAATAAGCCATACCGGTGATTCGAGGTTCCGTTATAGCATAACCTTTCGCTGTCGTATTTATATCTGTCGGGTTTGTTCTTGTTAAGGCTTGTTTCGAGATACCTTGTAAAGTGGTGAGATCTACTGTCTGTATCATTGGTGTGGACGGGCCGCTTCCAGAGTAGCTTAATCGTTGACTATTCCCAACGCAAAAATGAATCTGCGAGGAATTTACTGGATTGACTGCTGCCGGCGTCTTTAATACCCGATCAGGTGTATATTGGCCGATTCTCCTGACTAGATCATCTTTGGAAATCGGTTGCGGTGAAATAAGTGTCTGGATTCCAGATATGTAAGTTGTTGGCTTCATTTCCGCTGTTGATAAAACGATGACCGAGTTATCATCTAGATGGAGAACATATGCGGAACCACGTTTTGAAACGACGATATTCTCAATTGTTGCGGATAAATGTGGTAGAAAATCCATCTTTTGCGTGTCCAGTTGCCATAGGACTAGAGTTGACTCGGACCCTCCAGAAATGATGTAGTGGCCTATAACTCGAGTTAGACATTTGTTATCATTAATCCAAAATAGAAAAGCCTCATACCATCTCGTGACCATTTGATGGTATGAACAGCCTTGCGATGCCAGTGATATTTGCGGGGTTGTAGGGAGCCCCTATGCCCCCCTTTAGAGCTATGTAATCGACGGAGTTGAGGCAAGATATCGTTGTAGAAGAAGACAGCTCCACGAGCACAGCCTACGACGACTTCTAAAACGGGTTCATTACCAGCTTCTACCTGGGTCTTTCGGTTAAGATGCACTCGGTCGGTTGCTCGTACGTCCAGGCATACAATTTCGTCGCTACAGTCAAGAGTGAAGAACTCGTATTCGAGTTCCTCGAGATGTTTAAATAAGGGTTTTAGTGTGCCAAGGAGGATGTTGTGATCTGCCGATGCTACCAAAGCATACCCGTTTCGAACAGAGCGTAAATTTGAAATGGGCGTGGCCTGCTTTAAGAGAACTTTAGAAGTCCTCAACTTGGATCGGCGCACATCACAGGCAACAATCCTCCATTTCTTCTTATGCTCGATGGAAACAAACGGTACATCCCGAAGGTCTTTTCCAACTTGCATCTGCTCAACAGACATGTCAGAGAGAAAGCCACATTGTAGCTTGAACAAGGTCTTGGAGCCTTGGCCATTCGTCCAATCAACCAACCAGACTTGACCATCGGACGAAGCGACCCATATGAGATCTGGTGAGCTCGGAGACATGCACATAGCCATGATCTGCCCTGTTATATTCTCCGTATCGGGGTCTTCAAGCTGAATCTTGCGTAGTAGGAGAGAATCTGCTGTCGAATATACTTGGATGGATGTGTTGTACGCAAGTATTAAATGCCTGGCTCTTCTGTTAGCTCCTGCTCTCATAATTTCACCCGTAGCTCGTCGGGTAGATTCTTCTAGCAGCTCACTTCTCATCCTCTGTCAATATGGGATCTACATCCGCGATTCGGCCACCCATTGGCTTTGAGACCTTCCAGGTTGGTGTGTGGTCGCCATGGTTCTTTTCTGGTCGGTGCCGCCTCTTCTCCAATTTGACCACCAAACCTTCGGACTTCAAAATGGTGGTAGTCATTTTGTCGGCCGTAGTGTTTTGTGAATCTCGTTTCGGTCGCTTGCTTTTGCCGAGCTCGTCTACATCCCTTTTTCGTTTGTTTGCGGTGAGGTCCTAAAAAGTAAAAACTATAGGTTAGCAAAATTGTACATATTACATCCTCTCTGGTGCAAAGCCTTGCTTACTTCATTGATTGTTATGGGGGCCATCTTGGAGGTAAATATCACGGCTCATTAAAAAGTAGCTTTTAAGCGTCGCTCAAATTGACAAACCAAAAGTGACAAAAAGTTCACGAGATTTTTTTGCGGGACGACGCGATAAGGCAATCCGATAAGAGAGTCTAAGTGGAGCTTCTTCATCTAGTACCTGGGTACTTCGTACCTAAAAGGTAGGTAGTGAGGTACCTAACCTAATGGACATAAAATAAGTTTTCTTGGCATTCATTTATTTATCGATAACAAATTTCCATTCAACTTCTCTTCGCGACCCTTTCAAAGGTTTCTTTCGCAATCATTGGCCAATTCAACATTCTTTTCGCGACAATTAAACTACTCATCGCATTTCGAGCCACGACATCTCTAGAACATCCCAATAGTGATACTCTACAAGACGTACATTTACCTCCGATAATATGATTATCCCTATTCGATGCTTTTCCTGCGGGAAGGTAAGCATTCTTACGCGCCCAGCTTGCTAGGCTTGCTTTGTGTTGACCGAAGGATGAACAAACAGGTGACCGGGGATCTCTGGGAGCGATATCTCAAACTTATCGACGAAGGCGTTCAGGATGGGTTTGTCCCACTTATTCCATTATAGTTCATATTTCATACTAACCCATTCTCAAAGCGATGCTATGGACACGCTAGGTTTGAAACGTTACTGCTGTCGTCGAATGATCATGACCCACGTCGATCTCATCGAGAAGCTACTCAAGTAAGACTACGCTCATTTAGACTCTGGGCACCTCTCCGAGAATGATGTTCTAACATTTACGCAAGGTACACCCCTGACGGACGAAACGACAAGAAGATTCAACTGCAGCAGAGATAAGCGTCCATCTTCTAGATATGGGTGAAGCTTGGTAGTTTCGATGGAGATAATATGGGCACAAAAAATTGCATTCTATGGCGTTGGGCTTGCAGTTCCAGGATGGCGTACCGAGACCGCTTTAGTAGCGTCACAACAGTTTTAGACAGGCTGCAATGTGAATTTATCTGCTTTGGATATTGGAGGCGTTCGTACTGATGAATCCGCCTTGAGGCTGAAAGGAGCCAGACCGCCTCCGCGAGATTATACGCGAATGGTCACCCCTTGCGGCCCCGAGTTATACTGAATAGCCGCGGAAAAGGACAAACAAACATGCATGATAGCCCCGTTGATATTCCCAACCTGCTTCTAAGCTAATTCCTATACCCTGGTCGATATTCCTACAATGTTTATCTTTCTTTGTTTGTTCCCCAAGCCCTCGCGAAAAAGATAGCCGCAAAACAAAGCAAGGCATCGATCGATGCCCTATTTCGGTGGAGAGGATGCAAAGGGGCGGGTTCGGTCGTGAACCAAGTGATAGTGCCACGTCAACTTTCGTAAGTGCTGCTTAACAGCAAGAATAGCCGCAAGCGCTGCGCGTTAGGTATTGATTCCGGACTGGTTAGACTCATCCTCTAGCCGGCGTCAAAGCCCCTCTTGGTGAACGTATGTTTACGTATCAATTCCTCCCTTGAAAAGCAAACGTACTGTTTTCGACACTAGGGCCGTGGCATTGACCCGACTTCTTACGCCAGAGAAACTTTGTATATACAAGGGTACCTAATTTTTTTTTAATTTTTTTTTTTTTTTTGTATTTACTTGCCTGTAATTATTTTATTTACTATGTGGTAATTGATGATAGTACTATATCGTAGGTTTCACGTGCTTGGTAACAGTATGTAAATTATATCTGCTATGTATGCACATTTCTACCTAAGTAGGCAATTCCTTTTTTAAAGAAAAAGGATTAAGCAAGATCAACTTTGATGAGAAAAAAAAATAGTAGGATCGTACCTATGGAATGGCAGGGAGCTCCTAGTTTTCCGTGCAGCAAACTCTATGCAAGTTGGTATCACGGCGCCTATGCAAGACTAACACCACGTTCTGGAAGGAGCCCCCAATGGATAAGCGAATGTGGATCTCACATTGCTACGATGCATACATGGAACAATGTAATATCAGGTAGGTTAGGTATAGAGGTAGTTACATGAAATAAATGGGACTTTAGGTAGGCATAGTAATTAGTTGTTACCTATACTCCAGAGTATAGAAGTGCCTAGATTACTTGCCAAGAGTTAGGCTCATGAATTGGTATACATTCCTAGAGTTACTAGAGTTAGTTACCTGCCAGCCTACAGAGGACCTCAACTAACCTTATGTCCACTATAGAAACTAACAGCATACCTACCTAGGTGCGTTCTTTCCTTTACCCTATGACATTACCATTGGTAAGCTTAAAGCTATCTGGCCAATAAAATTCCCGATAGATACCCCAAGCGGCACTAGGTTAAGAAATAACCAGGGAAAGGTCGAGGAAGTTGGAACAGCGGTCCGGGACTTTTTTTTCTTTTCAATTTTTTTTCTTTTCAACGGTATTGCAACCCAAAGTTTTCCTCGTAGTAACACAAACAAAAACATGTCATGGAACTCGCATTCGTGAGCTTCAGCCCGATCGGAATAATTGGTCAACAAATTGGCCCCATCATCGCATTCTACAGTAGTATCAATGATTTCTCACCTACGAAGTAAACAGAAATGGCCAACGGCCGTAAAGAAATCTTGGCCCCCATGAGTTCGGCTTATAGGACAAGGCAGCAGGCAAGGCGAGCCAAGCATCTTTTCTCACTTTGTGCGAATTTGGGCATTCATCCTCGGCTCTAACGGTGACAGCGAAACGAAATATAATACCAGGTAAGGATTATAAGTCATATTTCCTTCTATATAGATGCAGCGTTGCCGAAGGATTCGGCATCCCGAGCCTAACACGGCTTTGAATACTATTCGAGAAACGAACCATAACTTTAGGTATCTACCTATACGGAACCATACTCTAAAGGTATCGACTGTAAAGGTACCTTAGGTACCTATGTGGTATTGTATCAAGGCCCGCAAGGCATGATCGACCCAAGCTCGAATGAGGTAGTGAACACACCCTCTCGTCTTTCTCACACCAATGATGCCCTTCGACCCAGCATGGGTTCACCTAGTTTGAGCTAATAAAAGACGCGGTACCAGATCTTCGGGAACACTACCATACCGGCCGGGTTTCCTCTAAGGATTGGTTCTTAACGATGCATGAAATACTGACACCTTTTCGCACCGGCCCTTTTCCCTTTTTCCCCCCTTTCGCGCATTTAGTGCTATATAGTGCTATATAGTGCATACAGTACGATACAGTACGTATGTATTATGCTATAGCATATTGGGCTGGCTTATAACCATGTCAAGATGGTCTTTGACATCTGATATCTGACGTGTGGCTGGACGACAAACGAACTCACCGTCTCCCGTATCAGGACCAGTTAGTTGTCGTGGGTGTACATATCGGTTTGTTTTATCCGTTTCGTCCACAGGCACAATGTATATATGTATTTGTCACCAAGAGGTATTCACATCCTCCTAAGCCATATATTATACAAAATCACACCGGTTACGCATAATTTAGCAATAGGTTCAACTGTCGTGATACAGTCCCAAGGGAAGCGAGAAAAAAAAAAAGCAATATGGAGCCTATCGAACCCAGCCTTAGTTATCATGTCGCTGATTTATTAGCTACATCATCGTGAGCTTATAACGGTGAGCCTGGGGCGTGTCATGGTCTTTGCGCCTTGTGTACTTTTACCCCGACATGCTGGGATGAAAGTGGGTTAATAACTCATTCTCCGAGTCTTGGACTAGGGTGCTGGAGATCGCGGTGCCCTTCTGTGACTCGTCGATTTGAAGCGACCCGTCCGTGGCTTAAGCGCCGGAACCCCTGTCTTGTCTCCCCTGCAGCCCACCATACGACTCCCTCCCTTTCTATCTGCCTACTGGTTGAAAAGCTGCGCTCGAAGTGCAAAAGAGTTTAAGACGTGCATCTGCAGACTGGGAACGGGACAGCGCAAAGGTGGCTACCAAACCAGAGTCAAACCAGTGTAAGCTGTCGGACTCTACCTGAAGCATCATCAATAAGACAACTGAAGAGCCTCCGTACCACCAGACGTTACCTACTTAGGTGGTAGAACAGCGAAATCAGGATTCCCCCCCCTCATCGGCACGGCGTCCTTCCCCAACTCGCGCTTGTTCTTAATAATAAGTCGCGATATCATACATCCTGCACCCATCCTGTACATCTTCCACCTGGATAGGTAGTCATATTTTATGATCTAGGTCCTCGAATCTGATTCAGCCTTGAAGGAGCCCTAGGATAGAATAGGTCTAGTATACCTGCTGGGCTTCTCTCTGCGGCTTGCGCTCCACGTTCTTTGGGTCGCAGTGGAGTTCCCTCGACAAATCTCATGCTGGTATCCTTCAAGCCCCTCCTCCTCCTAACTAGAAGTTGAATCGACGTAGTCCACCACGTTCAATCTATCCAGTTACGTCGGATTTTGTCATCTCGAAAACATACACATACATCTAACCGTTCACCCCTGTCCCGCATTCCTACGGATCCTTTGTAGAAGCGACCAACAGCTTGGTCCTCGTTCTGAGTACCGCATCGTCGATCGACATAACGCCTGGTTGGGTTGAGACCTCCGATTGATTTCTGGGTCCCCGTCTCTTCGTCGACTGTTTATCTTCCCTAATTCATTGGGGCTCCACGCCAAGTTACCTTCTCCGGGTCTCCTCGATTTGGCCATTGCAGGACCCAGATCAGACCCCTTGCGCGACTGCCATACGAGGTATATCGTCGCGTGGGTCATAGCCGCGCTACGACGTTCTCAGCCGCGATACTTTAGTACAGAGCAACTTTTTCTTTTTTAACGCCGTCGGGCCTGCATCGCGGCCAGCACATCCTAGCACTGCTTAGCTAGTTAACCATGGCTCTGGAAGCTCTGTTGAGGACATCAACCGGAAGTATAACATCTACTTTCTCGCCGCACATGGAGATGTCTGTCTCTTCTTCGGAGTCATCTACTGCTCCTCACTCGCAGTTTCGTCCAAGGTCCACTGGCTCTGTAGAGTCCGGTTCCCTCCGACCGTCGTCTGCTCTTGCTCGACCATCATCCGCAAATAATTATCTCATGAGCCCGAGCGATATTGTCGGCCCTTCACCAGTCACATCTGTCGGAACTGAGATAACGGAAATAGATGATGAAGCATCTGACGAGGTTCGATCCCAGCCCACCGCAGCAAACCCTAATCAGCAGCCTGAGGTTGGTGGCTTGAAGACGGGAAAGCATTTAAAACAATGCTAACTTCAACCTAGTTGCTAATGCTTAGGACGGATATCCCCGATCAAGTACGCCAGATAACAAACGAAGAGACGATATCAGTCATACACGCCCCGGAAAGCTTTCGGAGTTGGGTAAGCTGAACTTCGGGTCCCTAGTCGGATTTTACTAACTAGCGTTCCAGAAAGCTACGAACAACTCGCCAAAGTATTCAGAATCTACTGAAAGGACATCGTCTAGGTCACCCATCTCTCCGGAGACCGAAGATTCTACGGCTTTGTCGACAAGTAGACAAGCACCAAAGGTAAATTTCCTCTCAGGACAGTTAAGTCAAAAGCTAACTCCAGTAGTCTAAAATTCCTGGACTTCCAACACCGCCTCCTTTGTCGACAAATGTTAAACCTGTCCGATATAGTATTGACAGTGCAACACCCAGGGCTCAGGATCTCCAAGAAATCATGAGCGAGTCATCAAGAATACGGTCCAGTAGCGCTAGTAGCCTCGAACGTCAGTAAAGCAGCTCTTTTAGGTTTCCCGGTGTCTCCGCTAACGGTGTACTAGTAATACCTGAATATAGGGAGCCAGAAACAGATGCTGAACCTGACCAGGAAAGCTATGATGATGAGTATACCACGCCGGTCCGAGTGCAGGATGGCGAGGATGTAGAGATCAAGTCTTTGGAAACGGCTCTACAAGAGTGTTGGACTTTATGCAATACCTTAGCCAGTCTTAGCACTCACCACCGGGAAAGAGTATTCAGTACCTCGGGAACGCCTGACGGCCACGAAAGAGCCTGGAAATGTTGCTGGAAATTATGCCAGCGGTTGTACAACAACCATCGAGACGAGGCTGATGAGTCTTTCAACGTTCGTCGAAACTTGGACTTGTGCCGAGATTTCTGCCAGGCTCTCTTTGACATACGACAACGCAAGGATGAGGTATCGGATTCTGTCCTGCGCGTGAGCTTTGAGCTTAATAACCAGTTAGTCCACCAAGTCCACATTCACGTTGTTTTGAAATGGACACACTAACAATGGCGTAGTTTATACAGCGCGCAGGATAACCGAGCCCTTCCAGAGGCTTTCCGAGAGCGGACTCTAGACTTCTACATCACCCTATGCCATAGACTTATGAAGCAACGCGGTGAGTTGGGCGAGGAGACAGACTCGCTCCTTTCTGCCTGTTGGTCTCTTGCAGAGATGCTGTTCAGTTTACGGCAGAACAAGAGGGATAAAAGAGCACCGGACGGCGAGCTTCTCGGTTCCGCAGTTCAAGCGTGTTGGGAGCTCTGCGATATATTTAGGGAAGGATGGACGCAAATCCGGCCCGATAGGGGAACACCACGTCCTAGCCAGGCAAACTTTTTCTCGTACAACCGGGAACGGGAAATAGCCGAGCTGACAGATGGACGAGAGAGTAGGACTTCAAGCCGCTCGAAGACAGGTAGTCTCAAGAACCACACATCTCAGGGAGGCAAGGTAATGCGAAAACCACCGCCTGTCCCCGAGACGCCTGTAACCGAGTTCGAAGATACACCCGTCTCTCCCGATACTGAATCGCCACAGGTACCAAACATCTTGGTGCTGGGAACGGAAAGCAATAGAGGTGGGAGGTGGTCTAGCAGCGCCTCAAATTTCTCGAGCTACTCGCAGAGCAGTCAAAGGACGTCTAGCACAGCTACAACAGCGACGACAAACGAGGACCCTAATATTACACGTATAAAGGTGCTTATCCTGAAGGCGGCGTTGAATGTTGGGTTCTCGAGGGAGAGCAGCGGCCCAGACGGGCATCATCACAACAGCGCAGCATCTCTTCAAGCCTTTGTGAAGTCGTTGCCTAACGGGTCCTTCGGCTCATTGCCGAGCCACGCAGCGCTCTTACAGAGCTACAAGAATTTGGTGGTAGGCGATTCACCCTTCCGACAAGCTACGGCGCTACCGTCACGTGGGAAGCGCGTTTCCGCTGTCGACGTGGCTAAGAGTGTAGACTGGATGACGCACCGGTCCAGTTCATACGGGTTTTTACGCGACCTATTCAAGCTCGTATTCGGCTTCCAGGTCGAGGAAGCGGAAGGGCGGAGGACCGTGAACATCACGGTCTAAGGAGGCAAAACAAGATTAATTACCTAACTAACCATAAGGGGCGAATCATAGAATCATATTCCTCCCTTCGTCTTTCGTTCCATCTATTTAATTTGAACGAGACAAGTATCGTTCGCATCTTACGTCATGAAATTTAACGCGGAAGGGGGGGGGGGGGGGGGGACCGGGGATACTCGGGGTGGTATTATTCATTTCACGAATTTAATGTCTGGTTGTTGTTGCTGTTGTTTTTTCACCTTTTTTTGGCCCTCGCTATAAAGATACCCCCTTTTACTCCTCACGGATGACGAGACCAGATGACTGACTGACTACGTGGCGCGGCGCTTGGGGCTTTTTGCTGGAGAGAGAGAGAGAGAGACTGAGATTGAGAGATATAAAAAAAGAGAGCAAAGAAGCGGGACGAAAAAGGAACAGCTGCGTGTCTACGTTGCTTGACATTGCCCTGCCTGGTCTCGATTATATTATAACTATTTTTACGATGGTAACATACATCACTTAGGAAGACACGGGAAAAACTCAATCTATACTATACTATGCTATGATAATTTGGCAAAGCGAAGAAGAACTGAAATGTGGGTTTAACTGGTAGTTTTTTCTTAATCCTTTTTTTTTTAAGCTTGTGGGTTGAACTGTGATTGTTTCCAGCGACGAGCCTGAGTACCTAACCTAATGTTGACAAGCTAAGTGTATCAAGATGGGATTCAATACTTGTGACTTGGACAAATTATAGATCACGCCTGTCCTCTCCTTTTTTGGTTAGGTACCGACCAAACTTCCACGACGAATCTATATCTGTACTTTGGAAGACGCCTACATGCCTACATGCATACATGTATGCGTTTTGCTATTCGGAAATGTTTGCGGATACAATCCCAACAGCCCCTTTAACCCCAAATGAAGTAGGGAAGGGAGGGGAAGGGAGTAGCATATGTGAGAACCAGATACTCTAGGGCAATATAATAAACACACATTTACGCCATATTCTTAGATAAAGTACCGAGCCGAATCTAATAAATGCACAATGGCCCTCATCACACATATAACTAAGTCCAGAAACCACGTGGAATAACACCGAAACACAGAGGGAGAGGGAGAGAAGAAGAAGAAGGGAGAAATAGCAGATTTTTCCTATTCATCAGAGCAGCGTCTCTCTAGTAAAACATATACATACGTAGCTATCGAGTGGAATAACCAGACCCCCTCCTTCCATGCCATGTTTCTCATATAGTGAAAAAAAAAACAATCTGGCTGCTCCGGTCCAGGTCCGGGGCCCAGGTCCAACCGAGGATGCCGATGTGTATTTCCCTTCACCCCGTTATTTCTCCTGATACGCCGCCGGTGACCCTCCGACGTTGGCAAGGAAATTTCGGAACTTGTATGCTCATCTGCTCCATCCCCCACCGCACATTCACGCACTCACTTTACCAAACATAATAGTGCGTTTTTCTTTTTTCTTTTGCCGCTTAATAGCTCCAGGACAGGGCCCGCGGGGGTATATGACAGCAACGCAGCAAACTGCATGAGGTATTTATTTGTCCTTGCGGGTACCAGCGGGGGGCTGGGTCTCGCCGTACTTCTCGCAGAGGTCGTGGTACTCCTTGGAGAGGCCCTCGGCCTGCTTCTTGAGAGTCTCGATGTCGCGGTCTTTGCGCTCGATCTCGGCGCGGAGGTGGGCGATCTCAGCGGGCTTGCCGGCGGCGGCGAGCTTCTCGGACTCCTTGGTCTTCTTGTCGGTGCCCTCGTACTGCTTGAGCTTCTCCTCGAGCCGGAGCACCTCCAGGATCATCGTGTACGTTCGGTTCAGGATCAGCGACAGGAACAGCGTAAACCCACACAGGTACATATTCCGCTGGCTGTAGAATTTGCGCGCTTGCACTTCCAGACGCTCGTGGCCCATCACCGCTCTGTTTTGGGGGAAGGTTCGGTTGGTTAGTATGAGATTAACAGGTAGAGCAAGCGGAAGGATTGGTGGGGGGGGGGAGGGAGGGAAGCTTACGCAGTGCCTTTATTTGTGTCGGTAGCAGCAGCGAGTTCAAGTTGCACACGGTAGACGCGGTTGACGCTGTCGAGGAAGAGAATCAAGATGAAAACGAATGTTATTTTCAGCCAATACTGTAATTTTGCAACGACTGGATTTTCGGATAGGAAGCTATAGTTTGTATAAGCATATGTTGAAGCTGGATAGATGGCTTCTGAAAATCATTGCTGACGTACGTAAACATCTTCCGTCGGACGGTAAAGGGCATGGGGACGACGAGGAGCATAAAGAGGGACATCTCTGCCACAAGGAGCACGAAGACCTGGTTATCCAGAATTAGCAAGTCGAATACATTCATCGTGGGCCACAGCAGCGGTGGTAGCAGCAATAGCAATAGCAATAGCAATAGCTAGCTTTAACACCATTCGATTCGATAGATTTATTTGTTCTCTTCCTTCGAAGAATGTTCACAACTGTTTGCAAAAAGGGAGATTGCGGAAGGCAGAACATACAAGCGAGTAATAGAGCGTCATCTTGGGCGAGCTGCTCGTGGAAGCGTCGGGAAGGAAATTTGTGCGTGCGTGCGGTGTTGTGCTTTTGGTGGTGCAGCAGCAGTGCCTAAATTGTGCGTTGTCAAAGTCGAGTGAGAAATTGACGTAGTTGTCGATATATCCCAATGCAGGTGGTAGTAATTGTTGACGTATAGAAGACAAGGAAGATTGGGTAGAGAGATTTCTTGTCTTTTAAGTGTAACGAACCCTCTGGGTTGTAAACGATTTTTTTTTTTAAAAAAAAAAAAAGTTCAAAAATGTTAAGAGAAAAAAAAGGTCGCAAGGTGGCCTTGTCCAACAAAGTGGAAGTCAATTACCAAGTGGTAGCTACTGCTTGCTGAGCTGGTTCAGGTGGTAAAATGGTGGGGCTGAAAGTGGCAGGTACCTTGCTACCAAAGCTTGGAAATCGACTACGTCAGCTAGTTACAGGGGAAAAAATGACGTCGCAGTTACACCCCAAATCTACCTGTCCATGCTTACTTTTATCTAAGCACAATTTTTAGCTGCGAAGCACGTACGGATCCGTACCTCGCTATCATTAATTTTTACCTTTCCCAGCTAGAATCTGCCACTAACAGATTAGGTACCTAGGTATATTAGGTACCTATCTAGGGGATAGGTATCTCTACTCTGAATTTCATCTACTTGCAATCTTATCACCAGTCACACATACACACACAAGGAAACATTCATGAAATGGAGTACACGATCCTCTATCGAGCCGTGTAGTTCTACTTCTGCCTAACTTTCGGGTTTATGCAGAACCAAATGAAATCTGGCCTGTTACCAACCATGTCAGGTCAGGCCGCCGGCCGCGTGTTCTGCGCCACACTGAACCCCAAGTTCTACAGTAATTATGAATAACCCGTCAAGACAAATTTACGTCTACCCTTCTGCCTCAATCTCGTAACTGTTAGATTTATGCTTGGGCTGGAATTTGAAGCTCGGGTGGGCAGGGCCTAGGAACATCTCACTGCGTCGTATGTTAGTTCACAGACTGCATATAACAACTGGTAAAGGACAGAAAACGGAAAGGAAACCCGAGACATACCTGATCTTAATCCAGTCCTTATAGTTATCACTTGCCAGAAGAGTCTCAAGCTCGTTCCGTCCCTTGTATCGCGGGGGCCTGTCGTTGAGACTGGGTGGAAGATGCTCCAATATACCAATGGGCACGTATCGATGTGTAAAGCTCAGCCACTCTAGTAAGAATCGTCTAGTGAAACCCAAGCCTAGCTCGTCAGATCCCCAGGCTTCTAGTCCGTAGCGAACAAACTTCTCTATATAGCCCAGTCTCTCAGACGCCGACTTGTCCAAGTATTGTCCCTTCTCAATTTCCTCGAATAACCACGGTTTGACCATGGCACCTCGTGCGATCATAACGGTATCAACTTTGGCCTCGTCGATATGTTTGAAGTAATCGACATGGGAATAGCAGTCCCCATTGCCGATGAAGTAAACCTTTCCGCCGGCCGTGTTGGCCTGAGTGCTCTCGTCCGCTTCCTGGGCTGTGTCCGTTATCTCGTCCCTCTTAGCCTTGTATGACTTAATAAGACTAGTACATTCAGCGATGTAAGACCAGTTGGCACTTTTCGTATATCGCTGTTGTCTGCTTCGTCCGTGCAACGTGATGGCCGCGCATCCAGGTGCTCCAAGTCTATCCCGCGTGTCCGGGCCGCCAAAGGCCAGTCTTTCGATTAGTCTGTCTGCCGTCGGCTTTCCGTCCCGCACACCTGTTCGCAGCTTCGCTGTAACAGGTACTTCTCCGGAGACGATATTCATACCCCTAACCATCTTTTCCAGCTTGCTAGGCGTGTCAAGAAGTCCGGAGCCAGCACCTGACTCGTATACCATGTCGATAGGACATCCGCAGTTTAGATCCACCACTCGAAGGTAAGGAAGAAATTGGGTTAGAGCCTCAGTTGCCTTCATTACTACCCAGGGCTGATTACCCGAGATCTGGGCGCCGAACTTGATGTCCTTCGTGTTGTCGTAATCTTTTACGATCGCACCCGGCTCGGGTGTGAATCGTGGAGGCACAATCTCCGACTCATGAGCCTTCATAAGTGCCCATTCGCCCTTTTGTCCCTGTACGAGAGGCATTCCCATAGCCATTTCCGAATATGTGATCTGAGCTCCTAATTCGACGCATAGCCGTCGGAAGGGTAGGTTGCCCTGCGTAGTTAAAGGTGCCAGGACTGGAGTCTCCTTTCCGAAGTAGATCTTTCTCTTCTCTGATGGCCTCAGGGGCGGATCTACGAACTGAGCTCTAAGTTCTTCCCTGATATCAATCTTTGCACCGTCACCATCTTGCTTCTTGGCTTGGTTGTGAACTTGTCTCATAATCTCAGTATCCTTTTCCAGCCATTTTATATACGGCTCCGACTTCTCGAACTTGACTTTTCTTCTGGCTAGATCCCACTTAGTATCGGTGGATACGACGTTGACAACGCCTGGTCTTTGATCAGGATCTTCGTCAGTTTCCATGGAATCAAGGTTCTGAAGAAGTATGAGTTCCTTTCGTCCGTCTTCTCGGTCGACTTCCTTAGAATGACTCTTCACGAAGCGACATTTCCATCCGGCGGTACACCTGCCGTACTTCTCATAGACAGGGCACTTGCCATCGAGGGTATCGAGGTCCTCACGTCGACCTTCTTTGAGGTACTTGCGTAGATTGTGACATGAGTTACACCTCTCACCAAATTTGCACGGCTTAGGCGAGAATTCGTTGGAGTAGGTGATGCTATTACATAGGCGGAATGCATCTTCATGATTGCCAAAATTGCGATTCTGGTTTTGACCACCTTGCTTTTTCCTGTTCTTCCCCTTCTTACCGCCGCCATCCCGAGGATCGGGTTTTCCATTGACGGAGTTATTGGTAGCAATACCAGCTTCTGCTGCATCATCGTCCACAATCTTAGCCTGAGCCTCATCAGAGATAAGATATCTAAGAAGAGAGAAAAAAGATATTTGTTAGCTCTGGATGGAAGTACAGACATGTATAAAACTTACTCGGTTTTTACAGGCGCAACACCTCGAGTTCTGTCCCTTGGCTGGTTTTGCCTGTTCTCCTGTTTCGTCTCTTGATGATCGAGCTTTTGTCTCTTAGACGCGGGACCGTCAGTCTCAACAGTATGTGCACCACCATTGACATCATGCTTGAGAGACTCTCCTAAGCTACTTGCAACGGCGGTAGCCTTATTATCCTCAACAGGTTGTCCATCCGCCATTTTTGAGTAACTTGAGATTGAGACCGAAGTTACAAAATGTTGCAAGTTTTTGGCTTGATGAATTTTTGTCGAAGTTGTACTTTTTTTTTTATTTGCACTAAAGCTAAGTACCTCCGTGTATCCATGTATTGTACATGTACAATGCTGAAATGTATCTAAAAGTAATGTATAGGGGAGAGAACCCCGCGCTCTGATTGGCAACTGCCCCGCCGTTAGACTCACGCTTAAAAGTTTAGCTCCCAGATCTTCTAGGACTTGTACCTCTTTGCGTCATAAGTGAGAGAGAATTGGGAATTTATTCAAATCAATGAATTAGGTACTTCAAAGCTGATATACATAAACCTTTTCGAAGTACAGATCTTGGAATTGACATTCTTTGCTTCAAAAGGCTCCCTAGGGAGGTAAGTAGGTTACTTCTTGTTACTTATTTGTCTTCAGTTAACTAAGTATTTTCCTTTACATTTATCTTTACATAAAAATGAAAACTTCATATCACTAGTACTAGACTATTTTTGCGATCATAACAAAGAATTAACAAGCTTTCTTCGCATAAGCAAGATGATCTTCCACACAAAATAATATATTCTAGAAGGTCATATGACACGAACGCGATGTGCTGCGTTGGCCATCTCCCGCACCAGTCTTATGCCCATATACGTAAAGGCTGGTGGATGATACACTGCAGTTACGCGGCGGGAAAGGGGAAAGGGGTATGACACGCACGTAGAGTGGATAAACAATTGGTAATCTTATTGACCAAAAATATAACATTACATAAGGTACTTATATTTCATAGACCTTATCTCGTTGTGGCTATCATCTTTCAATGGTTTGATTTTATAGGTAGTCGGCAGAATTAGATAACTATATAATATTAGCATGTCTAAATAAGTTATAAGTCTCTCGGACTTGGCAACTGATGAAAGCAATAATGAACTTAGCTCGCATTAGAATATCACTAAAATGGACTGTTGGGTGCAGTAGCTAATAAATTTAGGTAATGGACCTACCTATATTATGCAAGGTGACAGCACAAGTCAGATACAACTTTTCCATAAATTGGCTTTACCAGCTTGGTGGCATGCTATTATTGGCAATCCACACTTACCTTAGGTATAATGACTTCTAACCTTACCTGCCTTACCTAATGTAAGTATATTATTTTCAATACATTTATTAGGAAGCTTTATTACCTTTAGGTTAGGTACCTAGGTAGTGTGCTTACGTAGGTAGGTACGTATTGTATAAACAGCCTCGACTAAGGCGGGGAAGACGCGGGATTGGCTAAGAACCCGCTAAGCACCCGCTAAGAAACTGTTACCCAACCGTTACCCATGCGCTCGAAAAGTTTCCGCGACTCAATTTCTCAAACCACTTTTTCCTTGCTTCATCTTCTCTTCTCTTTCTAGAAAAAGTACCCAATTTCATGCAGGGGCTCGAGAAAAGCAAGGGATGCTCGCGTGGCTTGGCAACATTTCAACCTTGACCATTTCGTATTAGAACCATTTTTTAACCTGTCATCATTCTGTGCTCCAGATCTCGTCAAGAAATACTGCCATCATCATCATCATTATCATCCATTCTGTCCCTTTGGAATAGCTTTCAAAGCGTTTCAGCCCCTGCTCAGGGTTCAATACGCACTATTTTGAAACTACTCTTCTTTTTTTTTCTTTTTGCTTTTTGTCTCCTAATTGTTCTCCCTACCTTGTAGCCTTAAAACTCTCCATGCCCTGAATATTTGCCCAAGCTTCTCCCATGCCCTTGCGCAACTCGCCCGCCGACTACCGAGAGACTAGGCTAGGTGGATAAGTTGGGCAATTTAGCTTGTGACGTATTTTCATCACCGTACGATTTTAGAACCTCTAGCTTCAGACGTCGGAACGTAGGCCATGTTATTCGAGTATCATGCCCTCCGTTAACGAAACCATGGCCGATAACCCACGATCGCCCTCAAGCTCCAAGTCCAAGACCGTTCGATCACAGAAGATTGCCCCCTCTTCTATCGACGGTGACAGTGGAAACGAGGGCCAAGACCGAGCTGCTCCCACCACCCGAAGCCATACGCCAGGCCATCTCTCATCTAGGAGCCAAACAAATTCCTCGAGTAGACGTAAAGCATCGGAGCCCTCGATACGAACACGTTCCCAATCCGTCTCTGCCAAATCTGCGTTTGCGCCACCGCCCCAGTCTGCTCCGACACCTATTCCCACTCTCACCCTTCGACGCAATGGAGATTACACTACTCCCGTACCATCGGATCCGCAGGTCGGATCCTATAGCCTAGAGGATGGACGGCGACCAGTAGCTATGCGCTCGACATCGGCCATCGCCGGCCGAACTACAACTGCGAGTATGGGATCGACTGCCTCCGGCGGATCCCGTAAGGCGTCCTCTGCTGCACGGCCGCGTGGCCCCCATGTCCCCTTTCCGCCTCTACAAGATCCCAAAACCGCCGCCGACGTGCCTGCTGCACCTTCGTCTGGTATGTACTGGTCGCGAGCACCAGTATCCGGAGCTCCCCATACTCCCCTCCGCGCGCACACGACGACTCTCGTCGGCAGCAACGTATACGTCTTTGGAGGTTGCGACTCGCGTGCCTGTTTTAACGAGTTGTATGTCCTGGACGCGGACTCGTTCCACTGGAGTAGCCCGCACGTGGCAGGTGATATACCGGTTCCGTTGCGGGCGATGACGTGCACAGCTGTCGGCAAGAAATTGGTGGTGTTTGGGGGCGGAGACGGTCCGGCTTATTATAATGACGTGTACGTGTTGGATACGGTTAATTTTCGTTGGCATCGCCCGCGGATAATAGGGGATCGAACGCCAAGCGCGCGGCGAGCGCATACAGCCTGCCTGTACAAAAATGGTATCTACATGTTTGGTGGCGGGGACGGAATACGCGCCCTCAACGACATATGGCGGCTCGATGTCACAGATGTGACGAAGATGAGCTGGAAATTAGTATCGGGGCCGTCGCTGAGCAGCTCGAATGGAGTTAAAGACACCTCCAAACCTAAGGCTCGGGGCTACCACACAGCGAACATGGTAGGCAGTAAGCTGATCATCTATGGCGGCTCGGACGGCGGCGAGTGCTTCAATGACGTATGGGTATACGACGTGGACACGTATACCTGGAAGGCGGTACATATCCCTATAACATTCCGGCGGCTGTCGCACACCTCGACACTCGTGGGTTCGTACCTATTCGTGATCGGAGGTCACGATGGTAATGAGTACTCCAACGATGTCTTGCTGCTCAACTTGGTTACTATGAGTTGGGACAAGCGGAGGGTATACGGCCTCCCTCCCAGCGGTCGCGGGTACCACGGCACCGTGCTGCACGACAGCCGGCTCATCGTAATCGGTGGCTTCGACGGCGGTGAGGTTTTCGGTGACGTCTGGATCCTCGAATTAGCTGTACATGCGTATTACTCGCAGATAAGCCACTTTACCATCGAGGTCTAGGCTAAAAAGTCAGGTTGGTCTCTGCGGGCTTCGAGAGTTGTGGTAGATGGGGGGCCATCGGCAATTCACAAAGAGGCGCTGAAGGTTAGATCTTATGTATGCGGCGCGGCCAATGTTGATTTTTATATTTATCAACTTAATCTAGCGTGGGCCTTGGACTTAAAAATTACATATCATTCTGATAGCGTCTTCTCTTTGTTCTAAGATGTGGCGACCGTTTTCGGTCTTTATCTCATCAAGTGCTATCCGTCATTTTATATCTACTCAAGGGTCTAACTTTAACTACTAGACCTAGGGGATCTCTTTCTAGCCTTGTTACGAATAGATACGAGGCTTTTTGTAAAATGTAGCTATTACCTTAGGTAGGCATTATATTGAATTGGGATGGGGAGGATGGTTATTATTCGAGGCCGTGCTGTTGCAGGATCTTGGAGTCTTTCAGGACAGCCAGGACATGTAAAAAGGGGGGGATAAAGGGGAAATTGGAGAAGACAGAAAACCGAATCGGTATTTTATACAGTCGGGTCAGGTCATTTGGTGACATGTAAATCCAATGCCTAGTAGTAATATGGTCTATGTTATAATATTAAAGCAATGATGTCTCATCGTTATCATCATCGTCGATCTATTCAATCAATCAATCAATCAAATTGCCCCCGTCCCCCCGTCCCCCGTCCTTCCTTCAAGAGAAATGGAATATCCCCATGGCCGCCCTCCTTTTTCTTATCTTTCACTCCGTTTTCCTCCACTCCCTCCGTTCTACGCTTGCTTGCATATTTGCATTGCTTTTTTTCCCCCGTATTCGTATTTTGTACACGAAGAGAAGAAGAGAACAGGAGAAAAAGAGACAAGAGATATGAGATGATGCGTTCCGCCCCAAAACCTAACCGAACCGCGCACGGCCGAAACTCCGGGACAATGATTGATGCATGGGAAGGGGAAAAATAAAATTAAAGAAATATGCAGGTGAATCCGGGACGCAAAATGCCTAACCCACTCGTTATACACACGGGAGGGAAACAGATAGACAGGTAGCCAGGCGGCGCTTCACTCTAGCAGCCGGCTTGCACAATACCGATGATCCAATCCATCCTTCTTTCCCCAGCATCGGACGATGCCATCACCGTCACCGTCACCGCCATCGTTATCTATCAGGCAGATGTTTTCGTCTCCGTTTTTCTCCTTTCCCTTTCCCTTTTCCTTTTCCTTTCCCTTTTCCTTTTCCTTTTATTATTATTTTAATGGGAGCTCTCCTGCTTGTGTTCCTTCTGGGCGGCGAGTCTGCGCTCCTCGGCGGCGACCATATCCTTCCAGAGGTCCTGGCCCTCGTACTCCTCCTTGCGGACGCGCTTCTCGATGAGGGTCTTGTGCTCGGGGTCGTTGGGGTCGAGGACCTTGACGGTCTCCCAGCGGCCGGTGCCGGAGCGGGCGTCGGCGGTCTCGAAGGCGGCGGTGGCGATGAGCACGCCCAGGGTCAGGCCCTGGGCGTACATGCGGGCCTGGACGATCTTCTGCGACGCCGTCAGGTACCGGTTGCGGCTGACGAGGGCCATGGCGACGCCCATGGACGCCACCCACGACGCGAACACGATCGAGTACCGGTTCTTGCGGCCCCATTCCTTGAGGCGCTGCATGGTCGTCTCCTGCTGCCGGATCAGCTCCTGCGTGCGCTGCGCCTCGTCCTTGTAGAAATTCATCGGATTGTTCGCCATATGGAACGCGTTCGAGTACCGCTCCGCGTTTACGATGGCTCCGAACGTGCCCGTCGACGTCACGAGGAAGGCGCGGAAGGGTAGGGTGAGGGACCGGAAGGCTGGGTACCGCCGCGATCCCAATACCACGCCGGCCAACCCAAGGCCGAGGCCGAGCGTGCCGCCGATGAGACCGCCCTTAAGCACTTGAGTGTAGTGCGCTTTCTCCTCTTCTTTCGAGATGATCTTCATGGCTGCGGTGTTATGTTATGTTATGTTATGTGTATGTTTGTATATATGTTCAAGGTTGTATGCGGATGCGGATGCGGGGATTATGGTCGACTTGTCCCGATTTTCGTTCTTTATATCGTAGTGGAGTCTTGATGCTCTGTGACGTATCTTGAATTCTAGTATTACCAGGTCTTTACGTCTATAGGACAACTTGCGCCCTATCGTGGTCGTGAGAAGTTTGCAAGCGGCGTGGGGTATCTTAGATAGATGGAGATGACGAAGTAAGTCTAATGGGGGTATTGCGAATATTGTGTACTAATCGTGATAGCTTTCGTGTTCCCAGGGCCCGGTACGCGGGGTATTATATTTTGAGGGTTTGGTGAGAAAAAAAAAAGAATTCTAAACGGGCGACGGAGTTGAATTGAGCAGTTTACGATTGGCTCCTCTTCGGGATTTCAAAAGGACGGACGGATTTCAAGCGGTGACTCTTAGTAACACCAATGTCAATTTGACGATGCTGTTCGCAAAGGAGAAAATCGGGATAAAAATATTACATGATGTAATCCACTGCCCAGGCGGTGGTGGCACGTTCTGGCAGCTCGCTGGTACGATGGAAATGTGGTTCGGCCAACTAAAGCAGAGCCCGAGTTATTCCCGCATTGTGGCTGATATCGTGTGGCTTACGCAGTGTTTCGTGTAAGTCTTACGAGCTAAGATGCTCCTAGATGACCTAGAAGAACCCTTGTGCCACATTTATACCTTATAGAGGCACCTAATTGCGCAGCTAGCGCCCGCTGTTCGCCGTTTGCTCGCTGTTGAATACAAGGGATTTTCGGGGTTTGGGCAATTACCTAGTGCTGTTCGCGATTTACACAGTACCTAAGTACCTAGGGTAGTGGCCAACTCGGCGTGTTCCGGTATTACGACTCAGCTGTCATACTTCCATCACAGGTACAAGTAGCAATACAATATAGAATACGATACATATATGTAGCTACCCGTCTTCAGCCTCAGGCACTTCGCGATAAACAGCCGTAAAGTTGCGTCCCGTCCTCGCCGCTCGTCCCTGTGGCATCTCCAGACGGACTACATCGGCAGTGTGGCGTTTGCTTTCTAGGGACCTATTAACTAGCAGTAAAAATTCAATAAGATTCAATGTTCTCCGCGGACTTGGTTGAATAGGTAGGTAGGTGGGGGTGGAACAGATGATTATTCGGACCATGGTACTCGAATCAGCCGTCTTATTTTATATACATGTAGGTAGGTAGGCATGTAATCATTGTCAGCCAAACTCAATTCTTAATTCTCGATCAGAAATACTGTCATATAAATTATCACCTGAAAGTTTTGAGTGATCGGAGCGGCTAGGTAGAACATAAGAAACGAGGGTTAATTACCTATCCAATTACATAGTAGGTAATCCCAAGAATCCGGACCGTGAAAAAGCAAAAGGCCGGTCGAAAATGATCGGAGCCTATGCTCCAGGTATGTACCTACCGAACCTAAGGTATCACGTGCCGTAAATGATGATCTTGGCGGTCTTCTTCTTAGTCAGCTCCCGTGTGTGTGTCCCATGCGTCCGAACTTGTCTTAGCTCAGCCAGGGCTAAGCGGGACAAGCGCAGAAGACTAGGTACCGTTTCATGCGTTGCAACTTTACCACTGCAACTCTGCAACACTGCAACACTGTAACTACACTAGGTTAACCTACACCTGCTGCTTGCGGGTGGGTCTGGTTACTGGTAAGGCTCGGTTAAAGCTAACAACGCAGCCAGTCGACGGAGCTACCTAGAGCCAACAAATTCTGGAAATATTCTAGTTAAAGAAAACGAGACCGGAAACCACACTCACTTTTATTATTCTAGTTAACTAGTTCTAAAGATGTGAAACCTTTTACTTACTTACCTACCTACCTTGACCATGCGGGGAATAATGGCTTATTACCTGTCTGTTAGTTGGTAATAATATAGGATCTAAGACCTAATTATGCCACTTTTCACCACTTTTTAAAGTCCATCGTCGGTCCTTATTCCGGAAAAGACTTGTCAATAATAACACGTCCGTGTTAAGTATGCAAATTTGGTTTAGTGGAAGACCTTTATCCGATTGATCGCCAGGAAGATCCAGATAGATGGCCACAACGAGACGGGGTTGCTTCCAGGAACGATCGATCATAATTTCCCTTTTCCCTCTCTCCCCCCCAAGCGAGCCGGCGCTGTGGCGCGCATGGCAAAAGTCACGGGGAGCCAATCCCATACGCGAGTCCGCTTGGAGGCGAGCGAGCCGGGGCAAGTTGGAAGTTGGCCCCCCTCGCTGCCTGGCTAACCGTGTTACAACTACTTACAAAGTTACCGCGGCTCGGAGATGAAGTCTGACATCTTGTGAAACGACGGCAATGTCCAAAAAAAAAAGAGATGAATGCCAATACTAATACCAATACCAATACCAATGGTAATAATGCTAATGTTAATGCCAATGCTAAATAACCCGGAAGTGATTTCTAAGCCCGGGATTTCAACGGCATACATACCTATATTATGTGTAATAGGTTGCCATTAGCTACGAGACCGTCTCTCTGACTTGTCAGTTTAAGACATGGTTTCAGAATTGACTACCTACCTAAGGTGGTTAACTAACTAAACTAATAACTAACGCGCTTTGTTTCCATCTTCTTCCCTTTCTCTATGTAGGTTTAGCGGGGACGATCTCTTTAGTGGGAGCTTAGCCCCATCTAGAACTGAAGAGTTGTAGCGTTTGGTTCAAGTCTGGCTAGTATGGTTAGCGTTATCCTTCCTTGTCTCCCCCTTGCAGGGACCTGGAGATAAGACGAATAAGTGGAGATCTGCTTTTTGGTGGAATACCTAGCACGCCAGGCATGCCCGGGCAAAATGCTGCTTACTGCGTGTGCCTAGATACCCTTTGCGGAAATCTTAATTCAGGGTCCAAATACTTTGCGCTAATGCACATTATAGAGGAAAAAAACACAAGCGCTTTTACAGACATAAATGTATGTACACCCTAACAACCTGGATGGTTAGGTACATTCCGATCTACCCAAATAAATACCCAAGATACGTACCCACCTATTATACATCTTTTACACTAGGTACCTCTTACACCTTTTTTACCTACGCTACTTACATAGTACAGCAAATGTGAATTGTACGTGCCCTCGCGCATCCGCACCCGGGGGAGAGGATCAGCACATGAGAAATATTTATCGAGGCGGGTTGATTGGGCACGGCAGTTCGATCTTCGACATGCGACCGTCTAAAAAAGCGGTGAATGTTCCGCTCCGATTGTCATCTTTGTCATACGCGACCTACATGAGATAGATACCTTAGGTAGGGTTATGTTAGGTACCTGGGTAAAAAGAATGCCACTTGTGACGAAGCTGAGGTCAGATTATTATAGTATAGTAGTATATACACATTGTTGCCGCTTCCTAGTTCCCCGTCGGGGTCGGTATGCACTGCTACAACGTATAGTGGTGGTGGTATTGGTGTGGTATTGGTAATCTTCGTAGACTCGTAGTTGGTGTATTGTCGAATAGCTCGGTGTAGAACCGTCACATTTCAGCTGTGAGTTGGAAAAGGGGATATTCCCAGATGAGCTACTCCCGCGGAGTTGACATTGGCAACATTGCATGTAGATTGCTTTATCTGAGGGGTTAGGATGGGATGGGATGAGATGGACTTTTACTTAAGTGGGATGAAGGAAGAGTTCAAGATCAGCAATTGCACAGTATCGCAGACCTGCCCCTTTAAGGCTTCAATTTCGTCATAGAAATGGAAACTGCACCCATTTGTCGTGGGGTATTGTTAGGGCCGTGTCTAACTAGGGAGATTGTAGATTTCCTCGAAACCTTAAAAAGTTATCATCTTGGAAATCGGAGATCACTTTCAAGATCGATTGGGATTCGCGGTGCTCTAATATTACGTGCTTGCCTATGTCTCTCTCTTACCGTAAACTACTTAGGCACTGTTGGATAGTTAACTACTTGGGTATGTAAGGCGGAGGTGAAGTCGCAACGTAATGTCGCACGTAAGGCTTACGACGAGGATAGAATATGGGGTTGAACAGCATGGCATCCCTTTGCATATCTAATATCCCCGGTCTACATATCGTCCTGCATATTATTGACGTATTATATGTAGCCGGGAAACTTACATGGACCAAGATATACACGATCATATACGGGTGTCATCCCGTGTTGTTAAGCTTATACAGACACACCATGTAGTCATCCACGGGTTAATATACCTAGAAGTAAGCCCGATGTTATCTATCGTAGCTTATTTTCCAATCCATCACATCTAACCTAAAGGTAGACACGCTACATCTGTAGCTTATGGTGAATAGCCTATCTGTTATATTATAGTGGTTGGTTTGCTCGCATCTGAAAAAGCAAATAAAAATATCCGAAGCCGAAGACTCGGTAACTCTTCTTCGTTCCTGCTTTCAGCTGAGTGTTTCAAGGCTTCGAGAAGGAAAAATTGCCGCATCAGCTGAACCTTGAGGGAACAGACGAAAAGGTCTGAACATAAGGACGAGCCAGTAGCAACCAGCCCTGTCATTTATCCTAGCATTTAGATACATAGTAAGTAAGTTTAAGCCCTACCTACTTGTTTAGGCAGTTGATGTAGCTTTAGGATTCGAGGCCGATGTTTGCGGTTTGCACGAATGCGTTTGTAACTCAAGTCACAAACAGATCTCATACTAGGTATGTATATAAAGTATTACAGTAATTATTTTTCAACAATTTGATAGGCATATTGATTGAATTAGGTTAGGTAGACATGTCCACGAATCAATGCTGTACCTACTGCAATGGCCAGATTAAGGTTGTTTGCGCTTGAGCATGTTGCTTGCGTCCGCTCGTGCGACCAGCCGAGAGAACCAATGAGAAGAGCCGACGAACCGAATATGGCTTTGAGATGGTATTATAAATTGGTGGGGGGTTGGTTCGGTTTTGTCTTAAGACGCGCACCAACGAGACGACCGGATCGTAAGCCCACCTTTACTACCCTTACTACCCCTACAACCCCTACAACCCCCTCGGCTTACGGGTTTATATTGAAGCTATCAATAAGAAAGGGCCTAGGTGCATATGTTCTATCGACGGCTTGGAACTTCGTAGGGTCGCTAGTAAGAATTGGTGGTGGCGTCGGAGAGGCTCTGATTTGATTCATAAAGTGGCGTTATACAGAACGGCTGGGGACGGTCGAGAGCCACACATGTGATTGTATCATTATAATGAGTCAGGGCAATATCTAGCGAATGGGACATTGGCCGCACTAAATGGGAAAGGAAACTCTAGTGCTATCACCAAGAAGTATGGAATATGGAACTGCAGGTGTAATGTATGTCCGTATAGTTATCTGTCATGTATAAGTGCGAATGCAGCCATATATGTTACGACAGCTAGAAACTTAAGTCCCGATTGCGTTGGCTGTTCCCCAGTATGGATATATATATATATATGTATGTATAATGCATGCCGCGCTGCTGCAGCACGAGTAATAAGAATCCAACTCTCTCGTGCAGAGCCGTTCAATTCACGAGGGTAAAATGGCTGATGGCCGCATCGTGTAGCAATTAGTGCGTGAGAATGAGCTTATACGGCTTCGTCCGCGAGTCGAGTCATACACGCATACTGTCCGTCATTTCTAGCCCGTCTGCCTGCTTACACTTTTCATGCCGCATTTGTAACGCGCGCAAAACCACGAAGCTACGAAAGCTGGCGTTTACTCGATCAAGTTTTGGTTGAGATTCAAGGCTGGGTAGCCTTGTTTTTTTATTTACAGTAACAGGTTGATTACCATAGTTAGGTTGGGTAGGTAAGTTGTGTAGTGTAAACAGTTAAGCCGAGATGGTAACTTGTTAATATTATGTCTTGCACACTGGTCCGTTTATTTATGTACCTAATGCTCCTAATGTAGGTATGTACCTACATCCTATACACAGTACTTGCAAATTTATGACGCACTACCTATCATGACATCAAAGTCCCTTTTATCTATCGCCAAATGTCGCGTGTAAGTAATATTTACCATTATCGTTATTTTCCAAAGATGAAACCTGAATTCAACTGCTAAGTTAAACTTTGAAAAACAGGTAGTTAGGTAGTAAATAATAACAAGAATAATGATAATGATAATAGCAATAGTCTCTTACATCTAATTACTACTATTAGTATGTAGCAAACGGAAGCCTCTTTTTTTATTTTTTTATTTTTGATCGACCAGCAATAACCCCCCCAAGTCGGGGGACTCTAGTCCCTTTAGCTGGTCCCGCACGCATCGGCTTTCCTTAATCAGTGTTGTTAGTCGCTCAAAACATCCTTGCGCCCTTAACTCCGTAATAGAACCTAACAGTCTACAGAAGATCACAGTAACTTACTTACCAAGATGTTAGCCGTTGGATGTAACGTCGAGCCATGTGAGATCCACACCATCTTTTTTTTTTCTTCGAACGAGTTTGAATAAGAACAACACGATTCCTCAAATGTTTTTATTCCCTAATCCAGCTCTATGCATCGATATTATTTATCAAATAACCTAGCATCAAACTTGTCATAATCGTTTGTTTCCCTTTTCTCCCTTTTTTAACGCATTTACACTTTCTACTTACAAGTCCTCCTTCGAAGCTTCGATATCCCTGCTATCCAAAAATTGTGGAATCGCCGGGTGGTGAAATTGAGCCATGTACGTGCTTCGTTAGTCTTTCCCCAGCGATGGGGACTAATCGTCACTGATCAACAAACCTGACGATACTACTCGCTATGGGTTCGGCAGCCCGGTTCTCGGTGGGAAGTGCTAGTACCTCCCAGCTAAACTTAGAGGAGTAGCAGGAGTTTTCATTTCCCTTTAGAACGGTTGAACTACTACTATGTTATGGTATGTACGAGAACTGCGGTAGTCTCAAACTGTCTACCGCTGGTGTGGATTTGTTTGCCTGTAGGTGTAGGGGTACCTATCATACTATTCCATAGCCATACATATAGTAGTCCTAACGGCTTCTGACTGGCTTTAACTGGCCCAAGCTGGTCTGAATCGCCCCGACTTGGCCTAGGAGATTACCGTTACATACCTAGATTAGGTACCGCAGTTCGGTAGTGATCACAAACACATATGCGCGTGTGTGTAACTAGCCTCGTCCTATCCCGCGAGCCTAAAATGTAGTAATAAACCTGTTATATCCCAAGTCTAATCCGAGCAGGTCGATATTGTGACCTTAGTTTAGCTTCATTTACCCTCGTCCCAGTCCAATACACTACCTACCCAGGGTATCATACCCACAAGTTGATCCGTTAGAGTTGTTGTCGTGATATTAAAAATACGACAACCCAAGTTTCTAACTCTCGTATATACATGCGTACGTGCAACGTGCCAATGTGCCGCCGATGTGCTTGATGTGCCCGCGTCCTACCTACTTACACCACTTATTATATATCACTTACTTTCTTTAGACATATTGTTCGGGTGTCTCGACTTCTCGATTCTCCCACCCCGGCCCGCGCTCAACAACTGCCTTTCACTTAGGTATTATTACTTATTAGCTACCTACATCACCTGTCGACTTACCGCCAGATCTTATTTGGGGATCATCCCGCCATAACCATAATCCTCCTCCAATCCATCTGGCTGTCGTGCAACCCCCCGTACGGTAGCAATTGCTGCGCAACTTGACTAAGTAGCAATCCAAAATTGATCCAGGCGTCCTCGGCGACTACGATTCTCCAAGGCTATCTAACAGCTAGCTCGTCCGTCATTGAACCCCCGAAGCTAATATAAGTCGTAACGGACGAGGTTTCGCCAAAAATAAAGGTGGCTTGAAATATTAGAGTTATAGTTGGGTTTAGCTTGGCAGCACGTATCCGCGGCAATTCAGACCAGACCAGACCAGACCACCAGGGACCCAAGGAGGCAAAAGGTTACGTCTCTTACGTCTCCTATTCCGTCTCCGTCTAATAGGCCAGTGTGATTTGCCTCTCCCGGTGACTTATTACCAACTGCTCGGTCGAAGCTCGTGCTTCCGTATGATTCTACGTCGTGGGGTTGTTCGCCGCAATTATCTTCCTATTATTTTATTTCACTATTATTTTACTATTTCATACTTGCCGAATCCTTCTGGATACCTATACTACCTGGATATTATTATTATACTGGATACTTAACACTGGAGACTTATGGACAGCTCGGACCAGCGCGATATTCGAAGCTAATCGATCGTACCGTGTTTGGTTACAGTTTGCATCCGCCCCCCCTCCTCCGGGTCCCAGTCACTTAGGTAGCGTCTAATCTGGACCTACCCAGTGCACAGCATCCCAAACCGACACCCCGGCCCCGTCGTCGTTAAGCTTACATACATACTACCTTGCATATACTGTCCAGTCCAGTGAGATCTAAGTCCATACGTACATACGGGACGTATCTATATACGTCCATATCCTTACACAACCTCTCCCATACCTCATATCTCCTCATACATATACACGCTACCTACTTACTTACATACCTACCTAACCTACCGACACACACTCACATGGGCTGCATGATTTACGCGCATAAGTTGTAAGTCGTACATCATCCTCGAATATTCCTACAATACGACTCTTCGAACATACACGTACCTACGTACAAGACTGCGGTCATAATCCTGTAAGTGCTCGACCTAAACTTCGTATCTTATGTACGTACCTTAGTCAAGATCAGACGGAACTTGCATCTTTGGTTGTTCGGATTCGTCCACCTGTCCACCCCCCGTCTTGAAGACTATTTCCAAGCATCATTTCGTCTTTCACTCAGTCGCTCGCTTCACACGCACGCCCTTTTCCCTAAACTCGGGTCGATCACACGAGTTATTGGTTTATTCCCATATTCAACCTCGGAGAACCAACGATAGTACTACTTACTGCTGTTGTTACAGCTACTACCTTAACCATATTTCATACCACTGCACTATTTATCACTACTCATGCACATGCCGCTAACATGTTAACCTGACCTAATTTCGGGTTGGATCTCATGAATTCCGTCTTATAATATTCGAGATCACTCTTTCTTTTATTTTATTTTTTCATCTTTGATTTTGGGTCTTCAAGAAAAAAAAGAAAACATTTTTAACTAATACTTTTCATCTGTTATTACTTTAACAGTTTGTTAACAGTTTAGACGCAAAGGTCGTGAAAGTCGAAGTTTTAAAACTTGAGGTCCGTTTGTTGGGAAGAGGTACCTCTCTAATATTAAAAAGACCAAAAAAACAACAACAAGGGTACAGAAGGTACTTAACTAGGATCCTACCTAAACTGGGATACTTTCCAATTACCTTACATATTGGACAAAGGTACAGTACCTAACATAAATTTGCCCACCTGAGAGAGGAAGCGCAGCCCAAGGACCGAGGACCAGGAAGGACCATTCTCAAGGGTCGCGGGTCCCACTATATTCAGCACCAAGCAGCACCAATCAGCACCAATCAGAACCAATCAGTATGAAGGGCGCCCTGGGTCGATGGCTAGCAGGCACGACACGTACCCCATTCCCAGCGACTAATGACACCGAGCATCCGTTTAGCAGCCGCAGCAGCGCCGAAAATAATAATTCTAGCGCTGGCTCTGACCTCGCCGCTGCCGCTGCTCCTACACCAACTTCCTCACGTTCCCTCACCTCGCCGTCACCTTCACCACAACCCGCAACTCCGGACGACCACGACCAATTTAATTTCCCCGGTCGCAATAATTATTTCGCTTCCGCATCCAACGGCGCATCTGTTTCGGTTTCTACTTGTGCATCTGCCTCTACCTGTGACTCTGCTGCCCCATCTCTATCTCCATCCGCATCTGGATCTGCATCCCCATCCCCATCCCCTCTCCCTCTCTCCCTCTCCGCATCTAAGCCAATAGATATCGCGAGCAACACCCCAAGGATTCGAACCTCCAATTCCGCATCGCCGTCTCCACGCCAGCATAACCCGTCCGAATCACATTGGTTGCAAGTTAACGTCGACGGCGACCTCGACCTCGAAATGACAACAGGTCCTGCGCTCGACTCGGCCGTGAGCCGAAGTCGCCAGGATTCCTTCGTCAGCGCTGGACCAAAGCCCATCTCCATGATCAACCCGAATCGCGAACAGGCTAATCGCGGTAGACGGGAGAGTTTGGCCGGTAGTTTGATGAACGGTATGAGCTGGGGCGGTGTCTCAGTCGGAAGCTTCATTAGAGATGAGTAAGTCGCATCGATTATTATTATTGTTGTTAATTATTCTTAAATCTTTTTTTTTCTTTTTCCTTTTTTGTCTCTTAAAATCCTCCTTCTCCCGTTATCAATTTCCCCTGTTGCTCATGTCCTCCCCCAACTGTTGCTCATCGTGGTTATATATACTCCTCGTTACGCAGCGCATCCGTTTACCCGACCTTTTCTGTTTTATATAAATATTTTTGAGACGTTTCTGTTTCCGTTTCTGTTTCCGTTCATGCATGTGAAAATCCCCCGATGACAAGTGGCTAATTAATCATGTCTTCCGACGAGTAGCCTCGTAATGACAGGCACATCACCGTTCACCGGTGCTCATCAATCACCCTCATTTCACTCTAATTCATACATCCCCAAGATGGAAGCCGAGTATCTGCGCAACTTCATATGTTGCGACCTGAAGTTGGACACGATGCACGATCTGCTTCGCCACTATGAGACGGTCCACACGGGCCAGAATGCCCAGCCGAACCGGAATGGGTCCGGTATCCCAACGCCCCATAGGCTTTCTGTTAACAGCCGACCGTCTATGTCGATGGGAATTGGACGGCAGGATTCGCAGGGCTTCCAGCATCAGACGCAGATGGGGTCGGGCCAACGGTTTGGAAACATAGGGAACAATCTCGGTTCCGGAATGGGCTTTGGTGGAATGCAGATGGGAAGACAGTCTTCGGGGATGGATTCGAACGCTCAGAAGCGGAATCAACAGTTGAGCCGGATGCAATCTAATGACGAGATGGACGCTGTTGGTGACATGGAAATGGATGACACTGTCGGTATGATGGAGATGGACGATAACCAACGAACCATCCAACAGACCCGACAAATGTTCGGGCAGCAACAGAGGCCTCAACTACAATTGAGCACCCCGGGCTTACAACATCAAGCCCTCCGAACGTCGCAACCGTCCACGCCGGGTGCTGGTAACTTTGGCTTCCAGAATAACCCTACAGTCTCGTCAGTCAATACGCCCACCTTGACGACACAACAAAACGCATTAGGACAACAACAAATGGGTGGCAACAAGGACGGGATGGGAGACATGGACTTCTCTTCGTTGAGCAACTTGAACCTCAACAATATTGGAGGAGGCTTTGATGGTTCTAACCTTTCCGAATACTTCATCGACGACCCGGCCAAGCGGCTTTACAGCCCGAACGGCGGACCGGCAAGCCAGAGAGCGCTACAACAACAGATGGCTCAATTTGGACTGGATGCAAGTCAGTTCGCTAACATCACTGATCCCAACCATTTAGCAGCACTTCAACGAGCAATCGCGAACCCTGGATCTTTGGTAATACCGCCGGAGGAGGACAAACCCTTTAAGTGTCCGGTTATTGGATGCGAGAAAGCTTATAAGAACCAGAACGGCTTGAAGTAAGTTTAAACTTTTTTTTTTTCTCAATTCTCGCCTGAGACTTTTGTCTTCCCCTCCTCTCTCGGCCGATTTTGAATTTCCCGGCCCTTATCTTAACATGTCGCTAAATTGATTATGCAGGTACCACAAACAACACGGTCACCAAAATCAGCAGCTCCACGAGAATGGAGACGGGTCTTTCTCCATCGTAAATCCCGAGACATCTGCCCCTTACCCCGGCGAGACAGGCATGGAGAAGGAGAAACCACACAAGTGCGAGTACTGTCACAAGCGTTATAAGAACTTGAACGGTCTCAAATACGTATGTCATTCCTATTTCATCCTATTTCATCCCATTTCATCCCAACCTTCCTAGGTACTATATTTAAGGTGTATATGTACGAAGACTAACAATGGAACAGCATAAGCAACATTCGTCTGCTTGCGAGATCCAAGCTCAAGCGGCTAATATCCGAGCCAACCTCGCTGCCAATAACCAGATGACTTTCAGTCTGGCCAATCTCACTCACGGACTTCCCGGAATAGGCGAAGAGATGCAGCTATAAGTTTGTTTAACTGCACCCTCTACCGCTTGCCAGCAACAACGGTGCTTACTACTAATTCCTCGAGTTGCGACCCGGCGTTGATGGCCTTCATTCAACCGGAGGGTTTGTGGTTCTCGCATTGATTCTTCGGCATAGACGTGTTCATATAGACTGGATACCCCCTTACATACCATGGCAACTGTACATAAAGCCATGATTTCTCTCGGTTCGGAAAAGTTTGTCCTTTAATGGCATCTTGGCGGCGTTCTTTGCTTCTTGCATAAGGCGTCCAATCCAAGATATACCCTCGATAGACTTCTATGCAGAACTCTTCGTTTTTTTCCATCCTGTTTTACAAAGAGCTGGGCGTGTTGGCTCGGTCTTCGGTCACATGTATACTTGCAACTACATGATTTCCGCATCCCGCTTCTACGTCTTTTCGAATCACGACAGTTTACCTTCCACGACTGGATCGAACATGGAAGATTTACAGGACCGATGAGATCACGAATTAAGGGAACGAATCACGAAGACGATTGACGCGCTCAGAAATGAGATACGGCTGGTGAAACGGCAGCGTATTGACGAGATTGCTATCCTAGCAACCCCAATACGCTGTTGCTGATGCCGCTGTTATGGTTTTGTTTCTTGATTTCGTGTCGTTTTTTTCTTTTTTTCTTTTTTCTTTTATTACAACAAAAAGGGGATACGCTCGCTTACAGAATGTTGTGCCTCACGGCCGATGGAAAAGCTATATTTTTCATCCTCTACTCTACGTCTTTGTTTAGGGAACGATCTGGGGGATAGCCGGGCGTTCCAGCGGTATATTTTTCTCTTGCAGTCTAGGATTCCGGCTCATACAAAAGAAAACCGAAAATTTAAAAGGGAGGCCAGAGGGGAAATTTAAAAAAGGGCGGCAGAAAGAAAAAGTACCTATAATTGACGTCCCCTAGGACGTGGGGGGAAAAAAGGAAAGGGGAACTTTGTTTATAGATGAGGAGCGGCTGGATATTACCAGCGGCGACTTTCCTGTGCGTAACTAATGAATTTGCGGTGTTCTCAAGGGCTCTACTCTATACCTTCTACACCTTCTACATGTTCTTGATGCTGCGTGTGTATGACATGGGAATCTGCAGTGGTTAAGTTGTTTTGGTTGTAGTGGACTATGAAGTGTATCTAGTCAGGCTCCTGGTAGGGACTAGATATGCTCCTGTTCGGATATTTTCGTCGTCGTCTTTGTTTTTGTTAGACATTATTTGCGTTACCCCCTAATCGGACATACGGGGATCACATGCTGGTCTGGTCGGTATGGGGGAGATAGATGATTGCTTATTGGTTTTCGTCCTTCGGTAATTCATGTCAGTCGCTTAGGGCACGTGGATGATAGCGTATGTCAGCTTACTGGATCTCTATCCGGACACCGGACACGAGGTGCTACAGGAGTAGTGGTACGTATGATATTCTATTAGGTATACCTACTGCTTCGCCGGTAAATCTTACTAGAGACAGGGTAAAGGAGCCTCCTTGATACATATCAAATTCGAGCTCTAGCCTCTAAGGTTAAAGAGTACCTAATCTATTCATACCAAAAAAGTTAACGTCGATTAGGTCCCGAGTACTACGATCGTATGCCTGTTTGAGGCGTCGAATGACCGATCCCTCTCGTGATCTATCACCTCAGACGCCACTCATCACTTCCATCATCATCATTAGTCTTTTTACTCAGCACTTTATCTACCCAAAGCCAAAGATTCCCAAACATTAGGTACACACACACACAATCCTTACCCCGGATCCTTCCCACGACCTTCTCCCACACCATACATGTCACTCTTTTTTTCTCCCAGATCTCGCTTCCGTGCCTCTTTATTGACAACACGACTAGTATTAACTAACTACCAGGGTATCTAAAACATGTGCGTACGTCAACTTAAAGCAAGAAGACCCTCTTCTCCCACTCACTAGTAAACCCTCACTCCCCACCTAAGCCGAGGGTTAACACGCGACACAAATCCACCTTATTAGAGATAATCGTTAACCTTACCGTCCCTTCTCTCCGAGTTCCCACTCACGCTCTCCCTCTTCTCCATTAAGTTAGATTCACCGAGAATCCCCCCAATCTCCATCTCCTCATCTTTTCCCTTTTCCCTCGCCGATCTCTCTAGAGTCTAACCCTAGATCTGAGGGCCGCCCCGAGTCCCAAGCCCTGTATACTAGGTACACTATATTAACTCAGACTACCTACCTAAGGCTAGATACTTGACATCTACTATGTAGGTACCTTTTACGTTACGTATACGCTATTGTGCTGCCCCTCGCCTTGCGCGCTTAACCGTCTAATCAGTACTACTTGACCCTGCCCACTTACCAACTTACTCTCTCTAGCGTGGCCCCTTCTCACCAGCTAGCCTAGCCATACCGTAGAGTAGGTACCTAGCTAGAATAGAATAGAACAGAACAGCCAGATTCCCGAAATACACTACTGCATGTATGTATCTAATTCGTCTTCAAACTAGTACCCAAAGTCGTTTAGATCAGGTATTAACTTGCTCAACCAGCTCAACTAGCTACCTGTAACTTACCTAGCTGACTTGCTCTAGGTACAATACACCAAAATACACCACAATACATACATCAGGTATTGTACACTACGACGCCTTAATGTTCTTCTCGGCGTTCTAGCTGCTACGTCAATTATTGGGATCCAGCTAGCCTCAACCCTAGCCCTGTCCTGCCCTGCCTGGCCTTGCCTTACCCTCCCTAACTTCTACCTACTATGTAACCCTTCCCATGGCCGTACATCAACGGAGACTAATGCAGAGTCCGACTCGCGTAGCATAGCGTAAACTACTACTACTATTACTAACACTACCTAACCGAACCGAACCTAAGGTTAGGTAGGTATTGATTGCACACTTCGGTTACGGTCTACCGCCATGTAACGTACGATACGATACGATACCTAGCCTTACCTCTACACCTTAGGTACACCTTAGGTACACCTTAGGTACACCTTAGGTAGACACACCTTACCAGGCCTACCTTACCTTACCTTACCCTAGGTCCCTAGGCCACACCGAGATCCGTACGGTCCTGCTACTGCTACGTACTAGCCTCAGCCCTTTTCTAGCGCCTCCACGCCGTCTCGCTGCTCGTTCCTCGTGGTTATCGCATGCTTATTCGATCGATCAATCAATCAATCACAAGTCATATATATGCACTTGGACATCTTCAACATACATAAATACCTTCGTTCGTTCGTTCGTTTGCTCCCACTCGTTACGAAATTGGGAATCACGAGTATCATGTTATGCTTGCTATAAGGTACAGTACCTAGAGGCAGACATGTAAGGTACCCTAGAGTAAGGAAACAAGCCATCACGAAGAGCGTGTACGCACGCACAGAAGTAGAGAGCGCCCTTTTCTCGCAAGCCCGTGTTTCTTTCTAAAACTCGTGTTAATAGTAGTAATAGTATATCCTATCATAGCCCTATGCATCATCGTCACCCTATTCCCTTTCTGTGACGACGACTTCTGCTCACTACCTGACTTTAACCTGACTTATCCCAACCTAACCTGTCCTAACCTATGTTTATCCACTGCCTTCTCTCCCTCTCTCCCTCTCCTAAACGCCAAACCATGCTAGTAATTAAAACTCCCAATCCGACGACCAACCAGCCCCTACAAGATTGGTTCGTATTTAGAAAAAAAAAAAAAAAAAAAAAAAAAAAAAGGAAAAGAAAGAAAGAAAGAACGGATGCGCAAGGAAAACAAAAAAAAACTCGTATCCATCCGTTGCTTCGTGACCGGGCTACACTCCAGGTGCAGTCTCAGATATCCATAAAATGCAACTTCCCCCTCTCCCCCTTCTACGAGGTTAAGGCTAGGGGGAAAGAGAAAAAGCGGATTAAAAAAAGCGTCATTCAATGATGCGGATGCGGATGCGGATTCGGATTCGCATAGTCAAGAACCGTGTTCAAAAGTGAATATGTCCCACCGCGAGTCTTCCTCGCCCAACTATCCCAAAGAGTCAGGCCATATCCATGCCTTCCGAGTCGTCGACGTCCGAAGGCAGAGCTTGCGTGTGGTCGCTGCTGATGCTATCTTTGCGCGAGACGCCCGAGGCGTCGAATCGGCCGCGACAGTTATCCACATACTCGAGTTCTTCGCCCGCGATGACTCGACCTTCCATGTCGATCTCCTGCGACAGCTCGACGAGAGCTGATCGTGGCAGGCGTAGGAACCCCTGAGTACGCACTATGCGGCCCCAGTGCGTCAGACAGAATGACGCGGCCCGCTTGCGCAGCCACTCTTCGCTCGCAAGTCCTGCGCAATACCAGATGATGCACGCGTGCTCCACATCGAGTTCCTTTGAAAGTCGGTTGACGCAAAGGAGGCGCAGGTGGGGTATATTGTAGATATTTGACATCACTAATAGGCCGGCAACATCTGAAAGGTCTATCGGACCGTCATCGTAGTGGATGCTATCCGTGTAGAGGTAGTGTAGGAATGCCTTAACTACCGTGTATGGTTCCGGGATATGCATCTTCTTGGTGTGGAATTCTGCCATCTGCGCGTTGTACAAACGGGCAAAATGTGGCCATCGAGCCTGGAGGATTAGTTTATGCACATGGATAGGGGCGGATGTGGGTGCATCTGGTGTGAGCCAATTCTGGTCCATCGGGGACTCGCCTGCGCGAATGAGACTAGAACCCATCATATCGTCGTCGTCATAGTCGTCACCAGCCAGAGCGGTAATAATAAAATCGGTTCCACTTCCAGTCTCGGGGGGTTGATTGAAGAGTTTTGCGAGATCGTGTCCAAGTCCTTTTGATGGCTGGTCCTGGATTCTGGCGTGGGTGGTAGGTCTAGCATACTCTGCTCGAGACTCGGAGGCGGCATTATTTCCTAGAAACCCGTAACGTCGTAGATCTATCTCCATGATATCACTTAAATACTCTTCAAAACCACCAGCTCCAACGTCGTTGGCAACATCCGTCGGGCATCCTAATAGCCAGGCTTTAGTACCGTCCTCGTTCATAGTGCAATAGTGCCATTGGTAGCCTGGCTTGAAGATCTCACGACCTTCGGCCAACTTCTGCCACCGCAGAGTATTCAAATCCAAAGCTGAAAGCGAACACTCCTTCGGAGTAATATTCGAGACAGGGGTGACAAAGTCCAGGAGATTTCCGGAAGAATAAATATGGAAATGGATGCCGGAGCCTTGCGATGGGACATTGCCTCCAGAAACGAATCTTAGGACAGAGATGGCACCCGGTGCCATGGGAACTTGCTTCTTCAAGTGGAAGGAGGGAGTGCTGACTTGAGCTGCTCGGATGTTGGCTGCAAAGCCTGAGGCGGAGAGGGGCGGGGCTGTGCCTAATGAATAAGGAGTCCGAGGAGAATCACTTGAACGACTAGATATAGTATGCCTGTCGACGGCACTTCCCATCTGAGGCGGAGACTCGAAATCCGGGCTGCCTTTCAAATCTAACCAGCAAAGGTCGCCTATTTTATCCATATCTCTGCTTAGTCCGCCGAATACCCAGATTCGATCATTCCTGTAAAGAGTTAGCTTTTTGAGCGGAGTCATAGCAAGTATATATTAGGTACGCACCAAACGTAGGCCGAGTGGTCAAATCTAGGAACGAATCGCCAGGACCTCGACCAGGTATAAGTCTTCAGGTCGAGATAACAGATGTCCTCTGAGACATAGCTCTCATGACCTGTGATGCCACCAATAATGAACAGTTTATCCTCGTGTAGGACAGCCGCATGTCTGGCTCGGCCCTTGGGGATGGGACCGGAAACCTGAGGCTGGGTCCAGTGGGCGCTCTTCAGATCGAATATTATCAAATCGGAGAGATATGTCCTGTGTTCGTTCTCGCCACCGAAGACAAGAAGTTTGTCACCCTGATACAAGGTTGCAGTATGTCCTACCGATTTATGTGAGTTGAGGGGGTTATACACGGTAAGACATAAATAGTTTTAACTCACCCATCCTTACGCCAGGGATGTCTCCATAGTTATCAACAAGACTCCATTGATGGCTAACAAGGTCTAGCTTCAGCACATGGTTGTAGACCTCATCCGTATACTGGTCAAATCCGCCGAAGGCATAGATCTGGTTGTTACCACAATATGTGACCGAAGCATTCACTAAGCAGGCGGGCCGCTGGCCAAGGGTTCGTGTGACCTTGGGTCGATAATTATCCATTATAGCCCTACTCTTCATGGGCGAGTTCGTCATGACGAACGTATTATTCGAGGATGCGGCAGACATGGAGGAGGTAGAGGCGGATACGGGGGTCGGGGCATTCGAAGTTGCAGGAGTGATAGCCGGTAGAGGGAGAGCCGGGTGGTGATGTGTTGAAGTAACGGGTCCACCAAAAAGGGAGTGAGCCATTGCGGATGATGACGAGTTATGGACCATGATTTTCTTCTTTTTTTTTCTTCTTTTTTTCTTTTTTGTCTTGGGCTGTTGTAACCGTAAGGCAGCGAAATTCACTTCACACAAAGTTGCAAGGCTGTGAAGTTGGAGAAGGAGAAATGAATGACAAGGCTATGTCAACATTTCTAATTCCTTTTTGTTCGCAAATTCCACGAGGTGAAGTCGATTGAAAATTCAATGGTGAGATTATATATAATATAATATTAATGTGGACCTTGAAGCTTGGAACATGGGATGGGAAAAAAAAGAAAAAAAGGGTTTTTGTCGTGCTGTTGTATGATGCAAGCGTTAAGGAGCGTTTAGGAGCGTTTAGAAGCGTTTGCCAATGGCAGGGGTTGTTTTTCTTTCGCTATCTCCGGCCGTACAAGGGTCTTTTTGGCTTTGGCCAGCCTGCCAGCAAGCAAGATTTATGAAAGTGGGGGAAGTGTCACAGTGGAACATGATTCAATGAGGCACAGGCCATCTACTACCGAATCTGCTAATGTAAGAAAAGATACCTTAATACATTCACTCATGGTAGGTGCACAGCTGTCTAGACCAAATACGGCGTAGTGCCAATGGATCTAACCGGTTGCCCTGTACAACGGAAAACCGCTCTGATCCACTGGAAGTAAACATTTAAAGTCACCAAGTTCACCTCGAACTTAACTTTTGATTCTTCCTTTCAATACACAAACCTTTCAATCTCTTCATCCTCTCCATCCTCAAATACTACTACTCTACTCCGCTGCCCTTTGTGGCTATTACCGCTATCAAAAAAGCCTTTCGCACAATACTTTTAAGTCCACTAGATCTCATCGCTGCTTACAGCCATTTGATCGCCCCTCCGACTTCAAAGCTAGTTCTACGCGAAGGCATTACTTCGAATACTCCTTCGAGACATTCGGTTGCTCTTCGTCGGAGTTAACAGTTTCTCCATTTTGATACCCAATCATCGTCATATTCTATTACAATTAGACACAATGGCATCAGTTGCAGTATCAACTCCCCTCAAGTCCCACAAGGGACTTTTCTCCTCCCGTACCGCCGGCGGACGGATGCCTCTCACACCATCCCCCCGTCAACGTACCACATCTGTCAATATTCCCGTCAATGTGAACTCATCCCCTTTCACACCTGACAGGAAGTCTTCTAGCCGTGAGGCATCCCGCCCCGCTAGCAAGTCAGTGTATGGAGGAAACCTATCAGCACACCTTGCCAAGACGACCTCAAGGTCATCCCACCGCAATTCCCCCAAGTCCAACCTAGCTCGTGCGGTTTCTTCTCCCCGCAAGGCTCTTGAGCTCGGCGTGTCTGACTTCACTCTCGTTGGCACAGGCCAAACCAAGACACCTTCCAAGCCTAAGAAGACAGCCGCACCTATAAGACAAAAGCCCAGCAAGACCACCATCTCTTATGCTGCGGACCGATTCATTCCCAACCGAAGCACCAGCTCTGCCATTTCCAACGCCGGATCCGGAAAGCTTGATTCCCAGGAGAAGAAGAAGCAACGCTCGAGGGCTAACAGCGGTGAAGCCTCTGCTGTCCTATCTTCTGCTACCGATGATGCTATCGCCGCTCTTGAGAGCCTTAACATCGAGGAGGACGAATCTACCAACTACGCCCGCCCGTCGCCTAACACGGTTGCCTACCAAGATTCCCTAGCCAATGCTTGCGGTGTCAACCTGAACACTCGCATCCTCCAATTCAAGCCTGCTCCCCCCGAGTCCTCCAAGCCCATCGATCTTCGCCAGCAGTATAACCGACCACTTAAGCCAGCTGGTGCTAGCTCTGCTCAGTCCCGACGGCGCATTGCGACCGCCCCCGAACGAGTTCTAGACGCTCCGGGTTTGATTGATGACTACTACTTGAACCTGCTTGACTGGAGTTCGGGTAACCAAGTTGCCATCGGCCTCGAGCGCAATGTCTACGTCTGGTCAGCCGACGAAGGTTCAGTGAGCTGCTTGTTGGAGACCAGCCCTGACACATACGTTAGCAGCGTTAAGTGGTCTGGTGATGGTGCTTACGTTGGTGTTGGTCTAGGAACCGGTGAGGTTCAGATTTGGGACGTTGCCGAAGGTATGAAGGTTCGCAGCATGTTCGGCCACGACACCCGCGTTGGTGTTATGGGCTGGAACAAGCACCTTCTCTCTACCGGTGCCCGAAGTGGACTCGTGTACAACCACGATGTTCGTATCGCCGAGCACAAGGTGGCTGAACTCGTGTCCCACACTTCCGAAGTCTGCGGCCTCGAGTGGCGATCCGACGGTGCCCAGCTTGCGACTGGAGGCAACGATAACCTCGTCTCTATCTGGGATGCTCGATCGCTAGCTGTCCCCAAGTTCACCAAGACCAACCACAAGGCGGCCGTCAAGGCTCTTGCCTGGTGCCCGTGGAACATGAACCTCCTTGCTACTGGTGGTGGCTCTTACGACCGCCACATTCACTTCTGGAACACTACTTCTGGCGCCAGAGTGAACAGCATCGACACTGGTTCTCAGGTCACCAGCCTCCGATGGAGCACTACCTACCGCGAGATTGTCAGCTCGAGCGGATTCCCTGACAATTCTCTCAGCATCTGGAGCTACCCTACTCTCGTCCGAAACGTCGAGATCCCTGCCCATGAAAGCCGAGTTCTCCACAGCTGCCTCAGCCCCGATGGACAAATGCTTGCTACTGCTGGTAAGTTGCACCCCATAAGTAACACCACTATTTGAATGCGTGGGATTCTAGCTAACATTATCATCGAATAGCTGCCGACGAGAGCTTGAAGTTCTGGAAGGTGTTCGAGAAGAAGGCCGGTGCTACCGCGGGTGTTGGTGCCAGCGGCTCTTCCAGCAAGGCCCAGATGGCCAAGCAGATGACCATCCGATAAATCATCACACCGTGTAGATCTCGTGAAATGTCAAGAGCATGCATCGTCGTCAAAATGCTCAACGGAACAGTAGGTAAAAATTTTTCGCTCTGGCATCTCTGGGTAAACTGCATTTGGTGTCCCTTTTAGCATGGCGTTGGGGTATCCTCATGATAAAAAAATAGAAGAAGGAAAAAAGACCTAGAAGGTTTCTTTTTTTTTCCTTTCTTTTTTTTAATAATCCGGATACGACATGGTCATGAAGTTACGAAGCGATAACGCGTGCTGTACAGGGAAAACCGCAAGGATGGGAAAAAGACTATTACACACAATTGATTGTATTATAATTACGGTGTTTTTTTACGGATTCAATTACAGATATTAATGATTGGGGAGTTAAGGGAAGGGTTAGTTAGATAAAGTAGTCGACATATCAAATATGATGATATGAGATTGACTGGTATCTGTTTTTTTCTATGATTCTGTATTGGTACTGCGAAGTGTAATGAAATCTTCCATAATATTGCAATTGATTGTGTTTGGTGTTTTGATGTCTCGAATGAATAACTGCTATTGTAATCCATAAATTTAGGTGATTTAGATGCTGTCGTTAGTGCCAGTGGCAGTCAGCAAGCAGTCATTACTAGTGCTGTCTACCTCCGTAAACCCGTAAACCTGACAACGCACTCTTAAAGGGGTGCTGCACTCAGTGACTCAGTAGCAGGTATCAATTAATGGCCGGGTCTTGGCATTCTCGAGTTTTGAGATTGTTCGACCAACAAGTGCTATGGAAATATGTCATAAAATATATCATATTACTTTTCAGAAGATCTTGTAAATAGCTATCGCTTTTTCCTATTTTTGACGATTTTCGTGGTTCTTATGTGTTAAAGATGGTACTGTTTTTGAAGAGAAATGTTTAAGAATCATTACCTCATTTTATTTGATTTGACGTGCCGCGGTAAGACTTTGCCCGGACTTGTACCTAGTTGGCCGGAGGAGTGGTGTAAAGGTACGTACTGGATGTACTAGATTGCTTAAGCGGTTAGGTACCCGTGGTGCAACCTAGGCCCCAAAAAAAGAACGATTTGGTATTGGTACTAGGCCTATCTTATCTGGGGCAAGTAAGGCGGATTAAGTAATCGCGTAAGCGACACTTTAACAAACCAGGCATTTCCAAGCCAACCTTCACGAGAACATCACCAACCACGGACTCTCCACCGTCGGCCAAATCCGCTGCCAGTATACGACAACAAAAAATAGCGTGCCGGCTGTTTAAGATAATATCAAAGAAAACTGAAGACTTGAATTCTGAACCAGATTTGAGAAGGCGCACAGGGAGGGGAAAAGCTTTGGGCCAAAAAACCAAAAAAACGGACAAAACACATCTTCCGTCTCTTCGTACTTTTTTTTGACTTTGCAAAGCCGCGTCCAAAACAATTCCGCCATCTTTCGCAACTCTCTCAATTTCCTCTGCGCAACTTCTCTGCGGTATCGCATCTTTCCCATTTAGCTGTGATCCACGCCGTACCTACCTACGTTATCAGGAATATTTCCAACCTATTTCGTTAGAAGGAGACGGTGATTTTTACGTAGACCATCACCATCATCACCATTACCAACAACTACTGCCGTTGCTACTACCTACGCAACCTGGTTGCCGATATAACCACTGTATCGATATCCTCTCTCTTGATCAACGCAACATAGTCGGTCACACGCCCGCGCAACCATTCAATCACCATGTCTAACTCGCAGGTCGGCAACGTCTATCAGCAGATTATCAACGATGTCCTCGAAGCTTCGAGAGTCGATTTCGAGGAAGGCGGCGTGGACGAGAGCGTCTTGGAAGAACTGAAACGAGTGAGTAATTGACTTTATTTTTTTCTTCTTTTTTCCCCTTCTTTCTTCTGCCGCTCTCTCCCTCCCTTGAGTCAAGTGATGATTATCACCAATTATTAGCGCATCATCATCATTATTTTTTGTTAAAAAAATAAAACTGGATGGGGGGTTTTCTTTGGATATTAGATGTTTTGGGTTTAATTTCCCGAGATTTGATGAGTTGTCGACCCTGCCATGATGGCAGCTTACACAGGCAATTTCCTGGTTTCTAGGCGAGGCCGAGGTTGGTGAGAACTGGCGGATTTCGCGAGGGGCGGGCAGGCACTATTTGGGCTTTTTATGCCTCTGCGCCTGCTGCAAATCTTCCAGTGACTCACGCCATTTTCTCATTGGCTACAACCCGGTCCACTCACGTGCCTCTTACTGTGCGCGTTTATCCTATCAGATTTATCAGCTCATCCGTTACATTGGTCACTTTTGCACTCGTCCCCTTTTCTTTTAAGCCCGCCCTGCAGGGAACAATATTTTCGCTGCAACCAGAAATCTTCTCACAAAAATAACAAAAATAAAAGAATTATAGATAGGTACTTAACTAACAATATCTTATCAGGGATGGCAAAAGAAGCTCTCTCAACAGCAACTGGCTACGTTTCCCTGGGATCCCAAGCCAGATGCCCCTACTCCCTCTGCCGCTGCGGCCTCGGCTGCTGTGGCACCAGCCCCTGAGCCTATTCCTCAGGTGAATGGCTCTTCGTTCATCCAGGAGCATGTCCCTCAGCCTCAGCCTCAGCCTCAAGGCCTTACCATGCCTATGGCAGGAGGTCAGCCTTCGAACGGTTCTGGGATTAAATCCGAACCCGGCGTCAAGACAGAGCCTGGCCTTGAGAATTCGCCTATGACCCAGACCACTCAACAAAGCGGCCCCGGTGTCGTGCAAGAGCGCGTATCCCAACAACTCCAATCTATGTATGGCGACCGCGCTGCGGCGTCCATCAATAAATTAAGAGAGCAGTCATTTCCTCAAAACCAACAGAGGCCTGGTAACCAGCCTATCCCACAGAACTACCAAGGACAATATCAGCAGGGAGCCCCTCAACAACAGTACCGACCTGGCATGGCTCCTAATGGACAACAACCGCAGCAGCAGCAGCAGCAGCAACCGCAACCGCAACAACAGCAACAACAGCGCATGACCATGCCCAATGGACAGAGACCTGCACCTTCTCAGATGGATGGTGCAGACGGTACTGAGGACAATGTTGGTGTTCTCCTGCGTCGTACCTCTGCCGGTGAAAATGTGGAAATGGGTCGCGTTGAGATTGACAACTTACTGCATGCTCAAATAGCTGCCCATGCCAAGGCTATGGAAGGTGGTGGCCTAATGTTACCCCTTAAGCGCAAAGGCAAGAATCAGGCCGTCTCGCAACATAGTACACCCTTACCAGGCGGTATCTCTCAGGTTGACGGCACGGATGATGATGTGAAAGACGAGGCATCTGATGATGCAGACGCTATCAACTCCGACCTTGACGATCCTGACGACAATATTGAAGATGACGACGATGACGAGGATGGTGGCCAGATCATGCTCTGCATGTATGACAAGGTTCAACGAGTCAAGAACAAGTGGTAAGTCTTTGTTATATCGAGATTTGACTTTCATCGTAGTTTGCTCACAACGCAACAGGAAGTGTGTTCTTAAGGATGGCGTTCTTAGCGTGAACGGCAAGGATTACGTATTCCACAAAGCCACCGGCGAGTACGAATGGTGATGACGAACCCAGCCTTGCGTCTCCATATCGGCGTAATTTGGTACAAGAATCGCTTTCGTTCCGTCTTGGTTTACGGGCGCGTATTTGATAAACCCCAGCCGCGTCAAAATCCACCTTTATGCATTTTGATCTTCTTCCCGCCCCTGACGAAAAGCATCCGGGCAATGATTTGCAGATGAATGATCAAATAGTTACCTTCTATTTGATATTAATGAGGTAGAACTCGGATGAGTTTTCACTAGAAGCAAGTTTTTTTTTTTTTTTCGTAGGGAGGCGGCATGATTTGTTAAGGGATATTTGCGTTGATTTTTCTTTTTTTCTCCTTTTTGATACAACACCGTATCCGTTTAGGGATTCTCACCATGAAGTTGATTCCCCCGTATTTGGCATTATGGTCGCCGGGATGGAAGGGGGCGTGTACGGGGGGCGCGGGATAGACTCCAAAGCTACTACCGCCGCCACTACTACTACTATTGATACGGGTAGATAGTATTCCGGGACAGATGTACTAATAGCAGTAATTTTCGCAATGAAATCTGGTTTATGAGATGAAGTATGACTCTGGCTTGATAAAGTGAAGTGTTGTGTGGGTGTATGTCATCAGTCAGGCTGACCGGCGGCTAGGACAAGCTTCGGGTGGCCGCATTAGTTCCTAAGTCATACTTTCGAGAAGCTCCGAAGGATCTGTATGTAGGAACGATGGGAGAAGGGGAGGGTGGTAGATGGAGTATGAGTCAAGGTGGGCAAGGCCGTCCTGCTGATCGATATGGGACCACATAGGCAAACCTGACGGTTATCTTCATCAAGTACTACGTTGGCATTATGTACAATACCTACCTACCTAGGCGGTCAGGCGGTCAGGCGGGCAGGTAGGTAGGTAGGTAGCTGAGGACCTGCTGGCCTATGACTCATGGCTGATGGACTGCCGGTAATGTTCAAGGATGTGCATACCCCATACATGTACATATAGATGTGTGCGCCGGAGATAACCCCTGCCAGTGGTTGGGGGCCGATATTCATATATCGACGTGTGTTCACACGGGGTTCTTGTTTGGCTTGCTCAACGAGGCTAATTATGGTGGTCTATTTACGTGCGTACATGTATTAAGTGCTTATTACTTGTAACGTGAATTATCTACTAGGATAAAAGTTAAGTCCGGATATACCCAATATCGGGGGTTGGCGAGTACTTAAGGTATATATGTATCAAGGTAGGTACCTATCTAATACAGTCGGCAAGAAGGAGAGATACTGTATAGGTACCTAAGGTAAATGAGTGTAAAGTTGAGGGGCTGAATGGTATGGTGTCACAGCACCAAGCATGTTGAGTACCTAACCTAGAGCAGAGTAGAGTATACTCGGGCATAGCCCGTAAGGCATTAAAGGCAAGTAAGTCGTTTAGGGTATTATGAAATGTATGGTGGCTGGTATATTCAAGTACCTTGATGGAATTATATGAAATGGGAAACAAATTCGGTGATAGTAAAATAGGGGTTAGTGATCGAAGTACGAGTAAGAATGCTTAGGTACTTCTAGGTAAGTTAACAAGTTTATTAGTATCTTATTAATATAATATAATATATATTTGCTATGATTTACACAAGTAACGCTCTAACGTACATTCGTGGAATGCGTGAAACATTGTTCATTTCATAAACTTTGAAATTAGGTAGATTCGTTATAACATATAACATACCTAGTGACTATAAAAAGGGGGTAACAAAAGAGCTAGGCTTAATAGTAAGTACCTAACATTCACAGTAACAATAGAAGTTATTATAAGTACTTACCTCGTTAATTCGTTCATATCTATTCTTTTCAACTCGTAACTTTCATATGTGCCTTTAAGTGTTATGCATTTTATAAAAAGGTTTAACTTAATAAAAAGAAAAAGAAAAAAAGGGGGAAGTTCGAACTGAAGCTAGGTATGCAAGTAAATTCGAACAAGTGGTAATAGACTTCAAAGTAACCCCATCGTCTAGCATTTCTGCACTTCATCACCTGACTGGCATCAACGACCTTTCTCTTACAATACATAACTCTTAGGTATCACGGGCGTCTCAAATGCCTATAAGGTACCTAAGGTTAGGTACTCATCGGCGACCAAAAGTTGGTAAAGACAGGTATGAGTTTAGCATTAACAAAAGACTTTGAGTAGCGGCGATGCTAGGCTAAACTACTTGGTATCTTCTTATAATTGGCATGGGAAAAAATGAATAAGGAGGAAAAAAGGCATGCTGCGGCGATATAGCAAAGGCGAGACTACATACCATATTAGTCAACCATCCTGTATTACTACAAGATGAAGGGATGATATTATATTTCCGCCTCACATCGCAAGGGCTTTAGCTCTAGTAGCAATTACCTGCTTATACATAGCATAGGTAGGTCTAGATAGGTAGTTATCCTAAGGTAGGTAGCTAAGGTACCAGGGCAGTCCAAGAGGAATATTGCCCCAGCCTGTCTACGAATACCTACCTAATCCGAAGGAAGGAGGAATAAAAAAAAGGCAAAAATAGCAAAAAGATATTGACCCGGATGGGATTCGAACCCATTCCAATCCACACATATGGCAGATGAATAGGTAGCCCCAACTACCATCATGGGTGGACTGTGCTTCAACTACACCACCAGGCCTTTGTGTTTGTTTGATACTGGACGTGTCGTTTTTTATAATTATATGCTTTGCTTGCCTGGGGCAACAGCCACGCGGGTGACAGCGTGGTTGCCTTGAAATCTCCCCTAGGGCCTCTGTACCTAAGATCAACACCTCTTGTGGACACAGGTACGTCTAGTCCCCTCCCCCCTTTTTTTCCCTAAAGAACACGGGTAGGTAATATGGACAATACGGGATCTGGAGTATTCCTTAGACGGTTTTTTACTTACAAATAGTTTCTATCCTCTCTAGAAGTACGCACAACACAGGACTTATGGGAGTCGTTTCATCTTTAAGGGTAGAAGATAAGGTTATTTAACTTACAAGATGCATCTTGTCACCCCCAAGAAGTGACCAACAGACTGCTCCTACGTACAAGGCTAGCTCGTGAAATACCTGCCTACCTGCCTACCTAAATGAAGGACATCTAATGCTGTTAACGAAGTACTTATCGATTTATCAGCATAAGACATAAAGAATAAGAAGCAGAGCTCGAAAGCCTCGGCATGATACCTTAGGTAGAGGTAGTGACATGGGCCAAGATTAATCCATAGAAGAGCCGATAATAACTGCCTACACCCCTATCGCTCATACCAGACGAGGTTAGACTCCAGTCCCGAGTAGGTAATCGAAGTTGGTTAGTTCGTCGCCCCTCCGCGCAGCTTCGGGCACCAAGAAAAGTTGGCAGAGCTATATACTGGCCGGCGGAGGTGGTCTGAAATCCGGCCCCGGGGCTGTGGGTACTGGCAAGGAATGTTGGTTGCGTGTTAGCATTCGAAAGAAGATCAAAGGGCCCCACCAGCTGTTGTCTTTGCTAACCTAGCCTTTTTCTATTACTAGCTGCCGGTCTATATCCCCGCGATGGTAATTAGGTATGCTATGTACGTCGATCGTCGTCAATCTATGAGATGCGTATGCAGCCGCTAGTTGTCTCCGACCTGACATATGGGTCTTCAACTAGGCCTTGTCCGCTTGGGCTTGATGATGTGTCAGATGCTATATCTGCACGGTGAAGGCGGTTTATACAGATAGTTTATACACTTAACTATATGTAACATAGGTTATCACCTGATGAGGGCTATGTCATGTCGCATATGGAAGCTCGGTTCGCTATGCTCGGCTTTTTTGGCGTGTATGGATATGCATCCTTCGTTATGCTGGCCGCGGCCAGGCCGCCCGGCGTGACCCGTGTAATGCTCTCGGCCAACGCATAAGTGACAATACGGTCAATAGTGTTGGCATATTGATGATATGGGTGGGACTAGCCAGCTTTTTAAAGCACTTATACCTAGCCTAGGTGCTCTTCGCCTTGACCTGCCTGATGTGTTACCGTAGTAGACCTAGCGAGTATTCCACGTGTATACTATGTATGCTATGTGTCGAGGTATATGATAATTAGGCCCTGGCAAGCCGTGTGTTATGCCCACTCACCCGGGAATTACAACTGAGGCTCGAGCATCTCGCGTTTCGCGTTTCGAAGCTCACTATGCTGTCATGATGCCATGACACTATTGGGTACCGCGGCGCTGGGTCGCTCCTTTATTCCAGTTTTAGTTGGTGCGATGTTTGGTCTAATCTTCACACATGCGCACCAAATACTCTGAAGGTTTGCTTACAAGTACTGTACAATACTTACCTACTTACACATACTCTCTTAGGCATTCGTGATTTCGTTATGTGATGCTTGTGTAAAAACTACTAGCGTTAGCCTGGGATTGGGTTGATCGGCCCAGGCCGCTTATCCTCCCTCACAATGTGGACTTGCCTAGGACTTTTTGAAACCACCTAGGGCAGGCAAGGGTCCGATCAGGCGGTAAAGGGGTGGGAATGTGCGAAGCTTTGAACTCGCAAGAGGAAACCGTACTATGTAATTGTATGCCTTGGGGCTTGGCACGCGCCAGTGCGAATCTTGCTCTGTACAACTTTATCTGTGTTGTGTTAACTATTAGATCGATCGAGCAAATAGTCTGGTTAATTAGGTTGGTTAAAACTCATGTATTCTTTTTGTGTGTTAGTTACCTGTGATGAGCGACAAGAGTTAAAAGCCGCAACTTTGTCAATATTTATGATTTACGTAATGGTGGAGTGTAAGTCAGTCCACGCATGAATTACTGGTAATATTATATACCTAGGTATTTTGGATATGAGGTTTGAGTCCGTTCTTCTGTGGATTGCCCGCGATGTTGAGAATCGCGAATATCCACCCACCTGAAAACAAAAAAGCGTGGTTGTACGAAGTACATACCTGTAAACACGAGGTTGACGGGTGAATCCCTCGAGCCTTATGCAGCATTGATCCTTAATAGAATCCATTTTAGTATCCATTTCAGTCCATGTGGGGACTTTAAACCGTAGTTCTTAAGACTTACAGGTTTACTTCCTAGGTAAGTAAGGTCCTACATTATGGATCATGTATCGATGTGGTACCGTAGCATGCGAAACGACAAGGGTTAAAGGAGCTGGCGTAAAGTGCGGGACAAGCGGATGAAGAGAAAATTGGAGATTGGTAAAATTGGGTTGACCCGACAGACTGGTAACGAACGCTCGGGCGGTGAGACGCGAAGCTTAGAGGCCCTTGTTATATGTAGGTAGGTAAAGACAGGCATTTCGGGATTTCTCCTCGGGCGTCCCGACTTAAATAGGAGAGCTCGATGTAACCTTGTCCGGTAGTGACGATTATGATTTGCAAGAACCTCGACCTTTTGCATGCCAGGGTACGATATTCTTCGCCCTACTTTATCGCATGCCCTCGTAGACCCCTACCTCACCGCGGAAAAGAAGCTGAGAATCCCGGCTGACTGATAAAAATCCTTCCTATTGTCACAACAACATTCCAATCACCTGATAAGGTTTCTTCGTTCACCTGGTCTCTTCCTACGCCTGTCTTAGCTTAGCAATCTTTCCGAAATCCTAAGGATGGAAAAATGGACAATACTTAAAAAAAAAGATTATGGTAATTTAGGAAGCGGCCAATTTCATAGATTGACGATATAGGTTCCGATATAAGGCCGACTGGGGGGGATTAGTCGAAGTATATGTGGCGGTCGCATAGCTATTTCATTCTAATTAGCCTGCTTGAACTTTGGACCAGAAACGTCGACGGGAATGCTGTAAAAATATCCTTGCCAAGAGAAGAGCGCCCGGATGGTCATATTCGTAACTAATAAACAATATTAAATTTTGTATACATAGGTAGTATTGTGTGCTACTTATGTAGTAATAAACCGCGGCTGATTTTCCGAGTTGTTCAACTTTGCCCGGCTACTTATAAGCCACAGCTTTGCTGGGGTTACGTTAACGAAGTATAGAAGACCGTGCGGCGTGCCCTGTTAGGACATGGAAAGGTAATGAATAGGTAAGCATCCAACATCCTGCAGTATGTCAGTAGAGTACAGCTCCATGTCTGCGCCCTGCGAGATCTATCCTGCTGGTCATCAATGCAGGTCCCAATCAAATACATGACCAATTTCTTCTTGTAGGTAGGTAGTTATAATATGACGAACGACTTAGTCATTTTACATGCGGCCGGCCGTTGCAAAATCCAGCTCGGTCGCTTGGCGTCCAATAAGATGTTATTGAGACACTTTTAACGCAGACAAATGTCGTACATTCGTATTTGAAGGATTAATGAGTTGGGATGATCAAACGAATACGAAAATATTTTATATAGCTACCAAGGTTGCAATAGAAGACTTTTGTGCATTGGTATCAAGAGTGTTCTGTTGTTCGTGGTGTAGGCACTTCGATCCTGGAGTTAAGACGTATGCAATCTTGGAAGTATGCACTGAAGCAACATACGGAATATATTCTGACGTAAATGCAACAGGGATCGGCACTGTTCTAGCCCAGCAGTAGATCCAGCTGAGCTTTCGGCTCGGTCGTGGCCTTGTCGGCTCAGTACATAGTATGGTTGATTCTCGGTTGCAGACACCGGGCCGAGAACAGGGGTCGTGCCGGGTAGACGTGCATCTAGGCTGACCAGTCGCATTTGTCTTGACGTGAGAACGATCCAATTTTGCCTATAATAGAGGTAAGAGAGATAGCCTAGAACAAAGCTTTGGGGAGCCTGTGGCGGTCAGATAGATCACCGACCTGTCGGAAGCGGTTGTGGCATTCCTAGCTCTACAATGTCTTTACTAAAGATTTCTATTCCCGAGACACTTGCCAGCGCAGCTCTGAAGTGGTGGAGAATGCCAAGACATGGCTTAATTGCGTTCCGTAGTGTCGGGTTCGTCGCTGGTGTTGTGATTGGCTTCTGTTACAAGGACTCTTCCGCAAATGCCTGATCAAGCCCATATGAAGTCGAGTACTTATTAGACCCGGATACGATAGCTAGTAGCTGGTGATACGCGGTCTGAGATAGTTGGTGAGCAGTACGCTATGGTATAGATGGGGTTCGTAATAAATTCTAACAGACCCATCATGCTAGAGTATCCGATGTATCCAGGGGCTTGGGGTAAGACTCGCGATATGAGTCTGTTGGTTAGAGGAAGTGCTGACCCCAGAACGATAGAATGCGGTATTTCTGCACGAATATCGGTGAAGATGGTATTTTTATGTGTCGCATTTCGTACTAACGCCAGAAGACACGAGTTGACGGAACCTAATTAAGAATAGTAACGCAGAATTTAGTCGTCATTCGGCAGATTTATTACATACCTAGTTGTTTGACTGTGGTGGCAGGAGATTTAAACAAGGGCCGGTGTAGTTGGTGGCTCCTACATGAAAAGAGAACTGCCTTATTAGCAATGTAATATAGTAGGGGCTTGTATATACCGACACTACCATACGACGTATCCCCATGCAATACAGGCTTGGATGAGATAGACTAACGTAGTTGCATCTGCAAGTACATGGCACTGCAAGTACTTTCTCGGTACTGTCTTGAACCCCCTGAACCCTATCAGGGACATGTACTCCATATGTAGGCGATGATCTTTACCGTCGCTACCGCCCCTATGGTTCAACGCCCCGCGATGTAAGGACGTGTTTCCATTCCTGACAAGCTGTCGACGTTCGTTTGAGAGTGACAGTGCAAGTAAACTAAAATAGACCTAGTCTACTAGTTGTACCATTCTTTCTCAATTGTACCTAAAGTAATGTTCCCAGATCTTTTGGTTGACTCCAGGGAAAATTTCGCAGCACAGGTTAGTAACACCTAGAGGCTAGGTATGAGAACAGGCGCAAATGCATTTTCTGGCGAGTATATAGATACATAAGAGTACTATACTTTCGCTCATGCCACTGGGTGGGTTCCGATGTTAGTAGTCTTACAAAGTGTTTTTATTAGCGTTGCTGCGGGAGGAAATGATGGTGTCCTGCGACTAGAGAGAGGCCTTGGTCGCGACCAATGACCAAATATCTAACCTGAGAAGCGTTGCATTACGTGCACTCTGTCCAGTTATTGGGGGAGTACAAGGAATACCTTGCGGAAAGCGGATGCCGGGGTCGTTGGTTATCCTAAAGGGGATCGCAAGTGACCAGTCATTGGTGGGAGTGCCTGGAAGCGAGAAAGTACTGTGACTTAGATCCGTACGGAGCCGTAAGTAAGACAGTCTCGTGGTCTGACTTCGAGGTGGCTCGTTGCAAGCTGCAATCGCAAAGTAATGCATGTTCACGGGAATCCACTTGAGGAGGTCTGAAGTCCTTGTTGGTGTAGCCTTTTTCAGGTTGTACTTTGTGGCGACCTTGCAATTGCGCATTCACGGGGGCGTTCTTGAAGGGCCTTTAGTTTGGATGTACAGAACCCGCTCCTTGATGTAGGTGATTTCAATGTCTCGACGGCATTGTATTATTTGGGTGCTCGGCCTTGATGCCCTAGCGAGGTATCATAATAGACGAATCTCAGCTCTATAACCGTGGAACCTACTGCATCTTTCCAAGACACAAGTTTACGGGTAAAAGCTTATAAAGCTATTAGCAGAGGTAGCTAACAGCAGCAGAGCTGCCGACGATACATGTCGCTACACATGTAATAGCTAGTAGTCGGTTTCTGTAGTAGGCACACATGTCCTCGGGCTTCAAATAGTATAGGAGCATGTACAATGGAAGCCATTGAGGAGCTGACAAGTCGGATAGGAGGCTATACTCGATGTGTTAGTTACTGCCGCATCTCACAGGCTCTACCACAAGATCGATCTTGTACTAGTACCTTACCTCTGAACATTGTGTCACCACCACACCATCTAGGAGACACGACCCTCTGCCTCGGGACGAGGGAGCGCTATATCGGTGGGGCTAGGCCTTAGCGGACTGGATCCTCCCGAAGCCTTACAGGAGCCACTTGACCCGTAACCAAGTGGACGGATCGAAGAAACACGGCAACGGGGCGTGTCATTACGTAGATATGTTATGTTGGTAGCACAGTTCCCGAGACTGCTTGCTACGAGCTGAGACCCGTTCGAGTCGAGATAACATCGCCAAGAAATTATACCCGGCGCAGTTTCTTATTCACCTCGTACGAATGCTGCTAACGACATATTACATAGTCGGAAATTACTGGTGGTTATGTCTGAAGTAAAATCTAGGTTGCGTTTTTTCTTACTTACACGTAGGTAGTAGGTACTATGTAGTTGAAGAGTTGTCTTGGAAGTTCGTAGGCGAGAGAAAAGAGAAAATATAATTGGAGACAGGGGGTTGTGCACATGTCTAGCGTGTAGGTAGGCACCTAAGGTACCTAAGGTACCCATTGTACAATACCTACAATACCTACCTTATCTGAATAATAGCATTGTTCAGTACGTACCTATTAGGTACCTCCCCACAATACATGCTAGGTTTGGTCGGTACGATACAGCGCAAGTTTAGCGCAGCTCCCTTGGCTGTGTTGAAGGACCCACCTGTAACTTCAATGTTCTTCAAGATGCATGAGCTGTACCTAAGGAGTACATATTTCTGTATACCTCAGGTATCTCTGTAAGTTAGTACCTGGGCGAAGCTCTAGGTAATGTCGATTGTATTGTACTGTACATTCCTTCATTCCCATCTCTAGCCGGTGTGGAAGTGTGGAAGTGCCCATGGTACATAGTATAATTGATGGTTTGTCCATGCACACCCTACATGCATATTTTGAATGCATAGATATTATAACTTCAGAAGTCGATGTTCCAACGTCCTTGTTAGTCCTTTTCTTTTTTTCCTCTCTTTTCCCCTTTCCACCTATGACCTATGACCTTTTTGACCTTACAGCCTTTTGGTCTATGACCAGTAGCTTTTTACATATGTCCCCTTGTTGTTGGTAATTTATTTTCCATTTCGACGTTTAAAAAGTCTCACTTTTTTCCTCTATCATCTTATTTTATTTTCGCCTCTCCTCTCATCCACTTTCTCATCTTCTCGAATTCATTCATTTTCCCCCACACACCGTTGTTGTGTCTTGCGTTGCGTCCTGCGTCTTGCGTGTCCAAAGAATACGGATCTGCATTTACAGTTCAAAGTTCGGTACTTAGGCTATACTAGATAGTACCTAAAGCTAGGGTTGGCACTAAAATAATTTTATGTTGTACCTCGTTCGATTGAAACTCGGGTCGAAATACAAGTACTAAAAGTACTTTTTTTAGCCCAGTCCCCACTAACTACATAACTACATAACTAACCGCTAAACCGCTAAACTGCCATCGTCACATATCATCTTCCAATCCGCGATTCTTCAGCACGCGTACCTTTTAACTTGTCCCTCGTTGTCTTTGCCTTAACCTGTATTATTTGTTTCCTCGATATCGTTCTCTATAACTCCTCTTGGCCCCCTCCGCTCCTTTTCTCTTTTTAACCTCTCTAAGTTTTATACCCTTTTTCTTTTTCTTTTCTTTTTCTTTCTTTTTCTTAAACGAGAAACCGTATCCAGAGCCAAGAACCGCTATCTTGATCTATCCGCCTTTTCTTGAAGCTATCCTTAAGACTTAGCGCATCGCCGACTCGAGCTTGTCGCCTTAGTCGCAACCTTCTTTCACGCCTGCGCCACGCCTTTACAGCAGTTTCCTTTTGCGAGCGACCTTTTGCGCGTCTTTTCCTTGCCCCGACCGGGCCATACCGTGTCCGCCATGGCTCACAATGGCAATGGGTCTATTTACCCCCAAAATGGGTATGTTCGGTTGAGCTCCAAGTCTCTACTCCATACTCTAAGGTATACTAATAATGACCTTCTGCAACTTATTTAGCGGACCAGTATTACCTTCTTCTTCCGCCTCGAGCCGAAACGAAACCAGAAAACCGGAGGAATGGTGGTACACGGAAAATGGACGCTCTTACGACACATTTCGGAGGGGCAAGTATATGTTCCCAATGGATGAGGTACGGAGTCGATAGGGCAGGTTATTGTCAAAATTCCGGACTAAATTGCCTTTTTTTTCTAGGACGAAATGGATAGGATGGATATATTCCACAAATTCTTTTTGGTAGCGCGAGAGGAAAACTCCCACTACGGAGGCCTATGCCAGCGGCCGCTACCCCCGAACCCTCGAATATTAGATCTTGGATGTGGTACCGGAATCTGGGTGATTGATATGGCTGAGTGAGTCTCGTCCATGGTGGCGGCAAAATACTAACTTTGCTCCTGGCTAACCTACCGGCCTGTCTATAGTCGCCATCAAGGACGAGCCAGTATTCTAGGCTGGGACCTCTCCTTAATACAGCCTCTCAGGTGTGATTTTAAAATGTCTTTGTGACTGTTCTTTTCGCTGATTTGCCGTAGGATTCCGCCTGGCGTCGAGTTTCAGCGCCGTGATATCGAAGATCCGTGGACCGGCATTGAAGAGAATTCTTTCGATCTTATTCATATGAAAATGCTCTGCGGAGGTATAAGCAATTGGATGTCTTTATATGACCGCGCATTCAGGTACGGACTGTGGCGGTGATCTGACTCGCTGGCCTTCGCAGCTGCTAATTACTAATTGTACCGCACAGATATCTCAAGCCTGGTACTGGACTCTTTGAGCATGTGGAGATTGATCTCACGCCAAAATCTGCAGATGGCGAATTACCCGAGGACTCTCACCTTCGAATATGGGCGCGTGAGCTGACCGAGGCTATGGAGAGGGCTGGGCGGCCTTTAACAGTGAACCCCCACACTGTAGGAATGTTACAGCGTCTCGGCTACGTTGACGTCGAGCAAACAAGCAAGCGAATCCCATTTAATTCTTGGCCTGATGATGCACAAGAAAAGGAGATTGGTAGATGGTTCAACCTCGGGATTACGAAGGGGCTGCACGCCATGACAATAGCTCCTCTAACCAGAATGAACGGCTACGACCCGGAACATGTTGAGAACTTAATTTCCAAAGTGCGGCAGGAAATATGCTCCCGCAGCTTGAGAGCTTACTGCACCATGTAAGTTTTGATGTCGCTACCCGTGTTGATGAAACTGATTCAAGTGAGCAGGTACATCTGGACAGCACGAAGGCCATCTATACCCGGCCAACGAGCGTGATCGTTCCGGCTGCCTGCAACACAACCATTGAACCGGTATCTATCAACACACCACTGGAACCACACGCTTCTGCTCGGTGATCTTCAAGGCCATATAGCCTATCCCTCGGACGCCTACATCGCTTGCAGAAAAGACGTATCACTTCCTTCCTACCTAATGTAGGTTCAGCCTGCCGCCCTTCCCCCCCAGGTCGACTTAGGAGCTGGTGGGAAGGTAGGCTCTAAGATCTTGTCCAACTCTTTTATCGCCCCCATATCTCACAATCACAATCACGGACCCCTAACGATGGCGAGGACGAGGATTGGATTGCAGCATTAGTCAGCTGTTCTAAGTCGACGGGCCAATATTCTTGAGAGTTGTGTCAAACAAACAAACAAACAAACAAACAGTGACTTCAGCTATGCAAGCCCGGTCATATTCTACGACCGCTACGATAGTCATCCCATAGGACTTGTGGGCCATTTTTGCTTTTCCCATAGCCCATTTGGCCATATCCCTGCATAAGGAGCGAGGCCCGCATGTCCTTTTGCGACGGGCTCACACACTTTTTCTCCGGTATTGGCTAGATCCGGAGGTAATGCGTCTGCACTTGCATACGCAGGAGCAGCGCAGGTTATATTGGATGTACACTACTTTTACTTGCGGTGCATTTTCCCCCTTCTCGACTCGCGAATGATGATGGACTTTTTACACTTTTTGCCTTTGTCGGCGTCGCCAGTTTTAACGTTTACGTTTTCTCATCTCGAACCCAAGCGGTCCCGGCCCAGGATGTCACGCGCTTCCGAGGGGGGAGCCATTCCAATTCAGGTGTATTGGTTGGTTTGCGTTATGTGTTATGTTTGGCGCAGGAAAAGTTGAGCTTTGAACCGGGGAAAATGGTACCTTCATTGGCGGCGGTGCGGACTTGGCACCCAAGCCATAAGGGCGCATTGGGCAGTAAGACTTGCACTGCTTTCTTCCGGATTAGACGAAACGGCGCTCCGGGTCATCTCTGCATTACTTTCTCTCTTGATTGTGTGCATTGTACAGTTCGGCGGGTGTTATGTTGCGTCGTGTTGCCTGGCGGCGGAGGGTGGGTGGTTTTGGAAAAGTTTGACCCGCAGGGGCGGCCAAGTTCAGGTCGGGCGGCCGTACGAGAGGCCTATATTATTTTGATGTTGGTGTTATTGCCATTGTAGCAATAACGGTTGCAGTAAATATTGACTGACCTTCTCGAGTAAATGATAACATTTATCTGAGAAATCCCAACCATAGTTGGTGTGCTAGGCTCCCAATCCTCACATATTCCGTTGAATCTGCCTTTTATTTTTCTTTTCTTATTCCTTTCTTGTATTGTCTTACTGACCGCATCTGTAGTATGTAGGAGGTAGCTACATAAACCCCAGAAAGCACCGAATTTCGTCTGACCAACAATATCATGTTCTGAAGAAGATTTTATTATCGGCATAGCTCCCGTATTACGTCCGTACCTTAGGTAGGTAGACAATTCGATTATACGCGTTGATCTGTAACATCTATGATCTGCATCAAGCATGCCGAGTTCCCCTTTTTGACTACTTTGTGGGCTGGTTCATTTCGCATTTGGCGAGCTACGAGTGCCCAATTTGTATACACCCACACACACATTGCACACATTCATTCCACTGCATATTATGCCGGAGTCAAGTCCTAATATGGCTTTTCATTTTATTATTTTTTTCCTTTAAGGGGGAGGCGGGGGGGCGTGTTTTCCATTGGAACTTTCTGTTCAAGCTTCCAATGCGACTCTACGCGCGCTAATCTTCAACGTTACCTTCTCCAACCAGGGTTAGGCTCATCGCTTCAAAACCAGTCGCCCGGGTTATAGATGAAAGGTGCCACACTCTATTTCACGGCTCTGCATCTCGAATGACGCACGTCTGGGGCGTCCAACCTCATCCCCCTCCCCCCAACAGACATGGCATGTTGTATCTCATCAACCTCGTCCTTGGATACTACGAATTTCCTTTTTGGAAGATGTTCGATCTGCGCTGATATGTATGTCTCTGCCTTTCCTGTCTTGGCAAGCAACTAAACTCCACCTGCTAGGACTTCATAAAGGGGGGAGACAAGGAGGGGAGAGGTTGGGGTCCGTTCGTGCCATCGTCGCTCTCAATCACACCTCCCATCTTCCTTGGCCTACCGTGTCTCGTCGCCATGGACGATGGTGTCCTCAGAACGGACGGGTAGAGGCGAGTACCACCCCCTTCCGAGTCGTAGGTAGGTCTTACGCATGCCACCTTAATAAGCGGACGAATAATTACGAGAGACTGCTTCCTCAAGCACACACACTATCGACCGGCCCGACATGTCTAGCTCCCAAATGCTATCCGAAAGCAATTTCCACGGATGGAGTTTCGGGAGCTTGTGTTGCTTCGTAACTGGCTAATCTTACTTGGGAGCTATTTCCATCCATTGTATTTATTATACACCTATCGCACCACGATACCTATTACGGTATATAAGCAGCTCGATCCGTGCATGGAATAGGGTAATAAGGTATAGGGAATAGGGAATAGGGTATTTAGATATATGTATTATATGCAGTAGCGTAATTGGATATTCCCTTCTGCTTTCTTTGCTGCTGCCACGTTCCATCCTCTAAGGAGGTCAGCAGATCTGTCCTCTCATGCAGTTGGTTCCTTATATTATCACCGTACATCACACACGAAAACATATAATTTGCTTCCCTCTGCCCTTCCCCCCCAGTCTTCCCTCCTCACGAAAAAAACATGTCATGCTGCCCCGTTATGCAGTTGGTACCGCGTCGCATTCTCGCTGCGGTGAGGTGTGCGTAGTGAATCGAGCCAGAGAGAGAGAGAGCGAACGAACGAACGGGTGGGTAAAGGAAGTCCGTTCCGGCCACCGACTCAGTGCCTCCTTATTCTTTTCTTCCTCTACTCCTCCCCCCTCCGGTATTTGCCTACACAAGACGGATACATCTTCCCCAAGCCTAATACCCGCTCTTAAACTGGTATAGCGACGTTGCACGAAGCTATCAGTAGGTGTCGTTTGCGGTCACCACCTGGGAAGTGTCCCACAAAACCGGCGCCGGAGCTGGCCCGCTCGTCCCCCCCCTCCTCCTCCTCCCCCTTCCCCCCTTTTACCTATCTCTGTTTCTGTTATTTACGACGATGGATCCTCGGTAATCCTGCATTCGGACCAACAAGTATCCAACGGGCCTCGGTACTTTTTGTATCTAATGCGATTACCTAGCAATGGGTGGGAGAGACAGAGAGAGAGTAGTAAAGGCCGGCCGATCTACCCTGCGTATTTAGGCCGGGCTGGTCGAACTAGGTTCTTGTTAACTAATACTAACTAACAAGCAACCGCGTTGTTAGTATGGACTGACCACCAGAGACTTATATCCAAAACACGAAACGGCCAAAATTTATACTCGATTGGATTGATGCTACTACGTACGTACCTAACCTACCGTACCTTAGGTTAGGTACCTTCCTACACATAACCCAAAAAGTTGAGAGTATCCCTCAAGTTGCTATTATATCGTTGTCTTTTTGCTCTTAAAGAAATATTGAGGCTCGATCTACGTACCCTACATAATGACACGCTTCCCAACGGCACCTCCCGCACCCCCGTTCCCTTCCCTCCCCTCCCCCCTCCTCCCCTCTAGCCCAACATTGCTGTGCCCCTGGGATACTTACCGTAAGCCGTCACCTGAGCGGCCTAGCACCAACCAAAACACCGATTAGTTATTTCCCACTTTATACGTAGAGAGAGAGAATGAGAATGAGGTTGGTTCGAAGCCGGAAACAAAAAAAAAAAGACAAATCTCTTCTTTATCACATGCATCAGGTAGGTACCTACTTAACATAATACTGAAAACTGACGAGAGCTTGCTGCCGCCGATCGGGTCATCTATCATCATCATTATCGCCATTATTATTATTTCGCCTCGAGCGCTTGCTCGTTCAAACCAAAGTAACAAGCATACCTCCCTGGGTACCTACCTAACTAACCTAATGCACCTAGGCAAGTACATAGATACTTAACCTAAGGTAAGTAGGTTCGAGGCTGCGACAACGACGTTACGCAAAATGGGGGGAGGGGGGATAAAAGAAAACCAACTTGCCCGGAGTGAGGTGAGGTGAGGTGAGGTGAGGCAAGCACCAAGCTTCGTATATTCGAACAGCCGTTGACTAAACTCCGAGGTGAGTCGCCGCCGAGGCCGAGGCCGAGGGGAGAGAGAGAGCAGGCTGCTTGCTGGCTTGCGGCGCTTAATACACCGAGATAAGACGGGCGGTGGGCAATTACTTTATTCGGGTTGACAGCAGGAACCTTTCCCATCTTGATGATGCAATGTTCGTATAGTTATTGTACAGGATGATGAACATGAAGAACAAATGAAGAAAAAAAAAAAAATAATAATAATATGTTGATGATTCGGCGGCTTAAGGTAGAGCGCGCAAAAGGGGGTTGGGGGAAAGGGGGCGAGAGCGAATATACACAGGGTAATGATGAGGACAAACTTTCGTTCCCAGCTCCGGCCTTCTCCCTTCCCTTCACTTCACACATCTTTTTTCTTTTCCACGACGCCGCGGCCGACTATAATGGAGACGGCCTGATGATGATCTTCTTCTTCTTTCTTCCTGTTAAAGGGCAAGGGCATAACGGCTACCTCCAGCAGTGTGTCTAAGTAATAAGATAGAGTCCGAACTCGGACCTTTTCGTTCCCTTCGTATTACCCACGTGTATGTTTTTATGTTTTCCCTTTCGAATGCAAAAGAACGACAAACCCACCCCCGTCTATAGCATTCCCCCTCATCCATGCGTAATACAGAGGTATCTTTTCGTTTATCATTCTCTCTCAAAAGAAGCCGGCCCGCACCTTTTAGTGGTGCTCAGCCTGAGCGCCGCCGTGGTACCCAATTAACTTGAAGCGGCCGATCATCTCGCCGATGGTGAAGAAGCCAATGCATTCCGCGAGCACGACGCCGCCATTGACAAGCTGGGCTCTGTTGATATTTCTCGCTCGCTGGACGATGGTAGCGGGTTGGTCTACAACCTTGGAGGCCGTCTGGAGCAGAGCGCTCGGGTTCTTCGCCGAATTCAGCAGGTTCTGCCAGTAGCTCTGGACGGTGGTGAGAGAACTAGGAAACAAATCTCGCGTTAGACCCATAAGCCCGACCATATTTTTTTTAAAAAAAGGTATACCTCGGACTCACGGTGGTGACATCTTCTGGCCTCTGAAAACCATCTTGGCAAGTTCCGCGCCGACCTTAGAATAGTAAATGACCGTAGGTGTTGTTCCTGCAAAGCCCAAAAGCATCAGCCGCTATCCACACAAACACACACGCGTCCCCCTCCTAAGCGACGTGACAGTGATCCGTAACAATAATGGTAAGTAATGATGATATTCCCCCCATGGGTTCCACGTACTCTCGAAAAACGCGACTAATCTTCCGGTGCGGCCGCCGACTTTGCCCAGCGAGTTCGCAATCCCCTTAGCAGCGCCTGAGATGGCCGGTCCAGCCGACGAGGTGACCCTCGAGAGACCTTGCGCAGCTTTCGTGGCGTATTGAGAAGCAGTCTCGGAAGCGTTCGCGGCGGCCTTTGATGCTGTCTCCTTAGCCTTCGATGCTGTCTCCTTAGCGGCCTCGGAAGCCTTAGAGGCGGTGGTCGACTCGAACCTTCGGGCCGTCATGCGACCCCAAGCTCCCGATTGCCGGAGCAAGGGACGTGCGAGAGCGGACGACATTGCCTGGGACTCGGGGGGGGAGGGGGGAGGTATTCGGTATTCGACGGGGGGAGTGTGGAGGTTACTCTCGAGATTTTGCGAGTAACAGGACTAAGTCGTGTTCGATTGGCCGAGAAATTAAATCAGTAGGGGGGTTTTGCGGAGGAAGAGAGGAGGGGGCGGGAGGTGAGTTCGCAAGAGTCGTCGTCGATGGTGAAAATTGATTTCGCACGTGGAAAAAAAAAACACTCACAAGATTCCACTAAATCCCGTCGGCTGTTCGAAAATTGTACGGATCCGTTACCCAAGGCGGAAAAACCCGATCCGAACTTGGTCCTGAAGGTCAGAAAAAGCTAGGTACAACGGTACCCGAGGATATTGAGCAATTGACCAATCAAGTTCCAAGGTTGTGAGTAATCAAGGAAACCTCCATATTAAATTACTAGGTACCTCCTACATAGTATGTATGAGGTTTGTAAGTCATCCCAGGCTTACTTCAACTTTCACCTTTCAACTTTATTATTTTTATCATCTTTAAACAATTATCAATTACAAGTTGGGTTTCTCATATTCTAACATTTGATTAAGTTATGCGATCTTGATTTTATATCTTATTCCGTATCATTAAGTTCAAAGAATATCTATTCCTAAAAACTCACTTCGCTATAACCTCACTCGCTCCCTTGACCCGTGTGTATCTAACTCGCTACATAACCTTGAATATACAGGAACCGAACTCAATCCAGGCTCTGAATCTGAACTTTGATAGCTCCCGTCTTGGGGTCTGCTGCCGTGTTGAAGGCTTCAACAGCATCTTCAAGTTTGAATCGATGAGTAACGAGTTTCGAGAGGTCTATTACGCCATTCTCAACCAGGCGAATAGCTCGAGGCCATGTGTTACTATATCGGTATTGTAACTGTACGTCAACTTCTCGAGTGCTAGCTCGCATAAAGGGAAAGTTGATCTCGTTCCTTCCAACTCCAGTAATGAATACCTTACCCCCGAACTTGACAGCCCAGACTGCCGCTGCAATGCTACTTTCTACTCCAGTACACTCTATAGCCAGAGAAGGTTCGATGCCACCAAAAGATTCGACTATCTTCTTGGCTGACTCTTCGGGGCTCAACCTCTCTACTTTGTGTGTGATAACTGACGGGCATATCTCCTTGGCGAACTTAAGTCGTCCTTCGTCGATGTCAGTGATGACTAGGGGGCAAGCGCCAGCTGCTTTACAACAGAGTAACGTGATCAGTCCAATCGGTCCAGCACCACAGATCAGTACCGGATCGCCAAGATTAACACCGGCTCTTTGCATGCCGGCCAGTGCGACGCTCAGAGGCTCTAACAGCGCACCGTTCTCGTATGACATATTTTCAATCTTGTGACACCAGGTGGCCGGGTGGTTTACGTATCTCCTTAATAGACCTGGGACCGGGGGCGTCGATAGGAAGTAGACCTTCTCGCAACCGTTGTAACGGCCCGTTAGGCAAGGCTCGCATTCGTTGCAGATGATGTTCGGTTCTATCGCGACTCGGTCTCCAACCTTCAGATGTGTCACGGACGGATGCACCGCGATAACCTGACCGGCTGATTCGTGTCCCAGGATATGGTCTCCATCCACGATCATTGGCCCGATGCATCCCTCGTGCCAGAAGTGGACATCAGAGCTGCGTAACAATCAGCAGGACAAGTCTCACCCTCGTTTTTATACGAATGCTACGAACCCGCATATTCCAGTGCTCTTGATGGCAACAGTAACTTCACCAGGTTTCAGGCTCTCTCCCTTCTGTACGTCCTCTACTGTTGGCTTCGCCTCGTTGATCCATAGCTTGTGGGCGGGGTTCGTGAAGACGGCGATATTTGCCTTGGAAGGCTTCACGATAGTCTCGGCTGTAATGGAGCCCATGTTGGCGACTTGGAGAAGGAATTGAAGCAGATAAAGAAACAAAGGACGACAATGACGGGCGGAGACAAGGTTCAAAGAAAGTTTCAACCTACCTATATAGGAGAGGGGGAAGCTCAAAGGAGGGGCCTGGGTATTATTATGTTTCCCCGAGCCGTTCTGTTTCTCCGACTCCTTCTCTTCCATTCCCCAGTATTTTGAGAAATTCTACTGTTGAATCTAGCTCGTGGTCTAATACGGCTACCGAACTGTAGTACCGTATGGATCGGGAACTACATACATACCTAGGTATCTACATCGGGACTATATACCATTGTTCGCGTATACATAGTACGTATAAAATCGTAGTAGACTAATACAAGTATATTATTGTGAATGCTTGTTCGTCTGTCTGCATGAAGGGGGAAAGAGGAGGAGGAGGATGTGGGGTGCTCGAATTGGTGGCTAGCAATACCTATGATGACGTTCGGCTGCTATACGTCCGATTAAATGGGGAGATATGGAGACGATGAAGTTTGTGTTCATTACCGCACCAATTAATCTCGTCGCACAGCACATCGTTAAAGGTCTCATCCCCGCAAACCGTTTTACCATGCGGTGGATACTATGTAAGCTATGTAAGTACTACCTGGGTAGTAGCGCGTCCTTCACAGCGGGTAACTTACATAGTAGCTTCGGATATCGGCCGCAGGAGCAACAAGTTTTTATTAGTTTTGCTAGTCTTTTTTTCTTCTCTATACGCGCACCATCTAACGATCATTAACCGTGGGGAATCAGTATCAGTATCGTGATGTTCGCCGTCCATCATCATCACCTGGTATATCAAATTTTCTTATAAGTGGATGCTTTCACTCACATCCTCTCCCCTGTCTTACCTTTGCGCAACCGGACCTTTCGAATTAATCTTAACCCCCGCAAATGAGAAAATGTTATATAACGTTGCGCATACCTAGAGGTAGGTACATACATCTAGCATACGCAAAAGCATGGATCCGCGGTCGCTTTGCATATCTGCTGCGAACCCTTTTTCAGAACACTATGGAAATATATCATGGTATATATTCCTAATTCTCGAAGGGATGAAATTAATTAATACATGCATAATTCTCGGCATGATAGGTACCTAAGTTATACATACCTTAGGTTAGGTACCTCTAGGTAGTGACCTGGTTTCTGGTAACGACTTGTTACCACACTAGCCACTTCAGCCACCACATCAAATTGGATTGAGGGGCGAAATGTTCAAATGTTGTCATCAATTAGGACCAGTTTTTATCCCATCCATCTATCGATCCATCCTACGCCAAAATTGATCTAAATGCTCGTTTAACTTGTCTCAACTACAGTCAACCCTGCAACTGGAACTCTACTAGCTTACTACCTAACTTTACTACAGATATCTACCTCTTTTCAATAAATACATAACTCCCCTATTTTAACAGGACATAGCTAGATAGTAATCCTCAGCAAAGAACATGAATGAAGGCGAATCCAAAAATGGCACCAGCTATCTGGCTCGCCTCGAGCAATTTCTCCAATTTGATAAAGAAAGAGAGGATATGATTAAAGAGTTAATAGCTAAAAATGAGGATCTCGAGAAGCGGCTCGAGGATAAATGTAAAGAATACGATAATGAGGTTCAAACGCGCACTATATACCAGACTCGAGCCAATGACGCTACCATAAAGCTCACTGATATTAGACATAAAATGGTAAATCATACTACCTACCTAACCTAAGGCATATATGTAGTTATATGCTAAAGCCGTTAGGATGTTACTTCTTTTGCTATTGCTATTATCGACGGCGACGGCGCCGTTTTTCGTGACGACTGGATTAGGAAAGGCGAAGACGGCGGCGCCATGGCCGCTCACCAGTTACGCGACGACATCAAGAACCATCTTAAAGAATCTTACCCGGACGTTAACACCGAGACCTGGCATATAATGGTTCAGGTCGTTCTTAATCTCGAGGGCCTTTCCAGAAAGCTTTTCTGCGTCGACCTCGCCAAGAGCATGAGCGACCTATCCACTTTCGCTCGCGGCTTCAGTCGTGCTCAGGGGCTTTTTTCTTTTATCGACGTTGGCAAGGGCAAGGAGCAGGCCGACTTTAAAGTTCGCGAAACTCTGCGGTTGATGGTGCATAACCTTCAGTGCAAGCATATTATCTTCGGGCCTTGTCATGATAAAGGCTATATCGTGGAACTTAGGCCTTATCAGCTTGACACCTCGATCTGCAACAAGATCAGTCTGCTTGAAACTACCCAGCCCCCGCGCGAGTTCAGCGAGTTGGTGTTTCGCAGGGTCAAGTTTAACCATGTCTTCCGTTCTGAACTCCTTCCCGAGGGCTGGCTTCCGCCAACTCCCCCGATGTCAACAGGCAAGCCGGCCCCGGTCACCCTGGCATCACCAGCTAAGCCGATCAACTACACCGGCATCGTGTCTTCGTGGACCACCACGCTGCCGTTCGTCAACAGTTTCATGAAATCCCCGACTTCGTCGATGAAATCCCTAAAGGCGTCTCACCGCAGGTTCTACTACGTCAACGCCTCGGGCCAGCGCGTCGACGAGCCGTTACCGCCGGTCGACGCCTACTCCGAGCAGCGCTTCAAAGAGCGCTGCGAGGAAGAAGGGAACAGGAAGCCCTGCAACAAGTACCACCTACACGGTCTCTGCGAGGAAAACTCGTGCATGTATTACCACGGGGAGCCGCTCGGCCTGGGCGAGCAGCTTATCTTACGCATCAAGGCTAGAGGCTCCTTGTGCAATTATAAGAGCTCCTGTAAGAACGCCGACTGCTACTGGGGCCACCATTGTAAGTACCAGAAGTGTCCGTGGCTTAATTGCGCCTTTGCTAGCACGCACGGGATAGACATGGTGAGTCGCCCCTCTTTCTCACTTACTTCTCAATGTTCGTACCCGAGAGCTAGCATGCTCTGTCTACCGATGCATGCTACCTCCACCCCACTATACTCTGCTCAAGACTTTTCTTTTTTCTTTCAGTTTTGTAAGGACCTTTCACCGTGGACTATGCTTACACGCAAACAGGTTCCAGCAGAGAAAATTTACGAAGATGGCTCACGAGAGCTTTTGTCTTCCCAGAACACATGAAGAACCGATATATACATAGGGGCTCACGCAGAAATTTAGCCTTCGTCGCTATTGGATTTACTTGCACGTATCTAAAATCAATCGGTGTATTAAGAAATAGTAATAGTAGTATTAGTGAATGTTCTTTATTTTATTTTTGCCTACCTGTTATTAGGACAGAGTAACTATAGAGAAGTTATGATATTGTAGAATTCTCAGAGAATGGTCCTTGCCGGGCCTAAGCTGCAAACCCTATAATATAGGTGTACCTGCTTGGGTCCGCTTGGAACTTTTCTTCGAAATCGTCTTCGGACTCGTCTTTTGGTTCCTCTTTGGGTTCGTCTTTGGATTCATCCTTCGGCGTATCCTTTGATTTGCCCCTCGACTTGTCCTTCCGCTTATGGTCCTGCTTAGGTCTTCGAATCATGAACGTGTACGTATTGTATATGCCTTCCACGACTGCGAGGTACTCGTGGATACCTAGCGTTCGGAAGAAATAGTTTTCGCTGTACTTAGTTGACTCCATTTTCGACGAATATCCTTTTGCAGTGGATTTCCTAAATGGTCTGATGCGTGTTAAGGCGGATGCTGCTGAAACTGATGAGGTGTTAGGAGAGACGATGGCCCGGATGTAATCAATAGAATTTAGCTATTCCGTTGTATTGGGACAATTGGATAGTTCATCGTTACCCCTGAATAAGTTCTATGTTGTTGTTGAACAATGACATTGTCACACAATAATGGACTACGAAACCCATGAAAGCAAGACGATAATATCAAGACAAGGCGACAGTTACCAATCAGACTGCCTATACTTATATGTAACAATGCTACTGAGAATACCGAGTCGTAAATATTATGTCGATGAACTTCCTATATATTATACATCAGCACAGCTTCCTCGTTTTTCCTCTCAGTCATCATCACCAAACAATCAACAACTACACTTCTCACGTACTTCATCGGTGTTGTAAAAAATTTATACATCCTCGTACCACCATCGAACAATAACAACAACTATATATATCCTGTCACCATCATGGCGTCCGACGATGCAAACGTGCTCCAGCTTCGGTCGAGCGACAACGTGCTTGTCCCGATCACGTACAAGGCGGCGCGGCAGTCGCAGATCCTGTGCGACATGCTGAACGACGTCGACGAGAACGGATACACGGAGATCCCGATCTCAGAGGTCGACGGGGAGACGCTGAAGATCATCGTGGAGTGGTGCGCGGCGAAGGCCTTCCTGGTCGCCGCCGAGCTCACCCTGATCGAGAACCTGAACCTGGCGCGCGCGCAGCTGCGCGAGGAACGGAACAAGGCGCGCGAGGAACGGCGGGCGGCCCGCGAAGCCGAGACGGGCGACCCCTCCGAACTGAGCGAGCCGGGCTCGGACGAGGAGCCGGTCTTGCCGCCGCCGAACGTCTACGTCAACCCGGGGGACTCGTTCTCGCCCGTCATCGACGAGCACCCGTTCATCGTGCCGACGTGGCCGGACAACTACCTCGAGAACATGCCGCAGGAGCGCATCTTCGCGCTCATCACGGCCGCCAACTTCTTCGACATCCACGACCTGTTCGAGGCCTGCGCCAAGGTCCTCGCCGCCCGCGCCCAGGCCATGTCCATCGACGAGATGCGCGCGTACTTCGGCGTCCAGAACGACTTCACCGCCGAGGAGGAGGAGGACTTGAGGAATAGCTACGGCTGGACTGGGAACCCAGTATAGATACATGATGATGATGATGACGATAATACTTCGTAAGTATTTTATTACGTTACTACCTACTACTACTTACTACCTTGAACTTTTATTGTAAGTCCTATATAATAGGTTCCCTTTATTCGCCTGTATATGTGGACGAGTGGGACCACGATAGTTACCTACTAGCGGACTTAAGTAGAATAGCCCCTATTTTAGCGCAACCTCCTCAGGTATTGTAAATAAAAGGAAAAAAAGAAGTTTTTAACTCCCTAATTCATTATGATTTCTACTACAGTGACAATTATTAACCATGTAACCATTCGCTTTATTCGTGTTCGTGGCTAGTCTGGTCTGGTCAGCTATGCATGCAACCTGGGTCCTCGCGCAGTAAACCAAACGACACAACAACAACGAAAAAAAACATACAACACCGGGGATTCGCTGGTCGTCACCGACCCAACTACTAATCCGGCGGTATGCAGCTTATCTATGGGAGAGCGGACGGGATCCCGAGTTTTCTGCATCCTATGGTCGTATGTGATAGTTTGTGGTGTTTTTGACACTTATATATCTCACACATACATTATACCTACACCCCTGGTCTTGCGACCAAACAACATCCGTTGTAACATCCACCGCGAACTAGCGGAAGACGAATTAATTTCATCAGTTAATCTACTTACTATAGGTAATTACATTAGGTACGCACCTAGACTTCATGTCGTTTCTCCTCATACGCCAAGCTGGAAACCCATCTTGTATTTCAATAACACCAGCTTACATATCCAAATCTCGGTTGTAGGCTACACTAGCACTTGAAGATAAAGAAGCTTTCATAAGTTTCCTAGAATAATCGATTCCATATAGCTACCATCGCGAATACTTATCAAAAGACTAGATCCTCTCGCTCTTATAAACCGTTGCTTTACCCCTGAAACGAGGAGAAGAGTCACGTGATCTGATCCCTCGTGCATACCCAATCCCCATCGTTAGGTCTCTTCATGTGGTCAGCTTCTACAATTAATATCTATTTCAATTCCTCAAGCAGTTATAAATTTGAGCTGATTTACATCAGTAATACTCGGACTACGAAAAGATTTTAAATGATATTTTTTACCTATCGTAACCATCCCTACTAAGGAAAGAGGAGTTGATACCCAAAATACAGTATATAGCTTCGATCTAAACGTAGGAATGGGACAGAATTGGAGTGAGTGAATCGCAACCCTACCATAATATATATATGTACTATCAACCCCCTTATCTCATGGCATTGAACGTTTCCGCTGGAGGAACCTCGGCCACATGGCAGGATGCGGTGCAATCATTCCTCTCGAGTCTCGGGCCCAACGAGCGAGCGGCCTTCCAAGTCCCCGCGAGTCCAGACGACTGCGTGGGCGTGCTCCTCGCGACCCAGCGCCGCAAGAGCAAGCTGTCCCGGATCCTGGAGCTGATGCAGCCCGCGATCGAGCCGCTCAAGCGCTTCGAGAGCGCCATCGACGTCATCGTCCAGGTCAACGCGGGCATCGCGTCCCCGATCTGGGGCCCCCTTAGGATTGTCGTAACGGTGAGCGGCTTATCATTCTTTTTTTTTTCATCTCCCGCTCACCCACAGAGTACCAAAAAAAATAAGTAGCTGGGATCTGCTTGTGTTAATGCTCGCTTGTGGTGACCCGAAGCTCGCTGCGGATCACTTCCGAACGTTGGAGAGCGTTGCGATGATTGTCCATAGGATCATCAGCTCGCTGCAGAGGTTCTCCAAGTACGAAGAGATGTTCGAGAAGAACAGGCTCGTGCAAGACGCCGTAGGGGTGCTCTACTGCGATTACATCGACTTCTGCGTCCGGGTTACGAGGTTCTATTCGGCGTCTTCATTTCGTAGGTTACGCCTATTTTTGATGTTGTTGATTACATTTTTGCCTGACATTTACCTAGGAACACTCTTCGTCTCCTTCGATAAGGACTTCCGTGATGTTGCGGAGAAGATCCAACTCCACAGCCAGAATATGGATTGGGCGGCCCATGCTGCGCATATAGAAGAAACGCAGAGGGAAGCGGAGAACGCTAAAGCGGAAAGAAAAGGTATGGCTCTGACCCAAAAGCGCATCGGCGTAAGTGCCGTCTTCTAAGCTGTCGCAGCACACGAAAGGGGAAATATCCAGAGATGGCTATCTCCTTCGACTGTTGATGATGATCTCCAAAAACACCTAGATGATTGCATACCTCGGTCATGCGACAGGCTATTAGCCTCTTGCCAATTCCAATCCTTCATCTCTTTAGATGATACGAATAAACCACCTCCTGTCCTTGCAATACAAGGGTTACCTGGGAGCGGAAAGACCACAGCAGCAGCCTTCATCATAGACCAACTGAAAACTAAAGGATTCGAAGTACTGTATTTCTTCTTCAAGGCCAACGGCGTAGAGAAGCGCACATTGCTGAGCTGTCTTCGGACGCTTCTAGCTCAATTGCTCCGATTAGAGGAGCACCTTTACGATTCCACCGAGCCCTTCTACCGAGAAAGCGGCCGAGTGGTAGCCGACTCGTTAGCTGAGGTACAGCGAGCTTTTTCAGCCGCCCTTCAACACTCAAAAGCGAAACAAATCTTCGTTGTCCTCGATGCTCTCGACGAGTCTTCACAGAGTACAGACATTACGCAGTGGATCACTGCTTGTCAAGATCGTAGCGAAAGACCGCAGCTCCGGATACTGATCACATCCCGCCCCTCGCCGTCTTTCTCAAAACCATCCAACTTGTCCTGGTCGATCCTCAAAATGGGAAGCTACGAGAAGGCGAGCGTGAACTCGTACATACTGTTACGAGTGCAGAAGAACCCGATCATCCGCGACACGAAAGTCGGGGCCTCGGTCGCAGACCACGTCATATCAGCCACTCAGGGGCTTTGGCTCTATGCTCGGCTGATGATGGACGATATCGACCGACTCCCTTCCGTCGGCCAGATACAAAAACAGCTGAGAGTTCTACCGAAAGGTTTCACCGAGCTGTACACGCAGATAATCCGGACCACTGAGGCAAATTACAACGCGATCGAACTCAAGCTGGCCCAGCAGCTTCACCTGTGGGTCGATCCCGCAGACTATCTTCCAAGCTTCTTGGTCTTGAGGGACGACCGGATCGGGTACGGGATGCTGGAATTAATATTCCAATACGCGAACGACGGCGAGGAGGTCCACGACCCGACTGCGCAAGCTAGTCGGGTGTCGGGTCCTCTCATCGAAATCTTCAACGACGAAACCGCCGACTCGACAGACTCGCAGGCCTATGAGCTCGACTTCATCCATTACACCGCGGCCCAGTATCTCTGCGAGAGTAACGACCTGCCGTTCGCGCAGCTGCCACTCACCTTGCGCCCGCGACGGCTTCGGCATCTGCACCGTGCCGCCGTCGCGATCTGGTATTTCACGGAGTGCAAGCAGTCGGAAGAGCTACTCCTTGATCTACGGTGGAACGAGGGGAGGCCCGCGCGATCGCTGATGAGGTATTTCGAAATGGCGTATGGGCTTTGGAATGCCCTTCATCTAGTCGAGTTCCCCGATATCCAGGATAGCCAAGAGGCAGCCGAGGCGGAAGCCTTATTGCAAAAACTAACAGAGTTCATCTCGACGTCGGCCTGTTTGCGCTGGGTCGAGAGCGCCGTGATAATCAACTATGAGGGGAAGTTCCCGCATTTGCTATGGAACGCTACAAAAGCTGTAGGTTTTAGTGCCCTCTCCCCCTTTCCGCTCTCGATTGCCTTCATAAGCAAGTAGAAAGCGCTCTTGACCAAAGAGCTACTTGTTTCGACATTATTAGATTTCCTTTCTTTCAGGTCTAAGAAGAAGAAAAAAGACTAACTCCAATTGGCAGTGGAAGGCGGGAAAGGATAACGAAAACCACCAATTTGCGCCATATCAAGCCTTCTCCAAGTCCCGGATACACTTTTTCCAGAACTATGCTTACGTATTGGCATTGACGGGCTTAGGAGCGGAATCTGTTCCCCGCGAGCTCTTGGATTCTGCACAAGAGAGAGTCTTGGAGGACGAACTGTCGCGAGAGATTTTATCTCTGGGAGAACGATGGCGACGGCTTATATTTTCTGGCTTGGATTAGGTGTTGGACAACGTCGACTTTTTTCATCTTTTGCAAGCGAGCATGAATCTTGATTTGAATGTGCATTATCTTCAACGCTCCCTTGGGTTTGGCATATACAGCTCAAAGAAAATAGTATCGGGATGTTTTTGGCTAAAGTTTCAAGCCTGGTTAGTTCATCTCAGAGGGTAAAGGATAAAGAGGCTACTAGTACGGAAAGACAGTTTATTGTAGCCGTCGTGGGGTAAATAAACGAGGATTCTTCGCGTAATTCGAAGCTCAAAGGCAGGAAATGTGCTACATTGTTGTCGAACAAAGGCGCGTGGCATCTTTGGACATAACAGCAAGGTTTCAGGATTATGCTTAGAAGCATGAAAGAGAACACGATCTAAAAAAGAACAAGCATTCTCATATATAAGAAACCAATTGGATCTTCGATGGCCCTAGTGTCATGGCTCTTCTCAAGTATTCCTTTTCTGTCTTATATCAACTCACCCAAGTCAATTCGTGAGCATCACGATTTTATAGTCTTCAGCACACTCATTTTGCGGCACAACGCCTAAGTAGCTTTCTTAATCGAATTCGTACCCACCAAAAAAAGTCTTCTCACATATACAATCAAAATATTCAAAATGCAGTTTGCCAGCATCATCCTCTTCGCGGCCGCAGCTTTGGGCGGCGTCATCCCGACACGCGATACACGAGCGGGCACTCATATCATCACCCGCGAGACCGCCGATCAAATATTAAAGCCCGTAAATTTCGCACACGTTCAAGAAGATAGACGAAAAGCGCAAGCCGGTTCGAAGAGACACGGCAACTAGGCGGGGCTGGATCCCGGCTTAACTTCCTAAAGCCCATTAACAGAAAACTGGCCATAGCTTTGGGGTTTATAAATGTCACATTCACTAGAACGAAGCTTCGGAAGCAGATAGTTATATATAATGGATAGGGACGAGTTTACTTCTAAAAACAGACCATGCCACTTGGCTCGGGGGCTTCAATATAAAAACAGTCCCAAGAAAATGTAATTCGTTAAGCTGTCTTTCGACTAATCTAATTATGTGCCATGGTCAAATTGCATTCGTGATATAAAAAGGAAAGATTTGAAGAAGATTAGTTAATAAGAACCAAAAGCCGAGACTGCGACAGTAGTCTTTACTCGATGCTACAGAAGATATAAGAAAAAATATCAAAGTGAGGCGAATCAGAATGCTTCGTTGGCAATGCCCCTCTATTCAAGGCGAATGGAATCCTGTGGTGTAGATGTGAGGATTGAACTTTCATGGCACCCGTAAGAATTGATGGTGCCAAGCTAGCTGTAAGATAAGTGGCGGCGTGGGGAGAAGTTGGTGGTGTACCATGGAAACGAAACATAGAGGGCTACCTGTACACCGGCTTCTTTCTTATCATAGTAGCTGCATGGTGGGATCATCCCCGAAAAAGATCGAGACGGGGCGTGCAGCCCCGGGGACTTGGAATAGCTCCATTTCCGACCCACTAGCCTTTTCGTTATGCTGCAGCTGCTGGGTGGTGTCGTGCTTCGAGACGAATATCCTCAATTGAGGCAGGCTAAGTAATCCTGCGAAGAATTCGATCTTGCATTAAGTATTTCCGTCAACTTATCGGGCAATTGAGAGTTGGTGGCGACCATCTTGTCCTACCCATCGGAGACACAGTACAAACGGGATGGACAAAAATCAATGGATGACGGTACGCCATCAGATGGAAGATGGAAGATAGGTACCTACATAGTACCACCTGCACCATCCCGGAGAGGAAACCCCCTGAGACTAGTTCTAGGCTATGACTCGTCGAATGTGACGGCACATTTTGGCACAATTCGGAGCTATTCTCGCCTCAGTCTGGGACAATAGCCGAGTCTAGGTAGTTCTCAATTGAGGTTTTTTTTTTGAACCAAGATTCGAGTCAACGAAGATCAGATGTAGGTAAGTAAAGTGGTCATGATATCTTGTATGGACTTTTTTTTTTTTTTTTAAAAAAAAAAAAGGAGGAATCTAGGAAGGAAAAAGAAAAAAAAAAGTTGAGAAGTTGAAGCTTCCCGTCATTTGTACCTTAAAAAATTCCTGCCGGCTAGGCTGTAGCTACTGTAGCAGTTATATCAATCCCTGTAGGTTTCCTACGAAACTCAGCGAATTAGCTTGACCACACCCCCACTAATCCATCCCACCAGGTGCTTGGCCCCTTTCTGTGGCAACCCTACCGGCCCTAGTGGCACCTCCATCACCGAAATCAGGGAGCGAGCGTAACGCGCTAAGCCGAAAAGGATCTAAATGAATAAGCTAAGTCATGTGAAAGCGCGAGGATATCGAGTTGAGTTGCCTTGAGTGCGACGCGTGTGCCAACAACCATCTCCAAATTAACGTGTTTGCCTGGAAAATATGCCTGGAAAACTCACTCACAGCCAAAACAGCCCTGACATGGGTCTGTCGTTATATAAGGAGAGGGCACCGCCCAAAATTTATTTCATTTCTCCTTTCAATCATCTGTAACGTTGGAGCCTCGGGCAGGTAAGGTAGGCCATTTTTTATCATTTAATCATCTCTCATCTCTCTCTTTCTCTATTTACAAACCATTCTTTACGCCGTCAAAAAAATCCCATCGCATCATCCGACATTATCTCGGCCCCAAATTGAAAAATTCACATCAATTGGGATTTCGGCAATCCAAAAACGCACGTATTGCGATATTTGAGGGGATAAATTCCTTCGGTCCCAAAACTTTACGATAGATTAATAGAACAAAAAAAGTCATTCATTCATTCATTTGTTCATATGCTCAAAATGTTCGGTCGACGATTTGAGCCACCGACGACCAAGAGCTTCTCCAAGACTCAAAAGGTCAACAAGTCTAGCTCGTCTTTCAGTAAAACCAGCGGCGTCTCCAAGAGTAGACATGAACCCCGACAGCACCGCCGCCCAGCGACTGCGTCGTCTTCGGACATCCATATGGAAACTGGACTCTCGCCACCTGGGTATGCTTTTAACCCCCCATATTATTATTGCCATTCCTATACCTGCATTCGTTTTAACTTACTTCATTTCTGCAGCACCTTAACTCCCTCCATCGTCACACTGGTCGTCGGCAGCGACCAGCGCATCTTCGCCGCCCACGAGGACGTCCTCCGCGCCTCGCCGTGGTTCCAACAAGCCCTGTCGAACCAGTACATGGAGGGCCAGAACTCGAAGCGCATCCACCTCCCGGACGAGGAGCCCGAGATCTTCTCGTCCGTCTTGGAATATCTGTACAAGGGGGACTACTACCCTCGCCTGATCCACAATAAGCGTCGGAACTCGTGGGAGATCGAACAGATCGAGGACGACGACCGCGGCTCGAAGGAGGCGACGGTATACCACCGCGGCGTGGACGGCGATGTCCTCAAGGACACCGTCGTCTATTGCACAGCCGAGAAATATGGTCTCGAGGAACTCAAGCGAGTTGCCTTGCGCAAGCAGGGTCTTCGTAAGTCTTCACTTATTGCTTCGATCAACCGTTCTTAAACAAAGATCTATGTGTTAACAAGTACATTGACAGAGTCCGGCATTCAATGCAGCACCATCCTGGCATCGGCGCGCTACGCGTATGCCAATACCCCAGACACGGACTCCAAGTTACGAGCACACTACCTCGCTCTCATCATCCGGAGCCGCAGCACCTTCAAACGAAGCGGCACCATGCAGCTAGAGATGCTCAACGGCGGCACGCAGCTCTTTTTTGATCTTTTCGTCGCTCTATGCAACCATGTCGACGACATCTCTTCCACTCAGTAAGTATCATTCATCTATTTCCGATTTATACCGTTTCTACGGGTTCACTAACAACTTTTGCCAGAAGCACGCCTCGAAGCAACCGCCACTTCTTTTAATGCGCTTCGTCTTGTCCATTATAATACTCCTATCTCATGCTGGCTTCTTATTGCACATCCCGTTTGGCCCAAGGCCCACCAACTATTAAAAAAAGCCACTAATGATCAACGTCTCCATACCCTTTTTTTGGCATTTCCTATCACTACCTTAGGTACGCTCTGCAAGATTTTCGGGATTTCGGTTCGGGGGCACAACGGCGACAATACCACACTCACGGCGTTCAGGAATTTCTTTCTTTTTTGTTTTTTCTTACTCATCTTCGGTCGAGTTTTTGTATCATTACCATCCTCGCGACAATTTGGACCCATCGAGGATATTATCAGGAGAATCATGTTATGGTGGATCAAACGGCTTCTATTACTCGATTATTAAGCTACGAGAAGAAATGCCGTGGAGGAAAGGGAAAGAAAACCATTTAGGTATTACGAGTTCTAAGAGGTTTCAGTGTACGAAGGAAAGCTTAGGTAGCAATGTACTTTCAGCAAAGGAAAAAGGCTGAATGGGAGGTAGGTAACGAGGAGATGGACAGGTATGAATGAGGAAACAACCAAAACAATTACGAATTGTGGGAAATGTAGCCTGGAGGAGGGAGTACTTACGAAAAATATTATCTGTATTATTACGTTCTAGACTGTCTTTGATGGCGGCTTACTAGGAGCTACCTGACCTAGATAGGCTGGTAGCTAGCTACTTTCTTCCCCTGGCTTCACTTATTTTTTATTCTCTAAGATACCAGGCCAGGGGCTTCTTTTTTGAGGAGATATAATACCTACATGCCAACTACCTAAGGTACTTAATGAATTACGTTCTTGTATAATTATCTGATACCTCCCAACACTTGCCTGTTATAAAGCTCATGATGCCGCTTATTTTGAAACCCTATAGATCGGGTACGATGACTTGGGAGTATTCTCCCTCTTGGTTCATACCTAGGTCTACCTTCTATACAAAAAGCAAGCGAGCGAGCGACCAACATCATCCCGTCTATCCTGATTCGCCAATGGCTAATTACTTCTACATTAGGTGCTTACGTTAGGTACCTTTCGGTAGGTGTTTCAGGTCTTGTCCAGGTTTATGTACTTAAGAGGGAAGAGGTAGGCAGGTACCCAAGACACACAGATATACCTATCATCACACCCTGGTCTCAAAGTTAAAATGGTTGCATATGGACCCCACTCGCATTCCAAAGAAGCAAAAACCGAGGGATGGGGGGCGGGAGGGATTGTGTGAGTCATTCGCTCCGCATTCACCCGTGCTGAAGGCATGCATGTAGTGTTTTGTACAAGCTAGCAATCTCGCATGGAAATATGGTTGGAATAAATACTGCTAGTCTCTTCACCAAGATATCTGGTTTATGATATGTCATTAAGAAATGTAAGGTGTCCTTGAAAAGGAAAAGAAAAAGAAAGAAAAAAAAAGAAAAGAAAAGAAAAAACAAAGCCAGTGTCTCCTATGTGATCACATTGAAGTGACTAGACCTCTACTGGATCCTTGAAATTGTTTGCCCGTGTTCATTGTAAGTCTATGCTATCACACCCAATTAGAATAGATAAAACGACTCAGAAGGGAAATAAGATTCAAGTATCAAAAGTCCAATAGCTTAAAACTGATGATACGTCCACTCATACATGTCTTTCGCATTCTCATTCGTTCTATCAACGAACCAAGAAGAGGGTGTGCAGGGCGGGATCTAAACTAATAACACCATTCTTCCCCGCACCCGCAACTCAGCCGCATCCTCTATGCAAGGCAATTCAATAAAACTCTTCGGTCAGCATCCTTCAGCTGCCTAGGTAGACTAGCAACGCGTATTTAAAGTGCTGTCTGCTCATCACATCATTCGGCCAGAGGACGGACAAGTCCCTCGTTTCTTTGCCAGCCCATTCGCTTTATTGACTCAGACCTTCGTCCCCGGAAATGCACCAGTCTTGCTTAGTACCACAAAGCCACGCTCGTGGGCGATATATCCTTTCATCAAGTTCTGTGATAGATTTACACCGTTAGTGAGTCCTACGTGGAAAAGTATCATAAGTGTGCGACTAAGATGATACGCGCTCGGGAGTGAACATGGTCTTGGGGAAACTCGACGCCATGACTCCAAATCGAGGACATGGGACAGTTAGCGCGCCAAATGCAAGCATCAAATAGCTTGCTGCTTGTCCGACGCACCCAACGGGCCTTGTCTTAAGATTCGTATCTAAAGGAGAAAGGAAATAATTCATACCTTATAGATCATGTTGGCTAGGAGACACTCTACTTCATCAGTATCGATGTCTCCTCCGCCACTAATCTTTATTGCGGCAGCGAACTCGGCCACCGGTATCCTCGTACGACGAACAGGCGCAGCGCCATCCTTTCCTTCTTCGAATCCACCCGTAATGAAAACTTTTCGTAGAAGGTTTCTGAGGGCGATGTCGCGACCACGTTCCAGGGTGAGATAGATGCGTCGCTTTATAAACTCGTCCTCACCATCGCGTAACGCAGCATCAAATGCGCGAAGATCTGCCTTCTTGATCGCTGCACCTAAAGGTAAGAAGAGCTGCTGTAGTCGTGGGAATGGTTCGAGCAGTTGGGAACTAGGGAGTGTGTGTGTTGTAAGGAGATGGCACGGAATAAGATAAGTTAATATTAGCCTGGAAAGTGTAAGTATACAACATAGAGATCGATTGTTGGGATTTTCGGACGTACTCGAGATTCCTCTTGGAGTCCTTGTGGCACATGTGCCAGGCCGTAGTAAGATGTTGCTCGGCCTTAAATCTCGTTAGCAAGTGACTGGACATGTCGAATGGAGTGGTGTGGTAACCCATACCTCCACATAATTCTCTTCGAGAAATGCCAAGACCCCTTCATAATATTTGAAGGTGACCTGTTGCGACTTGGGAAACTTATCAAGCGTCGGCATGTCTCCCCGACCTGCTTGAATCGCCTTCAGGACATTTTTAGATAGCGTGGCAGAGTTAAGCCTGAAGTAACTCTTGAATAAGAGGTTGATGGCATAGTAGATGCCCCATTTTCGAGATTCTTCTAGTGGCGCTCTTATTATAAGTTAGTTGTGATATATGAAAGACGGTGGGGTGGGTATTTCCTGTACCTGTCGTTCAAGCAAGTCTGAAAGATCCTATTAAGGTGTCGAGTACAATCTTCTAGCATCTTATGTTCTTCGTACTCAGGATCGAAGTCATCTTGTATGACAGCCTCGGTACTGTAGTCAGTGCTAGTTTTCCTCTCCTCATCTGCTCGAATAGCAAACAGCCGCAAATACTTCCCTGCGACGTATAGGCAGGGGATAGTCCAGTTCTCAAATTCATGATGAGTATATCCGCGGATAACTTGTAATGTCAAATGTTTCCACGCTTCGTACACCTTCGTCCATGACGGTTTGGATGGCTTCTACTCAGTAGCGGTGAGCTAGCGTCAGCTCAGTCTCATAGATGATCGACGGCATACCTTTGAGTCATTTCGTAGACCTTCTACGGCAAGTATTTCTCCAACCGCATTCCAGTAGGCAAGGTATATCTCGAACCAACCCGTTGTCTCCTCCTGAGAGAGCCTGGGACGGGAAGGGTCCGTGTAGAATAGAAAATTTAGGTCGGCTGTAGCATCTCGTTGGTTTCCTCGGCCCCAGATAGATTGTAGTTTTGCTGCGTGTGTCTGTGTATCTGGTCGAATGGTTTCGGCTAGCCGGTCACCTTTCATCTCGGCATATGCCGTTCTAAATTCCTTAATGAGAGAATCCATGGCTTACTGAAAAGAGTAGGTGAGTTAGACAAAACGGAAAGATTGAAGAAGACTCGGGTATTGGAATAATTAAAGATGAAAATTAAATGATTATAAGGCGATTAGTGGAACATAGTATATTGGTATGCTTTAGTTTTTCTTTTATCATCCTCTACTCACTAACTAACACCTGGATGAATGTTGAATTGAACGCTTAGAAGTCGAGAAGCATTCTGGATTTCTTTGTACCTAGTCCATTTGAGTCTGATTGGTTTAAATTCAGCGTAAGGGAAGATCCACCGTCAAAGCCCCAATTTACAGCAAGCTCCACTCGACTCTAGCCACAACAAACCAACCATGACGAAAACCCCACATTAGATACATTAGATAAGCCACATGCCACTAGGGCGACAAACCCTTAGCACAGAAATTTCACCAAAAGTTTCCTGGTAAGCGAATTCAAGCATCAAACATCCAGGCCCGGACTTTTTCCAACTACGCACGACTTCTCGATCACGACCACACACACACCAAGTCACAGTAGGTTGAACGTCTGGCACGTTAATTGAATATTTACTGACATATTTCAAGATGGGTAAGCTACGAATTTCCATTTTTCTCTCCACGCCAGCATCAAAATCAGGTATCCGGAGACGCACTACGATATTATTGTTTTTTTCCTCGATCGATTGAAAACTTGAGCGACAATCCGAACAGAAGCACCATGACGAATACGCTTGAATGAAAGTTCGCGTCATATGCGCATATAATCCTTAGCGACGAATCAGTACGATGAAGAGAAGATTGCTAGGCAAATTGAACAATCAGAATTTCGACACGCAATTTTATATACCGAAACTCGTCACGCGCAAGTTCGACCACGAAGTTAACACGACAAGCGCCATCAATAAATCGACTTTTACCCATATTGGAATTGGCCTTAGTTCAAATACTTTATAGTCATTTAATAGGAAAGAAATACTGACAATGCGGGCATCAGGTCGTCTTCAGGAATACCAGGTCATTGGGCGCCATCTGCCCTCCGAGGCCAACCCTACCCCCAAGTTGTACCGCATGCGAATCTTCGCACCCAATGAGGTCGTTGCCAAGTCGCGTTTCTGGTACTTCCTGACCAAGTTGAAGAAGGTCAAGAAGGCCAACGGTGAGATCGTCAGCTTGAACAAGGTACGCTCCCCTCTACGACAGAAAGAAAATTGGAAAACTCGATTAGTAAAAAGAAAAGAGGACTGGGAATTGACATTCGAGTTTAGATCGCCGAGAAGAACCCTCTCCGCGTCAAGAACTTCGGCATCTGGATCCGATACGACTCCCGATCTGGTACCCACAACATGTACAAGGAGTACCGAGAGATGTCCCGAACGGACGCCGTCGAGGCTCTCTACCAGGACATGGCTGCCCGCCACCGTGCCCGATTCCGGTCGGTTCACGTACGTTGACCAGAAAAATTCTTACTTGTCGGAACTACGGAATAACTAACAAACCCCCTCTAGATCCTCCGCGTCGTCGAGCTTGAGAAGACCGAGGACGTCAAGCGACCTTACATCAAGCAACTCCTCACCAAGAACCTCACCTTCCCTCTCCCCCACCGTGTACCCAAGATCAACAACAAGAAGGTGTTCAGCGCCACCCGACCTTCCACATTCGCATAAAGGGTTTTTTCGTGTTGCCGTCGGAGGGGTTAAGGGAATCGGGCTTGCCGGTGTTCATTACGGAATTGCGGAAAACTACTTATTCATTAGCATGATGTGTGCTCGGTAGATAGGGCACTAAATGCATACGACCAAATGAGCAAATAAGTCGCGTTACGTGCTTGTTTTTTTTTATGTTTGTACATGTTATACACAAGCTGCTTTTCCTAGCTTTTGCATACCATGTGACAAGGATAATATGTTTTTTTATAACTTTTACCCGATTGCTAACTAACTAACCTCGCTCGATCCCGACCCGGACTGTTTATCTGGTTCGGCCTGTGTTTCGGTCACGAAATCGTTCCAAGTACTCCAATCTGTCATGACGTTGCTCGGTCCACCAAGGTCCAGCATGGGTATATCGAAATTGAAATCCCTCCATCCCCACATCTCGTTCAACGCGTACGGCGACAAGCTGAGCTTGTCCAGATCCGCCGCGACGACGCTAGGCTCCCTTGCGTTTTGTATTTCGGCCCCGGATATGCTTTCCGGTTGTATAGTTGTAGCAGTAGTAGCAGCAGCCGTAGCAGCAGCATAACCCCCTGCTGTCGGCGGGATGTGGTTTTCCGTGTTGTTGGTTTGCATGTACACCGTGTCGTGGATCTCTATGTCCGGTACGTGTTCCGTAGGCGCTGCAATGCCGGCCATGCTCGCAACAGTATACGCCACAGGTGTAGTCCCCGTGTTCGTGGTGCCGGGAGTGGTCGTAGTAGTCGTAGTCGTAGTCGTAGTCGTGGTCGTGGTTGTGGTTGTTGTTGTGGTAGTAGCAGCTAACCTCGCCGCCTTGGCTTTCTTGTAAAGCTTGCGGATGGGCCGCCACAAGGTCCCGTTCTTGGTATCGGCGATGACCTCGCTCCACTTGGGGAACACGTCTTCGATGGTGCGCCAGGCGCGCTCGACGAGCTCGCCGCGGGTCTGCGTGCACAGCTCCGCGAGCGCGACCGCCAGCGGGTGCCACTGCACGTACGTGTCGGCCCACCAGCTGAAGCGCCGGCCGTACGGCCCCGTCGCCAGGTGCTCGTTGAGCTCGACGATGGAGATGGCCGTGCGGAGCGTCGCCTCGTGCGGGAACACGCTACCAGCTGCTCCCGGTCTCGATCCTGGTCCCGCCCCCACCTCCCCATGCCGTAATGACGGCGCCGAAGACGCCTGTTGTTGTTGTTGTTGTTGCTGCTGCTGCTGCTGTGGCTGAGACCGCCGCCGAGGGTGCAGCGGGTATTGCATAATGAGCCACAGCTTGAGGATGACGAGGCGCACCATGATAGACGCCAGGTGCGACGGCGCGTGGTTCGGGTCCGCGCCCGCGACGAATTGCGCCTCGAGGCTTTGCGCATACTGCAGCGTCTCCTCGACGCCTCTGGACGGCGCCCCGCGGCCACCGCCGTCTTCCAGGCCCGGCGCGTCCTGCGCGTGCTCGACGGCCAGGAAGAGCCCCGAGCAGCGCGCCGTGCACAGGTAGAACTTCATGTCGCTCGGCCCCCGCCTCTCGACCAGCGGGCCGGGGCTGCCCGGGCCGAAGTCCTCGTCGTTGACGCTCAGCGGCAGCCGCGTGTCGTAGCTGTCGCGCGCCACGATGGTGTTCGTCCCGCGGTCCTCGGACGCCCGGATGTCGAGCACGATGAGCTGCCACCAGAGGCGGCGCCGCAGCTCCGTCTCGAACGGGGACAGGTGCGCGTTGCTGCTTTCGTGGTGCAGGTCGAGCGCCTGCGCGAGGCGGATGGGCAGGGCCACGAGCGCCCACGACGTGCGCGAGCCTTTGGGCGTGCAGCGCGCGCAGGCTACGTATAGCGTCAGCGCCTGCAGGGTTTCGAGGCTGGTGCTGTTGAGGTAGTCGGCTCGCACCAGGAGGTACTCGACCGCGGACGCGTAGAGCTGGAGTAATTCCTCGCGCCGTCGGCCTAGCTGCGCGAGACAGTCCGAGGGCGATAGACTCGCTACGGCGGCGTGGTAGATGGAGAAGAACAGGGCCTCCTTCTCTGGCGTAAGCTGTGCTCGCGCGGTCTGGGGAGAATGGGCAAGCGAGCACAGGTCACCTCGTATCGTAGGCCGGTGGAGGATTTTCAGGATCATGTCGACATTTGTGAAGTAGATGTTGGTAAATAGTAGTATATGCTGCGGAGATGGATGCTCCAGGGCGTCGTACGATATATGTGGGGAGTTCCCAAGGAGCATGCCCGGGGATAGCGCAGATACGCTCGGGCTACTGTTGTCGTTTGGTACCGATTCAGGAGTATCTCCCTGCGGGACTTCATCATCATCAGACTCCGTAGACGACTCCAGAACCTGCCTCAACCCCTCGACCTCGAGACAGAGACTTGACCAGAAGTCCCCGCTCAGATAGCGCGAGGCCTTGCTATCCCGTAGCGCCTTCTTCCAGTCGTCCCGAGCTCCGCTAGGGGTGGCAGTTGAGTTCACGGCGGTTCCGGGATTCAGTTTAGCGGTGCTCGGACCGGCAGAAGAGTCTTGAAGCAGCTCGGCTAAATTGAGTCCCTCTAAGCCGGCGGCGCTAACCTTCCCGACGATCGATTCTAGTCGGCTTAGCCGCTGAAGCAATTCCGAGCTCTTGTTGTTCCGTGGTTTCCGCATCCGCTTGCGCGTAGGGAAAATGCATTCGGCACCGGACCGCGTGCAGTGGCCGCATGGATTTTCTCGACTACACTTCAACTTCCGGGCACGGCAGTTGGTACAGCTTAGTGGCTTTGACTGTGGCCGTGGAGCCGTGCTGGATGGCGGGTGGGATTCCATCGTTACGTTACGTATTGCGTCGTGCGCCTTTTTTGCTGTGCCACTATCCAAAGTGCAGGACTTGTTGAGTCGTCAGCTATTCCGATGCCTCGTCCCATCTAATTATTATTCCCACAAATATTATTTCAATTTAAAAGTTTGATTAACGACATAGTAATATGTACTATAAAGTACTTCTGATTGTTCGAACCAGTTTCGAATTTATGTGCCTGATATAAAACCGGAGGTTGTGTTGTGCTGATCTTCACTCCAAGAATTGAAGTTTCGATTCTAGGGTCCCAGTCCCTGAATTGGCCAAGTCATATGACATGCCGGTACGGCGTAGGGCTGAATTTCAATACTCCACTTGCATCCGGTTAAGTCCGGCCAGAGAACGGCTAGGTAGCTAGCTCAATCTACCTATTCCCGAGTTATCTACAAAACTTCACTTAAGTTTCTAATAAATATGGCAAATTATTAAATCATTTATATAAGATTATATATTATAATTTAAATAAAGAGTTAGTCCCAATTGATTCTGATTCATATAATTCATAGCGTATATTTCGCTAATAAAATGGCATATATACGTAGTCCTTTATAATTATCGGCTTGCGCGCATAACCGGGATAGGGTAACCAGTCTGTTCTCAACTATAACTCAAGTAACAACGCACATCGATTCATATCTATTATAGACAAGAAGTACCTCAGCTAACCTCATATATTTTCATTAGCTTACCTTTCTTAGAATGACGATGTTTTGTAAGGTGTGTTGTTTGAAACGTAACTCTGTACTAAAGAAAATAAATTAAGTGTAGAGAACGTATTCTATAAAGGAGAGTTGGTAGGTAGGAGATAGGTAATGTAGAAGGTATCTATGACTTCTCATATGCTAGTTCAGCTAGCTACAGAAGTCGTGAAGCAGACAGAGGTTGATGTGCCAGGATAAACATTTCACATTAGCGACGAAGAGACTAAGCGACGCAGAGAGAACTGACCATCGTAAAAATGAATTCGTCTTCATACCTCACCTTCTCTTGGCACAATATCGACCTCCCATAGCTTCACCGGGTCTGGACCACGGCCCCTACGTTACCCTGGAATTTAACTGGGCCCGATAAGGTCTGTCTCAGATGCTTCGCTGTGTGTATTTCGCTGCGTTTGGGAACGAGAACCCTCATAGAGCGAAACGAGAGGGCGGGATGAGACATCCGTAACGTTGGGAGCACGTGGCGCGAACAATCCGGGGAGGAATCTTCAGCCATTATATCCTATGTTCACGTTCCCGGCCTCCTTCAATGAATCGCCTCTAATTCTTCTTTACTTCGCCTCCCATTTTTCTAGCGAGAACCTCATGGTTGTCGATATCGACTGCCTATAAGAGAAGTGTCAAGAGCCATGACGAAAGACATATTTTTTTCATCACCAATCATCATCATCTCTTACAGTTCTACATCCTTCTCTATCATCAGAACAACTATTACCTTCAAAGCTTTCTAGCTTGCTTTATCAGAGTCGAACGTAGCCTTGCTTTTCAAGAAGCTTTCCCATAAACGTTTCAAGATGCGTCCTTCTACATTCATCATCGCTATCTCAGCTACCGTACTGGCTACACCGCTCCCGCGTCCGGTGCTAGACGACGTAACCAACACTCTCGTAAGCACCATTGACACCTTACTTGGCGTACATCACCACCACAAGAGCCATGACAGCAGCAAAGAGCACGAACCCGAATGTCGTCGCTACGACACCGATGCCCTCATAACATGTATAAATCGATGCGTGGACATATGCGAAGATGGCGACGAGGACTGCAGCACATGCATGAAGGGATGCTGTAAGTATTCTCATATAACTTCCCTCCCTATTGAAACATTATGTATGATATCCACGGCTTTGCTAACTCGAGCGTTCTCCAGCCTCTAAAAATTCTTGCGGCAGGCATCATGGCGATACTCCTAAGGCTAGCCATAGTAATAACACCATTAATTCGACTTCATAAGGTGTCGAATAATCTCCCACATGATAATGATATGGTTACGAAGGTTAACGAAAGATCTAAAACTGATTTTTTTTTGGACTGATTGCGATTGGCGGGTGTATAAGAAAGATACAATTTGATGAAGAATCGGGCAAGAGGCGTTAGGGTCATAAAGCGGAAAAAGATAAAAAATACTAGGTACCATAATCGATATTAATGATTTTGAATCACCCCAAATTTAGGTATTTTTAAGATTTAACCTAGGTACAGTGCCTCCTTCTAGGTCCATGTGAAATTGATATTGATACGTCGTACTTGCGAGTGATACATACGGTGAGGTCGTGATTGCCCAGGTGCCATGCGTGCAGTATGAATTAGATTTTTAGATGCGATCTGACTGGGTCCTGGGAAATTGAATTGGATGAAGTTTGAGTTTTGGGGCTGATTGTGGCAGGCACGCTAAGGGTTGTGACTCACCTAGCCTCACTTAGGCAGGTACCTAGGTAGGCAGGTAACCCGGTCAGCCCCCGCTTTCGAGCAATATAAATACAAGCCCACCCTCCCGCGAGCTTTTCAACTTTTTCCTTTTCTTTTCTTTTCCCCATCTTAGTGCACGGGCTTTACGCGTCACAGTGAGGAGCAATCCGAGTGCGTGTTTTTGCTAGTTGAAAACTATTTACTGACCACTCCATCTTGGCTTCGGCCGGGTTGGGAATTTTTGGAACCCTGAATCTTTGAATTCTTTTCATCACGGCTCTGTCCCTAGTTCGGATGGAGGTGAAGAAGAGTGCTGGCTGGATTTGTCGCGTGTTCATAGTTTTTCCGATATCTCGCTACGTCGATAGAGATTCTATTCTACTCGTTGCATCTAATTTAGGATGTGGCTTATGCTTCCTGTTGATTGTCGCGTCTACAGTGTTGGCCTGATGCCAAAGTGAACAAGTATCACGCTGTAGGCAAATGTGTGCGACACGCTAAGGAACATTAAAACATGTCGTTTACACGACATACGATATATGATGTATCACGACGCGACTGCGGCTCTGCAATTTAGTTGCGAATGGAAAATACACCCTCCCTACCTTTTCTTGCGGCCTAATTGGTGCGAACGAACCAGATTAACTACCAGGATGCAATAGATCTATCTACATGTGTATGCATTTGCCTTGTATGTAAGCTCTGCATTACTTGAATTTGCATAGGCCCATCATACCTGAATACAAGAGAGGCCGTTCCCATCGCGTGCGATCTTGTGCTTCTGCCACAGCGTGTCTGACGTTGAGTTTTTGTTGGTTAGACGGAACTCTGGAGCCAAACATACGCGAAGAGAATGTCGATCTTGTACAATACAGCCCGTCTTTTTTTTTTTTTTTTTTTTTTTGTAACGGGCCTGGCTTCGGAGTGTGGGCATGGAGCCGCGCATGAGCCTCAATAAGCTTCCCAATACCGCATTGGCCTTGGTCGTTGAACACCTGGCACCTGGCTTTGGCTATCGGCATTTAAGGCTTTTCGACTTCATCTGGTAAGCAATGAGTTCGGTCCTCTGAAGACTCATGCTGTCATGCTTTAGGGGCTTTCAATTCCGGGATACTATTTATCCTATGTCACAAGCAAGTAATTGGTATCGACGACCCGGCTGCGGGCCTCGCGATAGCCAGAAAGACGCCCCCGTCACGGAAATCCGGCATTCCCTTATGTCAGTCCCTCCGTTTTCAATAGTTTCAGGGTGGGCCCTTTGAGGTGGATAGTGAATTTTCCCATTTCACTCGAGATCATAAATACAGGGCCTGAAGGTTACCAGGTCCCAGAGGGTCCCTAATATACATACCCGGTGAAAGCAAAAGAGAAGTATGGAATAAACTTGGGTACATACATACCTGCATGGAACCCAAATAACAGTCCCATTAAAAACTTCGTCCACCTTTCCCCAACAGACTTACTTAGCCGGCAAGATCATTCACGGACAGATTCACACCGTACTTTATACAGCGACTTCAAAAGCGGATAACTAACCGACATAAACTAATACAGACAAGAACCATTCTTGCATACTTTCTCCTATAACTCCATGTAACTATAGAAGCTAACTACCCGGTTATAATAGTTACTATGACTTGCAGTTTCCTAGAGGAGCTCTACCAGCATCAAGCGTTGCTGCAATGCACATAATACATTAAGTTACTGTACCAAGTCTATAGAGTTTATAGACTAGGTAGGTAGGAGGTAGATTAGCTTCTTTACCCCATTATCTTTACATTAGTCTCGCCGCATTGGACGGGTTTACTCAACTTATCCAAATTGAAACTTTCTGCTGCTAGATTGTTCTCAGGTGTACTGCGGTGTATGTACATAGTATTATCAATCCAGCGCCCCCGCGAAATTCCAATCAGGACTACCTAACTGGGTCGATCGGAGAATTCCTTACGTCGTTCTACGATGGGTCCGCTGTCATGGCTCGATGTGATTTGACGAAGTCGTTTCGTGGGTCGCTCGCTCATCCTCGTCTGCCTTAGCCTCCCCGAACTTCGCGCGCGACCAGTGCCCTACGCAGGTTTCCCGAAGCGCTCTCTGGATTTGCCTGGACACGTCACGGATTACCTCGGCTCTTTGGATAGGATAGGATAGGATAGAAAAGTGCTATTTTTGGCCGTTACGAATAGGCGTTGTGAGAAAGGCGGTGTTGTGGGTCTACGTAAGGTGGAAGATTGAAGCAGAGAAAAAGCAGAGAAAAGTCTACGTTAGATAGGTACTCGATATAAAAAGTATAAAGCATAGGTATGGATCGCATAATATTTCTAGTTTTGACGAGTTATGTTAGCCAGGGGGTTTTGTGCACCTGGGCACTTAGTGGGTCTCTTGTCAGCAATGCAGGTCGAATTTTCTTTTTCTTTTTTTTCTCTCCTTGTTTAATGCATTAAAAATGCATCATGGAGAAAAACAGCATGGATTAGACAAGTGATGTTATCATCATTAGGTATCAGTCCGATTCTACCGACGGGAAGTTCGACAGGGGGCGGCAAGAGAAAAAAAAAACACTGCCCTACCAGGTGATGGTGACGGTTCTATGGGGACGTCCCACTCGTGGAATACGATCCTTCGATCTGATGGTTTTCGGTATTCAAGAGGTCCACGTCGACCACGATGTCGGTCTTTCGAATTGGTGAAGTGGCAGCGTCGAGATGCGACAGGCGCTGTTGGGCCGCAAGGACCGGTGGTCTGTGACGTTGCAAGTCGCCCGCCAATGGCCAATCGATCGCCTCGCGGATGCGACTCGACCCCAGTTCAACCCAGCGTATCGGATCGCGACTTTATTACTACATAGTAGATACCATAATTATTCCAAGCTTGGCACCCCGGCCTAAGGCGGTCAGAGTCTAGTGGGGGGTCTTTTCTCTGTGAAGTAAATCGAATACTATCTGAATTTTTTTGCCATAGCTTTTTTTCTTTTTAATAGACCGATTTTCTCGTTTCCCCTTCTCCCTTTCTCTCTTTCCCATGTCGTCGTTTCGGCCATCAGATTTCCCTACTCTATGCGGGAATGGTGCGATGAAGCCCGGCTTCCGGCCGGGCAGGATCCCGATGTCGTTGGCTTGGGGGTATGTTGGAATTTGCTTACCCAAACCCGCCTTTATTCACATGTAATGGGAGAAATGCTCACCATTGAATTAGACCCTGATCGCTTGTGCCGGGTCCGCATGTATCGCGGTCGTATGTTTATTGATACAATACCTATTTTTCTATCTGCGCAAGAGCGAGGACGCACAGCACTCGCATGGTGCAAACCCGATCGATATCTTGGTTTTAGGCGGGCTCCGGAAGCCTCTGAAGTATTTAGGTGTCAAATTCGATCGATTAGAAACAACTCAGAAAGATGAACGGAGGTGGCCTGCGGCTTTTGATAAAGTAAGGTTGACAGCCTTGAACTCCGATGTATCCAGCTGCTAATATGGCTGAGTAGTATGTCAAGGCCGTGGGCGATGTCCAGCTTGCGATTGGATTCGCAGTGCTTGTATACGGTTACATTACCCTAGCAGAGCACGGCTTGTCCATGTATCAATGGTGGCTTATTGTGGGATTAGTGTAAGTAACATCGGCAGCAAAGTTCGTGGCTTCTCAAGAACGCATGCCTCTAACTACATGAACGGAACAGCTGGTATTCGGTCATAGCGAATCTAGCAACCACTTCATATTTGCGCACCTATTTCCTAAAAAGGGACCCCGGCGAGCGATGGCTACGGATGATTTTTCTTGTCTGTCTCATTGTAGCGCTCAGCTTTTCAATGGTGCCGATTTACCAACTTAAGGAAAGGCTTATTAATGAGCACGACGAAGACACGCAGCGTCGCATACTTTTAGCAACGAACGTGCTTTGTTACGTCCCTGGATTTGGCGCGAAGGTCGACACGCCCCAATTTCGGTCTGCTGTTGCGCTCATAGGCATCTTCGTCGTTCTTGGTCTTCTCATTATTGGATTACTGAAGCTCTACGAGAGACCCAGCAGCATTATTTTCAAGTGGCGCGATCACTACCGAGGTGAAATGCAGCACTCATTCTTCGGGGATGGGGACCACATCATAACCTGCATTCGCTGCGAGCAGCGTCATATGTTATTGATAGTCCGGCCAGTCTTGGCATTCTGGCTTATTCTACGGATATATGCCGACTTCCTGAATTCCGTCTTGACCGAAATTCTCTTCACCGCAGCTATGTTCACGTGGGTCACTATCCGCTTTATCGACATACTACGCTTAGGTGGGAGGTTTGAGGCCTATCTACAGCACTGGAATTTTGGCCAGATTGTTGCGCTTGCTTTCTTTTTAGCACCTCTCGGGTCGCTATTAAGCTGCTTGTTGGGGTCGCTTAAGGGGTTGGAATTCAAAATCCCGTTTTCTAGGCGTTCTACATTCCGAACCGTGACATGGCTGCCAAGCTTCACCAAGAGATCACAGCCTGAGGAACTTCCAGACAACGATGTTGAACCGCATAGCAATCAGTCTAGATCACCCCATGACGAAGGAATCAGCGAGTTAGATGGACAGGAGCAGCCGACTGTGATTAAATCAACGCAAGAGAGACGCGAAGGAAATGGCAATTTGCAAAATGGTGGAATCAACCCGGTTAGGAGAACGCCTGGTGTGGGTGTGGGTGTGGATCATTACAAGGTGCTTTTGTCGCCTCGGTTCGTGATCGCGCTGCCGCTTGTGGGCTTCTCGAACCTGCTATACCTCGTCCTCCTATTAGTTCTGCCCAGGGTACCAGAATACCCGTCAACTTCGGAGGTACTCTGGCGAACTATTTTCTGGTATGTTGTCTACCAGCCTTTGCTTTTATTCGCTTTCTTCCTTGCTGGAATGATTGTGGAAGAAAGGGTTACTCGGGAGGAGCGAATGAGGTATGCCTATCAGATCATTGCCGCCATCGCAGCTGTACTATCTACAGCTGCTATTTTTGACACCCTATATGGCCTCGGTGGTATTCCGATGTCGTATATCGGCATGGGAACGCTCGGTCTAATTCTGCTCGTCTACCTCCTTTACGGCTGCGTCGCCCGTCCTGGCCCCTTGGCAAAAGGCAAAGCACGCAGCCGATTCATAAGAGACGGGGACGTCGAAGAAGCGCGACCGCTCCTCTCGGAAACTAGACGGAGAGTTCTGTCGGAGGTTCGCATTTTCCCGGTTCGTAGGCAGAAGCTGTGGCACGGACCTTCGAGGAGGCCGTCGGCAGCAAGGGCCAGGAGAAGTTATGGTACAATTGAATAAGAGTCAGAATATAACGAATTAAGTCATGCGAATGACGGCGGTGGTGACGGCGACGGCGCGATTGTATTGGGTTTTGGGTACTGGGTTTAGGGATGGTTATGGCTATGGCTATGGTTATGGTTGTGGTAACGCGCCCCTTTGAGGCAGGGATTTGGGAAAAATGACTTTCATGTGTAGAATGAAGAAATTGAATCACGATGAAACGTCAAGTACATTTGGGTACGCAACATGGTTGTTAGGCTACGAATATATGAATGAATATCAAAGCCTTGTTCATTGAGACTGTCCCGAGTAATGGATTGGGTTGGGAGATCACCCTTGAGCTAGGGTTTCTCCTATTTTCCCCTAGTCCAGGTAGGGGTATAAATTATAACTTGGGTTCCTAAGATACCTTAGGTAGGTGTTATTCAAGGTGTTGAACGTGAGATTGAGGGTAGTAGGATGATCTGATCATGCGCTCGGCGGATTGGTTAGATGAGATAAGTTTTTGGAGGGGGATTTGCGTGCGTCCGCGTCTATGAGCTGCGAAAGTTAGGTGTTGTCGATTGTGCTGTACAGAATCTCGACTGGGATTCAAGAGAGAGACCTGCCCAATGTTCTTGCACCAGCGGGTATCGAAGATTTAGGGCTATTGCTACGGCAGCGACTTGTCGTGTATGCGTATGGTTGGGATGAGGAGGAAGAGGGAAAAGAGTAGAGCATAGAAGAAAGCGTAAATGTCATATATGTACTTCTATTCTGCCCACGGCCAAGTCAATTTCCTTACTCTACCAGATCGCACTCTTCAGTTTCTTCCCCTGTACTGTCATTCACAATTCCTCCCAGATTTCTGTTAACTCTTTCATCACTGATATCCACGTATAATGGAGTTAGTAAATCCATGGATAGTATGGAAGTAGCCTTCTCCCTAGCGCCGTCCGAATCATCCTCGAACCCTATTCTGACCGTTGACGTCGGTCGTGGGCTGGCCACTAGCACTTTAACCGGTGCTGACACATCATCGGAGACGGTGAGCTCGAGGATGTCACCCAGGAAATCAAGTATTGGGTCTTCAAAGTCTTCCCGCTCGTAGAACACGATGCCGTCTATCAGACAGAAAAGCGTTATCTCCTTAGGCAGCTGTCGGACCAACCAACAAAACAGACGCCTCAGTTGCGATAGGCTATGGCCTTCCCCAATGATTTCAGGGTCCACATCTGGAGGCAAGAGGTGCATCGGACCAAAGTCATAATCGCAGAGTAGTTGCGCAATCAGGCTTCGCACCATCCGTTTGATCACGCCCAGCTTAGTCCCCGGGCTGTAATCATCATCTTCTTCTTCGTCTTGTCCCCCGTTGAACCCATCATCGTAATAATAATCGTCCTCCTCCTCGCTCGACTCGGAATCAGATTCATCGTCGTATCCCAAATGGCGGCCGCAGAACCACACGAGGCACACGTAGCGTTTCCGAGACCGGAATGCTTTCGCGAGGGTCGTGCAGAAGAGCGATAGCGCGGAGGTCTCCACCATGAAGCCGGAGAAGTTGCCGCAGACCATCAGCTTCGTGGACGCCGGGGCCACGATCCAGTCCTGGAATTTCTGGTCCTGGACAATCTGCTCCGTCCGCCTGCGATCTTGCAGGGGAAGTTCTTGCCTTTTCCCCTCGATCGCGTCTATGTCGGTCGTGTCGATGTCGTCGATCGCTAGTAGAGACCATAGCTCATCCTGGCCGATATATGGAGTCTCTTCCGTCCGGGGGAGGAAGGGGGGTGGGTGGGATGGATATGGGGGTGCCCATGCTGAGCTTGGTTGGTAAGGGGAAGTGCTCCGAACGACGTTTCGTAGATACTCGAGTTCTTGTGCGCGGGCGACAAGCAGTCCTGCGAAAGGAAGTTAATTACTACTCAGGACAGATAGGTAGTCGTCATGGATCTGAATCTCACGTTCTTGGTCATCAATCCTATTTTTGTTCCAGTGAACTTCACGTGTCAAAGCCTTCATTTCTTCGTCGTGTCTGTCCAGCAGGAGGGAGATACTGTTGTTCAGGATATGGACCTCATCGTATACCTTGTCGGTTTTACCGGATATGCCGTCAACTTTAATAGCTATTTCCCCGCTGCCTTGTTGGATAGACTTAAGAATCTGCAAGCTCGCTTGTGAGTATCCGTTGAAGTCGCGAATGTGGGTTTTTAGCGCTTGTGCCATCAGTTTCTTGCTCTGGGATGTGATAGTGGCAAGACTATCGAGAAGGGGCTTCTCGTACCCTTTCCCTTCAAGAATCGATTTGAATCCACGGACCACTAGTCTCTAATACGTTAAATCAACATCTTTAGGCTGGGGAATGTACCTAGGACTCACGCTCAGGACGGGTAAAGAATGATATGCCGTTTTCTATAGCGAACAACACACTCACTACTAAACTCACCACTTGGTCGAGAATGAGGTCTTCCCCCTTAAACGACCCGAGGAATAACTCGACATCGCGAAACACATCCTCGAGCTCATCGAATGCGTTCAACACTTCTTTCTTGACTTCGGCACCTTTTTTAGCAGCCTCGAGGATGATCTGCACAGCTGCAAGAACCGGAGTAACAATATCCATCTGTGGGATCACTTTGGTAGCTCCAATCATGGGCTCGGCGGCATTATCTACGGTCCATTGCCAAGCGCGCCGAATTCCTCCCCTAATTCCCGTTTCATTGGTGTAATACTGTCGAGCATTGTTGAGCTTATTATATACGTCTGCCCAAGTTCCGCTGCTGCGAATATCGTACTCTGGCTTGCGATGCTTGGGCACATCTTCCTGTGGCATAGATTCGAATCTTGACTTGGCTGTTGGGAAGACCATGTTCCAATACGACATGGCGATGGCAGCGTTTTCATTTGGCTTCGCGCTAGCTCCGGGGGTTGATTCCAACAACATTGTAGGTTCAGGACGCGCCATTACTGGCATCTTCTCACATTTATTGTCGGTATATTGGATGTGTTGCTTATAATGCCGTACAGGTAGAGTTCCAAAGTAAGCGTGATGCTTTGGGAGATCATTCTCAATGAAGTCAATCACTAATCCATAGCCTTCGCTTGATTCAGGCCGATCTTTAGACTCAACCATCACTGTATATAGTCTACTCAATCGTCTAGGGCAAGAAACAGAGGGAAATAAGCGTAATGTGATTTCTTCGTTATGAGTGGGGTTAGCATAAGGGGGTGGGAATATGAGGTATAGAAGTAGCTAACAGGCTTGTCGGCTCGCGGATAGTCAACTAGTCATTACCCATGCAAAACAGCAAGTATCATGAATTCTAGATGATTCACCTGTAAGGAGTGGGGGAAACTTGGTTGATCTGTGTGATGCTGCTTAGGAACTATCGGCAAATATCGTAGAAGTTGAAGAACCATTTTCCAGGCCCCAATCTCACAACCCACCTGCTTATCGCGCCAAATGTAATTATAATTGAAGACGTAGAAGGGGGAGGCTTCCTGTGATCGGCTGCCTTGTGGTTCGGAATAGGCAATCTGCAATCAAGTGGCGAGCTGAATGCATGTGACGATATATGATCTTTCCATTCAACAAGGGTCAAAGTATCTGCATATGCAGCTTTCTAAAAGAATCAGCAAATTCTGCAGGACTTACGCGAGCTATCACATTTCGGTTTCTTCTCGGTTTCTTGTTGGGTACTATGATCTCAGGAAGTTAATGCCCAACAAGACCTTGTCCATTTTCTTCAGGAGTAAGTAACACTTTCCTGGTGGGCAATTCATACTAGGCAACTTCTCTCTGGTTTCTATCTTCCTTTCTGTTTGCATAATCCCTTCTATCATTTCGGAAGTTAGATTCAACACACCTTAGGATGGCAGATCCAGAGCCGGTAACTATGGAAGACATATCTCCCAGGTCTCCGCACGCAAACCCCGCAGTTGGGGATGAAAGGCATCAGAACGCCAGCAGTGTCGGTAACAATTCCGATGGCAATCATGAAAATCCTGTTGCGGTGAATATTGAACTCTTGCATGAGATCAAAACTATCCAACAGCGGCTGGTAGAGCTACAAAAGAAAGCTAGGCCTAAGCTAACTAAGAAGGCCCTTGAAGAAGAATGGGAACGTGCAAGAGAGGAATTGGGTCCCGAGACGGAAAAAGAATCGTGGAAAGAAGAAAAGCAGCGACGGAAAGCAGCGCTGCTATTCGGTAGCCGGTTACAGCAAGGGGGTGATTGGAGCCCCGAATACGATGATGAGTTCTCATATAATGTCAAGCTTTTCAAATTTCGAAAACTGTGGGAGCATAAGGTCGTTGCTGGTCTTAGTTCGGACGAAGAAGAGAACCAAAGCGACTCAGATTACTCAACCAACCCAGAAGATGTGGAGGCCGAACAAGACTATTTGGACGGCCAATTATTTTTTGAGACGAGGATATTGAAAGCCATCCATGAGATGGAAATGCGCAAATTACGCGCCAAGTTAATAAAAATACGGCAACGTCATGACAAGAAAAAAAAAGCATATAGGCGGTGACGTCTTGGAAGGACCAGTTCTGCACATGGATATGGAGGCAGAAGTGAAAATGGTGAAAATAGTGAAAATGGATGCGCGATCAGAGATGATCCGGGTCTCCTGGGACCAGTTCAAAGCGCTACAAAGCCAGAAGGGAGAACTCTCAGCTGCGATCGACATTTTGATAGGAGAGCCAGTTATTGAATTCAGCCTTAGAAACTCTAATCGGCGCTGGCCCGTGGCCCGAGCTCGGAAGGCTGAGACAACTGAAACCCATGAGAAGAAGTCGGCATCCAAACTGGAGACTGCTTCTAACGATTCGCCGATGCCAGAGCGTGTACGCATCAACTCAAGGTCTCTGCTACATATACTGCGTAAAATTGGCAAATCTGGCAAAACAGATTTCAGTGCTTCTTCTCTTGTGTTGCTACGACCATTCAGGGTTCTGGCTTATTACAGCCAAGCTATCCGAGATCAGTACAGGAATCTCGAAAATAAATTTAAGGAAAATCCTACGGAGCAAGATCTCTTATCCGCTCACTCCAGAACTTTACCAGGTTCTACTAATGTTCCCAATGTGGTTGATGAGACGGCTCAGAAATCCAGCAGCCTAGAGACATCTTCAGAGAGAGGAGAGGCGGAAGAAGAAAAGGAGGAGGATGACAATCTGAATTCGCCAATTGCGTTCGAACATATGAAGTGTTTGGTGGAGTTTATGGATAATGACATACAGACCAGAATCGATTATCTGGAAAGTAATAAATGCCAGAAGGTATTCTCCTCGGACCTTTGGTATCTCTTCCAACCTGGAACTCTTGTCATTGGAAACGACGGTAAACAAGCATACCGAGTTCTGAGTATGCATAGCGTGGGGCACCAGGTTATCGACCCGCTTTGGAGGTGGTATAAACTATCGAAGAAGGAGGAGGAGGAAGAGAAAGCATCTATCACAATCAAATGTGTTTGTATTGACTTTGACGGCAAGCAGCTAGGTCCCGTTTCCAAAGTTTTCCAAATCCCAAGGTTCGAGCGTGAAAAACCAGTCACATCTCTCGAAGTTTGCCCCCTCCGATTTTACAAATACGGCAAAGCCGGTACTGCCGAGGGCAATACTAACCCTGGCAATGACTTTAAGAAGCATCTCATCAGCCGGGGAAAGAAGTTTCTTGATGTGGCTGCTGTTCGTTTGGCAGCTATACGACCCATGTACTATGCTGGTCCCGCCTTACAAACGCAAGATGAAATTGAGAGCCAGGTCGTAGTCGACTTTGAGGCGGCCTTCGGGATAGAGGATAATATTACCAAAGGTTGGAGGCCAGAGCTTGAGACACTAATTAAGTCAGAAGACGACAATAAAGAAGACAGCGGGGGGAAAAAGTGTCAGGCTGATTGCTGTCTTTCCGAGACCGTGCACGATGATTCATATGTTGAGGTCAAAAGGAACAAAGAGTTTATGGACCATCTACTTCCAAAAACTCGCGAGGAAATGCCCTCAGTAACCATTATCCCTCGACCGCTTGACACAAGGGAGCCAGGTGCTGAACTTACTGAGGATGATTTAGCTATCATGTCCTATCGTGTATTTGGCTTTGTCCTGAGGAATCGGAAATGGGGTATGTCTCTTGGGTACTTGTACACTGTTACCCATGCAATGCTGATGCTTCGCACTTTTAGCCCAGCTAGACCTCACCTATCTTAGCGAAGTTCAACCGTCTGAGATGAGAGACGAGAGTGATATACCAAATCAGGATCCCGAACAACCCAAGACCGTGTTTGATCAACTTGTCTTACCAGACAAGCACAAGGATATGATATTATCGTTGGTCACTCAGCATTTTCGCGACAAGGAATCGAGTCATACGGGCGAAGCAGATATAGTTCGTGGTAAAGGTAGGAACCCCCTCTAATTATACCCCAAATACGCTCATAGCCTACCTAGGTAGGCAGGTAGGTACCTAAGTCAGCTAACACCGTGTCCAGGAAAAGGATTGATTTTGTTACTCCACGGAGCCCCTGGAGTTGGGAAGACATCGACTGCTGGTAAGTTGATTTCAACATCTCCTGTACTTTGCGCTGACCGTAGTTCAGAGGGGGTGGCAGAAAAATTCAAGAAACCCCTTTTTCAGTTGACTTGTGGTAAGTCTTCGTACCGATCACTATTCCAAAGCATTCTTAACATGTGTCGCGGTGCCTAGGGGACCTTGGAACAACGGCCAAAGATGTCGAATACGCGCTGGAAACGAACTTTGCACTTGCTAGCCGTTGGGGGTGTATTCTACTTCTCGATGAAGCAGATGTATTTCTCGCCCAAAGGACGAAAGAGGATTTCCAGAGGAATGGACTTGTAGCTGGTTTGTTCCGTTCCGTCAGCACAATTCGATAATTAACTAATACCCACATACGCAGTCTTTTTAAGAGTCCTCGAATACTACTCTGGAATCCTTTTCCTTACCACTAATCGGGTAGGCGACTTCGATGAAGCGTTCGCGTCTCGAATTCATATTAGCTTGTACTATCCCGAACTAGGCCGAGATGAAACTCTGGAGGTGTTCAAGCTTAATTTGCAGCTTATTCGAGGTCGCTTCAAAGACAAACCTCGCAAGTTCATCCCTGATAAGATGGGAATCGGGGCATTTGCTCGGGAGTACTGGAACGACAACCCATTCGACCATTGGAATGGGCGCCAAATACGCAACGCGTGCCAGACTGCGTTGGCCTTGGCGGAGTACGAAGCCCATGGAAAAAACCATATGCGTATCCTAAACCCGAACGGTGAGATCCGCCTTAATGTGACCCATTTCCAGGTAGTTGCCGAGGCCTATCTAGCATTCTCCAAGCACCTCAAGGACATTTACGGAACTCATGCCGCACGACGGGCAAAAGAGGCTGGCCTCCGGGCAATGTGGGTGAATGAGAAGGGAGAGCTCATGGGGAGTGTAGGGCCGAAGGAGGCAGGAGTTTTCAAAGCGGACAAAAAATCGCGGTATCAGTTCAGATCCCAAGCTAAGCACAGCACCAATACCTATGAGCAGCCACGGCAGGCAACCCCCCCTAACAACCAAGGTCTAACATACCATGGAGTACAAAGAAGTACACAGAGCGGCGGACAGGGATATATGAATTCCTCTCTACCAGCACAACCCCACCCAACGAGGCCAACTGAGGCATATTACGGTGAAGGTTCCATGCCCCAGCGATATAACAACCCAAATACGCAACTCCAGGGACAAATTATGGTACCACAACACTATCAGGGACAGAACTGGGATACTGATAGCCCTGGATATGATGATAACTACCTGCAACCCGGGTCAATTGGGCGCGGAACCTACCCTCAGCAGCGCGACCACCATGATACTCAACATATAAAATCACAGGGGGGAAGCTTTTCGCAACCACCGCAAACTAGCCGAGCTTCCCCAAGTGTCTACGCACCACAGTACCAGGAACCTCAAGCTGGGGCCAGTATGGAACACGCCCAACATACGAATTATACCGGCGAATTTGGCCGGTAACCTCAATTGGGTCGTCAACCGAACATCTTACGCAAAAGCACATCGTGAGCTAAGGGATATATATAAATGATTGGGGGTTCAAATTGGGATACATAATGAGATAATTTGGTTAAAAACAAGGAATAGTTTCTGGTTACGTTGCTATAGCTCAATTTACACACTTGCTTTCCGTCCAAACAACCCAATGCCAATAGGTCCAGAGTAAGCACTCTTTACAGTACAGTGAATTGCATGAGTATACCTTAGTATTTATGCCATAGAAAGCCGTAAAGGTTGTAATCCGTAAGTAATATGCTTAAATGGTGCGAACTAACATATCTTGACTGAGCCCCTTAGACTTGAGTCTCAATCTGCCACTGCTTAAGATAACACAATTGCCCAAGAATGATCCCATTATTGGACCAGCACACACACACACACACATACACCTATATTAAAAGGCGTACCCTTATGTTATCGACCATACAAGACTAGTAAGTGTGCTTAGGAGTTATCTCTAGCTTACAACCATCCAGAAAACTCACATACACTAAGTACCCGAATAAGGGACGACACATTTTGCCAAGATTCTTCCTATTTGACCCCCACCCACAAAAAAAGGGGGGGGAGGGCAGAATAGTTAGGTACCTTAGGTAGGTACGTTTATTCGTAGCATTTACGAACAGTCACTATTTATCCAGACGAACTGCCAAAGAGCAAACGCGCAAGGACGAAGCCCCTGTCTCTTTGCGGAAAGGTATGGGGAGTGCTTGCCAAGCCGCGGCCTACGGAAATATCTATGCACGAAGAAGCGACTATTAATACTATTCACGTTGAAGAGGACCCGGGTCCGATCATATAGTTTGACGATATCCAGAAGATGGTCATCAGGAAATGCGGGTTCTTGGAGAGGTTCCTGGAGGGTCGACGGTGCGCGGCGGCGAGCGACGTGTACTGGAGCTGCGACGGCAGGAGGGAAGGCGACATCATCCTGGAGCCCGGCTCGCACGAGGTGGTAATCCGGCGAGATCCCGAGGACGACGAACTTTTCGATATTGTCGGGTGGTGCGTGATTAGGATGGATGTGGGGGATGTCATATCGCGGAACGAGTTCAACCCAAGGAGTCTTCTCAGTTAATACTCAGTACCGATGGGAGATGATGCATAGGAATGTAAGACAAATCTACTACTTCCTATATATCAATTGCCGTTATTTTCTTAATCTGCTTATCCTTGTATTTTATATTCTGCGTGTGAGTGATCTCGATATAATATGCATAGACGTAGGTAGTGGTCTCCTCACGCCAATCATCATATTTCTTTCTTACCCCCTTATTCTATACCCATGTTCTCTCTTCGGCTTCTGCTCCCTCTTTTCTTAAGTAAGGTTACGCTAACTACTAACTACTCTCAGTCCTTCCTTTAGTTGGAATAACACAATCGGAAACGGCACGCCTCATAAGCTTATTCAAATGGGACTAAGCAGGATGGTGGGACTAATTATTGGGTATTTCTCCACGACATAGATTGACCACGGATGTGTCCGCGAGCATAGAGTAACTTAATAGGGCCTGTTTGGATCATTTAATTGGAACCATAATGCATGCAAGTCTATTACATCGTATTCAATATTTTAGGAGGTAGTTATGGATTAGCTCATCCCTTGGTAATTATGGATATAATCAGGACATAATAGTCGGAAAGATATAACCCAGTTGTCTGACATATAGTTGGTTAGAGGTACCGTATAAAGCAAGTACCAACAAAAAACTGGATGAAACCGTGGCAAACAATCTTGACGGATGTAACAAAAAGAAGCAACTAGAGATTGTTTATAACAGATACCTAAAGTTATTTCTTCTATCAAGGCTTATTGTTGTAATGTTGAAGAACACCCCAGATTCCAGATAGATCTGTTTCCGATTTCATCTTGATGACAGTACACAGACCACATTTTCTTTTTTTGTAAACTTCTCGAAAAGAACAATGAATGAATGGGAGTGGCCACGAGTTGGTCAACCATGTGGCATCGAGTCCCAAACTAGTCGGATGTTTGATCCAATAATATACTAGGTGCGGATTCCATCAACATGCAAGGCCCCTGAAGATCGGCGAAAGAAAAAAAGCTTGTTTGACGGCGGCATTGCGGCATTGGGGCCATGCAAGCCATAGATGTTTCATACGCTTACCTGTTCCTATCATTCGGATTCATTCCTGACGACAAAGGCCTGTGGCTCCTTGTGGCTCCTTTTAGTAACCCGTTACCGCTTTGCTTACGACGCTCCTCTAAGCTGGTATTGGTAGATGAATCGGAGCGATAGACCAATAACGGAGCGCTGCTATGGGCGGGATGCGATTTCGTGCATCCTAAGTTTTACGGGTTTGTAAGACGTCGGCCCCCTTTTTCTTTTCTTTTCTTTTCTTTCGATCCACCCTAGATCCCTGAACTCCCAATATCACACCTCCTCCAGATAAAAGCTAGATAGTACTATGTAGGCTTTCTTAATAAATCAGGAACCAGAAAGACTAGGTTGCTGGGTGTTGTTAGTTAGTCCAATTTTTTTTATAAAATAAAGGTACCTTTCCGGGGCCGAGAAGGCTTCCACGGCATTGGACGAGAAATCCAATATGGAGACTCAATTACGCGTCGTTTCCGGCTTGATTTCTTTATGGGCCCCCATTTCACCACCAATCAGCTTACGTGGCTTCGCCTATGATAGCGAGTTCATAATTGGTTTCTAGCGCCTACCATGCCCATAACTCGGTAGTGAAACATCTAATCCTGTAAGAATCCTATAGGTAATTCTAGCTGACGGCGGTAGGTCAAAAGGATCTAGGGAGGCTTGATGTGAGTTATACTTAAAGGGGGATGTTCGCCTCCTCGTCAGTAGTCAACGTGTAGTCTTGCTTTCTCTCTGTTTCTCACTAAGTCCACTCCTTCACTTCGGTCTATACACTTGAAAATCAATCTTTTTTTCCTTAACTACCCAAGGTATACTTCGCCCTACACTCCTTTCCATTTTTGAACATTCTATTCCCAGTTAGAAGTATGTTGGGGTCACTCTTTACACTCACCAACCTTCTTCTATCTACTGCCGTAGCGCTACCATCCGGCATCATACGCAGCAGTCATCTTTCTGGCGGCTTATCCCCCCGAGCATCATGCGCGACGCAGGCGACCGACGCTACTAACGAGGGCGACCAAGGGGGTGCCGGGATCAAGCTGAGCAACAGCGGTAATGGGACTCGCAGTTACTTCGTATATGAGAACAGCTGCGACAGCATACCGCTCAAATATGTGACCGTTAATGCTGGGGAGACCAAGTTCGTAGCGTTACCGGCACTGTTCCAAGGTCGTATCGTACGGGGCACCGATGCCAACTTAGACGGACAACCACACCTGTTAGGTACCTGGCTGGAACTCGGATTCGACGGCACGGGTAAGGCTTACGGCGACGTATCACTGATCCGAGGTTGTGATGGTCCCGTGACCCTTGCTGCTGACGATGGGACTGGCGTGAGCACTGGCTTCGACGACCCAAGCGTATTAGCAGACGCACCCGAAGGCGTCTTCCAGCTTGCGAGTGACGGATCCAAGGTTATCGAAGCCACCGAGGGCCTGCTCTCCGCTGTCGTCGACGCCGCGAGGGACTACCTCGCCAGCAAGATCGGCTACGACAAGGCGTACATCGACGACTATCACGGCAACCCCGTCATCTGCTCCTCGAACGAACGATTCAATGCTACATTCTACTAGGAGAGCGAAGCATTATCAAAAGCCGTCGCGTGGTCAGGGGACTTCAGCGTGGTGTTTAAGGGGCATTGGAGGCACAGGAAAAGAAAACAACAGGTTTATAAAAATTTTGGGGGAAGTCGGTGGAAAGGCAGAGACCCTGCTAACTACCTCATATATGGCTTCCGTAACATTCTTGTATATATTTACACCAGGTTTTTTGTTGAGATATCCGCCTGGGCACTTGGCACATGCGAAATTGCTCTGTGGGCAACTTTCACTTCTAAGGTATATTAAATTATCAAGGGAAACGTACCGATAACTCGGCTTATACACAATTACTTTTGTCCATGAATTATTCAAACCTTGATGATCAAGCCTTGAAACGTAAAGGCCTACTTGTCAGGGAGTTAATAAACTGATAAGCACTAGTCACGCCATAAGCTGACTAGAATGATATATCCCTTTGAAGCCCTTCAGCTCCAATCCCAGAACGTGTCTATTGGGTGTATGATTATTCTTGACAGTCCAGACTTACAGTTCGCAACCGCGCTTCTTACGTATCTAGGCCCAGCCGACCTAGACATATCATATTCTCCCAATCTCGCGCTGTGCATCAGTCATTAAGAGCCTGACCAAGTGCGGGGTTAAATATATGGGATGTAACTTAATAAATGACTGACGGGTTTGGGCACTATCAGTTATGAAGACGCTTCTTCAATGCTTTTCAGAGGCCGTTTTCAAACTCTTAGAAGTTTCTAAGTGAGCTCTAAAAAAGATAGTCCAATCACCACAAACACAAGGACTACCTTCTAAACTCCTCACTGCTACTTCGGTAGACTTTGCTATTGCCTCCCACACTCACGATCTAAGGCTGTGCTATTCTATTAGCAATAGCAAGTAACCAATCATGATAGCGGATATAGGCTTCTCGGTGATAAGTAGCGATGGAATAGATCCTTTGCTAGAGTACGTTTTATTAAGTGCTTCGGGATAGTTAGTTACTAAAGGGGGTAGTATCGTACTGATCCATGGGTTGGGAGGTCATCCAGAAAAAACGTGGCGATCGAGTTACAAATTCTGGCCACGAGATCGCCTAGCTATATCATTCCCTAAATCAAGGGTCTTAGTGTACGGTTACGACAGCAAGGTCACCAAATTTGGCACAGGGGCAGCAAGCCAGAACTCATTCCTGGACCATACGCGGCATTTGCTGCTAGATCTAAGGGGCATCAGGAACGAGAACGTAAGTCCGCGCATTGTCATTTGTCCGGGCGTATGGACATACGAAAGCATATGCTGACTTTAAAAGCCTACTCGACCTCTACTATTCATCTGCCATAGCCTGGGTGGTATTCTAGTGAAGGATCTCCTTCGAAGATGTGGGCCTGGAAGAGAGGATCACGAATCAGAGTCACGAGAGAACATTTTCAAATCGACCATTGGTATTATATTCTTAGGCACGCCCCATCAAGGCGGAGGTTACGGGTCCCTCGGCAGAGCTGCGGAGCGGGTCGCTAGGTATGTCGGGTTTGATACTAATAATTCAATCCTCCGCGACCTGACCGGCAATGGGACATCCTTACAAATTATACAGGAGGAGTTCCTGATGATCCTTAAAAAACGCTCGCCTGCCCTGCCTATTTATTCCTTCCAAGAAGAGGAGGGACTCGACCTATCCTGGGGACTCAAGGGAAAAGTAGTCGATGATAGCTCATCAAAGCTGGGTTACGACTATGAGACTGTAGCTACACTTCCTGGGAATCATAAGCAAATCGCTCGGATTGAAGAGGCGTACAACCGTCTAAAAGACGCTGTGGGGTCATACGTCGAAAGCATCAAAAGCTCAGCCAGAGTGAATTTAATAAAGCAACTACCCTACGAGCGCGATTCCTGCTTCCTCGGACGACAAAAGGAACTCGAAGAGATCCACGGCTTCTGCTCGACGGATGAGTTCTTCGAATGTGCTATCGTTGGTTTAGGAGGCGTCGGGTAAGGTGATATATATCATTTTTAAAGGTATTTCGAGCTAACTAGAACGCAGCAAAACCCAAGTTGCCGCTGAACTTGCGTATCAACTTTGGGAGAAGGAAGCGTCCAAACCATTAACTCACAGGCATTATATTTTGTGGTTGCACGCTAGCAATACTCCTCGCCTTGAGCAAAGCCTAAAAGATCTCGCGTGTAAGCTAAGGCTCATCGAAGGTGATCTTCTCCCAGCCACGCGTGACTGGCTCAACGGAGTGGGTAGCGGCAAGTGGCTGATTATTATCGATAATGCTGATGACGAAGATGTATTCTTTGGCGATAACTATGTGTCCAAGGATAGGAAAACAAGGCAGAGATTTTGCGATTTCCTTCCAAAAAAGGAGGGTTGCGGTATCCTATACACTTCAAGGAACGAGACCTGTGCCCGAAATTTAACGAAAAGAAGCGGCCCCCCAAAGCTAGTGAAGGTTCATCCGAAGGCTTACCTGATGCTTTGGGACGGGAGAAAAGAGGACCAGCAAGACTTGCTGAAAGAAAACTTTGTTGACTGGCGCCGAGGCTTGGACTTGCCAAATGCAGTCTTTTTCTCTTGGGCACTTTCATTCGAACAGCTGAAGAAGCGAGACGAGGACGCCGTACGTCTACTATCCCTAATGAGCATACTAGACAGACAGAGCATACCAGGATGGTTACTTGATTTTTACCCACCTTTGTCTCAGTCTCAGCCCCGTCGAGCCAAGTCTCTCAGCCTTCTACGATCCTTTTCTTTCATCCACCCTCACCAAGACACGAGTAGCCAGGACAAGAAGTGGCAAATGCATCGACTGGTGCAGATAGCGACTCATACCTACATCGGCCCGGGTGGTATGGAACAAGCTCTCAGAGACGGGTTGAGAATGCTCGCAGAGGCGTTTATCTCATACATATTCGCAATCAATGGAATGCTGCTCCGCTACGAGAGGAGCCTGGAATATTACCCGCATGCGAAAAGTGTTATCTACATGCTAAGAAGCCTGGGAAGCCCTTTTCACCGCGGAAAGAGCACTTGCGAGCCGGCCACTATAGTAAAACAGACTCTAGAAGAATTCGCACGCATGTTCGAAGGTAACCGCGGGGGGGATATATTCGAAGGGTCTAGGATACATACAGAGATCGCGTTTCAAATGATTTCACAGGGTGATTCTAATTCACTGGAGGATATTTTCATGTTCATTAGACGTGCAGGGTACATGAGCGCGAAGCTATTCGCTTATAGCGGCAAGCGGCCGTTGGTGAGCGATTCAGTATATGGTGAACTTAAGCCACGAGCTGGAGAGCCGGAGGTTGTGGGCTTTCAAGACTTTGAGAAAAGCCTGATTTGCGATTCCTCAAAATGGTCGTTCAATGGCGAAGAATTTCGCAGAACTCTAGGTCAGTCGACGAAGACATCAGGCGACAGGATAACCATCGAGACTTTAGGGGACATGTACATAAGTGAGCAGGACTATAACTGGTACCCAGGTGCTTCGAATGCTATCTAAAGCTATACTATACATCTAGACTGTAGTTGTATGGTTACGAACGAAAGTTCTAGCGAATAGCCCCTAAGCAGAAGAAGGGCTCTCCCTTGAAGATTATTTATTACCTAAAGCTTCGGAGAGAGATCGTAGAAGTACGGATATAACTCCTAGAACAGCTCATTCTTCTCCTGAATTGGTGATCTTGTCCAGCTGAGCTTGAAATCAGCGGGAATGCTTCTATTCCGCTACGAGCTCCATAGCTCTATCCTCCACAACCAGCGATAGTTCAATTAAATCGAGCACTAAATCTTCGGCCTCAATCGATGATGTGAAGGTCTAGAAAAATGACCTGCAGTAGCTCGATAGACTAGTGGGTGGACTCCAACCAATCGCATTACGCATATGGTAGAATTTCACTTTACCCCACTTGCCTATTTAGGGGCAAGCCTGCAGCTAGAATATAGTACACCATAGCGTCAAAGAAATCATCTTCTGCTTCTAGCAATCTACAACTACAAACATGGCAGTGTGGCCGAGTGGTTATGGCGCTGCGTTCAGGTTGACCTTGAACAAACTTCGCAGTGGAGCAATCCGCGTGGGTTCGAGTCCCACCGCTGTCATCTTTCTTTTTTGAAAATTTCCCTCGTATAATTGTATCATCATTTTTGACTTTGTCCTGTCACCACCACCCTGGCTGGTTGTCATGATATGAAATTTTTGAAACCGCTGAATTTAGCTCGTTAGTCAGCAGATTGAGATTCCTGGGGCATGTCTTGGTTTTGAAACAAGGCCTTCAATCGTACTGATGTTCGTCATGACTTCATCAGCTCCCTGCCTACCCTCCAACACTACCATACTATGTACCCACCACTTAAATATTAGGTTAACTAATAGAGTCGCCGGTAATATTATTTGAGAACATTTTCCAAATTCACTATCTTGTGAGTCCTTGGGAAGCAGCGAAATATATCGTTCATGAATAAGGAGATTAAGCTAGAGATTTGTCCCTAAGTTTACCAGACTCATCTTTTAAGACTTCGAGGATAATAGAATATAATACACAAGCAGAGAGTCAAACACTACGATCACGCGACTAAACCCTTTCGCCTCCTTTTGAAATGTCTCTGTATTATGGCTATTTCTCGTTGCTATACCAACTAAACAAGAAAACAGAAGTTGAGTGATTGCGTTTTGATCAGGGAAAGGGGGTGTCGCAAGCATCACACAGCTTGTTAAAAACTCATCAGACTCCAATCGGCAACCAAGTTAGATACCTATCCAATTTGCATTTTGTTAATATGTCACCGAAGCAGGGTTTCGGCCCTCAACTAGTCGGCAATCCCTTCATCAAGAAGGAGAATTTAGAATGGACTTTCGATCTTTCTAATCCGGCATGCGACAGCCGTGAAGATAGTAGCTCCGATGACACAGGTGACTACGAACCCGGGGCGGAGGGAAAAAATCCAAAGGCTTCGGCTGTAGAGGCGGGCGAGGCCAGAATCGACGACTATCTCGGCTACTTCAGCGGACTCCTGGAGAAGGCTATACTGTCGTCGCCTTTCCCGTCGGATATGCCACGATTACCTATCGAAGCATACCGAAAGCTTTACGAAGAGAACTCGGGCAATCCGCGAGGTGCGCACTTCGTCGTGCATCAGCACGACCATCCCATCGCGGGCACGCATTACGATCTCCGCTTGCAGATCAACGAGACGAGCAGCGCGTCCTGGGCTATTATGTACGGCCTCCCGGGGGATCCGAATAGCCAGCGTCTGAATAGGAACGCCACGGAGACGAGGATCCACTGTCTATGGGTACGTTCCTCCGGGCCCGACTCGGGCGTTTAGAAACCTAAGATGTTTTCGACTTTCATCTACTAACACGTGTACATTATTTCTCTCCCTCCCAGAACCATCTCATAGAAACAGCCTCGATATCGACCGGCTCCCTCCTGGTATGGGATACAGGGACGTACACCGTCCTCCCGCCACGGGGAAACTTTAAGCCAGCTAATTTCAACTCCCAATCCGACGCGGAGGAGAGAGGAGGAGAAGAAGAAGAAGAGAGAGAAGAGAAAGAGTGGGCAAACCTCACGGAGCAGGAGAAACTCCACCACGCGTTCCAGATGCGGAAGATCCGCATCCGACTCGCCGGCACGCGTCTCCCGCACAACTACGTGCTGAACCTGCGCCTGACCAAGGCCGACGACGCAGCCGGGCGCGCGAAGAGCACACGCGGGCGTACGCGGGGACGCCGGCGAGGAGCGCCCTTGTCGGGACTCGGTAGAAGAAGAAGAAGAAGGGGCGGGGGAAGAAAACGTGGGGCGATCATCGAATTGGAAACAAGCTCCGACTCCGACTCAGACTCAGAGGTACCTCATAGAGAAGGTCACGATGGTGATGGTGCGGGAAACGAAGAATCGGAGATCATACCCGCTGCCCCGCCCGCCGGGCAGGTAAACGCGCGAGAAGCGGCCGCCGTCTCGGCGGTGGAGCGCGAGATCCGCGAGCTCGAGGACGAGCAGGTGCGGCGGACGAACGCGTACCCCGGCGCGGAGAACTCGATCGGGAGCGTGCACCAGCGGCGGTGGTACTTGTCGCTCGACAGGGAGGCGTGCGGGTTCGTGAAGAGGCGGAGGGCGGGGCGGGTGGTTTGGGAGGACAAGGAAGAGGCTAAGGAGGAGGGGAAGGAAGAAGTACAAGGACATGCTGACGATGATGATGATGATGATGGCGGTGGTGGTAGTGGTAGTGAGAATCGACTCAAGTTCCCGTTTTACGTCTGCGGCGCGGAGCTCGAGAGGAGCGTGGTGACGGGTCGGACTGGCGCCGATGTATTGAAGGACGAAGGTGTTGTTGGACATATTGGACGGAAGGGCTGGCGGCCTGTGTTGAATTAAGTTGGGCGATGGCTTGGGCTTTCTCGGGTTTGAGGAAGATTTCGTATTACTTTTAGGCCCGCGAATAAGATTGAACTTTGCGATGCAGTCCACCTCCTCTCCTTCCTAATAGCTTCCTTGCTCGGCTCTTTCGAATGCCCTATCATATAGATGTGTGTGCCTATACATATATTCGTCGTCTATGTCCACCGCGATGGCTTCGTTAGCATATATACCTGGTATATATATATATATTGTGGCCGGAACTGTTCAAAATTCTCACGGGCGTAGCGATATAGCCAGGTAATTGTATAAACTTGAGCTTTGTAAGTGAAACATCATCGTTGAAGTGGTAGGCAAATGTAGGTACCTAGGTAGTCAGATGGCTCGAATAGCTTCGATATCACTACAAGTTTCAGCTTGAAATTTGACATGCCAGCATATCTTCCGGGAAAGGTTCACAATGCTATTTGGGATATATCCTTACCTACCTGGTACGTAGAAGACCTATACCAGGTAACAACACTCAAGACGTAGGTACCTATCATATCTTCATCCACAAGTCAGAACGCCCCCCCCCGCCCCCCCCAAAGCAAGATATCCTTAATAATAAGCGCATCCTCTAACTCCCAACCTGATGATACCGTGCAATATACATATAACGCGACCACTACGTAGCGCAGTTACGTATCGCGTACTCGTACTCGGTCGTCGCAACATCCAAACTCCCGCTATCTTGAATTGAACTAGATCATAAACCCGCGCTTAATCTCTTGTATGCAGCCCCCTCCCCTATCCGTACCTCATAGGAGCCTGGCCTTGGGGCGGACCTTGACCCCATCCCGGGGGTGGACCTTGTTGCGGAGGCCCCTGCGGAACGGGCGGTTGATTCTGCATGGGAACGTTATTCCCTACTCCCCCGCGATGCATCGCCTGAGCGTCGGGTCGGTGTTCCAAAGGCTGCGCGAAGTTGCAGATGTGGCAGACTACGTCCTGGTAGCCGTGTATGGAGAGCGGGATGACGGGCTACGTTTTTCGCGTTAGATTAGCATCTCTTGCGATGGTTCTTATATTACGTTAGGTTAGGTTAGGTACCTAGGTAGGTATACTTACTACGAAGCAGAAGGTAAACCAAGGATTGCTTTTGATGATATGTCCGGCCCAGTTACCACAGTTGTGACATTGGCATATGACGCCTTCGTACCCTTCTACCTCCTTCCTGAAGGTATGTTCGCCACAGGTGAATATCAGACACATCTTGCCGTGGTAGGACGAGGTATCGCAACTCAAGGTAGTTTTAACCTAGGTAAAGGTAGATAGTATTCGTGTGATCGTAAGGAGGAGTTATTGGCGAGAATAAATATTGAAGATTATATCTGTCTGGTTAATGTTGTTTTATCTTGACAAGGATTGTAAGGCAATAATCTTAAAATTAATCGTAAAGAATAATCGTAAAGAATAATCGTAAAAATTAATCGTAAAAATTAATTGTAAAAATCAAATGATTCCTTTGTAGGTGCCATGTTAGCTGAAGGTTTTCGTATTCTCATGCGAGATTGCGCGCGTCACCTTCGGGGGCTGTGCTTCGAAGGCCAAGACCCCAAGAGCTAAGAAACCCCGACCCAAGACAATATTTGATACCGTCTCGTACCTTTTTCTAATTCAAGGCGCGCATTTGGAAATGCCGTGACACTGCATGCGCTATGTACATTATCGATAGCGGCTGATCGGCAAGCTGAAGCTCTGATGGAGTTTAGTTGCATGCATTGTACATGTAACAGGTGAGGTACCGATCAGCCCCACTACCTGAGGTACCTAGCTACCTGCTCGGAGAAAAGACCTTGTCGCTCAAAACTTCCCAATAGCCGTGGACTTACGATTTATTGAAATTCACATTAAACATTCACCCAATGACATAATAATTCAAACCCTTCCAATTATCCCAACTCAAATCTCCCAATTTGGAGAGCATGTTACTCAGCTAATAAACGTTAGCTACCTAACTTTGTCAAGCATCGAAATGCTCATCAGCCCCTTGACAAAATGCTCTACGACCTCAACATCGACTGGTCGAAGGCGACCAGCACCGCCGAGCTCGAGCGGACATTGAGGTTTAGTTCCCAGCTCGGATACAACGTCGTCGCGCTGAATCACACTCTCGACGCCCCGCTTCCCTCGCAGATCTCCAACCCGATTCCCCAATTCCCTCCTCCTTCTTCTTCCAAAGCCACTTCCCAAACCGAAAACCAACAGCAACGCATCCCTACCGTCCTCCGCCGCCTGACCGTCAACTTCTCCGACCCCTCCCAGAACCAGCAGCTCCCCAAAGCCGCGCAGGCCTACGACATCGTCGCCCTGCGCCCGCAGACCGAGAAGGCCTTCCAGGCCGCCTGCCTGACCGTCAGCGCGACCGACGTCTCCCTCATCTCCCTGGACCTGACGGCCCGCCTGCCCTTCCACCTGCGGCCCAAGCCGTGCATGGCCGCCGTCGCGCGGGGCCTGCGGTTCGAGGTCGCGTACGGGCGGGCGCTGGCGCCCGAGGCGGACGCGCGCGCGCGCGCCAGCTTCGCCGGGAACGTGGTGCAGCTCGTGCGGGCGACGCGCGGCCGCGGGCTCGTGCTGAGCAGCGAGGCGGCCGGGCCCATGGCCCTGCGGGGCCCGGCCGACGTCGTCAACCTGCTCGCCGTGTGGGGTCTGCCTGCGGACCGGGGCATGGAGGCCCTGGGGACGAACCCGCGCGGGGTGGTGGTGAACGAGGGGATCAAGAGGAGCGGGTTTAGGGGCGTGGTGGATATCGTTGGGGTGGCGGAGCGCAGCGAAGAAGAAGAGAAAGCAAAGGTGGCGAAGCAGAAAGAGATTGTCGAGGTGAGGGATAATAGGAAAAGGAAGAATGGAGGGGGTGAGACGGCTGAGAAGGGAGGGGAGAGCGGTAGTGGTGTAGGAGGAGGGGAAGGAGGGGGAGAGAATGCACCGATGAGTAAGAGGCAAGCGAAGAAGCTCAAGGCTGCGTTGAGGAAAAAGGAGGTTGAAGAGAAGGGAACTTAGTCATGAAAGATGAACAAAAACAAAACAAAAAACAATTATATAAAATATCAAAAAAGCTACCTTAGGTACATATGGTAACGGCGTTTGGCATAATAGATTAGCAAAACTTGAGATACCCTTATAAAAATCTATTCTTCCTCTTACATTGGCATATAACATCACGAATATATCCACAGCACCTTAACAACTCATTTCAAGGCCAGCCTCGACTCAATAATTTGGTTTTTTTGCTTTGCAGTATTTATTTCAGTAGGGTGAAGCAAAGTAACAGGTGAAGCGAAGCAGAAGTATAAAAGAGAGAGAAAAAAAATAATGTTATGTACAACTCATGTGCTCTTCGCAAATCTCCGTGGTAAAAATAACAAGACAAAAAAAAACGCAAACCCCTTGTTCTCTTTATCTCCATAATCATCCATGCGTCCAAAAAAAAGGGGGGTTACTTAAAATCACGTTTTTTTGCGTGCGTGTATATACCTAATATATATGTGGTAGGTACTTTCAGTCAGTACCTCCTATTTATGGGAATATTGAAAACAAAGAAGCAAGGGAATAACACTCATAGCGAGGATGAAGTTTGTTGAAGGTAGGTTAGGTAATTATTATACAGCCTTCTTGCTAATCCAAGCAGGAAGAACACACGGGGGGTTTGTTTGGTTGTTTTTCTCCCTTCATCTCCTTTTTTTTTTAAAAAAAAAAAAAAAAAAGAAAGAAAGAAAATTTCTATCCACACGACCGACCCAGGGAACCATTATGGGGCTTCTTCTTCCGCACTTTTCGATTTAAATCCGACCGAGAGCGCCTAGAGTCAGGATGTTCGTCAGCGTGATCCCGGACAGGTCGATGTCGGGACCCTCGTTGGCGCCGGCGAGGGTGATGGCGGTTATCGCGGGCGCGGCGGGCGTCACGTTGCTGCCGGCGTTGTTGGCGGCGGGCGGGGTCTCGACGGGGAGGGCGAGGGAGGACTGCGGAGTCGTGGCTTGGGTTGTCGGGGTTGGCGTGGGCGTGGGTGTGGACGGAGCGACTTCGGGGAGTTGCAGAGAGGACCCGGCGACCACGGATGTGGTGGTGGCGGTGCTGCTGGTGCTGGTGCTGGTGCTGGGAGATTCGGCTGCTGCGCTCGAGCTAGCTGCGGACGAAGATGATGAGGATTCGGCCGTGGTGCTTGATGTCTCGGCTGCCGAAGTGGATGATTCAACGGCGGCAGCAGATGATGTGGAACATTGGGCCGAAGCAGTCTCCGTAACGGTTACCGTGACGCTGGGAGTTGATGCCGGTGGTGCGGATGTCGTGTCGGCGACAGCCGACTGCGTCATGGTTACGGTCGTGGATTGAGTTATGGCCTGCATGATAGTCGACACCTGCGTTACCGTCGCCGGCGGAGCGGTCTCAGTTGTGATTTGCGTCACGGTAACCGCGGGTAGCGTCTCGGTAGACATCTGAGTTACCGTTACTGCGGGAGCCACCTGAGTAGCGATTTGTGTCACCGTTACTGCGGGAGCCATCTGAGTAGCGATTTGTGTCACCGTCACCGCCGCTGCCGTCTGGGTAGTGATCTGCGTGACAGTCGAGGCCAAGGCCGTCTCTGTTACCGTGGGCGCCTCGCCGGTACCATAGACGGTCGTTGTGATGAATGACAGTTGGGTTCCGCTGTTAATTATCGTTAGCTAGGTTGCTCTATGCGTCACCAATCCTACGATGGTATACGAACATTGCGCCTCCAACCCCACCGCCAGCGACGGTAGCCGTTTCGGTAACAGTCACCGTTTGAGTGACCGCCGCTGTGCCGTTGAATCCGCCTTTCGCACCGGCTCCTACCGTGATCGTCTGCCTTACCGTCTCGGTAACGGTGACAGCGCCATCTTGACCCTTTCTACGGCCATTTCCATCCCCTTCGCCATTACCACCGCCGTCGAGACTGCCGAGCAGGTCCTCCAACAGACCTCTCTTTACAGATTTGTCATAAACACGGTATGTGTCGGCCTATAAGCACATGAGTATGGTTGATCGTAGGTAGCATGTACGAAGTGGTACCCACCTGGACGAGCGACAGGGAGCTCAGCGCGGATAGCAGCAACGCTGAACGCGACAACCTCATCCTTGATATGTGAAAATTAGGAGCGATCACTCACTCACTAAATACCCTTGGTATAGCCGTGACGAGTGAGTGACGTTGAACCGTCGAGAGGGACGATCCCCCAAGTGTATAGATGTATACGATTAAGTGAGAAAGATACTAAAAACGATATAAACAGACCAGCCGTTTCCTAATTACGCGCGATCAACCCGATAGAATTTTTGTTTAGTGAGCGTGGCGAATATTTTTTTTTTCTCGATCGTACGAGTCCTCCTTTTTTTTTCCTTTGCGGTTTGAACGCTGACTGTCGATATTAAAAAAGAGAGAATTATACCGGTTCAGATCCGAAGAAACATCAGATTAGGCGCGTAATAGCAGCGAAAGGAACGACAGGCAGGCAGGCAGGCAAGCAAGCTAGCAAGTAAGCATCACGCGGAAGCTATGTGGCGCTTAGGAGTTGAAGCCATCGAGAAGGAAACACCAGGTCACACAGAAGGGGGAGAGTTGGGAAATCGAGCCAAGATTGGGAGGGGGGAACCACGACACGATAAGTGGTAGATTATTACGGTAGGAAATGGGGCCAAATACTATGCGTACGCGGCCAAGATCGAGAAAGCCTCAAGGAAAAGAAGAGAGGCCCTTTTTTTTTCCTTCTTCACATTTCTGAAGCTCGTTTCGACCGGGGTTTGGGGTTTAGCTATCGCTAGGTAGGTACTAGCATATAGCTCAGTCCCTTTTTCCCATATCGCATGTTCATATTCGATATGGAAGCGCGGTCTAACGGTGTCTACGCTGCTCCGGCAAATTTCATGCAGGCTGATGCAGGTCGAGGCTTGACGACGCTCGCCCAGTCTGGAGTTCGCGATAGCGAAGCAGGGATTTTCCCGAGATAATGGGAAATTTCACCAGGTGTTTTTATGTGGTTATGGTGCTGCTGAGGCTCGAACGTCCCGGTTCGGGAAGGGTGGCCGCGGCCGGGGTCCGATGGTGGGCAGGGGTTGAGACACCGCCATGACAAAGGAGGTGTTTGAAGCTAGGGGCGGTTCGACGTGGTGTATCCCCTAATCATGGTTCTTGGTAGATAGCATTGATGGTAAATGGTAAAGAAGGGGATGAATGTGTACTTAACCTAGGGTTAGGTACCTCTCAATTCATCCTTCTCTGAGACATAGGTCAATTGCCACAGCTTAGGTTCCTCTAAGTCTTGGGAGGAATAGGGCTGATGTCGTATTTCTTTTGAAATGCCTGCGGCGCAGTTAATATTGAGCAAGCTTGTTCTTTTTTAATTGATTAAAATTTGGAAAGGAAGAAATTTTACGAGAGGTCTAGTCCGCATGGAGGGGCGAAAAAAAGGAACCGCCCGCATGTACATACTATGTACCTGTTTATCGTGGGTTACGCGGGCGCCTCCTCGAATATAGCGTCTTCTTGGCAGGAGTTTCAGCATGTGGGGACCAACCAGTACGCCTCAAGTAGTATCATAGTAAATTATCTGTAGTAATACCTTAGGTACATACACTGCACAATAATAACAGTGAATAATACCTAACATACACGCTCGTCTCGTCAACCGCCACAGGGTGAGATGATGCTTGTGAAGATGAGACAAGAAATGCTCCATTGATCGGTGCTTTCTAGCGTCATCGGCATTCGTTCAACTGAGCGACATAATGTGGATTAAGCAAACCAAGATCTACCTCACATAGGGCGACGAAGATCCGGAAATCAACGGTGATGGGGAATTTACTTTAGGTACCTCTTAATCCACATCTGAAGAATTAGGTAGTCTTTCAGATGTAGGTGATATATCTATAGGTACGAAGTTAAACAATCCACATCTGGGAAGTTTCGTCTTCGCGATATGCCTCGCCTCGCATAATCCCATTTAAAAAGCAGTCGCCCTGCAATGTCCATTGTGACCCCTTTTGCCTCAAAATAAGAGGCACTCTAGCCCCTGCCACGACAGTGACTTGGTCATCTACCTCTGCCAAAGCGGATCCCAAGCCGATATACCCTTTTTCGGTTCTGAACACTCGGCGGTCTGCTAGTGACGATAAGGGGATTCTAAAACCTAGGGCCATTTGGTCGCTCCGGTCGTGGAATAGCACTGCGTGAACTAGGTAGATGATCTTATCTACCAACCAACCCGGGAAATGTGCAGGCAAAAATCTAAGCCATCTTACTATTGTAGCGTCCCTCTCCAAAATGTCCAGTTGTGCACGTAATGTTTCAATGCTTTCATGACACGATCCTGCTGCTAATGTCTGTACAAAAGCATCTTGGACCGGTTCGCCAGTGATGTATGGCTCCGATTCCCAGAGCCCCACAACACGACACCAATCGTCTAACACGAAGGCACACTTTGGAATACGGATGCCATGATAATTCGTTCGTGGCAGATGCTCTAATCTTAGGACTTCGCCGACAGCAGCGATACGATCTACGCAGTGACCTTGGACACCGAGAAGGTTCGAGTCTGCATCGAGCACAATATCTGGCTTTGAACATCCGCTTGCGCTAAAGTTTAACTCGTTGATGTCAGAATAGTTTGCCAGGCCTAGAGGCGCGGTAAGTCGAGTATTAGTCCAGTCTGGTACCCAAGACGGCAAATTACAAGGACCGACACCAGAGAGACGTCGAGGAACAGATAGGAGGTTAAGATCCGACGAATTCTCGAGTATCTCTTTCGCCACGGCAGTGTAAAGCTCCGCAGTGCTAACATTATAGTTGGGCTGCAAAGCTCGCGTCCCGGAAAGTTCGCTTCTTATTAGAGCGTTCAACCCAAAAATCTTATCCCGAGGGTCGGTAGCATCGAGTATTCGATATCGAAAGAGGACGCTAAGAAGACTTCGTCGGATCCCTGCATACCACTCCTCGCGTGCCCTCTCCAGGATAAAGACATATGCGTTACGCTCGTGGTCAGAAAGCCACAAGTTCAGATGATCTTGAGCAGTGATGGCAGCAAGCAGATCAGTCCAACTGATGTGAGAGTTCCCGCAGAACACTATCGCCTCAGTTGCTAGGGCAAGCTCTTGGACTACCCAGACCCTCGTGAACCAGAGTCTTTCGATAATCCGAGCAAAAGCTGATAGCCGTGGGAATTCAGACCTATCCCTGAACTTTCCAAATAGCCGAACTGCAAGCTCATCATTGAAACTGAGAGTGGCGAGCGAACCACCGTAGGAGGTATACTGATGACAGGCGTGGGCGATGTCCCAGGCTACCGCGATGCCCCTATCGCAGTCGTCCTTCTCTTCACCAAGCCATATGAGAACCCGTTCGGCTTTCGAATATATGTCTTTCATACGACAAACTTGGTTTCCTCGCTCGGTACTATCATCCTGGTTTACACAGATCGCATCTGCCCACAGGGTTCTTGTCTCCGCCGGGAAGCGAAATTGGCGCAAAACTGTATGAAGGCCACGGGTGATAGCTAAAGGCTTGCCATTGCATATAATACCGACTTTATCGTTGGGATCGCCCCAGACATAGGAGATGGCTTCGTAGGGTGGCGACTTGCCTATGTCACCGTGTTCAAGGAGGCATTCTAACGGTTGTTCCCCTGAGCTGGGCAATAGGGTAAGGATTCGAAATTGATTGCATTCAGGCTCGGTACCAAAAGGGACATAACAATAAGAATCCATCACCAAAAAAAGGGCGTTGCAACTATATCAAGATTCGTTTTGCTACGAGTATAGCATTTTTGGTGCCTAGCCATGCAAGAGACATGTTCAACGACCATATATACATTATAAATCCCACTCTCATAGCATTTATCAGAATTTATCAGAACTCTTTACCGAATTATGGTAATGGTAATACCTTCAACAGATGTTTGCTAGCCAGGCAAGGGATGAGGTTTTAGCGTCAGGCGCCTCAAAATTTCAAGGACGCCTCTAGTAATCAGCCTCAGGAGAGTCCGAGGAGAGCACCAAACGTCAGCCATTTGCGGGAGATGTAATACCGCATCATGCGAGGCACGCGGAGGGCTTTGGCATAGTTGATGGCTCTTCCATAATTGGTTGAAGAGCAAACGCCTGAGGATATTTCGTATATTATCTTCATTGCCCTGCCACGCCATTGAGGCAGGCAGAGACAGCCGGCGAGGTCGATGAGTTCAAGCGAGGACTAGTATATACGCACGAAAGTTGGTGTTACGATAGCGCCTCAACTATTGAATCAAGTATTGAAGAATATGAGGCCGTATAAGGTTTGGTTATGTTGCCTACTACCAATGCGCCTTCAAGTGACTCTACCTGAGCTAGTCAGATTTGTCAATAGAAGATATCCAGCGAGGTAATTCTATTCATGCATGGGGTAAAGATACATGTGATTCTCTACAAGTGAGGTATTTGCCTGACAAGACGGCAGATTTTATATAGACTAAAGGTGACAGTTATAGAGAATAATCAATATCTTAGGTTAGGTACTTATCTATTACTTTAACTTGCTTATGGACTTTTCAAAAGAATATCTTACCTATGAGGTGTAAAGTACCTCTTATGTAGAAGTGATTTCACCAATGGTAGGAGTACCTATGAGTCTATGACGGGATGTGGTGGTGACTTGTTAAAAAAAAATTTGGGTTTGTTTACTCTTGAGAGACTAAACCCTGATAGACCCAGTTATCCACTTCACCACTTCACGATTTAAAAATCAAAGTCGTCGCGTTGTGAATTTCAATGAATTTGGATTGAAACGATATGATTGGATAAAAAGGTAACACGCGACCGGCGAACAAAGGTGAAATACCAGGTACAGTATGGGCCGGTACGTACCGTGAGGAGTTGGTGGGCCAACCTGTGAAACCAATGACAAAGGCGGAAAGAGCTATGACCCCAATAAATATAAACATAAAAAATAAGCAGCCGCGAGGGACTTGACTTTAACCTCAATTCACGTATGACATTTCAACATTTCAACATTTCCATACACCCATTGAACAATCCTCAACCTTGCAATTCGGTCAATACCTCGACCAAATTACATCGTCCAAGGTATTGTTCGATATCAAGTAGGTAAAATTTTTTATACTTCTTTTTTTCCCCTTTCCTTCTTAATTATTCTTCATCATGGAAGTTGTCACCCCCCCAAAACGAATGACGCGTGCCAGAGCAGCCGCAAAGGACGCTGTGAAGACCAAAAGCACTGCCACCGCCGCGACCGCCTCCACTATCGCAAAGGCTACCAAGGCAGCTCCGGCCACGACTAAGAGAACCGCAACTACGTCGCGTCCCGCTAAGCGGAAGACTCGATCTGATGAAGATGAAGATGAAGAAGACAATCAGCAAACCGACGCTGAGCAAACAAGTACCATGAATAAGCCAGCAAAACCCAGAGGAAGACCGAAGAAGGTTGCCGGATCTGAACCTGAACCAGAGACAGAGGCACCTGATGACAATGCATCAACCGCAACCAGAGCTACGCGTGGTCGAAAGAGAGTTACCACAGAAGCCACAGCTCCTAAACGAGAACCAGCGAAGACTACACGTACAACTACACGAACCCGGAAGACGGCTACTGAAGACAACAATGCCAAAGCAACTACTGGGCCAGCCAAGAAGACAACGCGTACGCGCGCTACCGCCAGTACCAAGGCAGCCCCTGGTATAATCACCACAAGTGTTTCCACGGAGCCAACACCCGGCCTAAAGTCTGCTGTCTCCAGACCCGCCTCCAGGGTTACAGGGATTGTTAAGAAGACAGTTTCCTTCCAGGAACCCGAGAAGGAGAACCTGGTGCCCACCGTAGCCACCAAGGCTAAGGCAAAGACTGCCGAGACAGCTACGGGTATGCGTGCAAAGCCTGTTCGCAAACCGGCTGCTACTGGCAGAACTACCAGAGCCACCGCAAAATCAACTAGCAGCGAGACTCGTGAGAAGTCACCTCTCAGCCCTAAGAAGGATGCGCAGAACCTAGCATTGTCGCGAGATACTGATTCGGATGACGAGCTTGCAACGTTGGAAAAGACGCCTCTGAAGGCCTTAATGAAGAGCCCTGTGAAGCCACCCGCGACGAAGAAGATTGACATTCAGCCTCAGACTGATAATGCAGAAGAAACTGCTCAGGAGGCCACAGAGCCAATTGGCTCGTCAGTATTTGGAAGCCCTGCTCGTAGGCCGCCCGCTTCTCCATTTAAGGATATGATGAAATCGCCTCCGAAGAAGGTTGATGCCGTGCCATTCGTCTTATCATCGCTAGAAGAACAGCAACAAGCAGCGTCATCGCCATCTAAAACTTCCATACTACAGTCGCCTGCTAAGAGGCCCTCGGTGCCTATTAAGGCGTTCCAGCCTTCTCAAGAGTCCAATGGTATCAGCCGTTCTCCTGTGAAGATGTCTCTCTTCCAATCACCGGCTAAGCGCCCTGCGTCGCCGTTCAAGATGCAGGTACCGCCTATGCAATCGCTTATAAGCAATTCCCTCAAATTATTTGGGCCTAAGACTTCTCCAACTGAGGAGAAACCTCCCGTTGAAGAAGTGCAACACCCTGAGCAGCAAGAGGTTACTGAGACAGAGAATGAGCCTGCACCGAGCGAGCAAACGGAAGAGAACCAAGTTGAGCTCGAGTCACCTGCCCAGCTTGCTTTCCCGGGTCGTTTATCTGCTGTCTTACCTCGACATGCGGATCCTGCTCTCCGAGAAAATCCTCTTCCAATCAAGGATACGGATGTGAAGCAGCCAGAGCCTGTTACCGCAGAACCGGTCGAGGCGCAGAAAGAGCCAGTTATCGAAGCTGAGGCTGAAGCTGGGGCTGGCGAGTCAGCTCACGACCCTATGGATGTTGATGAGCTCGAAACAAAAGAGGAGGCGGCGCCTGGCCCGGCACCAACCGCGTCACCCCCTAAGCAAGCCGACAGGCCTGAATTTGGTCTGAGAGCTAAGGACCTCAAGGACAGTGATATGTCCGACTCCGAGGATGAACTTGCATCCAGCGGAATGACGCCTAACAAGAGCCAAGATAATACGATTTTTACCTTCACTGGCGTTCCTTCAACACCCACGCCTAGTACTACCAGAGCTCCCCGTCTACCGTCTAGCGCAGTCAAGGCTGCCAGTCGTGCCATTCGATCGGTATCCAAGGGACCTCGATTTAGCTTTGCTCCGCTGCCCAGCCAACTTAATGAGCGAAAATTCGCTAGCCCAGCTAAGGCTGGTAGCAGCGACGTGGGAATATTCTCTCCTGAGTTCAAGGAGGAGGGATTCTCATTACTCAAAGAGAATGACAGCTCTCCGGCTGAATCCACGCCGACCAGAAGCTTCTTTGATGAAGAGATGAAGATTCGTGCTGAAATGGAGAATCAGGCCGCAATTGAAGCTGCCCTTGAAGCCGACATTGCCGCTCAATACGACGAGCCTGAGTTTGATGAGATCCCTATAACAGACGAAGACATTGAGCTTGCTGCCGAGGCCAACGAGATGTCCCTCATGGAGGGTATCGCTGAAGTTGAGGAGCCCAAGGAGAACCATGCTCATGATGACTCGATTTCGGATGCTAGCCAGGAGTACGGCGATGAAAATGCTGTTCCTATCGACCCGGCTCTTCTGAGCAACAATGCTGGTACGCGTCGTCTCGAGCCGGTTACTCCCGTCCGACCGGCCGCCCCCAGGAGCTTCCACACCGTCTCCAAGGTGCCTTTGAAGCCAGCTGACGATTCCACTCCCGGGATCTTCAAGAAGCTCAGCGCAAGTGTGTCAAAACTTTCTGCCAACCGCCCTAGCTTCTTTAGGAACACCACAGTGACCTCATCCGTCCCCACCAAAGATGCATCCGAGATGGACGTTGATGGAGATGACGCACAGGAACTCCCTCCCGTCACTCCTTCGAAAGCGGACATCTGGTCTTCTATAGGCACACCAGCGCGTACCCCTCGCCGTGACCTAAATAACTCTTTGCTCCGAGGTGCAGTCGTATTTGTTGATGTACACACAAGCGACGGTGCAGATGCAAGCACTGTTTTCGTTGAATTACTCACACAGATGGGTGCTCGTTGTGTTAAGAGCTGGCCCTGGAACCCAACTAATTCTAACGAAGACGGTTCGGCATCCAAGATCGGTATTACTCATGTCGTGTACAAGGATGGTGGCAAGCGAACATTGGAAAAGGTCAGGGAAAGCAATGGCGTCGTGCAGTGCGTCGGCGTCGGCTGGGTCTTGGAGTAAGTCAGCCCGTTGTTGATGTATTATGATGATTGTTCTAACGATATTTCTAGCTGCGAGCGCGAAAACAAGTGGCTTGAGGAAGGACCCTACTACATTGATACTTCTCTGGTTCCTCGCGGCGGACGTAACCGTCGAAAGAGCATGGAGCCTAAGGCACTTGCTAACCTCAATGGCACCCTAGTTACTCCTATGAAGAATACTACGGGACAGCCTCGAGAGTGTCAAACCGTACCCAACAACCACGTTAACCGTAGGGATAGTACTGCTTGGATGCGTACCCCTTCGGAACAGGATGAAGATGAGGATGCGGACCATGACTGGGATAGCGAGCTTGGTATGCTTACCCCCGTCCCCAAGACGCCAGCTCCAGAAGCTGTTGCGAGATTCGCCATGGATATTAGCCCGGACACTCCCAGCACGGTGCAAGATGAAGATGAGGCGGAGAGAGAGCAGCTTTTGATGAGAACTTGCCCGCCGAAGAAGAGCGTGTACACGGACCTCGGCGAAAGCGTCGTTAAAAAGGAGAAGGACCAGGGTATTCTAATGCGTCTTATGGCGGCTCGTCGCAAGAGCCTGCAGTTCGCACCCAAAATTGCGAGCCCCCTTTCCAAGGCGTGGAATTAATTAGACGACAAATTCATTCATACAGCATTCTTGCATGATCCAAGGTTGATTATTGGGCGTTTTTAAAGGCGACGCGGGTCTTCATTCAACTTCCTCGCATTTGGGAAATTTGCGGTAGAACGGAGGTTTGTTTAGTCATTCGTTAAAAGGGAAAGGGAGGTGCAGGCGGTTTGATCTGTGATATGGAGGGACGAGCCATGTCCGCTCCTCACATTGGCGTTTGTCGGTTGGTGTATATGTGTTACGAAACTACCTACCGCACCTTTAGTTAAGTTAAATTGCGGCTTTATGGAGCGCAAGCTCTCACGTCTAGTCTAGAGAAGAGCCAAGAACAAGTTCGATTCATTTCTAGATTTATTGCGTATGAAGGGGTTTTGAATGAATGAGTGAGCGAGTGAAGTGAAGTGAGATTGTATGGATTAAGTGTTGGTTTATAACGAATAAGTACTCTTGATAGTGTTCGCTGTGTTAATACTTCGAAATATGAGTTCTGTTCTGGTATCCTACCTCTACTAACTCATGTTTACCAATCCTATCGTACCTGAGTTCTGCATAGGTACGTCCGCTCGCACAGGTAGTTGATCTATGGTTGTTCTGGCTTCTTGCCGATATATTTATATGTCTCTCTTCAAGTCTTGAATCCTCCAGACTTTCGATGTACTACTGTATATTCAACATAGGACATATCTCCTTGATAAATAGGTAGATAGGTAAGTATCTGAGGTAATTTTCCATGACACCCCTTGTACGCAATTCCATCCGCCATTGCTTTGAATTACCTACCGCGCCATGGATGATGATATTCGAGGATATGTACCAAGGTACCTAACCTAATCCATGCTTCTATCCTGATTCCCGCCTCCCCGCTTCCACAGACTCACAAACCTCAGGGACATATTTATTTATCGGTGATTAGCGGCGGCGTGTTTTTACGCCGCTTGCATAATAAGCAAAAGCAAACAAGTGCTTTTCTTTTCTTGTCATGTCATGTCATGTCCTCGAGTTGCGAGAAAGCTACATTAGGTACATACAATACAATACATGAGCTTCTGAAAACGATTAGTTGGGTCTTTTGTAGTTACTGCTCTTAAGTTGGGCATATTTCTGTTATTTTTTTTTTTTTAAAAAAAAGCAGCTTTGATTTGTACTTGCTTTAGGTACCTATCTAAGTAATCTCAGGGGCATAAGAGAAAAAAAAGCATCGGAGTTAGGACTCGGGGAAAACGGCCGGAGAATAAAGGACAAAAGAGTCGGGTTAGTGGTTTGCGCCTTTTTTTTTCCGGGATCGGGAATTGGGGAGGAAAGGAAAGGAAAGGACTTTGCCTGCCGCGGTGTTTTTTTTCTGGTTGCTAGAGGGGGGCCGAGGGATAGTTTATAAGCATGTGATTCGACTATGCAAGGGGTGTTATTACTACATATAACATACTACGGTTACACAAGGTATCTGTATGTTAGGTATAATGCTAAGTACCTATACATGCACGCATTTAATAAAGCCATGCGTTTTGGTAAATGTGAGTTATTATGCAAATTATGTTATGTTATGTTATATCATGTTAGGTGGGCATGTACGAGATAGGTAATGTATAGGGTGTCCAGATGTAGACCCCCGGCCCGATCCTTTACGGCTAAGCTAGGCCAGGTCGGCGCGGTCTTATGAGTGAGGCACGTTTAAAATGTTATGCATGGATACTGGGGCAGATCCTGTATTACAACCAACATACATACACTAGACTAGGTACCTACCTAAGGTAAGGTAAGGTAACAGGGTAGCTAGCTAGCTAGCTACCTGGGGACATACGTAATTCCCAACACCCAGGCTTTCCCGCCAATCGCTGCGCCGCCCGGAGATGATGCTTTATGCACCGTGCCCTAATTGGGCTTTTGGTTCTCGTACCATTCTGGCTTGACCTAAACCCCCTAACACCAATACCCGAGTGGGTGTGGAAGCTTCTCTCAGCTGTTTCTAGAAGGAAGTCCAATGGTGTGTAGATGTAGAGGTGGGATAGATAGCGTGGACGGGGCAGGCGGGTATGTATGTATGTTATATTATATCAGGTAGGTAGGTATGCGTGTAGTCCGTTGGTTGTATGTACATTACACATAGTACACACACTACCTACTCCATGAGGCGTAGGGGTCATACTAGACTATACTCCTCCTTCTCCTCCTCCTTCTCCTCCTCCTTCTCCTTGGAAGCTGATTTGTCGAGGCGGGTGAGGTATACACACACCTCGATCATACCTAAACCGCCGACTAATACCTTACCTGCCCGAGAAGGACTGGCTCCATCTAGCACGGTATTCTCCGGTTTACCTAATGTACTAGCATACATCTCTGCGTTTATACTTGATACACTTACATGATTTCAATAAGATATCCATCATTTTGGAAACTGAACAACTTTGAGCCCCGTTCCCAACCAAGTATCTGCCATGTTCTCTTATCCATCTCTCAACCTGACACCTCCGCGCGCACATACACATACTCATACATAGGTTAGGTAGGTAGGTTACTCATACACGAGTTTGAGCTTCCAAAACGCGCAACTTTCTATAATTCCTCAACGCCCCCCTCCCCCACTAGCATTTAGACAAAGACCCCCTATTTTTTTTGTTCCATTACGTATCCGTCCCACGCTGCAGCAATATAGCTGTAGGCGTACGGGTATTTTCCTCTTTAACCCCCCATTCTCCTAACGTAAAACCCCGTGGTATCATATATATCTTAGTAAAATAGAACCACCCGTCCGTCGCCATGCAGATCCTATTGTACAAAAGGCAACTCCGAATTAAAAAAGACTATAGGCCTTATCTTTGCCTCGCGGGTCGCGTCCCAAATGCCACCTTGAAACGCCTTGCCAAGTTTGAAGAACTGCCGTTCTCTTTTATCAGCAGAAACTCGTTTGTCAAAGATCGCCCACCCCCGAGACTTTTCCCCTGGCCTAGATCTCCAATCGTACTCACAGAGGCCATTTTGTATAACCTCTCCAGTGATATTTTCGTTGCCCCAGCTGGACTTCTAATCCCGTTAATAACAGACCGCTCGTTTTTTTTCTCACTGCCCCTCTGATCCCCGCCATATACAAGTCTGTTTTATTCAGTACACGCTCCTGTTATACATGTCACGGTTGAATAGATGAAATCTATAGATAGTAATATATAGAAATCGATAACGGGCAACGGAGTTGGCATATCTCCTTATGCCATCGTTAAATCATTTCCACTTAGTCGCATATTATTAAGATCCGTCATCCAGGCAGGCTTGTGCCAAAGAGGGAAGGCAATATCTGAGTGGGCGGTCATTAGTACTGCGTAATCGGCTCAACGGCGCTTGATCGGCTGGGCAATCGAAGTTCCGTTGTCGTAATCCCAATGTCGCTTGAGACCGCCTTCGTAGACGCTAGCAACTGACTCTTGCCACATAGCTGGAGTAACAAAGGTGTGTACGGGTGGAGCCGAATATTGTTGATGCGACAAGGGCTGCGTTACAGCCGGTAAGGACGCGCTTGCAAGCTGCATGTCCTGTGACGTCGGGACTTCGGGAGCACCTGAAGAAGAGGGAACACTTAGAGAACTGGACTGTGGAGCCACCGAAGTTGGCTGAGATTGGATTTGCTGCGTACCGAATGTCGAGTTCCATTGCCTGCAGTAATTTCATGGTCAATAAAAGCTTACTCAACCTATCCCGAGAGAACGACCGTATACAGATACTTACTCGAATAGACGCGATGGATTCCATGTGGGATGATCACCTAGTGATATCGCGTTCTGACCGGGGTTCATTATGGAGAGCGACTGTGCAGAAGGAGAGTCACTCTTGTTGTCCGCAGAACCAACGGATATGGGTGTAATAGGATGGTTGGCATAACTAACTTGGTGCTGGCCAGTCTGCGGATCCATACCCTGGTCCAACGAGCTCGTCTGCAACATAGGAGGCTTAAACGTATTAGCAGTAGGCGGGCTTGAATGACTACTAGGATGCGGGCTCCCGTAGGGAAAACTCGGTTTCAGGACAAACGGCTTCCTGACATCTGCCGAAAAGGCCTCTCGAACAGCGTCGATTTGCTTTAACATTTCTGGCAGCGGCCAAGAATGCATCGTCCTCTCCAGAACTCTCATATGCCGGGTGAAGTAGTCTCGCGCATCGCTGTTGAGTTCCGGATCAGGAGAAGTCAACGCAACCTAGATAACAATTTGTTAGCCTTCTTTTCTCCCAAATTCTCGTATGAAGCAAGAAGACACCAGGAACGCACAAGATGGAGGACAATGCAAGAAAGTATAGCGTATATGGTGAAACTAATGCCTCGTTGCATGCATTGGAGCCCGTTTAGACCGAACGATTGCAACATTGATTCTTGGAGGCGACAGAGCGCCTTGGCCGATGAATAGCAAAGAAACATGTGCGATTTCCACTGCCCGTCGGCGCCCATTGGTTCCAAAAAGGATAACTGCGGTCGGTGAAGAATTATAACACTTAGATAATAATAAGAATGCATATTTCCAATAAAATGTGAAGGAAGCCATGGCGGTGATCCATCCGGAGGGAATGTGATGCGTAGATCGGGCGGTAGATCGTTGAGCCATCCCGTTATGGTCGGGTTAAGTTGAACCAGTTCGGGGTCGATGCCCCAATCCTTCTTCTTCTTGATTTTGGCATAAACGGTGTTCACCCGATTCAAATTTCGGGCAATGCGGGCTAAATACGTAAAATTCCGGGTTGCATTATATTCGGATTCCTCGCAACCTGGCATAAGTCTTGGAACATTGAAGTCAACAGAATCGGCATCCACAGAGAGATCTTGCCGCCCTAAATAACTGTTTAGTAGCTGGAGAGAATCAACCGGCTTTGGAATCGACCTAACTTACCTTGGGGCGCGGCTATCATAGTCTCGCATACGAATATAGTTTCCCATATGCGGCTCTTTGTGAAACACTCCCCAGGAGAAGAGCCGCAGGATTTACCAGCCCTGTGAATATCCATATGCTCGTCAAGTCCGAGATCTTTAGCCATAGCCACGCAGTGCACAATGGACATCCAAGATCGATAATAATAGCCACGCTTTGGTGAAGCCTCCCTCGCTTTCAATATGATTAAAAGAGCTTGAAGAGTGCTCAGTCGCGGTACATCCATAAAAGAATCGGCATGTTCTACGTTCTGTTAATTTAGTTGGGCTATAACAATCGCTAGAAGTGCTTACTCGAAGCCAGGGCTATCCATTGTTGCCCTTGTGCGGGCTCGTCGGCAAGACGACCGGCAACTGCAAAAATCGCTTCCAAAAGCAATGGGGATATCGATTCTCGGTTCGTGTGCCACTGTTGGTACAGTTGAGTTTTATTCAACACCGGAACATAAGGATGTACGTTAGTGAAATAAAGTTCAAAGTAATGCATAATAGTTGCCTCGTCTGGCATTAATTCTGGAGGTATGCGTATCTTAAGACCGGGCCCAGATGGTATAGGTGGCAGCACAGTCTTGAAATCATCGTCATCTTCAACGGCGGGTTCCTCTTCATGCCCCACAAATGCCATCCTTTTATTTAGGTACGGAGCTTCAAGTTGTCAGCATCAACACTCCATTCTTTGTTTGGCTAGAAAATCAACCAACCTGTTCCTGCTTCATCAACTTTGAGGGCTCCTAGAATATCCGCAAGGTCCTGCTGTCCGTATTGGTCTTGATAAGACTCGGGGGATGGTTCCGAGTGCACAGAATGCTGAGGCATCGGCGGAGTCGGGAATACGCTGGTGGAAGCATACGGCTGGTCCATAACACCTACTTGGGAAGGAATAGTAGTATATTGGAGTTGGTGCGGCGCTGGGGGCGGGTCTCCGTACGGCATCGGAGTGTAGACGCCTTGGTGTTCAGCATAAGGACCGGGCGTCGGGTACATGGTGGGCTTCGGCTGACCAGCCATCATAGGTTGCGCAGAAGGCTGCGGCATAGGCATGGCTCTGAAGCTGTCCTGCCCTGATGCGATATCATATTCCGATCGCCCAGCTTCGTAAGACGGGCCTTCCGTCGGTGATCCTTCGTACTGCCCATTAGGTCTTACGCAATGTAGTTTCAACCGGATGCAAGCAGAACAAGGCCATGTATTCGTCGTCGCAGCATCGCACTTGATTTTCCTTCTCCTACAACCCTCACATGCTCTCATCACTAAAAATCGGCAATTTCATTAGCTACGATCCCTTTACTATAATTCCAACGCACAACGATGCCCGTACCCTTCAACCGCTTATGGCGGTTATGTTCGTCAACGAATACATAATCTACAAATCAAGTAGTTAGAACACGGTAAGTACTCGGTTGCGGGAGGACTCGTGAGGCGCACTCTTTTGAGTTTCTCTGGGAGGCTGATAAGTCGGCGGCGCGAATGAAAACGAGTTTAAGGATGAGTTAGAGCTCTGCGGTAACAGCCTCCGAACGGACTGATCGTTATTCGACATGGCTTGCTTCGCCTTTTGGCGGGTACTGAACCCTCACAGCCGGGTCCAACAAGACTATAATCCTCCCGGTTTAATAAGAATTGACCATTGGTTCGACTCGGAAAAAAGGTAATGTAATGGGATTCGATCGCTGCGGCTCGTCGATCGCTAGTATCGTGTAGGGAACTTAGCTGAGCGCCGGCACAGCGGATTAGTTATGAGATAAAAAGCAAAAACAAGCGAGCAAGCAAGGCGAAGCGAGGCAAGGCGATGCAAGGCAAGGCAAGATTAGACAAGACAGGACAAGACAAGGCAGAAGAAGGGAAGACTTTAAGGTGACCCAAGTACGGCGTAACGGTATTAGAAATATCGGCAGGCTGCAAAGAGGACGGGATGTTTAAGGTTAAGGGCCTACGCGGTACTGCGGTACTGCAGTTGTGTATTGTACTATGTAATAGTTGTGCTTGTGCTTGTGCTCATGCTTGTGCAGTTGCAGTTGCAGTCGCAGTGGCAGTGGGAGGGAGGCGGGCTGGACAGGTCATGGATGTCAGGTAGGTAAGTGGGCTCCATGAGAAATGGTCCTTTTTTTTTGCTTTTTTAAGGGAAGACCCGGTATTCAGGTAGATGAGGGGAGAACCATGCGTCGCCATGAGTCGCCATGAAGCGGAAAGGACGCCAGGACCCAAAGAAGAATGGGGTCATGCCTTTAAGGTGGATCTTAGTACCTTTAGTAGCTTAGGTACATACCATAATGTATGAATTTATGGGCACAGTACCTACAATGCAATAAGCTACCTTAGCCCGGGTGGTGTAAATGGGGAATGGTGAATGAGGAATGAGAATACCTAGGTACCTACCTAACCTACGGGCTGTACCTATTATATGGGTAGGTACCTCTTACTGCACAACTGAGCTAGGTACATATGTTCTATTTAGCTGGCCTGGCCATGCTTGCCATTGACTACCTAGAGTCGAGAGGGGCCGAAAGGCGCGAGGGGTGTACTATGTAGGTAGTTCCTTATACATTACACTAGGATTTCCCTGTCTTGTCAGCCCTTCCTTACCCTTCTTCGCCTTCCTTGCCCTCGCGTGGTTCCTGCTGGCCCCAGTATGAGCCTTCTTACAGATTACAGATTACGTACCTGTACTTAGGTACCTACCGCATATCTCGACCCAATTAATTCAACTGTTAGTACCTCTTTTCTTTAGATAATTGTGTAACCTGAGCTAGGATTTGTAAGAACTTTACTCAATACCTTTTTGTAAAATAATAAGAATTGCTTTTTTTCCTTTAGTTATTCTCTATTCACAAGAGTTACATGGCAGCAGAGTAAAGAGACTTCTACAATGTTTTATATTAAGATCTTCTCTGCGCTGTCCGGTATAACTATAATATACTGGTCTTTACCTATTCGACAATTTTGGTGTTCCTCGGTTGGATATTATGGTGGTTAATCAATCTAGAAGACCGATCGTTAGCTTCAAAATGGTTCGTAGGATTCGACGAGTTGTCGTTGGGTCCCTTGTGATGTTGGTGCGGGCCAATACCGCGCTTCGATACATGTACAATACCCGTATCATCGATACCTAGCTCAGTTCCGTCCTTGTATTGTACATAACCTACCTAGTTCAACTGTTCATGTACCTAGCTTACAATGCTTACATTAGCGCACCAGGTCAGGAATTTATTAACTAGCAGCCTACTTCTACTATAGTCGGGGCAGGACACCAGAGAATGGATGGCCTATAAACACCCGGAAACATAAGCTCCCCTCCAAAACTTGTGTGCGCGACGGAACAAGTCTAGAAGAAACACCGGGTGTCCACCGTCTCAAGAAGCTACCTAGGTACCTAACCTAGGCGTTCGCCGTCAAGAGACTCTCCACCTGTTATCGTCTCACATTAGGCGCTAGGTATTAGAGAATTGGAAAACGCAACAGCCGTCACACGATGCGCCACCTCAGCATATTATGTAGGATAAGGGGTACTTTGTTACCGTAGTAGGTCACCGACGGTATTAAACAGGCCCGATATAGAGTTGAGACGTTTTAAGGAGAACCAAGAGCATCAGGTGCCAACTCCAGCTCTCCCATACGAGCGGTACCTGCGGTACTCGAGTAAGGTGTCGTGGCGAGCTAATACCCGCCGAGGCTACAATAAAAAATTATAACAGTAAGTGACCTCTACATAATACAGCAGCATGCCAAATCATATGTGTGCGTTTCTAGGGTAGAAATAGGGCTGCGAGGTGCATAAATTACATGCTTTAGGTACATACATAGTATGGACATACATACTGCGGGAGCTCATCATACATACCTCCAATATAATGTCTATGTCCGCTCTGAGCGGGCGTGTGTGTAAGCCCGCCCTCTCACCCAGATCAGGGGTACGCACTTAGGTACATGCTACCGACGTGCGTGGTAAGCCAACCGGCACACGATTTCGGGATCTTTTCTAGCGCCTACAATTCACAGCAAGGCCGAAACCTCACCTTAACCTGCGATGAGCACCATCTTTTAGAATCGTCTCCTTTTCTCATTAGAAGTAGCCAATTAGCCCCTGCAGACTGTCCCTGTTTGTATGTTGACGGTCCTGGCATCATTAACTGAGAGACTAGCGGTCAGGTCTGCAGCCGCCAGCGCCTACTGGGGGAGTTCTCGCGCGTCTTCCAGTTCTAACGGGGTACCGTAAGGTTGGCTAGAGAAAGAGAGTCGCAAAAAGGGTGGAAGCAACATGAACAAGCACTTGCACCTGCATTGCAGGAGGCAATAGGAGCGGCTATATAAACATTAAAGGACTGGCATTTTTGAATTGATAATTGGTCGTCGTCAGCCATATTCGCTTACCCGCGTTCCCCCGTCTTGTTGCCACGCAAGCTCGCTAATCAGAGATCAAGGACCCCTTTTTTCAACAATGCAGTACGCCATCTGTAGGTTGTATTATTCAGGTCACTTGAACCCTCAACCTAATGGACTGGAAAGACGGCACCGTCGTGATGGGATTGATCATTAATCTACCTTACGTATTGTACAATAGGTAGGAATTCAACTGCCCGAAGACCCGAGACATCCAGGACATCCAGGACATCCTAGTTGCTGCCAGGTAGATTGTTCCCCCCCCACGGAGGGTTCATCCAATCAACAGGCTTCTTGTATTCCAACCTTGCCGAAGAAGGATTAGGATTATGGAACTACTTGATTTGTGATAAAATAGTCATCAATAATCGCGGTTCGCTAGATCGTCTCCCAAGTTCAAAAAGCACACCGTCGCATTGGCAAATCGATAGGTGTAAGCGGTGTCACTCTTTGTGCACTCAGCGCTGCAGCTATCGGTGACGGAATGGCAGCGAAGACATCACGCTGAAGTATTACATAGTACGGCATAGCAGACATGCGAGCTAAATATAGGTACCTAAAGTTTAATCGATCACCGCATGATACTAGTTAATTTCTACCCGGGGGTAAGGATTCACGGCAAATCTCGCTGGAAAGTACGCAACAGATCTCGGGGTAGGTAAGCATGAATAGGTTAGTTAGGTAGGCATGAATAAACAGATATTGGCAGGGCTGAAGGATCAAGAATAAGTCGCTTTCTTATATTAAGAGAGCAGCGCATACATAGACTATAGTAGCACGTGCCGAGTTATTGGGACGGCTAGTTCCGTGAGGTGTAAGACTTTCCCGATCGAGCTTGAGAAGTGCCGTTATATACCTCTTTCCGGTAAACCTGACCGGAGCATGCGACACATTTGGACTACCTATTTATTCGGTCTGTAGATCGTCAGGGACGGTGGTCCGGATCTGAGTGCGGGAACGGTGAACAGGCCTAGATCGAGAAGACTTCCGTGTTGTCTGCCAGCCTAGCTAGCTACCTAAGCTAGCTAGGTTCGATAAACAACGTGGCGTTCAGCTGAAATAAGATAGAGAAAAGGAAAAAGAAAAGTTACTGCAGATATTATGACACGCATAGCATATACGGCTTTTCCCCGGGATTATGGCGCCTTTTTTTTTTCCTTTTTTCTTTTTTTTTTAAACCATGCCGCGATAAAAGTTCCCCCGCGGAGAAGAGGTCAATGTCCGATGATATCACCGATGGGACGACATTTTTTTTTCTGGATATGATGACGACGGGGTCTTGCTGAATTTACTGCGCATAAATTTCGAGTCAGTGAAACAGCCGCTGCTCGCTGCAACGGTTGTATCACATATCCGGCACCGTGCACAGCGAATCTACCCCTGCATTTAGCTAGTCTTGGGAAAAGCTGTCGTCGCATTGCATTGGTTGGCGTCAAAAAAAATGGAAGATTCACAAAATTCAGGGGCAGGTGACGGGGTGCATATTTCAATATCTGGAAAAGATGAACTTTGTTGTAGTGTGCATTTATAGATTAGTCAGGATTGTCAGTTGCAACGAACGGCAAATTCCGTTGGGGATGGTTAATAGATTTTTTATATGGTCCGAATAGAACCACTAATTATTAAAGAAGGTATTGTATCAGTACATTTCAGCTCGCCTGCAACGGTACTTTCCGGAATAAACCGTATTACGTGTACCTAATGACCTTAGGTACCCGACTTTTCTTTTTCTCCTTCCTCGGCAGCCAATAATGCATGTCGTAATTGAACTTACAGCAAGTTATGTAAGCAAGGACGATGTAGTATCCAATTAGATGAATAATTGATAAGATCGATAAGATAACTTTTCGGCCGAATGATATCCCGCTTTAAACCAACCCCACGGCCACCTGCACCACCTGCACCTACGCCTTGCATTCGCCATAGGGTCCCGCATCTTCTGATTACAACAATTTGGTCACTTTGACGTTCTTTTACATAAACAATTAGTTAGTTGCTACCAAAACGTGAAACCAATATTCGCGCCTCTCGAGATGGAAAAGGACAATGCCAATCCCACTATCCTAAACACTTCACAGCTTCCGACAAGACAGCGTAAGAAGGGGCGAAGAGTACAAAGAGATGATGCGGCCAAAATCAGTAAAATCATACCCAAGCCGAAATATCTATCAGATCCCTTCTACGATATCTCATGGTCTGACGATACCGAGAGTGATGACGAGTTCACTGCGGAACCCATTGACGAACAGGAAGTATACGGTAAGACAATCATACTCAATATAAAGATTCACAGTGTATTTCAATCTTCAATAATGATAATAGTAATGGTGGAGTTACTGGGATCATTGTTTCCTCTCTCTTCTCACTTTTCATGTGGCATATTTGGATGTCAGATTTTCACTTTTTACCGCTCCCCCCCACGCCCAACTTGTTCCAGATATTCCACCTTGAAACCCATCATACTACATGAGCCTGTTCCAACATACAAAAAAGAAAAGACCTACTATACTGAATCTAGTAACTGACATTTCCCAGACTTGATATCGACAATTTCTGACCCTGAACATCCCCTTTCCTTAGGTCAACTGGCTGTGGTCAATTTGCCTGACATTCATATAACACCGTCCCCATCAGCAGGAGCGGATCCCAATGCTTTGACACGGGTACTGGTCGAGATTACCCCTACCATTACCCACTGTTCAATGGCAACCGTTATCGGCCTCGGTGTACGAGTACGTCTAGAGCAGGCCCTTCCACCCAACTACCGGGTGGATGTTGTGATCAAAGAGGGAACCCACAGTCAGGATGACCAGGTAAACAAGCAGCTAGCCGACAAGGAAAGGGTTGCCGCAGCCTTGGAGAATGACACATTGAAGGGTGTCCTGGCCAAGATGCTAGAGACTTGCCTATGAAAAAATACGTGTCATAGCCATGCAATATTGACCCAGCTGATGGCCGATGGTTCTTGAGCCATTTATCGAAATATGTATCGCTACACAAGCAACGATAGCGTTTACAACATCCCGCGTTTGGGGGAGTTTCTAAAATCGACATCTGAACTTCCTAAGAAGGACGAGCTGTGCATGAAAACCGGCCTATCGGCTGCGCAGAGGGGGCCATAGGTCGGGTCCTGCCTGCCGTGACACGCTCCAAGGCGGTAGCTAGAGCAGAGGGGTGCACACCGGCTTCGAGCCCGATATACTTGCCAAGCCGTTGCCTGTCACGCGCGGGATATACTCAGCGGTGTGTACCTGTAGGCTTGCTGCAAGATCATGTAGCTTCCCATAATGAGGAACTAATTAATAATCTGCCCGCCGTGGGGCAATTTAAGCTGATAGGCAGGCAGTGGGGTTTACTAAAGGCTGAGCCTACAAGATGCCTTGGTGAAGTGGCTAACCTAGTATACTCAGCTTGTGACAATGATTCGAGATCTAGACACTTCACCTAGTAGGTCTCTTGCTTTAGTCAAGGTTTAGGTTTTTAGCGTAAATTGGGGAATTTAGTGCTCATATTCTGGATATGGATACCTTTAGTAGCTTTCTAGACTCCAAAAGGTCTCGTTGTTCTCGCCGCAGATACACTATTCTGTCCTGAAAAAAGGGGACAGCGAAGATCATCTAACTTGAAATGAACCATACCTATTATCAATGCTAATGCATACAGGTACCAACCAACCTACCTAGTTAAAAATGCGTTACTTTAAGAAAAAAAGAAAAAAAAACCGACTCGGCCGGGTCCCCCCTTGTCGCTCTAAACACGATTTAGATCATAGATGATTTACGTTAAGATCAGCGATTTCTAACCTGGGTTTTTATTTATTTTCGCAACCGGGGGAACTTCGTATTTCGTATTTCACCCTAGGTAGGTACGCTAATAGCGGGCCCCTCCAACCAGTTCCAGTAATGGGGACAGGAACACACGAGGTGTTGAAGCTGTCTGTCTGTTCGTGCGTTGCCCGTGCGCCAAGAGGGGAGGGGTCAACGCTTTAGGACCGATTCGGCCGTAGGTGATGATTACAGGTGAAGGGCGAGTTTATGCTTAAATCTACGTCGTATAGACTCGTGTGTTTTAATGAGAAAGAAGAGAGGCTTGGGCTGAGCTTGCTCGGTAGTTGGAATGCTTAGATGGGGTTATTATTAGTAGTAACTCAGGTACCTAGGCAGGTTAGGTGCTTATGTGTTTTTATAGACTGGATTACGTTAATTGTTGATAATGCTTGCTATTGTCTATCTTGCTATTACCAAAGTTGGTCTATAGACTTGGGTATACGGATACTATGTGAAAAGACTCGTGGGCGGTACTGCCTTATTGGTTCACCGTGCTCATTCTTTGATTTTTGACATATTCCTCATGTCAGTTTAACCGCCAAGTAGGTAAGTTAGCCAAGTTACCGTTCAAGGTCACAATTCTTGTCGAGTTCCTCGTTCGTAGCCCCCCCTTTCCCCCCTTTTTCTTTGGCAAAAACCAAGTACTTCTACTATCACGAAGCCTCACACATCGATGCAAACACGAGCAGCTCTGTTTGATAGAAACGTACATCGCCTAACTAGGTACCTAACCTAATGCATAGAAGGAGATATATTTCCAAAGAACTCAAATTCAAATTGGCCTCAGTTATCTAGGTACATGCTTAATGGCAGACGGATTAGACCCAGGACAGTCGGTTTCTAGTATACATCTACCTATGGTACCTGCTTTTTCAACTTGACGAAACTGATAGTAAGCTTCATCTCGAGTCTTGCATGGCCCGGGCCTCATAAGTGGAGGGTAATAGTAAAGAATTCGTTTATTTAGTTTCTATACCAGAGGTAGGGTGCCGTGGGTACGCGAATATCTTGCTTCGTCGTATATATGACCAACCGTAAAGGATACATCTTTGCTCGCTTTCGTGCCAACTACCTGGCATATATCAAATACTTTTAGAATATGTTCTTCTCGTCTTCTGCCACGCGTACATTGCAATCCCGTGGTTTACTCCCGAGTGTTTTCTCTTTAATCTACTTACTAGTCGGTCGACTCGCTCGGCTCGGCTGGTGAACGATGTCGTGGTTCGTAATCCGAAGGCTCCGATGTGACCCTTCTATAGCTAAAAGAGACTGAAGGATAGAAGAAGAATAGCGCACTGTAGCTTCTTACTACTGAGTTGTTTAAGATTAACCTAGGAAAGTACACCTACTTCAACTCGCTTTCAATATCTCTTAGTCCTACCAAAGCGTACAGCTAGCTCGTCAATATTCTCACATTCAGCGACACTATAGCTCTACCATAGACAATAGGAGATCAAAACTTTAACTTCTAATGCTATTCTTGTTAATGTGACATACTATCGAAGCTTTCTCAGCCCAAAACAACTCTTCCCGTAGAAAATTACACAGACATACACCCGAACTACCTGTTATTACTCACTTTACCCACTCCCCCAACTCCATCGCCATATATCCCTCAAGGCCTCCCCCCTATTAATCGGCGAATAGCACCAGGCCTCCCTCGGCTCCTGTAACGAGAACGCACGGCGTATAAGAAGGGAACCGCCCAATGGAACCAGTCCCTGATTCGTAGGGACAAGACCCCCGTGTCCCGTATGCATGTAACTCAACTACCTAAGACTATTAACGCGGGAGACCAAATAGAATACCTAGAAGGGAAAGAAGAAGCTGCAATGTAGATCCTTTCACACATCTATACATCCCGCTCTCGCTCACATGACTCGAGCATCTTTCTATTCGTTGCGTCTTCCCTCTCGTCTCGTCTCCTCTTGCCTTTTCGTCGGGACGGCTTGCCATAGCATACCCTGCTACTCCAGTATGCCATGTCTGTCTCCCCCCTTCCCCCAATCCTTCCATCCAGCTTCCATTCCATCCCACACTTCCCCCCCCTTTCACTTTAAGTTTGTCTAATACCTACCCGGATAAGTAATCTACATATCACCTCAGATTGTCAGTCATATCATATCATATCATATCTCACGTCCAACAAAAGTCTATTATTATTATTGCCTTGATACTCACTTCCATATCAGGTACCCACCAAACCTAAGCTGACCTCGTGTATCCCAGACAAGAAGCGGCACGGCACAAGGAGACGTAAGCATACACACATACATACATACATACATGCCTCGCTACCACCACCCGGTCCCTCCCGATTCGCAGCACTATCCCCAGATTCACAGTCACCAGCCGGCCCACGAGCAATCTCTACATAGTCGATAGGCACGCACACACCATAAAGCGTGGTGTTGAGAGGGGATGGGAGGGGGAAGGAATGGTATATGCTTACCCCCTACCCTACCCACTAGGTTAAATATCCCACCGCACCGGCAAACAACAGGGAGAAGAACAAGACGAATAAGACGGGCGAGAGAGAAGCGGGAGGGGGGAGGGAGAGGGAGAGGGAGAGATCTGGGTTGGGGCACGCATCTGTTACCGTTACTAGCCGCCTAGCCTAGGACCTAGGTACAATACAATAAAGTACAATACAATACCTGCCCAGCCTATCTTACCTTAGTACCTAGTATAGGCTACTTAAGCTTAGGTACCCTCGTATACCCCTATCCTATCAGGACACATACAGCCACGCCCCCTCCAGACATGGGTCACACGCAACCCTCGAGGGTTTTTTTTTTTTTTTTTTTGAGCTTTACGCCCCAATCTCCTACTCAGCGTCGTACGCGCGTTACTCGCAACGAGGAAGGGGGGTTTTAGCTAGCGAGAGGCACGATTTCTTTTCTTTTCTTTTTTCTTGCTTGCTTTGCCATCCTTCTACATAGTAACCTTAAGGTAGGTACCTAAGGTACTTCATTTGCCGCGCGAATCACTGCTTGGGAATATTCCAGGTTAGTTGGTTGATCTTGGAGGCAAGTTTGTGTCTCTATCTCTCCGTCTTAACTATCGAACTACACTACATTTCGCTAGGTTATAGAGTTTTTAGATGGTCCAACTATACTAACTACCTAGGTAAGTAACTAGCTAGTGTTGCTTGCTTGCTTGCTTGCTCTTTACACATTATATATTTTCTTCTATTAAACCTATACACCGGCTTGCGTTTTGTGTGGGGTAGCCCTGTTGGAGCTGAATCCTTCTAGATCAGCCAAGTTGGTGTGGCCCAGAATCCAGTCCACCTGTTAACTCCCGGGGAAGGGGTGAAACCTTATCCGCTAATATGAGCCTATAACTACCTCCTAACCTAGACTATTTCTAACTGCAAAAACATTTTTGCTAGTCGTGTCGAGTCTAGACTTCCCTTTCATCTCTGCTAAGAGGGGCGCCTTTTAAAGAAAACCTAACATAGATCTCTCTCTCTGTATCTCTCTCTCATGGACTACCGAGCGTGCCGCTCTCCATGAGACTTTGATAGAATTCAGGCTCGAGGAACTTCGCCACGCTAACGTCCTCGCTGAGACCCTTACGCCTTCTGGTCTTGAGCACGAAGTCTCTCGCCGTGGCTTGGGCGTCGGCGGGCTGAAGCGGGCGTAACACGACCTCCTTATCGAGCGGATCGCCGGGTACCTTCTGCCACTTGTCGAAGACGAGACTCACCATAGCTTGGCCTTGTGTCTGGATACGGACGTCCGTCTCGAAACCGAACGAGTCGATCACCGGGATTAGGCCGTTGACGCGGTACAACGGCGTCCCTGCGATCGGACCATCCGATAGTACGTGGCCTCTTCGACGAGCTAGAACATTGTATAGTACGGGAACGGCATCCTGAGGACCTGTCATCGAGCACGAGTATAGAGGTTCCATGAGGCGTGGCGACGCCATGAGGAACGAGCTGTAGCACGCGCGTCGCGCGGTTGGGATAATCTGACCGCCGCCCCTGAAGATGGCTTCCTGTGCTAGTGACACGTCCATGATACGAAACTTGGTGTTGCGGATCGCTGTGGTTTCAATCAAAAGTTAGCAAGCTCTCTAAAGTTAAGGTAAACAGGGGTCATTGATCGGCGCCTGGGTTATTCTGTGTCATTGCTGAATATGGGAGGGGAGAGGGGGAGGTCGTTGCACACGAATGCAACAAGATGCTGTTCTCGAGACAAGACCCCTAGTAAGTGAGCCACGAATACGGGCGCTTCGGCAGGCTTTGTTGCGCCAGTGCCTTGTACCCCTGACTTGCGCAAATCTCGCCTTACGGGTTCGATAGACGATGTCTGATCGAATCTGCACACTGCATGGAGTAGGGTCCCTGGTCCCAAGAGCTCGTAGCTTACGTCTTGGCAAGGCACGGACATGGGTCGCAAGCCCATGTCTGGAACTTGGCAAGCTGTCTAAAGCATGTGATAGGCTGATCTCCACGTTTGTCGTAACACCATCTTAAACGGTCCTTCGATGCCTAGCGCCTTGGGTATTTCGAGCAGGAGACACAGGTTGCTACACTAGTAGCAACAGGATATCATGGCGTCTCGCTCGAGTGTGTGTTAATGGCTTGCGAGTAATGAGGTGCCAACTCCGGCATGGTTGATTTGAGGGTGATACCCATGTAAATGAAACTTGGATCAAAGAAGTTCCAATGAGACGTGGTGGGAAGCGTGAGATCGACGCTGGGTTGAGTAGAAAAGACAAGGAAAATGTAACGGGACGTAGGTACTCACGTTCTTCACACAGAGGGCCTTCTCTGGTAGCCCAACTGAATCCTTGGCGAATGCTCTCGCGCACACTCCTCAGAAGCGTCTTATCCACCTGCCGAAAAAAAAATTAGGTATGATCCAAGTAGAACAAGATTCTAGAATTGTGAGGCTGAAATTGTAAAGATATTGCCGCAAGCAAACCCGTTGGGTGACACTCCACGCTACGAGAATCACATGTGTAGTAAGACGCCGAGCTTTCAGGGTCACAATATGGTGGGGGGAAACGACATAACAGCCAACGTACCTCGAGCGTGTCGTCCTGCAAGATGTTTGGACCCTTCTCATCCGGGCCGAATGCCCAAATGCTTCTCGCCGCCAGCAGATCCCATCCGTACTTGTCCTGGAAGAATTTACCCACTTTACGGGCACCGTCTTGCATCTTGACGCGACCGCTCTCGATATCTTCCGCGATTCCGTCGTCGAGCGGCTCGGCGACCATAGTAATCTTGTTTTTCTTATTCGGTGTAATGGCGTAGCATTTGGTAGCTGACATCTCATCCACTGTCTCACAGAAGCGCGTGACGGGATCCGAAACTTTGATCTCCATATCTGCGTACAACCGTCGCAAGTCGTGTAGGACACAGTCCATATACAATTCGCCAGTGCCTAGGATGATGTGCTCGCCGGATTCCTCAACCTTGGTAGTGATTAGAGGGTAGCTTTTGTTAATCTTCCGCAAGCCGTCAAGCATCTTGGGAAGCTCTGAGGGGTTGATGGGTTCGACTGCTACCTTCAGAACCGACTCTGTGAAATGTGTGACCGGTCTGAAGATGTAGGCTTCCTCGTCATCCTCGAATTTCGGCGGTACTATTGTTGCCGACTTCACGATCGAGTTGTCAACACCGCTCAGCAGCACCCAGTTACCCGCGGGAACCCCATCAGTCTCAACGTTGTATCGTGTCTCTGCGATGTAGACGTTCGAAATGGTAGCCGTAGCCATGTCTTCCTCATCGTCGATAGAATAACCCTCTCCGAGAACTCGTACCTGCATCCCAGGTCTCGCGATACCGCTCATCACCCGACCAAATGAATAGAAGCTTTTAGCATCCGAAGAATTGAATAATTTTGTGATGTGTACGACCAATGGGCCATCTTGGTCGCACTTTTTCATGGATTCGGCTACCTTGGTATCCAGGGGGCCGGTGTAATACTGTTCCAGTTTGCGTTCCGCCGCTTCTAACGGAGATGGAATATTCTTGACGATCATGTCGACAAAGCCAGTCGACGGGCCGAAGAACTGCTCACAGACCAGCTTGAGTAACACCTTGGCGTCCGTCTTGTACTGTGATGGCTTGAGTACTATGCCCAGCGTCGCCAGCACGTTCTTTAGCTCTTCGGGACTTTGACTGATAGTGTGTGAGAAAACCTTGTAGATAGGCTCCAAGACAAAGTGGATAAACGACCTCTTTGCACGTTCTTCGCCAGGCAGAGGTTTCCTGCTGAAGGATCTCTTCTTCGGGTTGAAATAGATGTCGCCCCAGAGGCGTTTGGCGAGTTCCTCCGTGTTCACGCCGGGGAAGCTATCCGCATACATCTTAGAGAATGACTGTAGTGTAAAGCACCAACCCATCTGGCTACATGCGAATAATACATTCCCCTTCTCTGGGCTTAATCGCTTCTGGTCTCCGGAACCTGGCCGAGTATTTTCGATGATAGTATTCACCTCTTCGACGACGTGTTTTAACTTGAAATAAGCATCGCTCGGCGGCAACCTTAGTTCTAGTATGAGCCTATCGACCTTGTTGATGATTAAGGTCATGGGGATATCCTCAAGGACGGCATGCTTGATGATCTGCTCCGTGTTAACCTGAACTCCTTCGACCACATCCACGACCAGCGCAACACCATCCACCAGTCTTAAAGCTGCAGCAACCTCGTCCACAAAATTTACGTGACCCGGGGTATCTATTATGTTGAACAAGTGGGACTTGCCCTTTGTGCTCTGCAATACCAAGCTCATCGGCGCCGCCTTTATGGACAGGCCCCTTTCTCTCTCCACCACGTGGGTATCGGTGTATCGTAATTCCTCGTCTCTCTTTCTTCCGGTTCGCTTCTCTAACCTATCGGATATATCGTGCGTCTCGAGGACCAACATATCCATAAACGCGGTCTTGCCATGGTGTAGGTCGCCAGCTAGTGCTATGTTTCGTATTTGATCGGGGAAGTTCATAAGATCGGTCATGAAATTGCGGTCGAAATGAACGGGAGGGAGGTCGGCTTCTTCGATAGAAAACTTCTTCACATCGACGGGGGCAATGATAGGTTGCGAAAGCGGTTGCGCATCCTCCTCTTGCACCAAGGTCTCGACATCAGCTCCGTATACTTGTTGCGCCGTCGGGTAATATTGCTTGTCTTCGTGTAATATCACCGCATTCGAGGGCCCTTCATCGTCCACTTCCATTAATTCCTGCCCCGTAGGTTCGGCTGCCTCCTCGGGGTATTCGTCATCGAGATACGCGCCCGCGTCAACGCCATGCTGGGATTCTTCCTCAGATGCTTCGGCATCCTCCCCGATGAAATTTCCGAACCTAGTCGAGATAGTTAGATTGAGAGCAGGAAGAGGGCAAGGAGGGCGAGTGTATATATAACATACTCATCATAAAGGTCATCCATGGCGTAGACAAGGGTTAGGCGTAGGTCAATGGAGTTTGTAGGTTGGGATAGGGCGATAGCTTTGATATCGCGCTTCAAAAAAGTTACAAAGTCGAGATGAGATGCAAGGCTGACAAGGTTGGAGCGCGTTCTACATGTACCTATGTATGGTGTGGCTAACGAGAAATTTATATGTATATAGGTACATAATGTACTTGGTGCATGTGGCTAATGACAAGGCTGGGTCCAGACTGGTACGAAGTACATAGTACGTAATTTTAGGTACATTGAGTATGTACTGGTACAAAGGTACATGCACTTTGGTGCTCCGATCAGCGGACAGTGGCCCGGAGTGGCTTGACTTTTTAACCTACCTCTCCGGCCACTATAAATTAAGACCCCACCAATCTCAGGTCCGAACTTATCAGCCCCACTATCCGATTCGGACCCTATCCAGGAACACTAGGCGATTTCCTTACCTAGGTCGGTTCCGTAAGGTAAGGTACGGCAGGCGAATTGGCTCTTGGGAGTGACCTAACTGCAGTAAGTTTAATGAGTACTATGGTATCGTGCAACCATACCCAGGCCATTCAGGGATGTAACTGCAGATCCGCTATACTTCGGTAGCACAAAAGCTAGCTTAAAGATTAAAAGATAAAAAAGATAAATAAAACGGGAGGGGCGGTGAATATTTCATATTTCCCACCATCTTTTTAAGACTAACTAACTAACTACAATATATAAACTTGACTTTCTTTTTCCTGCTTTTCCGATTAAGCCTTGAGGTATTCCCGTCGTTAGCTTCATTACCTAGGTACTCAGCTTTGTGTGTCTTGTCTTCTTCTTCGTTCAATATGTCTAACCTTCCCCCCGTCTATATCGTCTCAGCTGCTCGAACCCCCGTGGGGTCGTTCCTAGGGTGAGTTTTGTTTTGCTTGTTTCTCCTTAGTTTTGTTTCTCGTTACGAGCTTTCTCCCCCCCCCTCCTTTGTCCTTCGATGTAGAATGTAGCCTTATGAAGCTAACCCTCCAACTATTAGAACGCTTTCGAGTCTCAGCGCCACTCAGTTAGGGTCTCATGCTATTAAGGGTATGTTTCCTGTCTCCTGTTCCACCCCCTTACTTAAGTTACACGCGTGGCTTGACCAGGATAACTGATACTGACTTGATGTATCTAACAGCTGCCGTTGAGCGAGTCCCCCAGATTAAGCCTGAAGATGTAGAGGAGGTCTTCTTCGGCAACGTCCTATCTGCCAAGTATGTCCTGATTCTTACATACCTATACCTATATCTATACCTATATCTATAGATATCCACGAACATAAAAAGGGGAATCTAACGTTAGGTATCTAGTCTCGGACAAGCACCCGCTCGACAGTGTGCCCTCGGTGCTGGCCTTCCCCAATCGGTCGTCTGCACCGGCGTCAACAAGGTCTGCGCTTCCGGTCTAAAAGCCATCATCCTAGGTGCCCAGACCATCATAACCGGCAATGCCTCCATCGTCGTGGCCGGCGGCACCGAGTCCATGTCCAACACCCCCCACTACCTGCCCACCCTCCGCAACGGCGCCAAGTTCGGCGACCAGACCCTCGTCGACGGCATGTTGAAGGACGGCCTGACCGACGCTTATGCTAAGGAACACATGGGTCTCGCCGGCGAGCTGTGCTCCGAAGACCACACCATCTCCCGCGAGCAGCAGGACGAGTACGCTATCGAGACCTATACTCGCGCCCAGAAGGCTACCGCCGACGGCATCTTCTCCAAGGAGATCGTCCCAATCGAGGTCAGCGCCGGCCGGGGTAAGCCTCCGGTCCAGATTACGACCGACGAGGAGGTCAAGAACCTGAACCCCGAGAAGCTTAAGACGGTCCGCCCCGCCTTCAAGCCCCAGGGTGGTACCGTCACAGCTGCCAACGCCGCTCCCTTGAACGACGGTGCCGCTGCCGTCGTCCTCATGTCCGAGGCCAAGGTCAAGGAGCTAGGCGTCACGCCCATCGCCAAGATCCGCGGTTGGGGCGACGCCGCTCGCGAGCCGCAGCGCTTCACCACCGCCCCGGCCCTTGCCATCCCCAAGGCCATCAAGCACGCGGGGCTGACGGAAAAGGACGTGGACTTCTACGAGATCAATGAGGCCTTCTCGGTCGTGGCCCTAGCCAACATGAAGCTCCTCGGCCTCAGCAGCGACAAGGTTAACGTCTTCGGCGGCTCCGTCGCCATTGGCCATCCCCTCGGCTGCTCCGGTGCCCGCATCGTCACCACCCTCACCACCGTCCTCCGCGAGAAGAAGGCTAAGATCGGCGTCGCCGGCATCTGCAACGGCGGCGGCGGCGCCAGCGCTATCGTTATCGAGAACCTCCAATGACTATCATCGTACGAAGAGGTCGGAAAGGATGACGTGGTGGTTCGCCCAAGAAGGGATTCGCGGATATAGGTACCTGAGGTAACGAATGATGAATGTGGAAAACGCGTTATGCTACCCCCCTCCCCCCGGATCTCTATGACTATTACTACCTGAGTAATGCTGCAGCGTACTGGTCTACAAGACATATATAACACATACGACCTGTTTAAATCCTGAGATGAAGAAGAATAAAATAAAATAATAAATAACGCATAAAATGAAGGGCAATTTCTTTTTCTTGCTCGAGGATCGGGGAGAATTAATCAGATTTAATACATACCTCCTACGCAAATCTACCTAGGTTAGTCAACCTAGCTTAGGTAGTAATTCAAAACGATTTTTTTGAAATCCCCCATCATTATTATAACTTGATTGACTTGGGCATCTGACCTATGCATATCGTATTGTTCCTATGCTATGTGCTATGTGCTATGTGCTATATGCTGTGTGCTGACCCTGGTGCAAGTACGTACAATGCCATTCTGTGCTCGAGGGTTTGTCTCAGCCTTTCCGTGGCCATTAAAGCACTAGGTATTGCAGTACCATGCTACCAAGTAATAAATCAAATAGGTATTGTACCTATTAATTAACCTAGCTACGATGTGCGTTAACGTCAAATCGTCGCAAATCACAAACCATAAAGACCACCATTCCATTCGTGCACAACGCGATAACATTAGGTTGTGTCTGTTCGGTCTGCGTAACTATAATACAGGCAGGCAAGCAAAGCAAAGCAAAACAAAACAAAACAAAGTATAACGAAAACAGCACCATCCATCCTAACCGATTTGATTTGGCCTTAAACTTGCACGTATGCAATAGTTCGTTAAAGAGGAAAAGAAAAGGAAAATTAAAAAAAAAAAGGCTGGTCTTCCACTTAAAAAAGTGCCAACGCCCCAGCGCCAAGTCGTGATGCCTTTTATGCTTCATGCGTAATCAAATCTTCATCACCGTCTGCCTAATTGCTGAGTGTTGGGATGCTCAGCAGAGTCGAGGACTGCTCGAGGAGCAGGACACGAAGGGGGGATCTGCCTTATTCTACCCCTTCCATATTCTCGCTGTCGTCACCCCGGCTGTTAGTGTTGGGCAAGATACCGTCCTTAAGCCACTTCTGGAAGCCCTCATTAACCTTCTGAACTTCGTCCTGGCTCATTCCCCGCATCCAGGCATTGTTCATCACCATCTTCTCTCGGAATCGCTGCCCCCGGTGTTCGGTGATGGCGCGGCGATACTCCTCAGCTGCAGCCTTCTCCTTTTCATCCTCGGGTTCGGTGGAGTAGATGAAGAACTCGGATGTATCGTTTTCCCAAACGATCTTGTTAGAATTAAGACAGATGCGCAAGACTAGGCCGTCTTTGTAGACAAGTGGCTTTGGCACATTGCCGTCATCAGAGTCGGCGTCAGTAGATGGTAAGTTGCGAGCAAGGACTGTCTTCTGAAGGCGAGAGCGAGGCACCCCTTCGGTAGGCTCTACACGTATATACGAGGAGATGTAGTACTGCCATCTGTCCAGAAGTTCCATCTCATCCATGTAAAATGTCGTCTCGTCACGTTGTAGCCATCGTGTCGTAGCCTCGCGCTTCTGCGGGAACTATACGTAAGAGTTAGCAGCCGATCAGGCAGAATTTGTAGACAGAATAGGTAGCACTTACCCAGCAAATGACAAACATGTCGCCATCCTTAATGCACTTTTCTGCGTACTTGCGAGCGCTGATCTCAGCTTGGTAGCTGGTTACGTCGTTATGACGATTGTTTAGGAAGTGATGAATAAGGTCTGGCGTCTTCTCTTTGGAATCAGGACTGGTGCACGTCAGAGAGAGACGGCATAGCGTCTTCAAGAGGTCTTGGATCGTATATAGTGTCCAGCCCTTCTTGAGGTAGTAGTGACGGAGTACTTCCTGGTATCTATTCTCGTCTATCTCACCGGTGATATAGTCCTCGATAAGTTCGACCGTCTTGGGCCAGAATGAGGCAGGGTCGTTCTCGTCGAAGTAATTCAGTTCATTAACGGCGATACCGAGTTCCTTTGCAGGCTTCTTGCTCTTTGATCGGGCAATTTCTTGCAGGACGCTTTCCTTACTGTCCTTGACGTCCTTGAGACGTTTGTAAAGCGTCTGGAAAACAGTGAAGAAAACATAGATCGTTTGGTTGCAAAAGAAATTGTACCACGGACGGGGGAAGAGCCCATCAGCTTTCAACTCCCCGTCGATATCCAGGAGCGGATTGTTTCCCTTAACAACCGTCGCCCGAGGAACTATCGGAAGCCATCGTTCATTAGACTGCTCAGCGGGAACAGAGTCCTCTGGAGCATCCGCCATTTCTTCTTCGTTCGCAGATCCAGCGTCTGGAGTTGTCTCTTTGCTACCCGATGCGGCGCTGTCCTCCTTTTGATTCCTAGTCTTGGCACCGTTACGACCGGGGTCTAAAACGCCGCGGAGCAAGTCGGATTTTTTGCCGTTGCGTCGGGAACGACCGTTAGTCAGCTCGGCAGGAAGCTGTTCCTCGGCGTCTTCTTCGCCAGAGTCGCGATCGATATCATGGAGGCGGTCTTGGACCTTCTCTTCTGACAACTCGAAAAAACGTGGAATAAACCACTCGAAAAATTCAACGATCCGCTCCTTCTCCGAGGCACTATGATGGCCATTATTTGTACCATAGAGGACCATGAATCGAAGCAGGTCTAGAATGACCTCCTGATCGCTCAACTCGTACGAAAACTGGTAACGTGGGACCTTATTCTTCGAGCTACGCAGACGTCGCTGTTCTTCGTGCTTTGTCTTAATAACATCCACGAGGTGCTTGGCGGAGAGATTTCGCTTGTCATTTTGCTTAACTTGGATACCCATGTGGTCAAGACTCTTGAGGTGCATGATCTCGGTCTGGGCTTGCCATACCTTCTCCCACTCTCTCTGCGTGAAACGCCATTCCTCATCTTTTTGCTTGAGTCGTGCGAGGACTACAGGAACAACAGCGAACGGATCCGTAAACATATCGCTTACAACATCAAGACCTTTTTCGTTACCATATATCTTCTTGAGGACGCGCTTGAAGATAGAGGTGCTGGAACCGCCAAGTCCCGGTGGCATCTGGAACGTCTCTCGTTCTTGAGGCGTCAAGTTCAGCATCTGCTGAGCGATCGGCTCCAGCAGCTGGATGCACTTGACATTGGCCTCAATGTTAAAATCGTAATCGTGGCGCTCCTCCTCGATACGATGGAGACCCTCTTCGAAAGCATTTTTGCGGTGAGCGACGAAGCCAGAATCTTCCGAAGCCCAGGTGGGATGGGATGCCCACTCGTCGTTGAGAACAGCGTTGCACATCTCGTCACGGCCGCCGCAAGGCTTGAGTTTTTCCTACAACAGCAAACGTTAGCAAATAACGTAGAATTTCAAAATGAAGACTAAACTTACCCTGCGAGGTAGTAATCTGTAACTCGGTCCAATAGCCCGACAGTTGCTCAGCGAAACTTTTTCCGTAGGCGGCCTAGGTCTATTCTCGATGACCTCGTCAAGACCTTCATATCCCACGAAATTCTTGAACCAGCCCATAAGCTCAGCGTTGCCTCCGATGAACTGACTGGATTTATGAACGAGATCATTAGTGTCGATCAAACTCTGAGAGTACATGTTGCAGAGCTTCAAGAACTCGTTCATCGTGGAACGGTTTCCGATATATTTCTTAACCTTCTCGAAGAATCCCAATTCATCCGCAGTTGCGTTCGCCGACGACGTAGGAGGGAGAGGCTCGGGAAGAACGGGTGTAAGTGTGGGCTCGATAGATTGTACATCTGTTGCTAGAGGCTTGTGGTTAAGCTTCGGTCGCTTGCTGGCAGGACCTACTCCCGGAATCGATCGCGATCCAGGAGCAGGGCTATCCGCAATAACAGGCGCTGGTGGTGCAGCTTGCTTCTCATTGCGAGGTCGCTTTTTATTATCCTTGCTTCCGCTGGCAGGAGGCGCGAAGTTTCCAACGGGAGGCATCTTTTGACCGTCTCTCACGTTGTGACTAGGCTGCGGCGTCGTCTGCGTGAGGCCAGTCATGGCAAACACGTCTTCAGCTTTCGCACCGTTAGCCTTATTCGAAGCTGCTGACTCCGGTAGAAATTGTTTAAAATCTTCTAAAAGGTCGGGTGCGGTATTAAAGAGAGTGGTAACTTGTGCATAGACGTCTTGAATAGGTTTTTGTTCTCGTTGGTAGGTCTGAAGAATCTCAAGAAACTGCTTGTAGATTTCGGGTTTATCTTGGAATCGGTTCTGCGCGTGCACCAAAGTTAGCATTGCAAGTTTTGTTTAAGTGAATTCCACCGTGCAAATTTTTGTGGGGTAAAAGTAAAAGAGAACTGTTTGTTATTAAAGTGACTTTTTCGTTTTAATGTGCTTTTAACTTATTATCAGCCTTACCTTGATTTTATTCACGTAGCTTATAGCGTGATTGAACTCAACTGGACCGCGCTTTTCAATATTTGCTTGCTGCTGGTTACCACCGCCAGGTCCCCCTTGAGAACCACCTGGTGTTGGTGTAAGAGCGTTACGAGTTGTGGGACCGTTAGGTGTTGTAGAATTATTCTGCAGTTGAGATGCACCGCGATGTTGCTGATTTCCTACACTGGGACCGTCAAATTCTGACGCCTGGGCTTGTGCAGCTCTGAACAAGCTTGGACCGTTCGGTGCAGGTGCGCTAAAAGCAGCTTCTGGGCTTTCGATACTGTGCTGTGGTTGCGGATGTTGCTGCTGCCAATTGCTTGCACGATGGTTGAAAAAAGGTCCGGTCGCTCCGGGTTGTCCATGCGCGCCGTCGCCTTGGTTGACTCTGCCTGTAATCGATTGAACCGTGGTTCCCATGGGCGTAGTGACTCGGATCGTGTTTGGGTCGTTGCCTGCACCGCATTCGATTCTGTATCCCGGAGGAAGAAAAGTATTAAACCCTTGAATGAGATTTGGATGACCAGCGAAAAGTTCTGATACGCGGTTGATCACACCAGGCGTGTCAATTCTGAACCCTTCCAGTTAGCGTATATATTTATTATATTTGTAGCCAGGATTTGACTAACGTTTGACTTTTAAAATCTTTCATGATATCTAGAAATTTATTATAGACGTCCGGTTGGTCGGAGAATTGTACCTTGACCTGGTCTAGGTAGCTGAGGGCGTCCTGAGAAGACTATACATTAGTGCATAAAGCAGACAGGACAATCGAGATTGGAGATGGATATGAGTATAAGAAATACACTTAGGGATTGCCCCCCCAAAAGAATAAAAAATAAAAAGGGGTTATTCCCAAGAAGGCTCAAGAGGTTTGTTGCCCATGCAATTCTCATGGACCAAAGTACCAAGAAAGATGTTTGAGTAGGGAAGTTAGAAATAATAGGGTATTTTGAATATAGTGTAAAAACGAATATGCCTAGCGGCGGCGGCGGCGTCGGCGGGAACAGCAACTACCCGTCCCACATAAAGAAATAACGAACGCGAAAACAAAAGCGTGGGTATAAGTCTACCTCCTCTAAACAAAACTCTATACGATAATATGATAAATGGTGGTGGTACGATAAAACGTATTGGACTTACATTAAGTATAGGCTGCTGCCCCTGCGGTATGGCACTAGCACTACCGTTGGGTAGGGGGTGGCCTCCTGGCATCCCAGCACCATTCCCACCGAACGGTATACCCTGTGAGGCTCTGCTTCCCTCTTGTTGTAGTGGACCACCAAACAGATGTGCTGCAGGTCCCGAAGAGTTGGAGGGGCCCTGATTGTGACCACCTATGGCTCCGAACATCTGGTTCGATGCGTTCTGGGCGTTATGCGGGAGTGGACGGTTCGACTCAGCTTGCAACGGACCGCCGAACGTGTTTACATTTACAGGTCCGGAAGGAGCACCGAGAGGGATAGGAGGTCCCGAGCCTCCGTGAGTCGCCAGAAGACCTCCAGGACTATGAATGGCACCGGGGAGTCGCGAGGCGACGGGTTGATGGATCTGTAACGACACGGTATTACTCTGGCGGGGAGTTCCAGCAGGGAACTGATCCCTCTGGTGTCGCTCGGCCGACTCGCGATCGCGGTGCGACATTTCCTCGGGGTGAGAGTTCATTTCGCTTTAGAAAGTATGAATCTGATTAGTTTAAGATGTTAGTATTTGCTGATTGAATGTATATTGAAATGCGCGCGTTGCTATCAACAAAACCCAACGAGGGCCAAGTCAGGAGACTAACAATTCGAGAGCCGAGCCTCCAAGCCTCAAGATAAAAGGAGAAGGGCCGAAATCGCAACTTCGCTATAAACTATGGAGAACTTACTTTCTACATGGATACTATTCTATTGAAGAGAACAGAGCGTAGTTCGTAATGGTATATTGTTGATTTCTAGTGGTGAGAAGGAAAAAAAGCTGAATGAGATCAAGCCGCGACAGCTTGGAGACAAGGTTTCTGCCGTGCGATCAGCGGCGGCCGATAACGAGCAAAGTGGCTCCTCTTTATTTTATTACGCCAGTCACATGGAGATAAGAGAGCAAACGGGCTTTCTCATTTGCTCCAAATTTAGCTTAGCGTTTAGTGGAGATTTAGGGAGCTGTGGTATCATGTTATCATATATGTACAATACCTAACGTACCGACCTCGGTCATTAGGTAGGTTAGATAGGTACCTACCTGATACAGGTAAGTTAGAGGAAAATGAGTTTTCCAACAAACACTTATTAGTTTCTAGGTAGACAAGTGTCATGACGCATTTTAAAATACCTATTCGTCACCTCAAATTCATAACATGATTTGTTTCTGTAAGTACAATAGGTCTAGATCTACTAATTGTATACGTCCTAAAGTCTCTTTAACCTCTATTGTCTCAACCCTTGATTCATCATACACCAACTCTCGAGAATCTACGACTACCTAATACTACATTCATGGCCTTGTCCGTTATGCTTCCTTACCTTAGGTACGATATCAACTACCTGAGGTATTCAACCAACTTAGATTCTAACATATCGCCCTACATCCAAGTCGCAAGTTTAATAAGAGCCCGAATATTAGATTTTAAAGATCGTCCATGCCAGTAGTCGTATCCTCCTATACTCCATTCAACGATAAAGTCATCCCAACATAATACATAGCAAGACCATTAATAATATACTCGTCGCTCATCCAGTCTGATAATAGAGTTCCAAGTAACGTATCACACCACATTGTAGACGTTTAAGATTATACATAATTTCGTACTCCGTTCAAAATCCATAGTTCGCCGTTCCCAACTCGGCTCGCGATGCTATCCACTTGGATCCCGTCAGGTTGGATCTGAAATTGTCAGTACTTACACTGGCTATTCGAATACCGAGGAAAAGAAGCTTACCACTCTAACACCATCCTTCATCTCCCACCATATTTCTCTATCTCCGTCAAGTAATGTCTTGACCTTCTCTCCCTCCTGCCAAGGACTAACAGAAACCACATGCGCCTTTACAAACCTCTTCAGATTCATGTGAGCCCTGTCTTGCCCGTCTTCACCTTCGTACGCGTTCGCGCCCAGCGAGTCATAGTCCTTAGGGTCTTCCCAGGGCTTGCGCGGGAGCTTCTCGACGGCTGAATTCCGTGGGGCGAGGACCGTGCTGTTTTTTGACGAGTCGTCAAGACGGGATGATACAGAGGCGATGTCGCGGGTAAACCCAGCGAATATGTTAATGCTACGGTCTCGACCCATGACATCAGAGATAAGAACTCCTCCTTGAGGAGGTGGCTGTTCGGAGCCGCCAGGTTGTTGCGACGGTGGCATGACGGGGCCGATATCCATGAGGGGCTTCTGCGCGGTCATTTTGGGTCGTATACCATATGGTAAGGCGACGACGTATTGGGCGGATGCTGTGGTTGCTAGTAGTGGGATACAAAACAGCGCCAAAGGCTTCATATTTGAAGAAGCTAGATTGTAAATGGAGAATATAAGTTGATATAGAGGAACTAGGTATTGGAGTATTAGAGGGCAGAGAAGGTGGAGGCAGGCAAATCAATCCAGCCGCTTGGGTTCTAGATAAGGTTCCACTAACTTTAGGTGCGCATAGTGGGCCCCGGCATGACATCACCCTCGAAACAAACAACAAAATCCCCAAATTGGGCCCCATCCAGTGACCAGTCAGCTAGCTACCTAGAGGTTAGGTACATTTCTCGTGTCCGCGCAAGCCAATACTATACTAATCTCGTCCTGACTGGTAAACACTTGCATGGCAGCACTTGCAACAGGCTAAATATAGCTATATTTAATTAACTGTTAATAAAAACTAGACGGCGGACCATATGCCATTAAACCGCCAAGAATCTAATGACATAATCATAAGGCTTTTGTTAAACCTCCGTTAAGCCCCCGTTTAGCCTTCGTTTAAATTTTTTTTATTTTTTTTTAAATTTCTTATAAAAAATAGAAAAAAAATTAAAAATGTTATGAACCAACAGCCGAGGAAATTACGTTTAAGCTTAAAGCAAGGCTTTAATATTTTTTAATACGAATAAATCTCGAAATAACTTTATAAAAAGTAATAATTTAAGTGATTTTATGTGATTTTATTGTCACGAACCAATAGCACGGGAACTATACTTTATATGGAAACGGGGTTCTTAAAACGTACGATCAAGCGGTTAAATCTCGGATAACCTGATAAAAGGTAATAATCTCGTTAATCTTAATGATCTTAGTAATTTTGGCGAGATCATTAAGATTAATAAGATTAATAAAATCACGATAACCTTAGGAAAAGAATAAAAGAAACTTACAAGCATATTTAAACTATTATATATTTAACCATTTATTTATATTTTTTTAACTATTAATTTAAATTTTATATTTAATTTATATAAGGAAAAAAACTTTAAGCTTTTTTAATAAATATTTATAATATTATATTATATTACGAACTAATAGCACGGGAATTATACTTTATATAAAAGCGGGGATTTTAAAACGTACGATTAAAAAAACGGATAAACTTTAATAAACCTATTAAAAAGTAATAATTTTAATAATCTTAATAATCTTATAAAATCATTAAGATTATTAAAATTATAAAAGCTTTAAGCTTAAAATAAAGTAAGTTTATAAATATTTAAAATTATTATATATTTAAACATTTATTTACATTTTTTTAATTATTAATTTAAATTTTATATTTAATTTATATAAAGAAAAAAACTTTAAGCTTTTTTAATAAATACTTTTAACATTTAATTAATATTTAACTTATATTATTACTATTTATTTAAAATTAAAACTTTTATTATTATATTTTAATAAATTTAAATATAAATTTATTATATTTTAATAGCTTTTTAATTAATATTATTACTAATTAAATATAATATAAATATTAATTTAAATAATAATATCCTTTTATTTATCCAAATTAACTATAATTTATTTGTTTTAAAATATTTTTTAAATAAATTCCTTAAAAACCAACTTTTAATAAAAGTTAATTAAATAAAATAAAATAATAAACTTAATATATTACTTTTTAATTACGTATTAAAATTTATTAATAATATAATTCTAATAAAAACTAGGTCTTAAGCTAGATTATTTAAAAAAAAGGTAAAAAAAATTATTAAAACTTTTAATAAAGGAAAAAAAAGGGGATAAACTAAAAAAGAGCAAATAAAAATCTTAGGAAAAGGATTTTAAAGAATATATAATGTTTATTAAATATTCGAAAACAAGGTAAAAGCTTTAAAAAAAGAATTAACTTAACTTAAAACCAAAAAAAGCAAAGACCCTAATAAAGATCTTAATAATAATCCTAATAATAATTCTGATAAAAACTTTAACCCATAATTTACAAGGCGATAAGAACTTATGGTTCCATTACCATCCGATAAAAAATTCAAGCCCTCTCCGCTATCCAAATACAATAGTACCACTAATATAAAAACTTAGCTCAGTACAACCAAACTTTACCTAACTTTCTTTCGAGTTAATTTCAATAAGGACGAACATAAAGTATTAATTATATATTAACATCTTAAAGGCAGTACTTTTAAATGACTTTAACCTATTATAAATAACCACTTTAATAATATTTAAAAGGAAATAAAAGAGTTATAATATATTTTTAATAAATATTTTAACTTTAAAAACAGGATAAGGTTAATATTTAATAACTTACTTAAAAAGGAAAATGCTTAAAAAGTTATTTAAAACCTTAAGTAAATTAAAAGAGCTTTATAATATGCTACTAAATTCAAGCGATTAGTAACCATTGTTCAACTTCTTAAAGATATTTAATTTAATTATTTTTATAAAAGATTAATTATGTAAATCAAAAACAAAATCTTTAAAAAAAAAAGATTTAAATATATTAATAAGTATATTAAACGTGCTATTATTTATAATAAAAGGTTATATAAGAGATTTTAGGAAAAGAAAGTTAAGAAACTTATTTTTATTTGCACTAAAAAAAAAATTAAAAAAGTTAACTTTAATACCGTTAAAATGGAAAAACTTAAAAAAAATATAATTAAAGTTAAATATTATAACTATAATAAAATAAGTTATATATTTAAAAATTATAAAGTATTATATAAGTAATTTAAGGTATTAAAAGAATAATTAAAGCCCTAAATTATAAAAGTAATATCTTTAAAAACATTTAATATTTAAATCTTTTAAATTACCCAAAATATTAAGAATTACGTTATTATTAATAACTATTATTTTTAGGAGAATATTTATAAATATAATCATTAAAATTGCTTATATTATTTTAACGAAAAAAAGAAAAGAATAAGGGATTAATTTGTATTTTAATAGTACTTATTATCCATTAATACCGAAAGAAAATAAAATATAAATAAAAATTGCCTATAAGGAATGTTAAATTATATTAAAAGATAATATAATCACGAACTAAAGGTTTAAATACCCTTAAAAATTATTAAAAATAATTTAAAAGAAAAACTTTAAGTAATAATTAATTAAAATAATTATAATAAAAACGAATTTAATAAGATAATAAATCTCATTAACAAATAAGAAATTATTATAAAATAATAAAAAAATAAATAACCTTTTTACGAATTAAATAAAATAAAATAATAAATAATAAATTATTAAACGTATAATAATAATATTATAAATATAAATTTAAGATAATTAATTAAAAATAATCACGTTTATATTTAAGAATAAATTATTAAAAGAGAAAAAAAGTAAAATAAAGAGTTTTATATATTCCTAATAGATTAAATAACATTAATTCCCTTTATTATAACTCTCGTTTAACTATAAAAACTTAAAATATAACGTTTCTTAATTATTAAAAAATTGTAAAAACGGGAAGTTATATATGTAAAAAGAAAATCTATTATACAAATTATTAATAAATACCTTAAAATATAAAAAAAGAAAGTATTAGCTACTTAAATTAACTTAAAGATAATAAAGGTTAATATTTTAAAAATAATATATACTTTATAAAAAGCTATTAAAATTAAATAATCTTTAGATATTAATGGATAAATTCCTATTTTTAATATTAAAAAACCTAATTTAAAATTAAAAATATATATGCACAATTTATAATAAAACTTAAGACATAAAAAACACTATAAAATATCTTAAATATTATGTCCCCACAATTATTACTAAATATATAATTTAATTAAAAAAATACGGGATTTTAGCTTAAATTAATTAAAAGATATTTATTTATATACTAATAAAAAGATATTAATAAAATCTAAATTAAATTTAAATTAATCCTTTTAAAAAGCATATAAGTAAATAACATAGTTTTAAGTATTACATTTTTAATTAAAAATAAGCCCCGAGCTTACACACATTATAGTAAAATATAAAAAAATTATAATTAATATAAATATAAAATACATATAATCCACAAATTTATTACTTTAAAAAAATATATAGAATAATATAAAAATATAAAGGTATTTAATAAGTCCTTAATAAAACTTATAGAAAAATAATAAAAACAGCTCGAAAAGAAGGATTTTAATAAAGAAAATAACTTTATAAATTTTAACGCAATTAAAATTATTAACAATTACTTATATATCACAGTAAAATAGGAAAATCAGAAGTTTTAAACACTAATTAATTATAAATATTTAGTAAATATTATTAGCTTAAATATAATTAATAAATATTTAATTAATTATTAAGAAAAAGAACTATTATATTAAAGGTTAATAATTAATAGATAATTAATTAAATATAATAAAAGATAAATTAAGTAAGAAGTTATAAATCTCCCGATCCGGATTTAATAAAAAGATTATTTAATTTCTTTTAATATTGTAAATACTTAATATAATATAGTTTTAAAAAAACCTTAATTAAAAACTAATAACTTAAAAATAAACTAGCAGAAAAATACTATTAAGTAATTATTACCAGAGTTAAGTACTGAAGGTTATAAATTTAAGCATTAAAAAGAAGTTAACTTAAATAAATTTAATATAGTAGTAAAAAGGTATATATTCGCGGCTTTCGAAAAAGCTTATAAAGTAATACCTTTATATATATTACAACTTGCAAAATTAATTAAAAAAATAAAATAATAAAAAATAATAAAAAGAAAAATTAAGGTAATATATAATAAATTTATTAACGTACTTAAGAAATATTAGAAAAAATATCCAAAACTATTTACTAAAAAACTAAATATTAATATAGGAGTTCTAAATTATAAACCCTATAATTATAAAATAAACCTTAAAAAAGGATAATTACTTAAGTTAAATAAAATATACTTATTAAATACAAATAAATAAAAGGTATTAATTAAAATTATTAAATAAAAACTTAAAAAAGGATATATATAAAAATTAAACTCACTAATAAAAAGCTTAATCTTTTTAATATTTAAAAAGAATAGAGATAAAATATTAAAATTAAATAAAAATAAAAATATAATATATTAAAATATATATAATTATTAATATTTTAACTTTATTATCAAATAAAATAATTACC